TAGATATTTAGAGTTAATTTATTTAATAAATATCTTAACTAATTAGACTATAGCTATTATTTATAATAATCTGCTTTATAGTATAAAGTTTAGATTATTTTTAAGGAAGTTAGTAACTTAGTATATATATTTAATATTAGATATACTAAGATAATTATTTCTTAAACTAGCTCTAGCTAGTATCTGGCTAGATATTTCTTTTATTACTCTCTCTTAGGCTATTAAATTAAGTATTTAAGATCTTATAATAATAGAGAATTACTACTACCTATTATACTTAGAACTAGCTATAACCAGCTTAGATATTATAGATAGGTTCTTAGTTATTAACTACAGGGTAGCTATAGTTAGATAGCTTATAGTTAAAGCCTAGGTTTATAATATCTTTACTTATATATAAGATAATATAATTCTTAAGGCTTAAGTTCTTTCTATCTACTAGTTATTTATAGCTTTTTTATAGAGGGCTCTATATAGCCCCTGTTCGTAGTATAATAATAAAGAAGAATTTAAATTAGAAAAAATTCTAAAGAAAGAAATTAAAAATAGATAGATATTCTATTTAGTTAAGTAGAAGAAATATATAGATAATAATAATATTTAAAAATCTATTAAATATTTAAAGAATTATTAATAGTTTATTTAATAATATTATTAGAACTAGAAATATTTATTTTAATAAACTAAAAAGAAAATAATTCTATATCCTTCTAAAGAAATACTAGATTAATCTTAATCTCTAAGAATATAAGTTTAGATAAAGATATAGCTAAAAAGAAAAAGCAGTATTATTATAAACTAGATCTAATATAATTAAATTAGAGCTTAGTATATAGTACCTTAATAGCTATAGATAATATACTATTATATTCTATTTAGAATATCTAGCTATACTTAGAACTATTATAAAATTATATTTAAAGCAGTTTTAATATTATTAGTAATCTAAAGGAATTTATAGTAAATAAAAGTTTAATAGTTTATATAAGCTAATAATAATTTACTTTTTACTTAGTAATAATAATAATAATAATCTATCTTAATAAAACTTATATTATTCTATTCTTACTCTAGTACTATCTTTCTAATATATACTCCTTCTAATTTAAATAAAGAAGATAAGATAATAGAGAATTATTAATAGTATAGCTATCTCTTAATTAAGGAAACTAGATATAAAATAGAGATTAAAATAGATTATTAACTAAGCCTAGAGGAACTAAAAATACCTTACTTCTTTATAGCTAACTCTATCTCTATCTAAACTCTCTTATTTTATATTATAAGCTAATAACTCTTACTTATAGATCTGCTTAAGAGGTAATCTATTAAGTCTAATAGTATAGAGATAAGATAGTATTAGATACTTAATAAGGTTATTATTTTATAAATAAATAAGTAGAATAAATAAGATCTTAAGTATAATATTAAGAATATTAAATAAATAATAACTATAGAAAATAGAGATAGTTTATAGATTAGATACTAATAAATATAAATATACTATTTATATTATAGTTAGACTAAAGAGCAGTAGGTATATAATAGTAAGACTAGAAAATAAAAGGAAAAAGAGACTATAGAGGTATATAGTAGGAGTAGTAGGGAACTAGCTGCTTTATAGATAGTAAAAAAGCAGTAAGTAATAATAGAGCTAATAATTTCCTAATATAGTATTCGCCTAAAATAGCAGGTTAGACCTGCTATTTCTAAAGGTAGACAAGCTGTACTATCTTTTACTTTTTTATTATTTTTTTTCTTTTTTTTTAAAAAGAATAGAAAATTATTAAGCTCTATAGAGTTTCTCTTATTATTTCTATTAAGCTCTATAGAGCTTATAATAGCTTACTTTTTAAACTCTTAAATTTTCTTAGCTTTTTTAATAATCTAGATCTTTTTCTTAAAAGCTATAACTTATTTCTTAAGCTTTTTAATAGTAGAAAAAAATAATAGTTTAAAACTATTAATAGCTAATTAGAATTTAAACTTTATTTAGATATTAATAATATATATAGAATTATTATATTTAAAAATATTAAAAAACTATAGAATAATAATATAATTAGCTTTTTTTAACTTTTTATTATTAAAAATATTAAAATTAATATTAGAATTATTATTTCTATTTTTCTCTTTCTTTATAATAATCTTAAGTATATTATAAATAATATTATACTATTTAATTATTTTTTAAAAATATATTATTAATAAAATTAAATAATTATACTATAAAGATATTAGAGATTAATAAAATTTATAAAAGTATTATAAAAATTATAAATATAAAGATATTTTATAATTATTTTATAAACTATAGAAGAACTATATAATAAAAGAGATTAATAAATTAGATTTAATTAAATTAGTAATTATAAAAGCTTATATTAAAAAGTATAAATATCTAAAGATATAAAAAAAATATTTTTTTCTAGAAAAATTAAAATTAAAATAAAATTTATAAAAGAGATAAAGAGTTTATTTATTATTTAGATTTTTTTATTAGTTTTACTATAAATAAGAATATATTTTAAAATTAAATAATATATAATTTAATATATATATTTTAAGAATATAATTAGTAATTTATATTTAAACTTTTAATACTATAAAGTAAAATTAAAATTAAATACTTTTAATCTAGATATAGATATTAATATTTTAAAAACTCTAATAATAGAAGCTATTTATATAATTAGATATATAAATAATCTAGTTATAACTATAGCTCCTAAGGGAGAAAACTTATTATCTAATAATAGTAACTATCTTTTCTTTCTATTAGAACTTTAAAACTTATTTTAATTAATTAATTAATTAAATTATATTATTAATTAATTACTAAATAACTTAAATTATTATACTATAAATAGGAGCTATATAGAGCCCCCTATAAAAGAGCTATAAACAGCTAGTAGATAGAAAGAACTTAAGCCTTAAGAATTATATTATCTTATATATAAGTAAAGGTATTATAAACCTAGGTTTTAACTATAAGCTATTCGACTATAGCTACCCTGTAGTTAATAACTAAGAACCTATCTATAACGCCTAAGCTGGTTACAGCCAGTTCTGAGTATAATATAAATAGTTATAATATCTAATATAAATATTCTAATCTCTTAGAATTTAATTAATATTTCTAATAAAATTTTTAAAGTAAAAATAATTATTATTTAAAATAATCTAATATAGCTATTTATTAACTATATTTATAATATACTTTTATAATTAATTAAAGATCTATTTATAGTAATAAAACTACTTTTAATAATATAAATCTAGTAATTATATCTATTTAGTTAATTCTAGTATATAGCTTACTATTTATAGCTATTATAAATATTTATAAAGAATTAAGATTAGTTTAAATAAATATTATATATTAAGAATAACTATTTTTTTATATAGTTCTACTATAGTTTAATATATAATTTATAGTTTTAATATATTATATACTATATTAAATTAATAAAAATAAAAATAGTTTTTAAGAATTAGTTTATTAATTAAGCTTTTTATATTTTAAAATAGTTTAGATTAAGATATTAGTTAGATTAAATTAAATTTAATATTAGTATATTAGAATTTATTTTAATTTAAATAATATTATATTTATTTAGAAATAAAAGAAAAATTAATTATTTAGATTATTAATTAAGTTTATATCTATAAATATAATATATATTTATTACTATAGAAAATTTTTATTAAATAATATAGATTTAATATTAATCTAATATTTATTTATATATATTTAGTTATATTATATAATATTAATATATTATATATTATATAGAATTAATCTAAATAGAAATTACTTTTAAAATTTAATATTAATATTCTAATATTAATAGAATAATATTTAGATAAATAAAAGAAAATTAAATAGAATTAAATTATTAAAAAGTTTATTAAATAGAAAAATTAAATTAAATAAGATTAATAAAATAGTATTTAGAATTATAATAGATTAATTAATTATTATTATAGAATATTTAAAAAAAAGATATAATAGCTAATTATAAAATTTAATAATAAAATAAAATAGAAAATTAACTTATTAATAATAATAATATTTAAAAAAAATATATATTTATTATTTTAAAGATAAAAATATTAATTTTTTTTATTAGCTTTATAATATAATAATATTTTTTTTAAATAAAAAAAGGAAAAAAAAATAACTATATTTATATTATACTATTATTATTCTATTTTCTTTTACCTATTTTAATCTTGGATCTCAATTTATCTACTATATATTAAGCACAGTCTTAGTATATTACCTGCCGAGCTAAGTAAGACACCAGGTTACAGCTTCGGTTAAAGGTAGCCAGCGGTAATTCGATACTCTAACTACTTTTTGCAACCCGCTGCAAAGATGCTGACAACCATACTTCTAAGCTATAAGAGGGTAAGTAATAGGACCTTGACATGTTAGAAGATAGTGTTTATTCTGTGACAGGGTAAAATAACCTTGATTCCCGCCTAACGCTGGTAAGCGGATCCTCCGCGTGTATAATAATACTTCGGGTGTATTTAGCTCTCAAACAACCCAGGCTTCTTAATTATCTCTTTTATTGGAATAAGCCTTTGTAATAGCCCTGCTAAGGCAAATTCAGACCAACTACTATATACTAACCAACCAATTCATAATAGCAATTTAGTAATAATATAAATTGGACTCTCGCAGAGTTCACTAAGTTGTTATTTTCTCATACTGCGTAGTATTCAGACGGACCCCACTTCCCCAGGAAAGTGGACATCATCATCACAATCTTGAAAAAGGAAATACCGAGACCTCCACTTCCCCACAGCTACCCCGGGAACGCGGAGTCTCCGCGGTATAACATCAGCGTCGGTATTTCGGTTGGGGCAATACCGAAATGGAGCCCGAACTTGACATTAGAAGCAAGTTCCTTAAAGATATCCTACCTACAACCCATACATTCTTATCGCCTTCACTATTGAATCGTATTGAATTCAGTCCCCCCAACACTATGCTGGTATTGTCGGCGTCACTTTGGAGCCTTCTGTTGCCCCTGATTGTGGCCATTTCTCTGTTGGAATATGGGCGCAGAGCTATCCGATCCAAGTCGTTGCCTCCAGGACCTTCTACGTGCCTGTTTATTGGTATTTGCTATACTTCGACGGTTAGAACTATAAGTCTAACGCTCCTGCAGGAAATTTGCACCAGATCCCACCCAGCAAAGCATACCTTCAGTAAGTACAGCAAACATTTCATGCTGAGATGATTCTGATCAACCATTAATAGATTCCAGAAATGGGCCGGAACATATAGGTCCATGCTGGGCCTAAAATTAGGCCCACAGAACCTAATTGTCCTTAACTCCGCAAATCTAGTGAGAGAGTAAGTAGGATTTTGGCTTTCAGCTGACGACAGGTAGAATATTGGATTCTAATACGTTGCTTCTCTAGTCTGTTTGATAAGCGAGGGGCTATCTATTCCAGCAGAACCCCGAGTCACATTGGTAACGAGTTGATCACTCGTGATAATACCCATCTGCTCCTGATGCCTTATGGTCAAGCATGGCGCAATCAGAGGAAGGTATATCAGTCAATTCTTAATATTACAGCCGTTGTGTCCTTGCAGCCGTTACAAGCTGCCGAGGCTGTTCTCACCATGAGCCAACTCATAGAAAGCCCTGAGAAGTATTATGACCATATTCGTCGCTACTCTACAGCGGTTATCCTTTCTTCAGTCTTTGGAATTCGAGGTCCTAATTTTAATCACCCAAACATCCAACGACTTTATCACGTCCAAGATCAATTTACTGCCATCCTGGAAACAGGTGCTACGCCCCCTATCGATATATTCCCATTCCTAAAACACCTGCCGACCTTCTTAGCTCCGTGGCGGAGATGGGCTCTATCGATCCGGGCTGAGCAACGGCAGTTATATTTCGAACTCCTGGATAATGCAAAAAGCCGGATACAGCGAGGAGTCCATCGGAAATGCTTTATGGACGATATATTGGGCGAAGCTAAGCCAACCAAGTTCGCATTAGATGATGAGCACATCGCTTATATCGGTGGTGTACTGATGGAGGGCGGGTCGGATACCACCGCCTCTACCCTTCTTTCATTCCTGATGGCCATGATGAAACATCCTGAGGTGCTCCGTAAAGCGCAAAAGGAGGTAGATGAAATCTGTGGACTGCAGAGATCACCAAATTTTGAAGACGTGGGAAAGCTAACATATGTTCGCCAATGTATGACGGAGGTACGTTGGTGTTCACCGTTCCCCTTAACACGACCTAACTCCTATGTAGACGTTGAGATGGCGTCCAGTCGCTGCCGGCGGTATTCCTCATGTGTTAATTCAAGGTAAGACATTGTCTCTATTGTAATATCATCTTTCTAATCAATGGTAGACGATACCTATCAAGGCTACTACTTCCCAAAGGGATCAATGTTTATAGCGAATACCTGGTAAGTCGAGTCTTGCTCTGGAGAAGAAACTCGCTGATTTGGTGTTGCAGGGCAATTCATCATGATCCTGAGGTTTATGATCGTCCGGAAGAGTTTAGACCCGAGCGATACGAGGGGAATGAGTTTGGGTTCAAGAGCGATCCCCAAGATCCAAGTAGTTTGCGGAAAACTTATGCTTTTGGAGCCGGTAGAAGGATTTGTCCTGGTCAACATCTTGCTGAAAACTCTCTGGTGAGTCTTTTCCCTTCATTGTTTATCCTATTCTAAGTGTTGTCAGCCGCACATGCTTACACTAATTAGTTGATCAATATGGCTAAGCTTGTGTGGACTTTTAATTTGCTACCTGGTAGAGATTTTACCACTGGGAAGCAATTATCAATCTCGGAGATCGACGACTCTATTGCGACTGCGTGGACAAATGGTTTTCTTACGGCTCCCAAGAAATTTCCCCTTTCCCTGGTGGTGCGATCTCGTGAACATGAGCAAATCATTAGGCGAGAGTGTTTAGAGGCAGAAGAAGTCTTTAAGAATTACCAGGATTAACTGGATACTAAGGACAGGTTTGATAAAGCAAGCACTTAATTGATTATGGTATAACAAGTTTCTAAATAATATTCACAAGCGAGTTGATGAATAAACATTACAAAGTCACCTATCTTTCAGATTAAGCGAAGTAATATAGATGTTCTATCTATAGGTTTCCTACTACTGCGCTATTCATAAAGATAGCTATTAATATCTATTTAAAAGAGTATTTCTAGCTAATAGTATATATATATATATAAAATTACTTATAGATTTTATTATAATACTTAGTAGTAAATATAATAACTTACTACTAAGTATTTAGTACTTCTACTTGAATATAATTCTCAGTAAAAAATATTCTAATAAATAAGTTAATTAATTAGAAGATTAAGATTATTAGAAAGCTCATCAATGAAGTACCCTCAGCTGCTCTCAATATGCTCTAACTCTAAGTGGACTGGTGGCCGAGAACATCAGAATCTAAATATAACGGCAGCCCGAAACGATTGGCTAACTGGCAGGCAGCAGAGCAAATTTGCAGAGAGTATGTCACCGATCCATGAATTTCGGATGAACTCGCACTTACTGCACCAATCAAGTCTTACACTCACTCTCGAGTTGCCGTTCTGGGCCATCAACGGATACGAGCAAAAGTTTTCAGTTGCTCGACCAGACCAGAAAGTCAAATACATCGTCGTGCCAGAATTAACCTCTTGTAACGAAATCTTTACTACCTGCGATCTGCTCCGACAAATACCTCTGTGAGCAGTGTGAGCCATGTCCACAGAGCCTTGTCCGTGGGAGGAGACCCTCATCATCGCTGCTGCCAACGGAGACGCCACGGTACTATCAGATGAGTTGAGGAAAGGCAAAGATGTCAACTGTCGCGACACGGAGTTTGGGCGGACAGCACTGTCCTGGGCTGCCGAGAGAGGACACACCAGCGCTGTTCAGACCCTTCTTGATGCACAAGCCAAGGTTGATGCTCCCGATGCCCTTTTCGGTCGCACACCCTTGACCCAGGCCGCTGCCAACGGGCACGTGGAGGTGACTGAATTACTTCTGCGAGGCGGCGCCGACTTCAACGCTTGCGATACTTCAGGCGAAAGACCTCTTCTGCAGGCGTCCCGCAAAGGTCACGCCGCTGTCGCGAAGCTCTTGCTCGAAGCAGGCGCAGACCCCAATGCTAGAGCGTGGAAGAAAGGGCAGACATCTCTGTCCTTAGCTGCAATCTGCGATCATATTGACGTCGTCCGGCTGTTGCTGGACCACGGTGCCAACATAGATCTTGAGGACGATTGCACATGTCAACGCACGCCGATGATCTGGGCCGCAATCAATGGGCATGAGGCTATCCTTAAACTATTGCTGGAGCATAAAGCCGGCCTGGAAAATGAAGACAGCAAGCGAGGCATGTCTCCGTTGGCATGGGCCATCACAGAGGGAGAAGAAGACGCAACTGCCCTTTTACTGGAACGTTCTCTCAAGGGCCCCGTGCAATACTCAGCTATCCAAGCCGCAGCTACCACCCCCGGCAAGAGTGAGATTCTTTCAAAGTTGTTGGACGGATGGGACGTTGACGTCAACGGACGAGACTATGGAAGTTATACGCTCCTTGCGTTGGCAGCCAGGCACGGCTGCGATGAACAATTCCGAGTGGTTTTGGATAGAAGCGCAGACCCTCACATCCGGTTTACCGACGAAAGAACGATCATCTCCTTCGCTGCCGAAGGTGGCGCTTTAGAATCCGTCAAATTGTTATTGCAGAGTGGAGCAGACCTCAATCATCAAGATGACGTTGGAGCATCGCCTCTATCCCGGGCTGCTGTGGAGGGAGAACACGAGGTAGTGAAAATACTAGTTGAAGCTGGTGCTACATTAGATGCTCAAGATGAAAAGGGGCGTACGGCGCTTTTCTGGGCTGCAAAAAAGGAACACTCCGACGTTGCAAAGCTTCTCATCGACAGCGGCGCAAATCTGAATCTGACAGACAACAAATGGGCAAGAACGGCCCTCCATTTCGCAATCGAGAGAGAAAATGTCGAAGTAGCCAAGTTGCTCATTACCGCGGGGGCCTCTCTGGATATCAAGGATGGAGAGGGACGCGCGCCATTGTCTTATGCCGCCGAGCAAGGCCTCAAAGACGTTGTAGCCCTACTTGTCGAGAAAGGCGCCGACGTAAACATGCCCGATGATACCGAAGATGACGGCATGTGGGATACCATGGTGCCATTATCCTGGGCCGCAGCAAATGGTAATGAAGCTGTGATCGGAATTCTACTGGCGCATCATGCCTCAGTGAATCCAGATATTGAAGGGCGGCCACCTTTGATGCACGCTTTTCAAGAGGAAAAGGACGAGGCAATGAAAATTCTCCTCGATCATGGTGCAAACCCATTCGGCGGCGATTTCAGTGACGAATGTGTCTTGAGAGGAGTGGCAAAGTGTGGTCTGAAGGATATAGTAGAACTTTGTCTCAAACAAGAGGCTAGGTCTGTGGAGGTCAAGCAAGAATCGATCTGGTGGGCTCTTGTCGAAGCCTCACATAACGACCATGCAGAGGTAGTGGAGTTGTTACTTCAGCAAAACCCTTTCAGTTTTCCAATTGCGGACTTGACGCCCTGGGATCTTGCGGAGGACGAGGAGGTGCTGAGTCTGCTGCAGCCCTACCAGGAGGCCATACGGAAGCGCGTAGAGCAGGAAGAGTGAACAGGCCTTATAGATTAGATTCCGCCTAATTTGAAATTGAATGAGGATTACTCCAGTAACTTGTTTATATACCTCAGGACGACTCTTGAGCAAGCGTCAAATATGAATAAGTTCGACGAGTCTGCCATGCATATGTAGAATAGAAAATGGTAGAGGCTATGATGCCTCCATAGCTGATGAAAACGGGGTATTTGAAGTCCTCGGCTCGGAAATATACCGTGGTCGTGCAGTAGGAGAGCAGTTCGAAAAGGCTCTGGCACGCCATTTCGGTCGAGGAGAATTGCGCCCGGGATGAGGCAGGTACTGTCTGTGTCTATTGTTAGCTAATCACGACCAGATAGAGAACCTCAGAGTGCAATCGAAGCTCTTACCTCCTGAACAATGAATTGTATTGCAAGGTCTGATCCACAGAGGCCAATTCTCTTGAGAGTGATACCAATAGCCAACAGAATGCCAGATCCCTTGGTTACCATATCAGCAGCTAGGATCCGGCCAGCGAAAACGCCTATGCAAAGAAGCTGCCAGACCATGAAGCAGACACCGGATGGACCCGGCCCCAGTTTCGCCATGATTGCTGGCGATATGACGGTCCCCAGTGTTTCTGCGATAGTCGATGCGACGCGAAGGGAAGCCACCTCGAAGGGCGTAAAGCCTGTTGTCAATAGATACGTTATGGTTTGACCACCAAAGAAGAGGACAGTCCAGTAGAGAACTGCGTTGGAGAAGGATGCGAAGAAAGCAGGTGACCCGGCGTACTCCCGCCAGGGCTGAATGACATTGAAAAGCCACTGGCCTTTACCAGTGTCATAGGACGATCTAAAGGCTGCAGACCCATGATGAGAATCATGTTCAATCGCGATCCCCTCATCGGTAGCTGAGCTTGGTGAGTGAGCCAGCCCGGGTACTTCAGACCACATCTGGCTCATGACGCGAAACTCGACGAGCATAGAGCCAAGATTTGTGAACAAGACCGCCCATATCGCAGTCTGTGGAGACCACGAGTTGAAGAAGGAGATGATTAGCGGCGGGAGGAGTTTGCTAAAAAGCTCAATCCTCCGCAGTTGGGCATTGAGGCCATGCCTGGGAACCGATCCAGCCTCTGCAACAACGATGACCCAGTCGCGTTCAATGATGACGACGCTCGTTATGGAAGCCAGCTTTTCCACGCATCCAAAGCATGTCAAGACAGCAAAGAGGCTGTCTCGGAGGCGCGGATGCGCACCGAACAAAGGGAATAAGCTGAAGAGAAAGCATGAGGCTGCCACGGAAATCCTCTGGCATGCAATGGCCAGCTGGAGGGCCTGCAGCCGACTGAGTCGTCGTGTGCTTTGAGCGACCCACGAAGATAGCAGTACAGCGACGAGCGCCTTGGTGAGGCCATAAATAGAGATGTAGAGCAAGGTCCCAGGAATAGCATCAGTGAGGAAAAGGATCAGGCTGAAGTCCGATATCCGCATAGCCCATGTCGAAAGCAGCTGGACCAGGTACAGAGCCCGTACAGAGCTCTTCAGACCAGCGCGTCCCTGCGGCGGTAAGGGAGGTCCGGACAGATCTGTGAACGGTGGTCCTGGCCTGTGATGGTCTGCCGGGATATGTGATAGCTCAGCCATGATAGAGAGAAGATGCAGCTAGTCAAGTCTTGGTGACTAATGACCATCTGACCTGAGGATGACTCCAAGGTTCCGTTGCATTCAGCCAACTTGTCGCTAGACTCTGAACATAGGGTGTGGCTCTGTAACTCCCTGCTGAAGACTCGGGCAATGTGGCTACCAGTCGCCTGGATAAGTGCCCTATTGATTAGCCGATTGATAGCCTACAAGTTCCGACCCTCTGTTAAACGAGCTGTTCTGTATTCATCTGTCGGATTTGGCAGTAGGCATGGTGTCTAGAGCGCTGTTGCTGGTGAAAGAGTGCTGTGTGCCTCAAAGTGAGCACAATTGAGCAAGTTTTTACGCGCCACGTGAAAAATCAGTGGAGGTGAGAGGTGTGGTTGATTTGAACTCGTGGAACTCCGACCTGTAGACCACATAATTACACCCAAGATTAGCATTTAGACAACATTGAACAAATAAACATCAACCACGGTGCTCATCTAGCATACACGGCTTCCGTTTTCGATCCGCTCGAGATCACGTACCGTCGCATCAGCATGGCGTCCAAACAGGCTAGAGTGGCCAAACGCTACCCGGCTCAGGCCTATATTTAGCAATGATTGACTTAGAAGAAGGTCTGTGATGGAAATTCTAGGTTCTTTGTTTATGATCCTGGCTGGCACACTTGTTTACAGTGCTTCGGATCAAGGAGCAACAGAAAAATTAAAAGCCTGGCATGGTTTGTGTCATGCAATGATAGCCACTTTGGCTTGTTTGACCGTTTAAATTAGATCTCAAGGACAAAAGATTGCATTCGCCAGTGCATAAGATCTCACGAAGCCCAGGAGATAACGAAAATATCTGAACAGAGTTGACTCCAATAAACATATAATATCAACAGACTATCTACCCACACTATCAATATGTCCTTAATCTGAAAACAAATGAGAGTTCGAGTAAAAATTAAAACCAAACTGAAAAATACCAGACCAACATCTCGACACATGAATACGATCCTTTATGCCAAGAATATTCCAATCTTTCAAGCATCACCCATCAGCCTAGAAATACCAACATCAAAAGGACACTGATTGAGCAGATGCCACCGAGGCTCAACATCGGGCGGATTTGTCGCGAGCCAGCTGAAGTTCCAGATGCGGTTGCTGACGGCGCAGCTGACGTGGACCCAAGCCCAAATCCAAATGTTGTTCTTGATGTCGCAGTCCGGCTGTCGATTGAAATCGGTGTAATAGCTGCTTGGCTTCCTATGACACTTGTCGAGGTTGACAATGTTGTGGAAGTTGGTTTCGATGTAGGTGTCGCAGACGATGGTGTTATTGTCTTATATTTAGTCTTCGTGGCAATTGACGTCAGCCTGGATGTTGAAGTTGGCTCAGGTACTGAAACTGTGGAATGAGTTAGTCTATAGTCTATATGCTTCAACCGACATGATTCTATCCGGGAATCGACACGCATGTGCTACTTACTAGGCCAGGTAGTGCGATACCACGTTGCTGGGATAGGAGGATCCCAATCTGCAGGTAAGCATTCATAAAACAAGTGACTGGTAGCTGTTGCAGTCTGACTCGCGAAAATGGTAAATACGCCACATTTATTATCGCCAGTGCTGTTTTGTTAGTTTCAAGGTACCAAAAGCCAAAGGCCAGGCAAAAGTATCAGAAACACTCACCATGCTGTACTTGATTGCTTTGGATATTGTACGTAATTATTGGAGCATCCTGTAGGCAAAACGACAGTAGAATCCGTGGTTTTCCAACATCCCGCAAAGGTTCCAGAACTGGTATATGCCGATGGGCTTTCGCAAATTATTTGTCCCCCTATATAATAAATTGGTTACAAGTCAGCCAATGGATAATTTTGAGGGGAGAGGGGAAGTAACTGACAATTATCAACACCAGGTCTGGAAAAGTACGCCCCGATCTGTTCGTCTTTGATATCGTCTCTCTCATCAACTGTGGGAGCAAACGATGGAACAGCCGTTATGGTCTGGGGGTTGCTGTCTTCAACCGATACAAACAGCCGCGGGGCCATCGTCTGTATTGAGAGTGCGCAGCGGGCATGACCTTGAAGAGACAAGAATGTGAAGAACCCCAAAAGGCTTTTGGAGGAGAGACTGATGGAAAAAGGCATGATGATGACTTGAGGGTTTGTAGTAAAAGAGTAAAATAGCTAATCATGGAAAGCGTGTAGATTGCTTTCATTTTCTTGGGGAGAGAAGGAATCATTTATACTCCAGAATCCGCGGACGGCATCACTCGTGGATCACCAGATGCGGCGCTTATTCGAAATAGAAATCGACTGACCGTGTCTGCCTTGCCTTTCCTGCGCGAGATTTTGGGGTCCGGCGGGGCGCAATGGGTTGCAAGCAAGACGAAAAAAAACAACTTCACAACCAACATGCATAAGATGGAACAGTCTAAGAGTGAACCCCCATCGATGCTGCTCGAGCTAAGCACCAACAGACTGTCTGGTGGGCCAACAGGGGTTGCAACTAGTTTCTCTTCTCTGAGCACGTACGAGTACAAACATTGAATAGAAGCGTATGTTATTTCAAGTGAGTCAATCCGTTGAAGAAGATGGGACAAATAATATAATTGCTTCAATCAGCTACTCTTTAACAGAGTCAGGCCAGTTCCCGTTGATGTGTTCCTTGTTTCGGTATCGAACGGCGCTCGCAAGGATCTCAGCCCAGTTCGGCATCAGACTGGACCCCAAAGACGCATCCCCAGTCTCGACCAGGGAGAGTCGTATTCTTTTAACCAACAGTTGACAGGGGCAGATTCCTTCATCCACACAAGTGCCCTTCAGTGGGCCAAGTGCCGAGCAAATGCAACGCACTTGGCGCTTATTCTGTCCATCCCGCCAATAAGGTCCCGGGAGTCGCCAGCGCTTAGCCAGAGCCTCCCATTGACATCGAGCGTTCGTGCTTGGTCTAATTTCCTGGACTTCATGCTCTTGCTTCGGCGCCAAAAATTGATGTAACGGCTTGCGGGAACACACCAGGATCTTTTGGGGATCCATCCGGCTTTGAGCACATCAGTGGCGGCAGTGACAGCAGCCACCCAACAAGATGTCACACACACATCGAATGGCAAGTTTATTCCTAATTAAATTACACCGTCAAAGTAACCGCAAGTCCAGCCCACCTGCACTCCAGCGTCTATTCTCAAGCCGCTCATGCACGAGTGCAGCCCACTTCTGCGCAGAACCAGTGCTTCACATTTGCCATCTAAGGCGAACGCAATCATCTCCTTGATGCGGACATTGACAGCGCTTCCCGACGGCTTCCACCAGAACCTCATGGGAGGTTCTATGTACGTGAGCATTTTGTAAGGGCAAAAAGAGAATAAAGCGTGGTTTCGCCCGGGCTCGAACCGGGGACCGTCTCGGTATAAAGAGAATATGTTAGCGAGAAATCATGACCAACTAGACCACGAAACCTTTAGATCTGTCGCTTGGAAGCGTGGCAGCGTGAGGACACGCTCATATCGTCTGAGAGAATCATAGTCTTAGCGGTCACTCATGTTTGGGAAGTGTCCATTCTGTATCCGGAATCCGAAGGCCCAAGATGTTGTTATTGATACCCTTTCCCGCTTTGGCAGGTGCCTGTTCACAATTTCCTGGTGAAAACTCCCAGCAATGACACAGAAGTTGGTGTTCTCAGAGATTAGCAAAGTCGCCCTCCTCTCACAGATGGATCACAACAGATCACCAGTAAGCCTCAGTAATCCCCCTTGTGTGTATATATACATTCATTTCATTAGCTAGAAACGCTTTCTTAGACAGTTATGAATACAATCGCTACCGTCTTCATTAAAACTAGCTTCTCAGTACTCATGCATTAACAATAACTTACACAGCACCGAGACAACCTGATCATCCCACTCAGTACAAATCTAATTAGGTTTACATCTCTGACCTACCCTGGACCTCCGTCCAGTGTAACTCAACAACCATTCTGAATATAAAAAAATCATTTTCAGTTTCTCAATCTGTAATGGATTCAAATGGATTTAGAAAAAAGGCTTTTCCAAAAAAAAACCGAGTTTTTAAGTCTCAAGCTAGTAACTTTGATGTAAAATACTATACATGTAGAGTAGAAATAATGGCGACAAAGTTTCACAACCTTGCCTTACCAAGCTTGATGTCGGTCCATGAAGTGGTGTCAATCTGACGATACTTATTTCCATTCAACCAATAAACTTTGTCTCCCTGGTTTTCTTCGGGATCCCAAGAGAGGGTCTTCATGCCCGCACTTGACTGCTTGAAAGTAGCAGTTGTGTCAATGCTATCATCGCGGAGATTAGTTTACAATGCTAATAGGTATAGTAAGTGGAGCGTCTTACGAGGCTCGGAACCGGATAAGTCTGGGCATCTGGTACAAGGCTAGACCACGGGCCTGTAAGCGATCAAACAGAGTGCTGGTGAAAGAGTCCTCGGTAGATGGGTCGACTAATGTAATGGCGGCAGCGCCAGCCTGACCATCATATCTGCAACCCCAGGTTAGACAAATGATCAGTGGTACCAGTGGTACTAGAACTAACAAAACTTACCCTGGGAGTTTGACGGCATACGCTGAGCAAGCCTTCACACTGTCGAGCTTCTCAATATGCTCACGTACTTCGCTAGCGCTGACGTTTTCGCCTCGCCACCTGAAAGTATCACCCGTACGGTCATGAAATCTGATCCAGCCATTACTCTGGCGGACAAGAAGGTCTCCCGTCCGTTGGAACAAGTCGCCCTTCTCAAAGACGTCAGAAACTAGCTTGGCTTGCGTTGCTTCCTCATTATTATGATAGTTGTTCAGGAGATCTTTGGATCGCACCCGCCCAATAGCCTCCCCAGGTTCGTCTGCCTTGGCGGGGACACAGAATCCCGTTTTGGGGTCCCGGTAGAGAGCACCGCTCTCGGTGTCGTATTTGACCAAGAAGGTTGTATCTTCAGCTCTCGCCTTCACAGGACCGGCATACCCGACCTTTCCAGCACCGCTCAGAAGACGCGTATAGTTGTCGAACTTTGCAACACCCTCCGTAGAGCGATAGATTTCTCGGACCTCCAGAATGTTGAATCGTTGTACAAACTGTCGCCATACGTCGGCACTGAGGCCGTTACCCATGGCCACGATACACTTGTGTGCCCGGTCATTTGGCGAATTAGGCGCTCTGAGGAGATACCTACAGAGCTCACCGACGTACAGCATCCGGGTGGCACCGGACTTTACGAGTTCGTTGGAGAATTGTGACGCCGAGAACTTGCGGGCAAGACAAAGTGAGCCTGAAATCCCGGCGCTGTAATAAACGCCTGTGAAGAGCGCTGTGGCATGGAAAAGAGGTAGACAGGAGTAGGTCCGGAGGGGCAGATAAGTCCGAGGCTTCTTAGCATCAAGCGGAAGCGTTGTTGAAACCAGGACAAGTAGGAAATTCTTGACCGCAACGGCCTTTGGCTTGCCGCTTGTGCCCGAGGTGTAAACCAAGACACCGACGTCTTTGAGAAGGCGCTTGGGTGGTGTGAGGGCGCAAACTATAACGTTTACAAGGTCCTCGTAACGGACCACGGTGATGCTAGCATTAGCGCATGTCTCCGGAGATAGTTGAAGAGGGGGGAAAGACGACAAAGACAATGAGAGAATTGGCGGCGTGGTGGTGGTACTCCCTTCCTCTACGATAGCCGCGACAAGATCAGGTGTGCAAATCATAAGCTTTGCATTCACGATGTCGAGGCAATGCTGAAGAGTGTGATCTATGGATGGGAGAGTGGTGAGGTTAGCCAGTGTGATATGGTGACAAATGGAATTACGAACGTACTTCTCAATGCCGTATTTATCAGCGCGGGCACGGCACCAAGTTTGGACACCGCTGCCAAAGCGACAATCATCTCGGGCGAGTTAGAAGTCATAAATGCCACCGTGTCACCGCTGACAATACCCCTCTCTTGGAGTAGAGCAGCTAGTTTGGTAGACTCTGCACACAATTGTTAGGTGCCAACAGCCGGTGCAGTTCCATCGGTATGAGGCATACCAAGAAGTATTTCCGCAAAGGTCCACCGTCGACCTTCAAACCAGAGGGCTTCTGCCTCTCTATCAGCAAGTTCGAGCATGCGGTGCAAAGAAAAGTTGCCGCCCAGGGCCTGAATGCGCTGTGCAAGACATTTTTGGAAGGCTTTCTCATGACGAAGCTGATTTATGTCGTATGTCACTCCGTAGTGATTGTTTGCGTATACCGCTCCGAACAGAGCAGCAGCCACAGATGAAGCTGCGATGGCCGCCTTTTTCGAGGGCCCCTTGATTGAAATCATTGGGGGAGCCATGTCTCATAGAATCGAAATTAGTCCACACGATTGTGACTATGATGATGATGCTGATAGTTAATCCAAGCCGACGAAGAACTGCGAAGCGAAGCAGTCGATATGCGGAACCTGTTTATATGTCCACTGCAGCCTTGTAAAGCTCGGTAAAATGGACAGCCTTTTTGTTGAAGAGATGCCGAAGGTAGGAGCCGCGGCCTTTTGTTTACGTGGGGCTGGGATAACCCATCTGTCCAAACAGCCGAGCCACATCACGCTGGGGGCTGGCTTATAAGCATCCACATTGTTCACCCACGCAGTCTCTGATGAAATTACCTTTTGTTATATCACTGTTCGGAACACTGTGAAACCTATAGAACCCAAGAAACGAGCATGTCTTCGCCGACTCAACGCATTGGACACATCTCAGGGCACCTACAGAGCACTGCCGGTCCACATGTCAGTGCTGCCGTGTCGACACTGCTGAGCAAAAACCCCAAAGATGTCGTGAGTATCTTTCTTTTGCTAATGAAACTTGACCCGAGACAGCCCTAAGACTGAATGCAATTCATAGGTCTTTAGTCTTGCGTTGCGAACCCCTCTAACCAAGGCGCGGAAAGGATACCTCAAGGACACCCCTCTTGAGGGGTTGTTGGTGCCCACATTGAAGGTACGTGGGGCCCCAAAGATGGCATGCAATCTGCTGCACTTGCCTGCCAGTGCATGTTGAGGTCTGACAAGCAGAAAGGCTGTTGTGGAGAGATCCAACTTGGACCCGAAGCTCGTCGAAGAAATTGTCTTGGGCAACGTCTTACACAAAGATGCAGCTTTCATCACGCGTGCAGCGGGACTTGCTGCCGGTTTCCCTGCAACGACTGCTATATCTACCGTCAGTCGATGGTGCTCCTCTGGCCTCTTGGCCGTCGAGGCAGTCGCCCAGAAGGTGGCTTCTGGAAGTATCGATATTGGTGTCGCAATCGGCGCTGAGAGCATGAGTACCAACCCAGATACAGGCGCTCCAAAATTCCCCGATGAGTTTTTGGGGAAGCCTACAATCAGAGACTTGACTGAACTGATGCCCTGGACGTCGGAGAATGTTGCGCGAGACTTTTGCATTTCCCGACAGCGACAGGATGAATATGCCGCTGCTTCTTATCAGAAGGCTGAGGCAGCTCAGAAATCCGGTCGCACAGCCGAGGAGATCTTGCCGATTACCACAACGTGGAAGGACCCAAAGACTGGCGTCACGAAGACTGTGACCGCTGACCATGATGATGGCGTTCGGCCTGGAACGACAGTAGAGGGACTGGCCAAGATCCGATCAGCGTTTCCCCAGTGGCCTCCTGCTACTACTACGGGTGGTAACGCCTCGCAGATTACAGACGGAGCTGCTGCAGTCCTTATAATGCGACGTGAAGTTGCCGAGAGGCTGCAGCAGCCGATCCTTGGCAAGTTTGTGCTATCCACGGTCGTTGGACTGGAGCCTCGCATCATGGGCATCGGGCCATCAATCGCTATCCCCAAACTACTGGGGAAGCTGGGGATCTCTAAAGACGAGGTTGATATCTTCGAGATAAATGAAGCTTTTGCTTCAATGGTAAGGATCGCTTCCATTTCCTCAAGCAAACGTTTATCTATCAGAACAAGTAGACTAATATTCACAGCTCGTCTACTGTACAGAAACACTTGGAATTGACCCACGACGACTTAATCCTCGAGGTGGCGCCATGTAAGACCCGAGCATCCATTAAGAGCGACAGTTGACCAGAGTTAGCTAACATTGGTATCAATCGCAGAGCCTTTGGCCACCCGCTCGGTTGCACTGGAGCCCGGCAGATTGTCACGGCCTTGTCGGAGTTGAAGAGTACTGGCGGCAAGATTGCTGTAATTTCAATGTGTGTTGGAACTGTAAGTATCTTCCACGTGCTCTTCTCGGCCTTCGTAGCTAACTATACGATTAGGGAATGGGAATGGCAAGCCTGATTGTATCAGAGCAGTGACACGAAGCTGAAAGCATGTAGAATCTTTGGCTCCTGTGTACACTAGGTCTAGAGAGCAATATCATTCCCCTTTACATGCCCGAGCAAGCATTCGGAGGAGTAGCAAGGCCGCTGTAATTGATTAAGGTCACTAGATAAGAGACTGTTAGGTAAGGAAGCCTCCTAAGGAGAGAAAATGCCGTTGCAACAGTCTGAACGGGGGAGGCGCGTTGGCTATTGGGGTCTACAGGTGCATTTCATTTGCCCCCGTAACATTAGCTACGTCGGACCAATGATCGATAGCAGCTACAGAGGTATCTCCATAGGAAGACGACTCTTACGTGCGTTAGATCCCCAGGAAATTCCCCAGGTTCGGGACCCTGGGATTCATAGTCGTGCGGGTAGATCCCCACATCGACCCCCTCTTCCACGGCCACAAGTGAAGAGTGTATCTATGTGGAGATAGATCGTTAAAACGCGTAGGCTCAATTCTATTCTTTGTCTCTTCCTCCTTGTTGCAATTTGCAATGAGGAAAATATAACCACACGCAAGATGACGTCGTCTCCCAAAGCCAAAGACACAGAAAATGCAGTCACCAATACCTTCAAGAAGAGGCGACCACGGGCCTCCAAGGCCTGCTTAGAGTGTCGTCGGCGGAAGGTCAGATGCGACGTCCTGGCGCATGGTAGTCCGTGCTCCAATTGCGCGCTTGATGAGGAGATGTGTATCATCGCTGCCAGAGCTTCGAAAAGGTATTACCATGGCTCGAGTCTAGTTCCACCTGGAAGCAGTGCAACTTGGCTAAAACGAAAGTTCTACAGAACCACCAACAAGAAACCTCGCCTTCAGATGAATCCTAGCCAATTGTCCGAATCTCAGGGCTCAAGGCCCTCACACGAACCGGAAAAGCATGAAGCCAGCGCGGCTACTGATACGGTGACGGTCACACGCATCGACGCGGACACCCATATACTGACCGGCAGCGCAAATGATCTTGAAGACACCTCCGTGCTAAGCTTACCAGGCATTAACGAAGGCTTTACCGCACTCCGAGAATCCAAAGTGTCCACCGGCGGAGCTTCAAGCTCTTCATCAGCCCCTAGAGCCGAGCCAGGTCAGATTACACGGTCGTTATGCTCCGTCTTTCAACAGAGGGAGCATATGTTTACAACCACTGTACCAATCTCCGCCTACCGCTTTCTTGGGGTCGGCAATTTGCATAAGCTTCCGCCAGAAGATATCAATTATTTGGAGCTCAAGCACTGCCTCCGAGTACCATGTCGAGTTTTTCTGGACGAGTTTGTGCAGCAATATTTCCGATACGTGCATCCTTTCCTGCCATTAATCAATGAAGCGTCATTCCATAAGATCTACGATGGCAGCGACGAGCAAGACCAGGCCAACACTGCAGGTACCTTCTCTGTGCTCGTGTTACAGGCGATGCTCTTCACTGCCTGTAGTTTCATGTCGCCTAAGACACTCAGGCGACTGGGCTTCAGTTCCGTCAAGGCGGCCCGACGCACCATGTTTGAGCGCGCCAGACTACTCTACACCTTCGAAGTCGAAACATCAAGACTACATGTCGCCCAGGCTAGTCTTTTGCTTTCATATTGGACCCCGGCCTCGGAAGACGTATCCAGCAGACCAAATGCAGCTTGGTTGAGAATCGCTATTGAAAAGGCGAAGCAGCTCAGGGCTCATCAAGCAGTCTTCGAGCCATCTAACCTGGTGGAACCAGCCGACAAACACTTCAACAATTCGCTGAAACGACTATGGGCCTGCTGTATTGTCCGCGACGGTACAATGGCCATTTCATCGAGAAGGCGTTGTCAACTGACGCCAGGTGAGTTGGAGCAATCAACTGCATTTTCTTTGAGGTTTGAGGACTTGCAGGATGAGATCCGTCGGTCCAAAGTATACGTCCCCCAGGTCAAAATGCGCCTACTTGAGATCTTTTTAGACCTGGGTGAGTTGTGTGTTCAGATCGCTCAAATGTCGACGCTACTATTTCCCTACGACACAAATCAGTCTGTGGTCAACAGAATGAGCAACCCCGTGAAAGAGACTGCTAGTCTCATCTCGTGTCAGACAGATTTGGAGCGCTGGCATGCGAGGACGGCTGGCAACCACAACAATCATTGGCATGATGGCCGGCCTTGCGCCGATCAGCCGATGGACGACCATCCTTCCTTGGGACTCTTCCAAAATCTACAGCGGATTTATTACTAGTAAGTCGACTACATCATTGGAGTAGGGCTCGAGAGCAAGCTAATCTCTGACCAAGTGCTATAGCTCGGCAAAGATCGCGGTGGCAAATAGACAGATACTTTTGCACTACGAAGCGAGTACAGCTCATACGCGTGATTTGGTAACCCTCCGTGGTAGGGTCCAAGAGGCAACATCGTGTGCCACCGAATGCCTCTACACTCTGGCGAAGCGCCGCCTCATCCAATTTCTACCTGCTAGCATGTGAGGCTCCTTCATCATCATGGGTGTAAAAAACCAAAAGAAGCCAAGCTGACTCCTCCACGTTGTAGTTTGCCTTGCATAGCGTTGCTCTACACCCTCAGCACAGCGAAGAACGGCCGAGAGAATCCATGCACCTTGCCAAGCTCTGAGGAGAACATCTTCTTAGAGGCCATGAAAATCTATCAAAACCTCTACGAAGGAGTTGAAGGACTCACAGAAGTCATCAGCTCCATCGTGAACCAGAAACAGTTTATCCGCGAACCGGACTTGGGACTTTCCCTTTCATCCCGGCGTATGAAGACCCAAATTAGGGAAAACCAACTACCTATCGAGGACTACGCCAAACTGGCCTTGACGATAGACCTCACTCTCTCGACAGGATACACGACCTGTGAAGGAGAGCTTTCCAAAACGATTCGGTGGGTCATGAAGCACACAGTCGGAAGGTCCCCAACCACAGCATCGTTTGAGCAAAGCCCACTTGAGAGCGCCATGTTGAAGTTGCTGGAAACGTCGAATGGTCATCATCTTGATCAACTGGGTGAGGTGAACGAGGCACCTTCTTCAAACTATCAACAAAGCACTTCATCATCCGATTTGGATCCGTCTTCAACCTGCAGTCTGGATGATTCTGTGATCTTGCAAAACAATGTCATAGCCGGGGTTGAGGGGTTCCATGACAACGATTTGGAGGTACTTGACGCTGCCTTTTCCGACTTACAAAACTTGGAATGTAGCGAGTTCATCGATCCAAATGACACTATATTCAATTACCATAGCTTAGGGTTTAACTAAGAGGCGAATGATATTCTATATTGAGGACTACGTACAGCAGAGAACGGGGCAAATAACACATGGATTCTATACATCCACAGAATTTGGGAAATGATTGTGATATTGAGTTGATGTTCAGTAACCGTCATACACTCACAACTTTTCACATGTTAATCATACATCATCCGGTTAGTAGCTCGTATTGAATTCCATCTCCAAGGCTAAATCTTCCAAAAGCAAGATCATTACCATATATAACAGGACGGACATCTCATTAACTCCGCAATAGACCAAAGCTGGTCACTCTCAGCCTTGCCGAGAACCTGCTGTGTGCAGGGTAGGAGTAACGGCGTTGGTGAGAATGGGCGGCATTGCGGAGGTAAGTGGGGGGTCAAAAGATACGGAGCAATTTCGGTAGAATATAAGCCGGAATCCATGTGGGACAATGTGGGACAAGTGGGAAAATGAGAGAATGTGGATAAATGCCCGGTTATTGCAGACCCCACGGAGGCTCCCCTGGGAGGAGGGGATTTTCAGGTGCCAGAACATAAAGAGAATAACGGTTGTTCCTACAGATTAGTGTGTCAGCCTCTGGGGATTCATAGCTAGACTGGTAGCATTTATTGGTACGGGTTAGAGTAATTTATTAAATAGGTGATAAATAACTTTATTTTCTAAGTCAATGAAAGAAATGTAAATAATTGGGCAAGCCAAACCTACAAGACGAAGCATTCTAAAGATGAGAAGACGGAGCCGGTTCCAGAGTCGCAGCCGCTGCACTCAAAGCTCTCTTTCCAGTTTCCGCAACAGATGTCTGGAAAATGATTTTACCCGATTCTCGCCACATCTCGGTCCTCAATGTTTGACCCGGCAGCACGGCACTCGTAAACTTGCCCTTCAGGTCCTTGAAAGAACCGTACGTCTGATAGACATGCTTTCCTGCCATACCGAGGGTGCACAGCCCGTGCAAAATGGGAGTATTGAACCCCCCCTTCTTGCTAAAATCAGGATCAATGTGCAATGGATTGAGGTCCCCATTCAAGCGATAGAGCGCCGCTTGTCCCTCCGACGTCTTCTCCTCAACAACATGATCAGGTGATCGCGAAGGTGGTTGGTTTCTGGCTGTCGCGGCTCCTCGGTCTTGAAGCTGCCTATCCCCCCCAAAGCCGCCACCACCGCGAACGAGAACTGTGGTTTCATTGTAGAAGATTTTAGACTTCTTGTCATCTACTGTTGTGAATCCCTGAACGACCAAAACATCCTTGCCTTTGTCCACGACCTGAATGAGCTTCGGATATGTTGTCAACGTACCCGAGCGCGAGATTGGGGAGTGGATTTCAAGATATTGGTCCACGTGGAGCAGGAGTCGCTGGTCGTATTCCGACATGATATCTGACATCTCGTACGGAGCTTCGGAGTTGAAGAAAGGAATCAGTCCGAATACGGGCAGAGCGCCAAAGTCCTGATGCCCCTCGAAAACGTGTGGCAAGTCCGTGTGAGGTATGCCAAGAGAGAGGGCGTACAAGATCAAATCACGCTGGGTGTATGAGTAGCTTGTGCCCTTGGATATGGCAGCTTTGGCCCTGGAGATATTGCCAAGCACGTCCTTGTGAGTGATCTTCAGTTGCAATTAGCCAACGCCGTGCGACGTGGGAGAGGAGCGGTTCTTAATGGCTGGCTTACCAATGATGAGTTTGCCTGCCTGGACAAAATTCGGGCGTGGTCTTCGCGTGACACTGGATAGTCTTTGGTGGATGCCTTTAAACCTGACAACAAGGCGGCGATTTCTTTTCCTGTGGCCGTGTCGAGGGGTGCCTTGGTCGTAGAATGCAGCATCTCCCAGCGTGTCTGTCCAAACCACCCACTTCCCACCTCGTACAGACCTCCAGTAGCGGTTGCAGGAGTCAGATGGCTGCACAATGCGGTCAATAGAGGTGCGACGTGCGCTGGATCGAACATCTTCGCAACATCGTCACTGAGAATACTCTTCGTCATATTGGTACCTGCGTTTGGAGCTATGACATTGACAAGAATGTTTCGAGAATTTCCCTCCTGGGCTAGAGCGTTGGTGAGGCCAATGATGGCTGATTTCTAAACTGGGCGTCAGTTTCCGTATCAAAGCGTACCTCGAACGGCTTGTGAAGTCTAGGTATGGCGAATACTCACAGCTGCGGCGTAGTTGGCTTGACCGAACTGGCCGTAGATGCCTGTCACGCTGGTTGTATTGATAATCCGTCCGTATCCTTGACGGAGGAAGTAGGGCCAAGCGGCTCGAGAGTTCGCATATGTAGCTCCAAGGTGAACCGATAAGACCTTGTCCCACATGTCTTCTGTCATATTGTGGAATGCTTTGTCTCGTATGATGCCTGCATTGTTAATCACTACATCAATGCGGCCAAAAACATTCAAAGTCGCCTGGACGTTCTTTTTCCCATCTTCAGCCGATGTGGTAACACAAGCAGCCGTTCCGCCGGATCGTCGGATATCGTCAACGACAGACGAGGCATCAGAGATATCGTTAATCATAACGGATGCTCCAAGAGAGGCAAAGTGACGGGCATACCCTTCTCCAAGCCTGAAAAAGCACCATTAGAACACTTGTTCCCAGCGACAGGAGGATAATAAGGAATGGCAAAAAGGACATACCCAGACCCCCCTCCGGTTACTAGCACGGCTGTCCCCTGGAATGAAATTGGAACGCCTTTGTCATTGGGTGGTAGTTTGAGCCCTTCCTTTTGGAGCTCCAGGAATTTGTTCGGACCTGATGGATACTCTGAAAGGCCAAAATCGCTAACTTCGTGCCAGCGCTGTAGTATCGATCCTGGAGTCAAAGTTGCGTCGGCGCGAAGCAACAGGCCTCTAGCTCGCTGTCGATGGAAAGAGGCCGCTTTGCCTCGGCTAAACTCGAAGACAAAACCGTTCTCCTTCGTATTATCTTGATGAACAAGGTATGCGATGGCCGTTGCCGTGGAACTAAGACTGGCTTGTTCTTCTGCATAACCAAAGCCAGATGGCGGCGTTAGCAAGGGCTTCGGATGGCATGTAGTAACATAAGTCTCAGTGTAGCTAGACATACCAGGAAGAACGATGACGTTTGCAAGTATGTTTTTCTTGGCGCCCTCTCGAGCAAGAGTGTAGGTAAATGCGATCTTGGAGTGGCTCGACGCTGTTGGATGTCGATTAGAGGGGAATCGTATCTCAGTCAGTTTCCAGGAACATACCAGAGTGGACGGATTGTCCCGTAGCTCCAAACAGCGCGACAGCGGAGGAGGTATTTATGATCCGCCCATAGCTTTGCTGGCGGAATTTCTGCCACGCAGCGTGTGTGATCTGCGGCAAGAATTAGCCTTTGGTCTGTAGATGAGGTCTGCCCGAGCAAGATTCAAGGGGACCGCCGTGCCTTGTAGGTTCCCTTGATGAAACGTTCAGTAGCGCCGGACCACTCCGCATAATCAATATCTTCAAATCTCTTGGGTTGGGAAGTGACATTGGCGGCGTTGATGAGGATGTGCACCGTTCCGTAGGTGGCAACGGCCTTCTGAATGATCTTGTCGCCCTCGAGGATGCTATCGGAGTTCGCAACTGCTGCACCCCCATTCTTCGTAATCGCGTCGACTAGTCGAGCGAGCTCCTGATGGAGTATGGTTCAGCTTGGATCTTGGAAGAGCAGAAATTGCTTGCCTAGGGCTGATTGTTGCTTACATTTGCGCGAACTTGTGCGTCGTGAACAACGACCGAAGCACCTGGTCCCGGAAGTTAGAATCTGGGAAGCACAGCAGAAAGAATGCGAGACGTAGGCATACCTCGTGAAGCTAGCACTTCAGCGCACTTCTTTCCCAGCCTAATGCGCGTCAATCATTCATCCACCGAGTCTTGGGACTTTACTGGATGCTATTGACTCACCCTTCAGCTGCGCCGGTGACAACGGCAACCTTGCCAGCGAAATCCAGATCAGCCATGTTTGTAGCTCTGCAAGGGTCTCCAGAGCGAATAGTATGTGACTAGATTGTACCGAAAATCCAATAGAAGTTTCGGTTCCGTTACAGCTCGATAACTTGATTTAAACGAACGTCGGGGAGAGTGACCGATCATGTGGGGAGGTTCAGTTGGTGGGACAAAGCCCCACGAAGAAGGAAATGCCGTGACTGAAACCGTACCGCGGCCCTCGGTTCCTGACAAAAGTCGAAGTACGAAGGAAATTGGCCGTCAGTCATGACTCTATCGAAGATGCTATTCTTAGATCCAAAGAGCCGTCGCATCCCCGAATTCATAAGATGTAACTCAAGTCACATTATAGTATTCTGAAGATGTATCAAATGGCCAAAAGAGTAAATGCTTGAATAGTAGTGATATCAACTTCGAGAACTAATCGGTTTGGGGGGGAAAAGTATCGTATTGCACCTCCTCCAAAGCACTATGACACATAGTCTACAACCACAACTCATTGGAGCTCTTATAGCTTGGCGACAGGCGGCGATGACTTGTAGTGATGGATCATCTTCCGTTTGAGATAGGAATTGATGCCGTGCTTGCCCCATTCTCCACCTATTCCTGATTCCTTGTGGCCTTCAAGGTATGCTTGAGGAAGGGGTCTCTCGAAGCCATTAATCCAGATGGTACCAGCTTCAACCTTTGATGCAAGCCGGTATGCGTAGTCGAGATCCTTTGACCAAACAGTGCCTCCCAATCCTGTAGACGTATCGTTCACGCGCGCAATAAGATCGGCCTCATTCGACCATCGCAGCAAAGGAACGATTGGTCCTGTTGAGAGAAGGAGTGTGCGTTAGCTTCTGTTGGACAAAGGCCAGGTTAGAGGAGGGATTAGACCTACCGAATGCTTCCTTCTGAACGACCGCGGATGAATCAGGCGGACAATCGATTATCGCAGGTGAGATTAAGAAGCTGTTCGGATCAGGCTTCTGGTCCCCCCCGAGTGCAAACTTGTATCCATTGCGGGCTGTGTCCTCGAAGATGGACCTAACCACGTTGTACTGCATCTCATTCTGCACAGGCCCCAGCATAACGCCCTCGAGGGAAGGGGGCCCGACCTTCCAGTTCTTGACGACGTCCACCATTGCCTTGAGGAACTCATCGTATATGTCCCCATGAACATAGATCCGCTTGCTGGCCACACACAGCTGTCCAGAGTTGAAAAAGGCACCAAGAGCCACCTGAGGAGCAACCTCGCTTATGTTTATGTCAGGACAAATGATGCTTGCATTGTTACCTCCAAGCTCGAGAGTGACCTTTTTCAAGCCGGCAGACGCTGAGATCTTCTTGCCTGTCGCTGTGGACCCAGTGAATGTAATCTTCTGGATGCCTGAATGACTGCATAGAGCAGGTCCCAGTTTGTCGTCGCCGTGGATGGCTTGCAACACCCCAGGAGGAAGGGTGTCCATCACGATGTCCACAAGCTTCAGAATACTATAGGGTGTGAAAGGCGATGGCTTCAAAATGATACAATTACCTGTAAGCAGCGCTGGCGCAATCTTTCCGACGGCTAGCACCAAAGGGTAGTTCCATGGACAGATAGCACCAATAACGCCCAAGGGCTCATGATATAAGGTCAGGCGCAGGCTTTTGTCGTCTTGGACAACCTCGGGCTTGGGTTCCTCACATCCACCTAGTTTCCAAGTGCCATAGTTAGACTTGAATCTCAGAGATAAAGTAGAGAACCGCTGGGCAAAGGAGCTTGTGACGCACTGTAGAATTCGAGAAAGTCCAAAGCGTGTTGGACCTCGAGATCACCAAATTGAGGTGGCTTCCCACCTTCAGAAGAAATGAGTCGTGCCATAGATGGCCTATGCTGAAAGAGAAGTGATTGGATCTGGCGTAGATGTGCCTGACGATCCTTCCACGACAGATGCGACCACTCCAAGAACGCAATTTGGGCTGCTGTCACGGCATCATTAAGATCCGACCCTGTGGCAACAGGAACATCCCACAAAGGCTTCCGGGTTGACGGGTCAATGCCGTGACCCATGGTCGGGCTGGAACGGAGCGATCCCGCGATCACATTGCGAAAGGTCGAGAAGTCTGGGGTAGCCATCTTGTTCAAACTTGAGTCTTCGATGGATTGTTTAGGTCTCGTCTGTACGTGTCGATGCCGAACGCCAAAGAAACATACGTCAAACAAGGCCACTCAAAGGTGTTTAGAGGAGCAGCGCTTGGGGCCAGCAATTGAGCCTACACGACAGATGGAGCGCAATGAGGGGAGTCTATAAACCTCTCCACAAGCCCATCATGTCCCACCAATATAGCCTCCTGAACTGCTCCAAAGCAATCGCCACACCAGTGCCTAGCTTTGAATAGAGGCCTTAGCGTCTCAGTTCTCCAACAACGTATAGTAGAATACGTATTAGAGTACATACATGAGTGGTTCCAGGCTCCCATCTTACCCTAAGAAACCGCAACGGCCAACTCCATCTCCACATACGTACAGTTAGTCCCATGTGGGATGGCGGGGTTATCTCCTGTCTCGATCCTAAGCACTACACCGATCTCTTAGACTAGGACTCCAGGCAAAGAACAGGCAAAGAAAAGGTCAAGGGTAAAAGAGCACAATCTACACAGCTAGCTTTTCAATCCAAAACATTGTTGTGATGTCAATCCAGCTATTCAATGTTGTAAAGTCTCCGCAGGTATCTACAGCCATAATGCACGTGCGTTAAATCATCACCAGCCTCAATCCAACTCAAGAGCACCAGCCCTTGAAATTGATTTCCTCACGCGCAGATCGAACAGGTGTCCTGCTCATAGCTTTACCTTCCTATCTGACTGCAAGCGAAGTACTATTTTGCCAACAACCTGTGCACCTGTTAGCATGAAGAACTGATGGACAGCGTATATGGTCTCGCTCGCTTGTCTCGGCCAAGCTGCGATGAGCATCATCTGAGCCTATTCAGGTGCTTACCATGTTAAATGATGTCGCAATTTCTGGTAGATCCTCTAGATTCTTCAAGACAATGTGAGGTTTCACGAGACCTCGCTCTACAAAGTCAATGGCTTCCGCTATATCCCTTCGCGAACCAACCGTAGACCCAACGATCCTGGCCCCAGAGTCAAGTAGTAAGAGAGGATGGAAAGATAACAGCTCGCCTGGCGGAGGGATTCCCACGCAAACAAAGGTCCCAAAGGGAGCTATAAGATCGAGAGCAGTGTTGTACGCCCTGCCCGAGGTCGCACAAGCGAGCACCACACTCGGGCCACGCTGTCGCGTGAGCTCATACACCAGCGCCTTCACATCCTGCGTCTCCGCAGCGTCAATGAAATGGTCCGCACCGGAGGCTGTACATAGTATGCGCTTGCTGCTGCCGATATCAAGCGCAATGACTTGAAATCCCAAAGCTTTTGCATATTGGATAGCAAGCCCGCCAACTCCCCCGCCAGCCCCTGAGATGGCCACCCATTGACCACCAGTACCACCAGCGTTCTTGAGTGCCGAATAAGCTGTGACTCCGCCACAAAGTATTGGCGCAATGAGCTCATCGGGGGCTTTGATGTGCTCCGGGATGCGTATGATGTATCGCGACGGCACCAATGCGTACTCGGCGAAAGTGCCATCAATCTTTCGACCAGAGTTTAGCTGCTCAAGGCATCGCGTTTCGCCGGCCGGGTGCAGGCAGGCGGCGCAGATACCACAGATGTCGCGCAGCCAGGCAATGCCTACGCGATCTCCAATCTTGATTGATGAGGCGGGCACATTGGTCCCGAGTTGAACGACATACCCAACACCCTCGTGACCAAGAATACTCTGCGTGGGCCCTAGTTTACCTGAAGCCAACGCCATGTCGGTCCCGCAGACTCCAGTGACGGAAAGCTTGACCAAGATATCCAGAGGTCCAGGAACGGGGCGTTGCACCCTTGAGATCTCGAAAGTGAAGCTGTCCGACGAGCGCTGGTCAGAAGTTAGACAAGTTGGAACAAATCAGTTGTTTTTAGCGCCCCTAGACACAGGAAAATATGAACTTTGCTAGCTACCGGTGTACAGTCCTACCTTGACAACAGCTGCCCTCATGGTCACGGATTTTTCGGCCATGGTTCGTGTATTTGGCAGCTCAAAGGTGATGCAGGTTCGGGTTGCGATTCCTGTCTCTAGGACAGTGGAGTTGCATGAAGCAGAGGGCTTGAAGGCGAATCTTAAGAGGCCGAGAAAAACCAGCTAGGCTGAAGATGTACGAACCTCATTCCCCACTCATAATTCTCTTCCGGAACACTAACAGCAAGTGTTGATTTTACTTATTCACCTTTGGATTCGAACGATCTTCTGACAGGGGCTTACCCCATCTTACCCAGCTGGTGCAGCAGACTTACGGCAGATGTTGGAAACTGCTGCAACACTAATGAAGAACTACGTGAACTACGCGAAGTGACATTTGATGGGCGGTGCCCTGAGAAAACAACTTGGAATATCTAGCTACTGGTATGGTACGTCTTCCCCGCGGCTATATCCTTCCCCACAGCCTTCAAGTAGGTTGTGGTCCCACACGTTGAAAGCGTCCCAGAATCCGGGGAAAACGCGGGGTCGGTCCCAAACTCCAATCAATTAGCAGTCCACTGGTCTGTTAGTGTCCCACATGAAGATGCCTCAATGCCTACAAAGAACAGCGAGTCCCACACGCCACTCCATCATGTACAGTGGCTTTCTTGGCAATAAGGAAGTTAGACTTCAGTCTCAATGAGTCATAGTCTTGGAGTATCATAGCATTTCCACTACAGTGGACTCATTTCTCAACAAACTCTGTATATCACTAACCACTGTGAATTACAAACTAGACTTTGGTGCTGTAGAGATAGTCTGAGTAGCAAATACAGTAGGAAATCGCACCTTTGTATCTTCGATACAGTTGTGGTCGAAAATCATCTTCTGGACTTCTGGGCTTGCCCATTTGTCAGGGAGCGGAGCTCCATTGGAGCGCGCCGCTTCAAATTGCCTATCTCTTTCCTCCCTCTCTTGGCCGGCACCTAAATGAAGCGTACGAGCAGATGCGGAAGCCAGGCGCACCAGTTCGGTTGTTCGAGGTTTGCGGAGGAGTTCATATACCTTGAGAGACTTCGCTACGGCTGCTCTATCTGCGCCACCGCCCGGGACCATGGCCAGGGCCTCAGCCAGAGATGCGGCGTCTTCGATAGCCATAGCAGCCCCCTGAGAAAGATGTGGTAGGGTAGGGTGACACGCATCGCCGAGAAGTGCCACGTTTCCCTTGGTCCAAGTGGGCAGAGGTTTGTGTGCTCTGAGTCTCCACTCCACCACATCACCGTCGGGAACAAGGTCGAGCATCTGCCGCACAAGAGGACAGAACTCCGCAAACACGGACATCATAGCTGACTTGTCGCCTTTATTCGTCCAAGTGGCATTCGTCAGCCCAGCAAAGTTAACATCCGGCTGCGCAGTGGCGATGTTGAAGATGGTGTGGTTGCTGATGGGATAAGCGATAAGATGACGTTTCTCACCTATCCATCGTCTCACAGCATTACTGTCAATCAGCTTCAGCAACTCTGGATAAGGTTCCATTTGCTCGCGTTGAAGCAAAAGGCGATAAGCAGCGGTGCCAGTCTCTTCGATCTCGGCAACTAAGCCGAGGCTAGACAACATGGAATCCCGGACGACAGACTTAATGCCGTCTGCTCCAATCAGTACATCTGTCTCGATGCTTCGCTTGGTTTTGTCGTTTTCCTCCACGGTGAAGGTAACCTTGCCGGGGCCGAATGAGCTAACTCCCACCAACGTCGTTCCAAAATGAAAGTGAACGCTCGGTTCTGTTTTGGCTGCATCGTAAATGACGCCGGCGAGGGAAGCTCGATGGCCGGCATAGTGCGAATACCCGTACTTTGTATACATGTCGGTCATGGGCACGTGTGCCAGCTCAACATTGGACGCACCGTCGTAAACAAATACCTCGCTGACTCTTGTAGGTTCAACCTCCAGAGCCGAGCCCTTCCAAATACCAAGACTATCCAAGACACGGATCAGGTTCGGTGCAATCTGGATACCCGCGCCGACGAAACCCAGGGCAGGCGCGTTTTCGTACACATCAACTTTCTTGAAGCCCCGGCGGGCAAAGCTCAGGGCGGCTGTAAGGCCACCCATCCCTGAACGTTATGTTAGCACGCAGACTGAAGTCAAGGGAGCGAATCTTTCAACATACCAGCTCCAATGATGGCAATCTCGAGGTCTCGGTACTCACCCATGTTTGGTCCTTCCGATTCATAACCTGCTGTGGTCGAATTAAACACTACTAGAAGCCTGTAGACGAGACATAGGAGGTCGCCAAGGTATCCTATACGACCTAACTTGGCATCTGTGCGTTTAAATTATCTAATACTAGTATGCTCTGGGCTAAGAAGCTAGGCTACTAAGCCTTATATTTTCGACCCCTCCCACGTCCCACATACATCTCAGATCACTTCTGCTGCAGGCTGTTGACGTTGACGGTGGGATGTGTTGAGTCCCCACCCGCCCGCCCATTGCTTACCAAACAGCTGGGGAATAGTCTCCAACTCAAGTGGGATGTACAATACGCTACATTATACATGACTGCTTGATGCTCAGATCAAGGCGAAGCCGCCCTATCCAAGGACACGTATTAGTAATTGGTTGTTCTGCCGCTTCGCCGGTAATGTATAGCCGTAAATGTAGCAATGGGAAGCTGTGCAGGAAGTTCAGTCGAATACATGATTGAAACGCTCTGCTTGCTGAAGAGGCATGCCTTCACTTATGGCCAAATACCCTGGGCCTTTCCTCGCCTCGCTTACAGACTTGTGGCAAGTGTGAGAGTGCTTTTCACTAAAGCAACCATATACGCTCACAGAGTTTCACAAGCAGTGCGATGAGATTGTGCGATATGGGCTAAACTGTTCAAGTGTTAAGGCCGAGGAAATCGTGGCAATTATGACCCTTTAACGAGGAATCCCTAGTAAGCGCAAGTCATCAGCTTGCGTTCAAGTGATTTGGAGGAATATATGTACACACTTATTATTCCAGCTAGATAGAACACACTCTTTAATTATTTTAGATAAACCAGACTTTTCAGGAGCGCTAGAGTTAAAATTGTGCTTCCATTTGCTTAAGTGCCCCAGGACTTGAGATAAATCTCGCAGGGGTCGATAGAATCAGACCCGCCAAGTAATGGCGGGAAGGTCTGAATACCTACCCGAAAGGTGTGCAGTCCACTGTACCAGTCAACGCGGGCGGTGGCTCGGGATTCGCGAATCTGCATGGATTAGATGTATCACGAAGACCCCTGAACTGCCAAACCCGCGGACAAGGCGAGACTCCCTGCAGAGTTGCCCCCAATGATGCGTGAGGCAGATCCACAACCTCGTCCATCTTGGTCTACTCTGCTTCTTCCACCGCTTAGGCCTTCGCAACTTCTGGCGAGTCTGGAACGTTCTAGGGAACACTCAAAGCTCTGAGGAAAGAGACTGTATGCTACGTGCTCAGTAGTATATGTACCAGGGTCTCTCCCCACCAACTACCCTTACACGTTGCGCCGGCTATCCCACACGGCCCAGGCTCTCATTTTAGCCTGCGTCGGTTCCCCCAATCAGGCCGACTTGATTTTCCCCGCGGTTTGGCCTCCGGATTTTCTGCTCTCCAGATTCTCCGCCCTCCCACATGCGAGCCTCGACCATCCACCTCCACCTCGCCAGCCTCTCGCGCACTGCTTGAATACCCAGGAATCCGTGCTGGCAACATGAAACGTTGCTCGTATTGCCAGAAGACTTTTTTGAAAACGGAGCATTTACTGCGGCACGAGAGATCTCGTAAAGCTGCCCCTATCCCTGCTCCCAAGAAGACCATTACTGGACGGTAAACTGATCGTCCACAGACACTGGCGAGAGACCGTATCCGTGCAACAAATGCGGTCGGAGGTACGCACGGAGGTAAGCAATGCATCCACGCATCCGGGCATGACGTGCTTAGTTCCGGCTTCTCCCTGCTTTTAGTTTTGCCAGTCGTTGAGTTACCGGGACTGGCTAACGAATGACAGCGACGTGTTGCTGCGCCACGTCAAGTTCTTCCATAGCCAGGAGAAGTTGTCAGGACCGCAGCAAGAAACCCACGCCGTAGAGAGCGAACCACAGCCTACACGTATCAACCGAGGTCTACTCGCAAGTAATGATAGCATCCATGTTGATGCCAACGGAGATGGCGCAGAAACTATTCATGTTGCGCCGCAGACTGAAGACCCTGCCACACCGGCCCCCGATGCTGTCGAAGAGGAGCTCCCTCAGACGACAGATCAACTTATGACCGCCGACATGGATACTTTGGCAGCAGCGTCGATCCTTCAAGCGCAGAGCGAGGGCGTTGACTACCATAGCACCGCGGACAACGCGCAACAGGCACAGCCTGGTCAGTCCCGCCGAACCCAGCAAATCGCTTCACCACCTATTTACAGCCACGCCACTCAGAACATGTCCTTCTTAGCAGGCACAACGCCGCCTCTGAATGGCATGAACACGGGCACGCCCTCTGAGATGACCCGGGTAGCAGGCGCTCCCTTCCCGTATGACGGCCAGTCATTCATGGGCTTTGTGCATATGGACCCGGGCTTTGGCACCGACCCGGGTGGACACAACATTGCCGACGGTGCTGGAGCTCGGACTGGTAATGCCGACGTCCAATTTCCTCAAAGTCTTGAATACCTCAACTTCATGGACTTCTCCGCCGACATGAACCTCGGCGACACAGCTCCAAGCTCGTCCGGATCTAACCTTGACCCGGTAGATAGCATTCCAGCCGAGCGGTTCGCACAGGTCGGTCGGCTATGGCCGAACCGGAGCCTCAAATGTATGACGGATGATGAAGCGATCAGACTGTGGGCGGACGTGGTGGCCTACAAGGGGGACAACATTCTGACAGATTTGACCATCGCAGCGGTGTCTCCTGTCCCATCCGTCGGCAGGGAGAGCGGCTCCTCATGGGGTTTGGACGATGATCGCCGCCTAGATCTCATCCGAGAGCTCACTCAGAACTTGCCGGGCTTCGAGGGCACTGTCGACCGCTTTCCACCAACACGTCTTCTCAATTTAGGCCTCGACGTGCTTTTTAGACAGTCTTCATCTCTTCTACAATGTATACATCGACCTACCTTTTCAGCCAAATCGACGCCACCTCTCGTTACCGTGTCAGCCTGCCTACTAGGGCTTGTTCTTCTCGAGTCAGCGCATATACGACCTCTCGCGGTGCAATGGCTCCCAGTATAAGCCCCTCCCATATTCGTTTCCACTGCGTCTAGCCCAGATGACCTGACACATATGTATATATGCTTAGGCCGCTACTCAAAGATGTTGCCACCTGCTGGCTAGTCCCGATCCCGGTCCGGACCGTTCGGCGAAAGTGATTGCAAACCTTACATCGGCCTTGCTGCTTACACAGGCATGGACAATCTGCCCACCTCGAGTAAGAATGTTCATCTACATCTCATACTTGACATGATACTAACATCGTGACATTATAGTGCCTTCAGTACGAAATTCTGACAAGGCTACTGGTTAGTCAGGCAAATGCGGTGAGGTCTTTCCCCTTGTAGACTATTATTTGGGAAAAGGGCTGACGCCATTCCATTGCCAGGTCGCTCAGGTCGCAGGCTTGTTTGCTCAGCGGACATCTTCAGCGAGTATCGATGATCTCCTGAGACAGTACAAGACGAAACGCACTCTCCATGGTCAGTCCTCAGAAGACGACGTTATGTGGAAGGCTTGGGCAAGAACGGAGAGCGTGAAGCGGTATTCCTACCCAAAAGCCACCTTCTAGACAATAGAATGCTGACCTGCCGCGGCGGATGTGACAACAGACTCATTGCATCACTGATTGTCATGGACGCCTGGTTAGCTTATCGCCTCGACTATACGCCGTTCTTGCGAGCAAGTACCATCAGATTTGAGTATCCATCCTCCCAAGAACAATTCAAGTGCTCGTCTGCTGCCGCATGGCGACGTCTTATCAACGCAGGATCAAATCCAATCGGCGAGTCTGTTCTTATTCATGTAAACAATCCAATTATAAACCTGCCGGCGTCACAGGACGTTGCTACCGAGGGGATCTTCAGCTTGCTTTCTATTATCTGGATCCGGATGCAGCATGTAGCCTCCGAAGTACTGACGACGTCTCAAGCCGAAGACGCAAACGCAAACCACAAGGCTCATCCAAAGGTCCTCGCATCCTATGAAGGAGGGAAGATGTTATCACGGGGCCTTACAACCATATACACATCCAGCGCGCAATTCTTTCGCTTCAAGAACCCTAACAGCGTCGCCATGTGGCATCTCTTGAACCTGCAGCTGTTCGCCAAGATGGACATCCTGGAGCTGGCTGCCGGACGGAAGGGTGCTGATGGTGCGCACGAGGCCCTGCAGGCCATCGCTGCCTGGAGCCAGACGTGGTATGCGAGGCGCGCATGTTTGCATGCTGGCGCAATCTACACCGCCATGAGTCGCCGGCGCCAAAAGGACGGGACCATGTTCCACTCCGAGGCATCGATCTTCTCCGCGGCCCTGGTCCTAGGACTTTATGTGTTTATGATGGGCCCTAGCTGTGATGGTTCGAAGGGATGCGGCGTGGGCACTCCGGCAGAACCGTATGAGTTTCTTAACCACGTCGATTGGTCAAAACTTGGTAATGCTGCAGGAGAGGACCCGGTTGCAGTCCCTGAAGACATGGCAAGTGAGAGCGCTGCCATACGGTTTGTCCGGTTAGGCGGCGCTGTCAGCTTCTCGGGCGTTATCTGCGACGGCGGATACAATGCTTCCAAGATGATATTGCTCGAGTTTGCCAGCTTGTTGGAGGAAGTTGGGAAATGGAAATATAAGGGCTCAGTTCATATTCTAAGAATCATGAGCGACTCATTACTAGAGTTCGACTCTGGAGAGTTAATGTAACATTATGTTAGGTGGAATGCAGAGGTCTATTACGACAGCGTTCTCAATGTCTTCGAGTGCAGATGATCATTGGGTATATTTTGTAATGCGATTCTCACTAAAAAGACTTGATTCAATCTGATTACCTTATAACCAATTAGTTTTCCTCCATGGCGCATGACTTAGGAACGAGTGCTCGCAGAAATAACCGAACAATTTCCAATTGCATCTCCCGCAAGCCTTTATCCATCAAAGGCTTTGATTCGGTATGGGAAAAAGAAAATGGCCGACTATCCAAAGTCCGCATGGCTCTGCTGTCCTTGGACCAGTTTGCGATTAAGTTTGTCAGCTGCCTTGACCAGCTGGGAGATGACATAGGTTGCACTGAAATGACCCTATGTGCGCAAGTTGAGATTGTGATAATAGTCTTTGGCCTTTTTGAGGTTGGCCTTATCCTCGGCAACCCTAGCCAGAATCTCTTTGGTGAGAGGGTGTGCCGAGAAGCGGTCAGGCAGCCTGTCCCAGACTTTGGGATCGGTGCCCTGAGTGTGGATGACACCACATATCTTTCGCGCGTACTCTGTGAAGAGGAATGTGCGTGAAGACTCGAGCATGAACGTCATCTGGTCTAGTGATAGAAGGTAAATCAATAAATACAACGAAGCGAACGCGTTGGGTAGTTGATTAACTTACTCTCAAGGATCCTCCTCGGCTGATTCACCTGGAGTGGTGTTTCAAGAAGATACTCATCCGAGAAGCCTCCATGAGGGGTATGCCCGCCCTCATAGCTGCAGCCACCCGGCTGGAACTCATCTGAACGGCCAAGGCCAGCGCCATAGACACAGGCCAGGAGCTCTGTTGCGCTATTGCGATGGAAATAGGGAGGTCTGAAGGTGTTGCTAGCAACATCCCAGCGGGGCCCGAACCAAAGGTAATCAGCCAACGGTACATGAGGGTCGACAGACCTCGCTGTAAGTACGGTATTAATGCTCGGGTCGGTGTGATCGACGGTCGCGGTGTTTTGAGCAACGAATTTGGTCAAGTCGTACTATAAGGAGATGAGTATTAGCAACCGCTGTACAGTATTATTTGCATAAGCGGAAAGAATTTAGAAGACAGAACTCGTTAACCTTATAAGGGACACAGTTTCCATGCCATGCAACGACATCGAAAGGGCTGTGATCCTGCTTAATTGCTACCTGCTTGCCGTTGTTCTTGACAACAATGGTAAATTCAGTGTGGAGATCCTCGTCAATGTGCGCAATAGGGTACAGGAAGTCGCGCGGGTTGGCCAATCCGTGACCTCCGAGGGGACCAAGGTCAGGAAGCTCCCAAGCTGAGCCCCAGATCTCAGCGATATGACCACGTGCAACCGAGACGCCGGGGGCAAGATTGATTTTGAAGCGAATACCCCGCGGAATCACGCAGATCTCGCCGGGCTGGACAAACAGCATGCCCAACTCGGTCTGGATATCCAAGATGCCGAGCTGCGGAGTGATGAGCCAGTCACCATCTGTGTTGCAGTACGCCTTGTTTTCCATGGAGACGTTAATCATGTAAACGTAGGCAGCGATGCCCTGTCGCAGATTAGGGTCACCGCTGCCTCCCAAGGTGTGCAGACCATCGGTAAAATCAACTCTCTCATTGTCAAGGGGCAGAGGAAATGGCGACCACTCGGCTTGTTCGGGGAGTGCCTCCACAGCAGGGTTCAGAGTGAGGAAGCAGTTTTCAATGTGAGACTTGCTTTCAATGTTGATGTAGCCTTGGTGAGCGGCAGATGGCCGCGCCCGGTACATGTAGGTGCTTGAGTTGATCGCACGAGGTGCTGCAAATGCAGAGTAGGTAATACCTTCAGTGTACAGACCGAAGCCTCTGTCCTGGGGGTTGTTCTGGCCGTGGGGGAGAGCTCCGGGGATTACCTCGGACTGATGGCGGTTGCCGAACCCAGCCTGATACTCATAGGGGTCATTTTCCCGAGTAGGATTCGTCCTCTGCAGGTCCGTGAAGTGAAAGACCTTCTGCGGATCAGTTGCAGACTCGCGAGTAGGAATGGCGTCTTGTCCGCTGATAGTCATCTTGGGAACTATAGATGGAAAAGCAATGGGAGCAGTAGCAAGTGTTGAGAGGTCAAAGTCCTGATAGCACCGAGCTGGGCCTGCATGTCGAATATTAGGCTCTTCTCCGTCTATACGTAATCCTGAGCCCATCAAGGTCTGCCTATTCTCCCACTCCTCACCCTGAGACTCTTCATCGCTACGGAGTGCCAGTCTCGACGGCTGAGTGGCACACAAGACCTCACCCCAGCTGAACTCTCCCCAGAGTCCCCCCGCACGCATGCAACCAGTTGGCATCAGTCAAAGGCACCTGTCCCACATGACGCCCGCACGCCCAATGTGGGGTAAAGGTCAAGCCTTCCAGATGTTACGACAGAGTACGGAGGTAATCGGAGAAACGAAGAATGCATATGGTGATACCCAATCTGATCCTCTCTATGAGCTCCCACGATCTACGCGTAGTCCTGCTCGGCCCCCTGTCATCACATGATGTTTCGTATACTCTCGGCGCGTTTCAGCCTCCTTGTGGTTTGCATCCCACGCGTCCCTTCACAGTCTTTCCAGACTCGGACCATGGGTTCTATTAGCGCTTTTGACTCAATCATCTTCCGGAACCTCTTTGGCACTGATGAGATTCGATCCGTAAGAGACTCGTCGCCCCCTACCACTTCTACCCCCTAATCACAACACGCTATACTCACACCATGCATCAGATTTTCAGTGATCAGGCATACATAAAGCGATGCGTCGACGTCGAGACAGGCCTAGCACGGGCTCAGGCTCACTGCAATGTCATTCCGGCCGAGGCAGCCAAAGAGATTACCGCTTTGTCGAACACAGCCGGCCTCGACTTCGACCGTCTGCGCAACGAGACCGACATCGTTGGATACCCTATCCTGCCTCTTGTACGTCAACTGAGTGCCATGTGTGAATCGTCCGGTAAATACGTTCATTGGGGCGCCACAACTCAGGATATCATGGATACTGCAAGTGTCTTGCAGATCAAAGATGGCTTAGCAGTGGTCGAGGCGAAGCTGGACGGTGTGATTTCTGCACTCGAGCGCCTATGCTTGGCCCATCGGGATACGCCAATGGCCGGTCGGACTCATCTCCAGCACGCCCTCCCTATAACCTTTGGGTATAAATGCGCGGTGTGGCTGTCTGGACTTCAGCGCCACAAGGAGCGCTTGCGTCAGCTCATGCCTCGAGCCCTTGTGGTTCAATACGGCGGTGCCGCCGGGACCCTTGCGTCTTTGGGTCCAGGAGAGGATGGTCTAAACGTTCGTCGGCAACTAGCCACAGAGATGGGCCTCGCAGATCCCCCAATTACTTGGCACGTTGCTCGTGATGGGATCGCGGAGGTAACAAACCTTCTGGCGCTCATTGGAGGGACCCTCGGCAAAGTGGCTCTCGACCTCATCTTCATGTCATCCAACGAGCTTGGAGAGGTTGGCGAGCCCTTCGTCCCCCACCGTGGTGCCTCGTCAACCATGCCACAAAAGAGAAATCCCATCTCGAGTGAGGTGATACTCGCAGCTTCGAAAATCCTACGATCCAATGCTGGCTTGGTGCTGGATAGTATGGTGGCTGACTTTGAGCGAGCCTCTGGGCCTTGGCATTTGGAATGGGTGGCGATTCCTGAAAGCTTTGTTATGGCTGTTGGTGCCCTTCATCAAGCCGAGTTTGTCTTGGCTGGCTTGGAGGTGTCCAAGACACAAATGGCGGCGAACCTGGCACTTAGCAAGGGACTTATTGTTGGCGAGGCCGTTATGATGAGCTTGGCCAACCACATGGGTCGACAGGATGCACATGACGTTGTGTACAAAGCCTGCAAGGAGACGATTGAGCTGGGCGGAGACGTAACCTTGCTGCAGACTCTGAAGAAAGATCAGCGAGTCGTCGATGCTGTCTCCGCTGAAGAGCTTAAAAGCCTATGTGATCCAATGAACTACATGGGCTCGTCACAACGCATGGTTGACTCAATCTTAAGCCTGCACAATGAATAGACCTGTAGATATTACCCTTCAATATATGTATGTACTGTGGTGATATATACTTTCTACCTCGTATCTACGGCTGGAACGTTATAACCTGAGATAGCGGTAATGTGTTATAATACTGGGTATAGTGTCAAGTTGTTAAATTCTTGGTGTTTGGGAGTTTCCCCTTTTTTTTCAGCAGCTGTATAGCTCTCTCACTTACTAACCTGAGATAGCGGAGCTCCTTTTGCCTGTTATTTCGGGACTTCAACCAAGGCTTATTTGCTGAGGCATTATCTTTAGAAATAAATGTGTTCTTTGCTACACTCTAAGCAACGTAAGGCTTGAAGTCGTCCGCCACGGTGAACGGCGCATCAGTAAGCTTCTCCAACTCCTCTACGGTCACTTCTGGAACCAACTCCCTTAATACTAGACCCTCTGGCACACAGTCGAGTACAGCAAGATCGGTGATGATTCGCGACACGCATCGAGTTCCCGTGAGAGGAAATGTGCATTCTACGTATCATTGACAATTAGTTAAACGTCAAAACATTGTTGCGTCGTAAACTCTGCAGACTTACCGCGCATAATCTTAGGCCTTCCCTTTCTATCGAGGTGTTCCTAAGAATGATTTCGTAAGACAAAGTCGGAGTCAAAACATGATGCTTTACAGCAGTGATAGAGTGATACATACCATTGTAACCACGACCTTTGTCTTCTCAGGGTTGGCAACCAAATCCATAGCGCCGCCAATACCCTTGACCTTGCCCGGAAGCATGAAATTGGCCATGTCTTTAAGGGTCTTATGAGTCATTGCACTGAGAACATATCCATGGGTACTCACCTCCATTCATGCTGACCTGCAAGGCCCCTAACATAGTGAGGTCTATCTTGCCTGATCGAATCATTCCAAAACTCTCATGGCTTCCAAAGGTCGAGGCACCGGGATTCAGTGTCACTGTTTCTTTGCCTGGGTTGATCAGGTCTGGGTCCTCCTGTCCTAATTGGGGGTAACGGCCCATGCCTAGAATTCCATTCTCAGATTGAAGGATAACCTCGATATCGTTTGGCACAAGAGCTGGTGCTGCGAGTGGGATTCCAATGCCGAGATTCACAAACATGCCGTCTTTGAATTCCTTAGCAGCCCTTTTGATGATCCTCTCTCTCTTTTGGTTCGATGCGGCTTCTAAATAGGAGTGGTTAGCAAACTACCACGCGTTTTAGCGGGACATAAACCTGCCCTTGATAATGTCGTCGGAAGACTTGGCGAGCACGAGCTTTTCGATTTGCTTGGGCTCCGTGCTCTTGATAACTCTGTCCACGTAGATGCTCTGGAGATGAATGTGCTCGGGCTGAAGCTCGCCAACTTCCACGATCTCATCGGCTTCGACGATGGTAAGACGAGCGTTTTTCCCCATGGACTCGTTGAAGTTGTTCTGAGCCTTCCGGAATGTGCAATTACCCAGGCGATCGGCTTTGTGCACTTTGACAAGGGCAACGTCACCAAAGATGGATGACTCAAGCACATAGTTCTTCCCGTTGAATTCGCGCGTCTCCCGTGGTTGGGACATGATGGCAACGGAACCATCTGAGTTATGACGGACCGGGAGATTGCCAGTTTGCACTGAACAAGCATCAGCTCATCCCTCATTCCTACCATGGTGTTTCTGATTGAAGTGCAGGGACTCACCAACGGTACCAAAGGCCGTTGGTGTGTAAAATGCTGGGACACCAGCCGCGCCAGCTGCGCATTTCTCCACCATTGTGCCTTGAGGGATCAGTTCCAGGTCGAGGGCGCCAGTCAAATACATTTTTTCGAGTAGTTTGTTCTCCCCAATATACGATGCAACCATTGTACTGATTTGTTTCGTTTCCAGGAGCTTCCCTGCATCAAGGCTCTGTCAGCGGCCCAAGACTATACCTGTACACTGGGGAACAGCCTACGTACCAAGCCCGACGCCCGGCATCCCTGCGTTGTTAGACACAACTGTCAAATCGGTGATGTTTTGGTGTTGAGCTATGGCATCGATGAGCGAGCTTGGAACACCGGAAAAGCCGAAGCCACCCACGAGCATGATGGAGCCTTTCTTCACATCTCGTATTGCTTCAGCGGCCGAAGGGCAGATCTTATCAATCCTTCGGAATGTAGTCGAGGTGGAAAAGCCACGGGATGCGCCAACCGCCTGACCGAGAGCACGGCGAACAAGCTGGCCGGCCACGCGGACCATTCTGTCAATTGCCTAGAAGTAATAGCAACAAATCGGCAATTTTAGACCCCAGTTTCCCTAGCCCAAGCATACGAGGCTGCCCTTGATCATTCCGAGTTTACGACGCGGGACCTGAGGCTTAAGTGTGCCTTGTCCCACATAGATGTGGATGGGATTGACTATCCTTGACTGTCCTCCACAATCCAACCTCCACATACTTGAACGGCACATCTTATATGATGCTGGCACTGGAAAGTCCGATGCTATGCCCCGCCAACTGTATCTTGTGCTGCTGTCAATAAACCGCGGATATGCAGAGGATGGTGCCCCGAACGATGCTGCCGCCGCCGGTCCGACAATTCGTCGCCTGCGCCGCCAGGGGCAATGCCACACTCACCTCTCCCCAACCCAAAGGGCCCCTAGCTGGACTCACAGTGATAGACATGTCTAGAGTTCTAGCAGGTGTACGTGCTACCTACCATCATTTTCACCGAGCTGTGCAAAGATTGCTAACACGGCTGAAGCCATACTGCTCGCAGATACTCGGGGACTTGGGGTTGTTTTTTTCTTACTGGCAGTTTAGCTGAAATACACGAGCCCTCACTAACAGTCTGGCAGTGCCGATGTGATCAAAATCGAACATCCCACTCGCGGCGACGACACAAGAGCATGGGGGCCCCCGTACGCTTCTTATACTGATGGCCGCACCGGGATTGGTGAGAGTGCGTATTACTTGTCGGTATGCCACCGTTACCTCCAGCCTCCTTTGTCCAATTGGGTCGTAAGCGGACTCTGACTCAGGCTTCCAAAGGTCAATCGAAACAAACGATCCCTAGCTCTGTCTTTCAAGGAAAAGGCTGGAGTCGATATCATTACCAATCTCGCGAGTAGAGCCGATGTTCTTGTCGAAAACTATATACCAGGCAGCCTGAAAAAGTACGGCCTTGACTACCAGAGCCTGGCGGCGGTCAACTCACAACTGATTTATGCCAGCGTCACTGGGTACGGTCAGACGGGGCCGTACAGCGACCGTGCCGGGTACGATGTAATGGTTGAGGCGTAAGTCCGCAAAGTAAATCATCCAATCCTCGGCGCTTGTTTTTGACAGTCCTGCTAGTGAGATGGGCTTGATGCACATTACCGGTCCCCGAGATGGGCCCCCTGTGAAGGTTGGCGTTGCGGTAACCGATCTTACCGCAGGTCTCTACGCAGCCAACAGTGTCCTCGCGGCCATTATAGAACGGAGTAGTTCGGGCAAGGGACAACACCTAGACGTGTGTCTAAGCGATTGTCAAGTAGCAACACTATCAAACATGGCCCAGTCAGTTCTTGTTACGGGGAAGCGTGATGGTGGCCGATACGGCACGTCTCATCGTGAGTGACCCAGTGACAGACCGGACGAGGAACCTGCTGACCAAGATGTGATACTCAGCATCCGTTGTACCATACCGAGGTTTCCGAACCAGTGACGGCGATATCATGATTGGGGGAGCGAATGATCGTTTATTCGGTGTTCTCTGCCAGTGCTTGGGTAAGCCAGAGTGGGCGGCAGATGAGCGTTTCGCAACCAATTCCTCACGAGTCGCGAACCGTACGGTCCTCGAGAAGTGGATAGAAGACATCACAATGACCAGGCCAACTCAAGCTTGGCTGGACAGGTTTGAAGGCACCGGTCTACCGTATGCCAAGGTGAATGACCTAAAAGATACGTTGGAGCACCCACAAGGTGAGTCTACCACTGTTTCGTACGGGAAATGCATAGCTGGCCTAACGACGACTAGTGACGGAGCGAGGAATGGTAAAGGAAATCGACCACGTCGCTATTGGAAAGTTGAAGGTTTTGAACAGCCCAGTGAAGTACTCTAGGTCTGGGCCGTCTATCCGTAGCCCTCCGCCGCTTCTTGGGGAGCATACCAGGGACGTCCTTCACGAGGTTCTCGGTATGGATGCTGCTGTAGTAGACAAACTCATCGAGGATGGTGTAGCCAGCGTAAGCTCGCAAGCGAAGAATTAGAGGGACTCTTTCTTCTCTTCAGTAACCAAAGTACGCAAAGTCCCACATAGGCTCGAAGCTGGAATGAGCGTGGACGTGTGGAGGCGATAGGGGCAGTGGTCTTGTATGGGGAGCATGTACTATTATATAGACTACGACCGTAGAACAATTGTATTCGAGTAGACCGTTCGTGTTATAAAGTATGCTTTCGGAAACGACGTCCAAAACGGGGACCATGGTATCGGATCTTGTAGCTGGTTCTCTCGGCGGTATCATTGGAACACTACTCAACACGCCGTTTGATGTCGTGAAGAGTCGCATAGAGAGCACAACCAGGCCAGCAGCTGGCGACGTGGATATATCATGGGTCTGGGAAGGTATCTTAGAAATGTATCATTAAAAGGGCTTCCGAAGTCTGTACAAAGGCCTAGTCCCAAAGGCTGTCCGTTTTGCTCCAGGTGGAGGGATTATGCTTTTGGTATATTCATACGTATTGGACCTTTTAACGCTCACGCGAGAGCTCTTGGAGGAGGACAAAAATAACCCATTACCATTCAAATACTCTATTTCCTTATCTACGATATGCCGATGCTCAAAGTTATCATTCTCGAATAAAAGCGGAAGCAACTCCTAAGCCAGTGCTGCGGGGGGTTAGCATTGAGGATTCAGCCGAGACAAGCCTTGCTACTCACCTTGCACACATGCTGATGATCCCGATCTCTTTGCCCTGACGTGTGAGCTCTGCGAGCAAAGTTGCCAATTGCCTCGTTCCTGTAGCTCCAGTTGGATGACCCAGGGCAATGGCCCCTCCGTTGGGATTGACCTTGTCGATGTCCAGCTCAAGCATATTGATACAAGCCACAGTCTGGCTAGCAAATGCTTCATTGAGCTCGAAGATATCAACGTCCTTCTTTTCCAAGCCCAAATAACTATACAGCCTCGATATAGCGTATAAAGGCCCCATACCCATCTCGTCTGGGCCGCACCCGGCAACTTGCGTTCCTAAGAAACGTGCAAGCGGTTTCAACCCTCGTGCCTCGGCCCAGTCTCGTCGTGCGAGAACGGCGGCAGAAGCACCGTCGCTGATCTGCGATCTGCATTGGCTATTAGGCCTTGTCCGAGAGAAGAGGCTGATGCGCCCAGACTCACGAGTTGCCAGCAGTGCTTCCGCCCGTTTCGGAGAAGACCGGCTTCAGCTTGGCCAGTTTTTCCATGGTCACACCCGCCCGGATGGTATCATCCTTTGCCACCTGGATGGTGGACTTTGTATCCCCCTCAAATATTGTGTACTCAATCGGGACAATCTCGTTGGCGAAGCGCCCTTGAGTCTGGGCCTCGATGGCTCGCTCGTGGCTTCGCAACGCGAAGCTGTCCTGCACCTCTCGACTGACTTTATAGCGGGCAGCTACGTTCTCCGAGGTATTACCCATAGACATCAGGCAGTCGGCTGCTGGCTTTACTCCAGTCGCTCGCAGACTTGGGCCAACATCAATGGGCACGCCACGGGTCTGGTAATTCTTGGTCATGCTCTCTACGCCACCCGCCATAGCCACATCTATTTGTCCGACTTGAATCGCATGGGACATGTGTGTCAAAGCCTGCAAGCTGCTTGAGCACTGTCTATTGACGGTGTGGAAGGTAGTTGTGACTGGAAATCCAGCATTGAGGAGGGCCATTCTTCCCGTTTTGGCAAATCCAAGCTCTGCTAGGACATTCCCAATGAGGACATCTTGGACATCTCGGGGTTCAATTCCAGCCCGACGCGGGGCTTCTGCCAAAAGCTGTAGCAAGCGTTAGACTCGAACTGACACTGTCTTGGTACTTTGGGGGGTATATCAAGTACCGGTCCCAGAATATCCTCTGGCCAGGCATCCTTAAAGCCTCCTCTGAAAGAGCGTGTAATGGGACTACGAACGGCGGAAAGAACAACTACATCGTTCGGTGACTTGGCCGCTAGTCGGCCTGCTGCTTTGACCCATTGTAGCATTGTAATGGATAATGTTGAACACGGTGTATAGGATTATGGAGAATAGATGCGTTGGGTTCCGACCACAGTCGTTGCTTCCACTGTGGGCGATTCTTTTCCCACTTTACTACAAGTCTCATTGTTCCGGGAGCTCTACACACATAGAGACTAATTGCCATTCAAGCACCTCGACGTGATGTGGGACAACCCGAATGCCCGAGTGCTCCCACATGGCGGTGTGGGACACCCACGACTCTCCGCTCAATAACAAGCCGTCAGAACATCTGGGGCTCTAGCGGCGCCCCGTTAGGACTTCTGGAGGGGTCTAGGTCAGCCTTCGGGTTTGAATCGGCTGTTACTTTTTCCTCCAAGAAACCCACTCGTGACGGAATAGTCGTCTCATGACTCAGTTCAACACCTGAGACTGATACTGCAACTGATCATGTTCCAATTTGGCGAAGAAACCCTACGACCAGCCTTCGAGGGCGACGGCGCCCCCAAGATTTCATACGGCCTCCGTTTCCCGGAAAGCTGCCAGCGCCACTGTCGCGATACGTTTAACAGCTCGAAAGCTTTTGTTCTCTGTTCCAAGACGCTTTCCGAGAAGACCGACGCCCTTGATCGTCTGCTTTCTGCCCTAGAAGGCCGCCTTGCAGGCGTCAGAATTGGCATCGACCCTCATACCCCAATATCTCAGGTTTTGGAGGTCGTTCGGGACATTCGTAGTCTTGACGTCGACTGTATCATTACTCTGGGCGCTGGCAGCCTTACTGATGCCGCGAAGCTTGTCCGTCTGGCCCTAGCTAACGATGCTGCTACCGAGGACGATATGGATGCCCTTTGGGGGTCGGAGGAGAGCAACCCGTCCAGACGGAAAGTCATACACCGGCCTACGATCCCTCTGATTCACATCCCGACTTCATTGTCCGGCGGGGAGTACCAGGCCATTGCTGGCGGAACGGAATCGAAAGCCCGTGGCCAGGCCAAGAGGACGTTCAACTGCGAAAAGGTCAATCCCGAATTGGTCATTCAGGATCCAGAGCTATGTCTGACCACGCCTTCTTGGGTCTGGCTTAGCACTGGAATCCGATCTGTAGACCATTGTGTCGAGACGCTCTGTTCGCTGCTTTCCAACGATCGTGGCGACGCAGCCGCAGCCGCCGGCCTACCGAAGCTTGTCGCTGGCCTCCTGGAGAGCAAGGCAGATCCGCAATCGTTGTCTGCACGCCACCTCTGCCAGGAGGGTGTGGTCTCGGCTATGTTTGCAGTTTCGACGGGGGTTCCCCTTGGCGCGAGTCATGCCATCGGACATCAGCTGGGCCCATTTGGGGTTGGTCATGGACAGACGAGCTGCATTCTGTTGCCAGCCGTGTGCAAGTATAACTACAAGTACAAGGCCAACGTGGAAAAGCAGAACGCGACTCGGCACATTCTCCTAGCTCAGAAAGAGGTCCAGCAAATGATCAAATCAGGGGGTCGGGACCCGGGGAAGGAAGACCTCGGGGACATCCTTGATTTGATCATTTCCACCTTGGGGATGCCCCGAACCCTCAACGATGTTGGTGTTGGCGCAGAAAGCTTACCCCATTTAGCACAGAAGAGTTTGGAGGATATCTGGATCCGCACCAACGCAATCCCGATCACAGAGGAGGCTCAAGTCATGGAAATCCTTCATCAGTGTATGGTCTGAAGTTTTTAGAACTTGAACTCAGTCTTATGCGTTTATCGTGCTACACTGGGCCTCAGATCGGTGATCTCAGGAGCATTGGAAGCAACAGTTCCAAGCTCTTTTGATGCAGTAATTGAGAACAAAGCTCAACATGCATGACGAAAATATTCAATGTCGGCATATGATTCGTCTATGACTTTGTCGATCTGTAGCTATTTGGGTGACAGGACGCGGTATCTCGTAGAAGGCGATATCTATGTTCCCGCACTACCCTTCTTCCTTCTCTGGTTTTGGGACGGCAGCAAGAAGAGGAAAGGAGAGCAGAGATTAGATTACTTTTCTATGTATTATGTTTAGAAAGTTGATCTATATCCTTATTATTTACTCTCAAGTCTATAAACTCTATATAAATAAGATATCATAATCATAGATAAATAGAAATGGACAAAGAGCTAATAAGAATAAGCACTCTAATAAAAAGAGCTCTATCTTTCAACAGCTAGCCTAATCAATCAAGTACTGGTTATTGATATTGTCAATAACGCTGTCCTCCAACGGCGTCCATCCATCCTTGCCGGACCACTTCTTCAGGAGAGCGATGGAGGCCGACTGGTCCACCGATATCTTCAGATGCTGAGGGTTGGGGTAGTCATCAATGAATTGTTTCTGTGGGCGAATCTTGCGGAGAATAGCCAGAATATCGTTCCAGTGAGCACTGTGTCCCCAACTCTGCAGTCGCGCATTCTTGGTGTCGGGGTCCAGAACCGCTGCAACATGTATCGCTGCCACGTCCTTCACATCACCGTAAAAGGCTACACAACGTTAGATCAAAGGACCAAATTCAAACCTCTCAAGTCAACAGGGGATGGGATTCTTACTGGCAAGCATTGGATCCATGAACTGCTTGTTGCCTCTAAAGGCGTGGACAACCCAGTTGGCTGGTCCCTTAATGTGAGCCTTGTTAAGGGGTTCTCCGGTCAATCCCGCAGGGGACACAACGTTGACTGTGAAAGGAAGATCATTCTCCTCCACCAACTTCCACACTTCTTTCTCAGCAGCAAGTTTGCTAGCGGGATAATTAGCCATTGCGTGCGATAATCCATAAGGAGGCGGGGCCCAGGCAGCCTCGAGGGCGGCGTTGTTCCACGAGTCGCGTGTTACAGTGCCGTTGTCGATGCCCTGAGCTAGAGATGAAGCGGACACGGCGCTGCCGGTAAACACAATCCTTTTCACGGATGTTTCTTTCATGGCTGCGTTCATGATAGACCTGACGGCGTTTACTGATGGGGTAATCACTTCGTTGGGGTCAGGGACAATCTTCGTCACATAGGCGACATGCAAAATAGCCGCAACGCCCTTAATGGCCTCGTCGTAGGCGCCATCAGCCCCGAGATTGGGTACGGCTACTAGCTCGAGGGCACCGCCTTCTGCGTAGGATTTGAAAAGGCCTTCAAGAAGCCATGACGCTCTATTTGGGTGCCGAACGGCACCCCGGACTCGGAATCCACGCTTCAGGAACTGGAGGGTGACGTGGGAGGCGAGGAATCCGGTGGCGCCGGTTACAAGAACCCAGGAGCCGTTGGGAATGGTTGTGTCTGAAGTGGACATGATGTTGCTGATACCAGGATAGGAGGTGTGTACAAATAGACTGTATCAGAATAGATGCTTGTTGGTTTAGAGAACAAAACTAGATTTGATGCCTCTTTTATAGCTTTTCGTTCGCCCCATGACGACATGTAATCCAGACTGTGCTTACAGATCAGTCCAAGTAAATACTCGTAAGTCCAATTTACATAAAGGGAAAGAAAATTCGACTTAGCAAATCAAGAAGCTTGGTTTACATCACCGAAGACGAGTGTCAACACAAGGAGGGCTCTCCACAGCTAACACCTCCCGATGGGGAAGTCATACTTCTTGGCATCGGTATTTGTCACGGGATGGACCCTACGATGGATCAGATCGGGAATTCAAGTTTTAGCGTAAGATGCATTCTAATGGTCCGCAGCTTACAGAAGAGGAGCGGCTATTACCAGCACTTCATTAGTCTATCCTTGGGTCTGTAAGCCGTAGTTCTCTCAAAAATATGTGGTACATCCTCTCCAGTAAACTTGTTAGACCGATCGATTTTGGCCCACCGCTAAACTGTACCATCGCAAGCACACCTTCTAAATGTTTCCGAGCAATGATTTGTTCCCCTGAATTCACCTGGAAGACATTACGTCAGCTGCCTCTTCCTAAAAATGACGGGGCGGATGCAAACTATCTTGAGCAAACTCACCTCATCTATGGCAAGTGCTAATGCCTTGGCAACACTCATGGCGTTGACACAAATCGGCGTACTCTCAATTTCCAAGCGCAATGAGCGGAGGCATATCTGCTTGTAACAAAGAACCATTCGCATGTAGGTCGGGTCGCTAGGCCGGTCGTGTAGAACGTAGCGACATGTGCTCAGAAGAATAGCAACAGTCATAAATATGTCGTCATTAACAGCAAGGCCGACCCATTCTCGGAGCATCTGACTCTGGTGGTCGCCGTCATAATCAAACAGACCACAGTGTCCGATGGAGTACGGCATAACAACTTGGATATCTACAATCAAGTCAGGCAAATAAAAACACAGGCGTTTTTGTTAGGCATGTTGGTGTGACATGCCCAATCTAAAAGCGTGAAAGGTATCTGTGGACATACAGTGATCCAGTAGGAAGTATTCCTCGGATGATAAAGGTCTTGCCAAGGACGAAAATGGATCCCCGCTGGTAGCAAACCTCGGGATTGAAGGGCTGGAGAAGCCGATCTGTGAGGTCGTCCGGTCCACTTCCATGTCGGCATTTGTTAATTGATCCTGGTATCTTTGGGTTCGTAAGCGTCGTTTCCTGGCATGAACATGGCGCATAACATGTGAATGGTTCGACTTTCGAGATTTAGAGGCAACTCGTTCTGTCGGCGTCGAAGCACTGACGAACTGAAATTGGCGTGCCATAATCAGTTTGCTACCCAGATTGTCACATAAAACTCTTTTTGTTAGGTAGTTACACATTCCGTGCATTACAGCTGAGGTGAAGAAAGCAGGCGGCGAGAGAGTTTAGGAACATGAACGTACATCTCTGTTCATGGATTTGTCAGAAGCGGGCCGTGCCAAGCCTTATGACTTCCAAATTCGGACCTACTAAAAATATCGAGCCAATGTCCCAAAATCAGAAAGGCAGAGGCCAGACCCGTCACGTGGGTAAATACTTGTTTGTCAGCAGACACTGGTCTCTGATGGTGACTAGGATCATGACTAATAACTCGTTTCGATGTAGCAGCAGAGAACTTACCCGGGATCGCAACTTCGGCGACTTCTCAGCGAACCGAAGGACAGCAAGGCGCGCGGCAAGTGAGTTGCAGAGTAACGTGGTACATCTACGCTACTAAACAGACTATCCAGACGTAAACAAAATAAAACTTCACCCTGCATCAACTGAAATGATCGGTGGTTGTTTGTTTTACTAAGCGATCCCAGATCCATACAACCCACACCAATGAGACGCAGCTTTCAGGTGCAGATATGCCAAGAGTGAGTTCTATACAATGTCCGATCATACAATATCCATATTATATAGTGATGTCCATGATATAAAAATCCCATTCAAGGCCCTGCTGGCTAAGCTATTAAAGTAGGCGGGGGAGTACCTAACAGTAAAATACCACCGAAGAGGGTAGCGACATTGTTCGAGGTAAGAAGATAAGACGGCTAGGATTGAGGTGAGAGGAACTACCGTATAATTTCGCAAAATTCGGGCGAGACGAGCCCCATAAATCGTGGGTTTCCGTAAGCTTCTAAACTCCTTATAGTAAATTACGGGCCATGATCTGTTCACAGTGTTATGAACAGAGGAAATCGATTCGCAGCTGCACTCAATTTAGCGGGGCTTGCCTCGCTCGGATTTTGCGAAATTATATGGTAGAGGCGGTCAGTAGCTCTGCGAATATTCTCCTTGTCCTTAACTCCCTCAGATTAAGGAGCCACTGTGGAGCTGACTCTGACACTGGGAAGAGAGGTCAGCCCTAGGCCATCTCGATGGCTTTAATCTTAAGAGTTTAGAGAGGTCTCTTGGTCTTTACGGTGCTAGCAGCTGGAATTTTAGGCCTAAGTTTCAAGAAAATCCAATGAACTCTCTAAAGGTCAGATTTTGTGGCTATTTGTGCTCTACCAAGTGATGAGTCCGATAAGTACCTGTGTATGGTGGCCTGACCCTAGTCCTGGACTAACAGCGCGAGAGGAGGGGGAATTTTACAGGGGAGATCGAATCTTACACGGTTATAACGAGGTTATGACATCTGTCGCATTATTCTTTGCTTACTCTTCTTTCAATGTCAGCAGAGAGTTGCCGTTCACACAATGAGTAACAAAAACAACATCACCAGCGTCGCGCTAGCCGGAGTATATCTCCCCTCCACCAAGTTTACTGTCCGTAGCTAACCCGGTCAAATTGAATATAGAAAGGTCGTTTCGGCTCCGTCGTCCTGGACGAGCTTCTTGGGGCTGGCTTCAGAGTCACTGTCTTGACGCGGTCGGCAGCCGGCATAACCGGCGTCCCCGAACAAGTCAAGGTCGTCCAGGTGGACTACACCTCCGAGGAGTCGCTGCGAAAGGCAATCCAGGGCCACGATGCAGTAGTCTCGACCGTCGCCGGTGCCGCCGTCGCGAGCCAGAAGCCGCTCATCAATGCTGCCATCTCCGTCGGGGTGAAACACTTCATCCCAGCCGACTATGCCATGAGCCTCCGAAGCCCTGACGTGCGGAAGCTGCCTCCGTACACGGACGTTCACGCAATCGAGGAGTACCTGGAAGCGAAGTCGGGCCAAATGGAATGGACGATTGTCGCTTGTGGTGGCTTCTTGGAGTATATCTTCGATCTGCCATTTGTAGTTGATTTCGGTAACCGCAAACTGGACATGGTGAGTGGAGGAACAGCCCAGTTCAGCACCTCCAAGTTCATCACGGCAGCCAAGGCCGTAGCCGGCGTTCTCCTTCAACCTGACAGGGTCAAGGATCATTGCGTCCAGGTCCATGCCATACCGATAACTCAGAGCCAGATTTGGGAAATCATCAAGAGGAACGATAAGAGGTTGAGCGAGTGGACAGTCACGGAACAGGATGGTGATGCCAAGTTCCAGGCAGGTCTGGATATGCTGAAAAGAGGTGAACTGACCATGGAAGCTGTTTCTACTCTAATGGCAGGCGCTACATGGGGTGGCAAGTACAAAGTGGTGTTTGACGAGACTGATAACGACTGGCTGGGGGTTGAGACGATCTCTGAGGAGGAACTGGAAGAAATTCTCAAGAAGAAAATCGAAGGGGGAATTTCCTCGATTGCTTCGGACACGATTGTATCTGAGTTCTGAGTCTTTATAGTATAACCTTTGAGCTTAGCTGCTTAAGTGATGAGCAAAACAATCCAAAGGCAGGGCATGCTCAACCTCATAGACTTGGATTTCCGGGCTTATTTATACACTCTTATCAAATGCCAACGCAGCATGTTTGTCCTACTCACGTAAATATGAGAGTGCTATCACTTCAGAACGGGTAAAACAAGGCGAATTTGAGTACGCGATGCTGACTGTATTTATTGCTGCTATCAATGATTCTTTTTTCTATGCACCTTAGTATCCGAGAAGGGTGAAGGTAGAATACTAGGTAACTCTTGACATGATTAATTAATATATGTTAGTTATAGTAAGGTAAGTGAGAGAGCTATGCAGCTACTGAAAAAAAAAGGGGGGAAAGTCCCAAATACCAAGAATTTAACAACTTGACACCATACCCAGTATCACAACACATTAAAATATATGTTAGTTATACCTACCCCTTAATGATATATAAAAACAATAATTAATAATTTTATACTCTTTAAAGATCTTTCTTTATTTAAGGCATGAACCGAATTAAAAAGAGAGAGAGGTTCCTTATAAGGAAAGTATTTAGAACTCTTTTCATAGTATCTCTCAAGGCTATAGCTAGCTTTAATAACAGGGGCGATATAAGTAATTAACTCACTTATCAATTATAAGTTAAGGTCTTGATGAAATAAAGGAAAAAGTAAATATTTTCTATATTGGCCGTGAGAAACAGCCCCTTTTACCATTCATCATCCCAGAGCGTTGAAACCTCTGCTCGGGTGATTATTCCAGTGCAAGATCTCAAGCATAACGTGAGCCGGTTTGGATTTGATCCGATATCCTCGACACATTATTCTCAACCAATATCTCCGCGCTCTCGGCCGAATTAGACCCTTATATATCACGTTTGTAAATTTGATTCTAGAGGCCTTGGTCTAAGCAGAGCAGAGTCATCATTTCTACGAAAGAAAACCTGCCTGGAACCATCAACTCTATTTCTATTTCATCAAACTCTATACTGCGAGTCTTGCTCAAGATGCCTGCCGTCAAGTCAACGAATCTCAACGCAAATCTGGATGTGGTCACCTTGCATTCTACGGCGAAAGTTGTTGCGTCGACCCTGAGTGAACCACCCGATGGCGGGTTGACGGCATGGCTGAACGTGGTTGGGAGTTTCTTCCTTGTATTCAATACATGGGGCATCATCAACGCCTTTGGTGCTTACCAGACATACTACTCCTCTGGAGACCTTTTCTCGGCATCTTCCTCGTCAGTCTCTTGGATTGGCTCAATCGAAACGTGCCTGTTGCTTACAACTGGATTCCTTTCTGGCCCCTTCTTTGACCGCGGTGGTCTTCAAACGCTCCTGGTCACAGGTTGCTTTTTGATTGTGTTTGGGCACATGATGCTGAGCATTTGCAAGACATACTGGCAGGTGATGATGGCACAAGGTGTCGTTATTGGCTTGGGCACGGGCTGTTTGTTCGTGCCTTGTGTAGCTATTCTACCTCAGTACTTCAAATTGCGGATGGGACTGGCATCAGGCCTCGCCATTGGCGGGTCGTCAATTGGTGGTAAGTGGTCTAAATACGCGATTTCCTGAATGTCTGGACTGACTCCAAGCTCCCAGGAATCATCTACCCCATTGTCTTCTACCGTTTACTTGACAACATAGGGTTCCCTTGGGCTGTCCGGACTGTTGGATTCATCGCCTTAGCAACTCTCATCGTGCCCATCTCGCTACTGCGCATGAGGGTGAAGCCGGCCAAGGCTCGAACCTTGGTCGACTGGAGCGCTTTCAAAGACGCTGATTTTGTGTCTTTAGTAGCTGTCGGCTTCCTCGCCTATACGGGCTTGTTCGTACTTCTGTTCTATATCTCTCTTTTTGCAGCAGATTCGATGATCACGGATGTGTCACTCGCTTTCTATCTGGTCGCTATTTTCAACGCTGGATCTTTTGTTGGACGAACCGTGCCGAATGCCCTCGCGGACAAAACCGGACCCTTCGACATAATCTCTGCTGGAGCCTTTCTGGTCAGTGTCTTTGAGCTCTGCATGATTGCAGTGGATAATCAAGCTGGTTTAATTGCTTTGTCGGTTGTTGCTGGAATCTTCAGTGGAATTCTCATCGGAATCCTGCCACTGTGCTTTATTACCTTGACCACAGACAAGTCCAAAATTGGGACGCGAGTGGGAATGGGTTTTGCGCTTTTGAGCCTTGGTGTACTTTGCGGAGGGCCCGGCGCCGGCGCCATTCTGGGACTCAATGAAGGATCGAATTGGACGGGAGTCTGGGTTTTCGCAGGTGTGGTTACGTGCGTATCTGGTCTTGGATTCCTTGCTCTTAGGATCAAGGTGTACGGCATGAAGTCAATCCTGAAGGCCTAACGGTTGTATTGACCCAACGTGTTGCCCATTTCTGGGATCTCACAGCCTTGATCACCACCACCGCTACTGCTACCTTATTGCGTTTCAGCTCTGCATAAGAGTATGCTATAGAAACTTACGGGAAAGCACTATTCGGCCTGTCGTCTCCCATGATTGCCTGCGCCGCCTACCACTATGGATGGTCTCGAAATGACTACCAGCAGCTCGCCCACGCTTTCGTGGCGGGCCATCTGATAAGTGCTCGACGTACGCGACAGGCGGTAACTTCTCTGGCTTCAAGTCGCTGTTCGGGGACCTCTCCAACATCGGGTTCCCCATCGCCGAGATTCTCCCCAGCGGCGAGTTCTTCATCACCAAGCAGCAGGGTACGGGCGGTATGGCCACCGTAGATACCTGCAAGGCCCAGCTCCTGTACGAGATCCAGGGGCCGTACTACTACCACTCGGACATCGTGGAGGGCATAAAGATGGAACAAGCTGGTGTTGACAAAGTGTAAGCAAGCCACAACGCTCAAGCGTCAGCAATCCTTTGCGAGAGTATCACAATTGCTAAGTCATTCCAGCTTCGTCTCCAACGTGGGGAGCAAACCGCCCCCTCCCACGACCAAGGTCGGCCTCACCGCAAAGGGCGGCTTTCCAGCCGAGGCACACTACTTCCTGTGCGGACTGGACATCGAGGAAAAGGCCAGGCTTCTAGAAACACAGCTCCGTCCCGCTCTACGGCAGTCCAACTTCCATTGTCTTAAGTTCCGCACCAACGGACGCTGCCCAGACGACCCCAAGAACCAGGACGCAGCGACGGTCGACTTCCGCATATTTGCCCAGGCGCGCGAGGAGGCGGACCTGGCGGCCCCCCGGTTCCTTGAGCCCATCATGAATAACATCATGCAGGGCTACCCAGGCGCCACGTTCGCCATGAACGCGCGACAAGGCCTGCCGAAGCCGTACTACGAGTACTGGGTCGCGCTGCTGCCGCAGGCGCGCATCAAACACGTCTGCCACGTGCCATCCAAGGGGCTTGACATTCCCATCGCTGCGCCAGACGACACCGAGATCTTCATCCACAACCAGCCGAGCTATGAGACTTCCTCTGCTCTTGGCCCGGACTCGTTTGGACTGACTGTACGGGCGCCGATTGGATACATCGTGCATGCTCGTTCTGGCGACAAGGGATCCGACTCGAACGTGGGCTTCTTCGTCCGCCACGAGGACGAGTGGGACTGGCTCAGGAGCATTCTCACGGTTGCCATGCTGAAGGAACTACTGGGAGAGGACTACGGCGGAAACCGCGTCTTTCGCTTCGAGTTGCCAAACATTTGGGGTAAGTGACGGCCTTGTTACATTACCTACGTCTGAACAGTCGACTGACCTCGTGACAGCGGTACACTTCCTTCTCAAAGTCTATCTGGATCGGGGCGTTGGCGCAAGCTCTACATACGACGTGCTGGGGAAGAATGTAGCCGAGTACCTGAGGAGCAAGTACGTTGATATTCCAAAGGTATTTCTAGAGCGTGGACGGATATGATGGGGCCAAGCTGGTTGAGAGTGGCCAAGACCATCAATTCAACAATTTTACGAGATAAGAGTTTTGCATGAACAAAAATGACGCTTGATGATCAAATACGCTTGATGATCAAATACCCCGACCGGCGGCTAGCCCTTGTGACTCCCTAAATGTCTGCAAGGGTAGTCATAGCGAGTGGCAGCCTTCTGCTCTGGTCTTGCCCAAAGAGATAGAAGCCCTGGCGTAGATCATAGCTTCAAGAGCAACCAGTGTTCATTCATTAATTGTGCCTCGACAGGTGACGCTTTAATGCCTCCTAGACTAATTTTCATCAGCTATCATCGATTGCCATCGTGGACTCCTCGACTCTGGACAAGGTACACTGCTGAGTTCTGTAGGACGTCATATAAAACACATCCTACAGAACGGTGGCTTTTATATTATAAAGCTTTGGCTATTCACTAAGAGTCTCCATCCTACGAAGATTTCCTTTCAAAGGTCAGTTCCAGTCTCTGGATTATACGCTTTATAAACCTGAATTGCCCCTTCGATGCTTTGAACTAACCCAAAGAACACAGTAAATCCGACTGCGACCCAGAGGCCGTACCACTGTGTGCCTTCTCTTCTATCGTTCCACCACTGTCGCATTGTTCTCGGCTTGGCCGAATCAAACAATTCCTTCAATCTGAGAAGCTTGTCATGCCAGTATCGATATTCGTTGATATCCCTCATTAGCAATTGACCGCAGTCTAAAACGTTGGAGTCTGCATCAGCCAAACCCGGCTTCAAATGCTTCTCGTACCATTTGATGCTCTCATTATACCAGCTATTCTGTGGGAACAGTAACGCCAGTGTCTGGATTGTTTCTTCGACGAAGCCAGCGGGAAACAGCGGGTGTTCTTGATTTTTAAGAAACGAAGCGTGGTGGAAAATCATGACGGTGGTGTGGCCTCTAAAATCAACGACTTCAAGGTGATCCAGGAGGTTGTTCGTGAGCTCGACCTTCAATCCTGCAATCACGCTCAGATTTCGTGCGTTGAAATCATCGCTGAGCTGGATTCTCTCATTGCGGGCAGAGGTTTGAACGGGGAAAATGCTCGCAGTGAAGCTATACACGTCCCCCTGGTCCCAGCATCGGTACGAGCGCCCGGTCCAGATTCTATCTACCGGTGGCTTCCCAACATCTACCATCAGGAGCAAGCTGGCGACTAGGTCCAGAGTCTTTCCTAGCATCTCCGATTTTTCGATTTTCGAGTTTGCCGTGATGTTGCCGGCAAGAGAGTCGCAATTATCAATGATCTCGTGGCGCTGTAACCCTTCCTTTATCTTTTGAACCACAAGCAAAATGTCATCGTGTTTCGTAACAGGGAGACATGATCGGAGAGCATGATACGCGGCTCTGCATTGTTGTACATAGTACTCAGCGTGTGGCTGGAGATTTGTTGGTTGGTAGCTGTCAGCTGAAGCTCCAGCCCAAAAAGCAGAGGCAATTTTCAGCTGTGTGGCAGGCAAAATGGAGGAGCAAGTCTCCATCATCTGTGTCATTTGTACAGAGGACCCTTTCTGAGGCGATGTCATGGCAGATTTCGAATTGCTCTTCTGTGAAGACGACCGCACGAAAGTGAATTTCAGCATGAGCTCGTGAGATTATGAATGCAAGAAAATGGAGCGAAGTACTGCGCCGCCGCCCCTATTCTGTGCATGATATTTTACGGCTGATAGGCTAGCTAAGAGGCTTTCAAAAGTGCAGACGCCTGCAGATCGGCCTATGAACGATGAGAACACAACTGTGTGGGAGTGGCTGGGGCTGGCTGCGTGTCTCAGTTCTCACCCAACCTACCCCTCATGACCATCAGCCCCAAGATCGATGCTCATGGTTCTCGTCATCCATCTCCGTTGGGCTGATTGAAACCAAAAATGAAAGAGCTGGCCCTGAACACTTCACAATAGGTTTTCGCCATGAATCTGTTCAGAAAGCAGGAGAAGCCTTTCTTAACCGACGTCGCGCAGCACGTCGGTGCGTACCGTGGGCAAAGCGACGGTCTCAAGTGGTGGGAGGTCAAAGACAATCAAGCCGGCCCATTCACTGGCATACTCGAGCAAGTTCAGCAAGAGCTGTCTAGCTGCGCGTCAATTGATCGGTGTCGCATAATTCTCGTCGACCTGTTCCTCCGTGGTAGGACCATGGAAACGAGCGTCGCGTGTGTCATGATCGGCGGAACGACACAGAAGCAACGCAAGAAGGCGGTCAAGCTGCTCCGACGAAGCTCTCTACTCGAGAGATATCCCGGGTTGAATATAGAGGAATGGGAGTCCCCTCCCCATGTCCCAAATATCATCATAGCGGGTGATAAAGACAAGCCAGCGGATGATTCACCTATCTACCAAAACTCGGATTTCTCTCTTTGTGAGGTTGCACCCACAACTACAGGCGGCGAAACCCTTCTCTCAATACACTCTAAAAACGAAATTGGACAAAAATTACAGAGTGGGACTGTTAGTTGCCTCGTGTCGGTTAGGGACAGAAAGTTTCTTTATTCACCAGCACATATTTTCCTCCCCTTGCCGCCGGAGGAGCCGGATGAGGGCGAATTTCCGGATGATTCGAGCTCTGATTCAGATTCTGAGTTGGAGTTGATGCGGTCTGGAAGCGTTACCCCTGCTTACCTCCGCTCTGAATCTGAGGACGCAACAAGTGACGTTGTGCTCCCGGTTGTCCCCCCCCCTACGAATCCCATCAGTCTGCGTGAGCCTGTCCTTGATAGGCAGAACGTCGAGATATTCTCTATCGATCTTGATTACGCTCTGCTATCTGTTCCACAAGGTCTAAATCTGACCGAGCAGCTATCTGAAATCTCCAGGGAGACAGTCGTGAAAGTCAAGAACGCTGAGGTTAGCTTTACAACGCCTAATAATGGCGCGATAACTGGTTTGTTGAGCGGAAGACCAACTCCGATGAGCCTACCACACACCCACAAATTCGTCAATGTGTATCCTATCCAGTGCTTTGGCCCCGTGGTCCGAGGAGACTGCGGCTCGATGGTGTCTGACAAAGACTCGGACAACGTATTCGGATTCATTGTTGCCACGAGCGTCGAAGGCAGAGTGGCTTATATTGTGTCAGCCGATGACATATTCAGCGACATTGAAAGCAAAATTACTAGCCACCGTGTGCCCCAAACGGAAGGGAAATCCATCAGCGCAGTCCGGCACGTAGCTGCTTCTGATGAAGGGGCTAATGTCTTGTCAGATATATTCAGTCAAATGGTGTCCTCTGATTATACCGCTCCAACTTCCAATGTAACCAGGCTCCTTGGGGGTTACGGTTGGCGCTCTGAACAAAAAGAGCGGGCTGATAATCTCATACTTGAACATCCAGAGCATGGCTCCCTCCTCGACTTCTTCGAGAAAAAATCGCCACCATACAAGCCGGATGAAATACTCTCTTTTTGGACCAGCTTTGCCGGCCTTGCTGAAGGATTAGCACTCATTCATGAGCAGCGTGGATCCACTGGGTATGTCGCTACACGGATCGAAAACTGTTTTCCTCTTTACTTTGAGTTCAATTCCTTGCTAACTCGGCTCAAATTCAAGGCTCCATTCGGACCTCAAGCCCGCCAACATTATCATATCATCTGTAGATGACCCTTCTTTCAATCTCAAGATCAGGGACTTTGGTTTCAGCCACATTGCTCCTAAAAACAAAGGCCCAGATGGCTCCAAAGCAGCTCGAAACATTGATCAGTGGACATCTCAGACCTACGGTAAGACCCTCAGCTGTATTCTGATTATATTGCCCTTACAAGATGCTGATTTTCTTCCTTAAAGCCCCCCCCGAATACGTCCTAACCGACGAGATAAAGCGCTATGCCGGGTCAGAGTTTGACCTGTGGTCACTCGGATGCATCTTTCTCGAATGTGCTGTTTGGGTTAGCCTTGGGGAAAGAGGCCGCCTAGACTTCATCAAAGATCGAATTAGAGAAACTGACAACCGTAGTGACAACATGAAATCGGATCGCGGAGATTGTTTCCATGACGGGACAGGCGTTTTGCGCTGTGTTCGAGAATTCGGCCAGCATATTCGAGACCACGGCCGACGTGACGACGAGACGACATCCCAAATATTCGATTTGGCCCTCAGGGAGCTGCTAGTGGAGAAATACAAGCGAAGGTCTGCGCGGTATATGTATTCGGCGATGAAAGCAATCATCGATACGGAAGCCCATCGAAGAACGAACTCGTTTTCCAACGCAAAGAACGGGGTGTTGACTAGGCGGCATGGTTCGATAACTGAACCGCCGATGGTAGCCTCTCCCATATCAGAGGAAGAACATATCTCGCCTGATACATCCCGAACAGACCCGGAAGCTCGATCGCCAGGTTCAGAGTCAAACCTTGAAATGTCAACTGCGGAGCACGGATCATCTCAGAAAGAAAGCCCCACGATTGACGATATAAGTAAATGGATACGAAAAAAGAAGATCAACGGGAACACGTCAGAGTTGCCGGGATGGGAAAGTGTTCAAGCTCAGCTGAAGGGTCGCGACTTCGTAAGTGGGAATCGCCAGCAACTGAAAACGACTAATCTGATAAGGATCAATGGCTCATGAGCATTTATAGATCTTCGTTATCGACAATTGTGAGACGATGCAAGTCTACGAGGACCAGGTCAAGGCTTTTGTCCACTGTCTTGCTTATCTCGTCAAGAGACTCGACCCAGATGGGGCAGAAATCATGTGTACATCAGACCCGATGACTCGAGCGAAATACAAAAACTCCACCGGTCACTCCAATTTTGTCGCAGAGAATTTCAGTCGAGGGAAGGGGGGGCATTGCAACATGGAGTTTGCCCTTGAGAAAGCACTCGACCCAATCGGTGACCAGTTGCAGAATTCTGTGTCAAAAGGCAATAATAGGCGAACATCATTGCGTAGCTTCCCTGGGAGACTCATCGGCCGTCAGAGACCGGTCACAGTTATTGTGTTCACTGATGGAGTCTGGGGCTCCTCTATCGGAGGCGGCGCTGAGAACCCAATCGAATCACTCATTCGTAAAATGAGAGATCATGGGGTCAGCCGGTCAACTGTTGCCATACAGTTCCTAAATTTTGGCTCGGATCCAGTTGGCAGACGAAGGCTGGAATACCTAGACGATGACTTGCCCAATAAAGACAGGAATTCAGGAATGTAAGTCTCCCCAGGCCTCAAACTACATATACATCGCTAACCAATACTTTTTATCATAGCGACATCGTCGACACTAAAGCTGTTACTGAGAGTATTTGGGATATACTGATTGGCGCCGTAGATGAGCATGTGGATGGGACAATACGGTCGCGCACCTTTTAGGTCCACAAACACTAAGGAGGTCATGGGCATAAAGGTTTTAATTATATCAAGATACCCATGGTCATAAATTATGTTTCAGTATGTTCCGATTCAAGTCGCCAGGGATGTCGTTCTAATTTCTTCACACGTTATTTCTAATAATACCTGGTATTTTTCTAAACGACGAACAACCACCTATAGGTACGGCTAAGCGGGGAGAGCTCCACTAACAGTTAGGGGGCTCAGGGCCTTCATCCACTAGACACGATCCATGGATGGATGGATTACATACGCGCGATTACGCTTTGGTGCATCCCGCCTGTAGATCGCATCTTGGTCAGCACCATGATGCGACGGCTGACAGGCTATTAATACACTCGTGCTATTGTTCCCGAGACTAGCTGCCTCTGATGGATGTGAATGGGCGACACGGTTGGCTTCTCCTCTTCTACCGCCATCGAAACCCTCCAGCAGCATCCAGCCGGCCGTGTCGACGCTGCTGCAGAGGAAGCAGGACCACCCCTGCACCATGGCCGCCTTCAAATTCCCCAGCTTCTTCGCCAGGACCCCGGCAGCCGACCGTCGCTTCCCTTCCATCTACCGCCCCCTCAACCAGACCGACATCGACCACGACCACGACGATGACGATGCTACCCGCCACCATGGCGCCGCCCCAGGGGAGCCTCTCGACACTGCTGCCGGCAGAGGAGCAGCGAGTACTACCGCTCCCCGCGATGCCGCAGCCATGATGCTCATCAAGCTCGGCCACGATCCCTCCCACCGCATCCCCATCTCCTCCTCCACCAACGACCGAATCCTGCGCCGAATCGACCTCGCCCTCCTCCCCCTCATGCTCACTGTATACTTTCTCCACGCCCTCGACAAAGCTACACTCTCCTATGCCTCCATCTTCGGCCTCATCGAGGACACCAAGCTCGAAGGCGACCAGTTCTCCTGGCTGGGCAGCATTGTCTACGTCGCGCAGCTCATCTTCCAGCTGCCTGTCGCCTGGGCCCTCGTCAAGCTGCCGGTGGGCAAGTTTACAAGTCTCATGGCGCTGGGCTGGGGAATAACGCTGACGGGGATGGCCGGTGCGAAGCGATTTCCCCATCTCTTGGGAGCCAGGTTCTTGCTGGGGTCGTTTGAGACCAGTATCGGGCCTAGCTTTGTTGCGATTACACAGATGTGGTGGAGGAGGAGAGAGCAGACGCTGCGGATAGGGTCCTGGTACTGCATGAACGGGCTCTCCTGGGTGGTATGTTATGCATCCCCGATCAACCAGGTTCTGCGCTGACAATTGCTCAGCTAGGAAGTCTAATTACATACGCCCTCGCCAGTATCCATTCGGGTTTGAAGTCATATCAGGTACTTGACACACCTACCCCTGCCATGGCTTAGTTACTGAGACATTGCAGATCATCTTTCTCTTCTTCGGCCTCGTGACGGTTGCATTTGCCTTCATCATGTTCTTTCACATGCCCGACTCGCCCACGGAGGCCAAGTTCCTCTCGGATGAGGATAAAGTCATTGCCATTGAGCGCCTACGAGATAACCAGATGGGAGTCATGTCGAGGGAATGGCGATATAGCCAATTCTACGAAACCCTGCGTGACCCCAAGACCTGGCTGTGGACCGCAATGATCTTTTGCGCCTCTGTCCCATCCAATGGCATTGGGATCTTTGGCCCTCTCATTATCAAGTCATTCGTATCTGACCCTTTTCAGACGACCTTGTTCAACATTCCTGTGGGGTTCGCACACATGATAGCCGTCACCGGCAGCGCGTACCTGTCCATGAAGTGGAAACTGAAGGGTCCGGTCCTCGTCCTTCTATGCATTCCTCCCATTATCGGCCTTTCGATTCTTCTGAGCTTCGGGCACACCAGCGAGAACAAGGGCGTGCTCCTGTCTGGGTTCTTTTGCGTGTGCACGTTCACAGGTATTAGTATGTGCTCCTATCACACCGTGTTTGACTCGCGGACCTCTGAACGCGCGGCTAACCGAGTTGCAGCGCCGTTGATTTATTCATGGTCGTCGCAAAACACGGCGGGAGACACCAAGAAGAAGTCCACGTCAGCCCTCATCTTCATCGGTTCCTCGGCCGGTAACATCATCGGCCCTCTATTATTCACGCCCGGGGAGCATCCTGCCTACACCCGTGGCTTGCGTGCGAACATTGCCTTCTTCAGCATGGTTATCCTCCTCGTTATCGTAACGTCAGTCTACATCAAAGCGTTGAACAAGTCACATAGTCGGAGGCGGGTAGCGCTTGGGAAGAACGCGGTGGTGAGAGACTTGAGCCTGGAGACATCCGAGTCAGTTGATGTGTTTGACCACTTGCACACTGGGGACGAAGGTGGAGGTGATGACGAGTCGGGGTCCAAGGCGTTCAGCGATGCTACTGATTTGGAGAATGAAGACTTTGTGTATGTCTTTTGAGTGGGATTTTCTACCATCCATCTACGCTTCTTTTTGATCAATGGGCCGTTTTGGAGTTGTTTGGAGCTGAGGTTTGGCGTTTGCTTGCAAGATAAATTTTTCATCGACACGATACCCACGGATGATAGACAGTCATTTACAGCAATGAGTTTGACTTTTGACCTGCATGCCACTACTTAAGCTTGAATGTTTCTTGTTGATGCCGAGACGCATTGTTTTATCCGTGATCCACCCTTTTGATGCAGGCAAACAGATGCAGGTCTTGGCTTTTGAGCGGTGAAGTAATCATTGGCTGAGGGAGGGGCCACCAGTCTGAGGTACTTGTGTGGATGGAAGGAACAGAGGTACGAAACGTGATGACGACTTCTTAGGAGAGACGAATTCACAGTCAGAGATAATTTGCTCATCGTTGATCGGAAACTCAATATCCGAATCGAAGGCAAGATTGCCTGTGTTGGGTTGCAATATGACGCCTCCTGAGAGCATTCCAGTGTGAATGTCGATCGTGAAGCACCCTTAGTGGAGGCATCTACAGCAGGGACCAGTCACGGACTTACAGCGCTTTTGGGCTATTAAGTGCCCAACAAATAGCGTGAGAAGGCGCACCGCCACACTCCAGGTCCCTCTCGCCTCCAGTGAATAGCAGTACCTGCAGCTCGTCCACCACCAACAGCACGCCGTGTCGCAGGTCCCTGGCGGATGACGACGCTGCCCAGCCCGAACTATCCGTTGCGGTGCATAAGCTGGTCCGACGTGGCTGAAGCTCTACCCCAGCTCAGCCCAGTCCAGGCCCAGCCTCATTCACAGCTGACATCTCTCCCACATCACGTCCTGAGCTGTCGCCGTCGACCTAAAGCATCAATCACGTATAAATAAAAGCTCGTCGTCCGCTTTATTTTTGGATTTCTATCTTTATTGCTCCCATCTCTACTAACCCATCCCTATCCATCGGCGTGGCCATCCTCATTCCACCACGGCAGCCCAACAGAGCCAGCGACGTCACTACCCTACACTCCGGAGCTTCATCGTTGGCATCGCAGTCCTCGTTGCGGCGCTCCTGTACACCGCATTCGCCTCAAGAGACTGGACTCCAGATATCAAAATGGGTGGAGGTCCTATTCCAGGCTACCGCACTGTAGCCTACTACGTCAATTGGTAAGTAGGTGGACTGGCAGGGCGAACAAGCTTGATCGCCAGATATTGCCCCGCCCCCGCCTCATCGTGTTGTCTCTGACGCTCACTGCTCACACCATTGCCTTACAGGGCTCCCTATGGCCGTAAGCACAAACCGCAGGACTTGCCCGTTGAGAACCTCACCCACGTTCTTTACTCGTTTGCCAACGTCCGTGCTGAAAATGGCGAGGTGTATGTTCCCACCCCACCCCTTACTTGAGGTTGGATGGCATGGCATGTAGAAGGTGGCGCTGACGAGCATGCACACTTTAGATTCATGACAGACGATTGGGCCGACACTGGCATTCACTTCGACGGAGATTCCTGGAATGACACAGGAAACAACATGTACGGCTGCCTCAAGCAGCTCAACCTGCTCAAGCGCCGGAACCGCAACCTCAAGGTCCTCATCTCCATCGGTGGATGGACCTACAGCTCCAACTTTGCAGCCCCCATGAGCACCCCCCAGGGCCGCAGCGCTTTCGCCAAGACTAGCGTCGACTTGGTCCGGAAGTTTGGCTTTGATGGTATTGATATTGACTGGGAATACCCCAAGAACGCCGACGAAGCTCGCAATTTCGTCGAGCTCCTGGCCGAGTGCCGTAGAGAACTCGACGCCTACTCCCAGGCCGTCGCGGGCGGCTACCACTTCGAGATCACCGTGGCCTGCCCCGCGGGCGCCACCAACTTCGAGAAGCTCGACATCCCCAACATGGACCGCTTCCTCGACTTCTGGAACCTCATGGCCTACGACTACGCCGGATCGTGGGACTCGACCAGCGGCCACCAGGCCAACCTGTACCCCAGCCGCGAGAACCCCACCGCGACGCCCTTCTCCTCCATCGCGGCCCTCGAGCACTACGTCCGCAGCGGCGTCCGCCCCGACAAGCTCGTGCTGGGCATGCCCCTCTACGGCCGCGCCTTCGACAACACGGACGGCATCGGACGGCCGTACAGCGGAGTCGGCGAGGGTACGTGGGAGCAAGGGGTCCACGACTACAAGAAGCTGCCCATCCCCGGCTCGCAGGAGGTCTTTGACCGCGAGGCCCAGGCGTCTTACTGCTACAGCCCGGACCAGCGCAAGCTCGTCAGCTACGACACGCCGGGCATGGCGGGCCTCAAGGCCGACTTCATCAAGGGCAAGGGTCTCGGCGGCGCCATGTGGTGGGAGAGCAGCGCGGACAAGGCTGGTCCCGAGAGCCTGATCAGCGTCGTCGTCAATGGCCTCGGCGGCCCGCAGGCGCTCCAGAGGGTGGACAACTGCATCTCGTACCCGCAGACCCCGTACGATAACCTGCGCGAGGGCTTCCCTAACAACTGAGTGAGCATTACAGAAAGTAGCTTGTAGCTGGAGCTGGAGAGAGAACAGGCCCCACTCTCGGATCAGGAGCGAGTTTTTGGTTATAGGTAGTACATAGGTGCCTACATAGCAAGACTGGACCGGTATGCACGGGCGGAAACCTACTATTCATGAATAAAATGACATATTCTTTCTTCTTTAATTCTCTATTGGAAACAATACGCGGCACGATCACATTGATTGAATAGACGTCAATCTCTTGCCTTCACAATGGAGCATCACGTGATTCTGCAGCAGCCACCAGTCCTGGAAGAGAAGCGCAGTGGTCCGTGCGCACGGCTGCAAGCTTCGCTCCGTCTCGTTCGTCCAAAAATTTTGCTGGAAAAAAAGTGTGGAAAAAATCTACGCCCAGAATTGGAGGTAGCAAGAACTGACTTTCTGCTCTACAACCACCACGCGACCCCAATTCCACGCGACGCCTGATCCCAGTCGAGCGGCTCCGAGTATACAGGTCAATAATCCCCCGATTGTGCAGCCGCAACGATGTCGGAAATCGACTACGCCCTCTTCGAGGCGCCCGTCGGCTATGCCGTCTTCAAGGTCGTCCACCAGGCCGACGTGGTCTCGCTCAAGACCAAGGAGGGGCAGGAGACTGCCAATGACCTGTCCAAGTTTGGCAAGATGATCAAGATTGTCAACTTTAGCCCTTTCCGGTGCGTAATGGCCTGCAAGAACCCTACAGCGTCGTGTCTGGGGCAAGAGGAGACGACGAGGCAGAAAGTTCAATTGAAAGCTAACCAAGAGTCGTGCACAGTGGCCAGAAGGAGGCTTTGAGCAACATCAACGAGATTTCCGAGGGTCAGCTCCCCGAGTATCTCAAGGAGGTCCTTGAGATCAACCTCCCCAAGAGCGGAAAGAAGAGCAAGATCACGCTAGGTGTTGCCGAGAAGAACTTGGCAGGTGCCATCAAGAACGCCTTCCCTGGCCTGAACGCCCTCACTGCCGACACGTCCGATGTCTGCGCTGAGCTCCTCCGTGGTATTCGCGTCCACGCCAGCAAGTTGATCGAGGGTCTCAACGATGGCGATCTCGAGCAGGCTGGTCGTGGTCTCGGTCACGCCTACTCTCGCGGCCGTATCATGTTCGACCCCAAGCGCAACGATCAGTCTATCATGCAGGCTCTGGCGACTGTCGAGATTGACGACAAGGGCACCAACAACAGCTACATGCGACTCCGTGAAACCTACGGCTGGCACTTCCCCGAGCTCTCCAAGATCGAGTCGGACAACTACACCTACACCAAGTTGGTCCAGGCCATCGGTCGCAAGGAGGACCTCACCGACGACAAGCTCCACGACATCGCCGCCATTGTTGGCGAAGACGGCGAGAAGGCCCAGGCCATCATCGAGGCCGCCAAGATCTCCATGGGTCGCGAGCTTGGTGAGGAGGACCACAAGATGATCAAGGGCATGATCGAGCCTCTCATCTTCACCGCCGAAGCCCGCAAGCGCACCGCTCGTGACCTCGAGGCCACCCTCAGCACCGTCGCCCCCAACCTGCAGGTCCTCGTCGGCACCATGGTTGCCGCCCGCCTGATCAACGCCGCCGGCAGTCTCAGCACCCTGGCCAAGTACCCTGCCTCTACCCTCCAGATTCTCGGCGCTGAGAAGGCCCTCTTCCGTGCCCTCAAGTCCAAGTCCAACACTCCCAAGTATGGTCTCATCTACCACAGCACCTTCATTGGCCGTGCCTCGGTGCGCGACAAGGGCCGCATCTCCCGCTACCTCGCCAACAAGTGCAGTATTGCCGCCCGTATCGACTACTTCGCCGAGGAGCCCTCCACCAAGTGGGGTGAGGCTCTGAAGCAGCAGGTCGAGGACCGCCTCCAGTTCTACGCCACTGGAAAGCGCCCTGCCAAGAACTCAGATGTCATGGTATGTAATCCTCCAGGCAGCATAACTCTTCTCTCTTGTGTGAAGCTATTTCTAACCAGTCCGATAGGCCAGCGTTGACTCTTTCGGCGGACTTGCCAATGAGGGCGCCGACATTGACGACGCTAGCGATGCCGAGGACTCTGATGAGGAGATGGTCGACGCACCCGTCAAGGAGAAGAAGTCTAAGAAGAGTAAGGAGGAGAAGGCCTCTAAGAAGGAGAAGAAGTCTAAGGAGGATAAGAAGGACAAGAAGCGCAAGAGGGAATCTGATGCCGCCGAGCTGGTCAAGGCCGACGAGGACGGTGAGAAAAAGAAGAAGAAGAAGAAGAAGTCCAAGAGCGCCGACGATGCTTAGAGTGCATCCTCAGCCGTGGCAGGCCGGCAGCCATCGTCATCTCCCCAACCGGCTCCAGCATACCCGACCCAATCGCACAGTGATGATGCTGCGTCTTCAGCGGGGAAGAACAGGATGCGCAGCTCTGCATCCTCCGAAACCGTTGCACAATCTCCGTCTCCTCCTGCCGCCAATGCCTTCGAGGTCAACGAGGCGACGGTGAGCAAGTTGAAGAAGATGCTCTCCAACAAGCCCAAACTTCGGGCGCAGCTCAAGGACCTCGGGAAGACGCTGAGCGCCAAGCACTCCCGTGTCTCAAAACCGGAGCGGAAGGGGAAGAAGGCCAAGGCCGCCAAACTCAGCTCGACTGTGCTTCACTCTTTGTTACAAGAATGATGCTTGCTTTGATCATATTCTTTCTCATCATTTTCCTCTTTTTTGGCATTGTTTCTCACCACGGCCTACCCGGAGTTTTGAGACGGATTTCGCTGATTGGCTTTTTGGCACTGTATGAATTTCTTTTTGCCCATATGGGAGAGAAAAATGGGTGGTGATAGGCGTTACTATGGGTATAAATTATCTTCATTTTATTTTGAAAAAGTTGCCTTAATTATGTATCGTTCGTGTGCTTGTTCGATCATGTCTAGAAGAACGAAGGCTCATCGCAGCGATTCTCGTAGACAAATCCCTGAGCGCTCTACGGATACAATGGCTCAGATTCTACTGCGTACAGCAAGCGAAAGATTTGCTTCACGCGTGGGGCTAAGCCATAATCTCTGCAAGCAGCCGCCCAACAGCCCACCCGAATGGAAATTTTTTGTCGAATGGTGGGTGAGTGGGGTGTGATGAGATGTGGAGAGAATTGCAAAAGACGAATTTTAATTGACCAATGGACTCGGTTACGAGCAGGCAAAGAATGGGCACACATATTCACGGAAGGAAAGAGGAACGGTTGATTGTTTGTTCAAGCACTTCATTATCAGAAAAAGCCCGATGTGCTCTATGCTACATCAACGCCAATTTTTTGCAATTGCCCAGCCATCCGTCAGTCATCCCGTTGCGGTTAAAAAACACATCCAGTCCCAAGTAGCTGATTTATTGCTTGTCAAAGACGTAGGTGAGGTGGCAGCGGCCGCAGTACTGGCGGTCGGCCATGGCAGCCATGAAGACACCGGCACCGCACTGAGAAGAGGGTTAGAATCGTGTGGAAGTGAGAAATTGTCAGAGAGGAGGGGAACGTACGGTATCACTGGGGCACTCGCGGCGGAGACGCTCGATGCTGCCATCGGATCCGACCTTGTAGTACTTGAGGACGGCCAACTTGGTCTTCTTGCGCTTGTGCTTGATCTTCTTGGGGGTGGTGTAGACCTTCTTCTTGCGCTTCTTGGCGCCACCACGCAGGCGGAGCACGAGGTGGAGGGTGGACTCCTTCTGGATGTTGTAGTCGGAGAGGGTGCGGCCGTCCTCGAGCTGCTTGCCGGCGAAGATCAGGCGCTGCTGGTCAGGGGGGATGCCCTCCTTGTCCTGGATCTTGGACTTGACGTTGTCGATGGTGTCGGAAGACTCCACCTCGAGGGTGATAGTCTTCCCCGTGAGGGTCTTGACGAAAATCTGCATCTTGCCTGCCTGAGAGAGTCAGATTGGTTCATTGTTCCATCTTACTGTTCAATCACAGCAGAGCTGTGCGCTTCTTCAGGGTGGTGGTGACGGAAGGGAAGCCGCCATCACCAAGGCGGCGGCACTGCCCTTTCGCGCGGGAGGCTGCATTCGGGAGCTGGCGGCGATCGCGATGGTGACGACGAGCGGGTGGGAGGGTAGGTGGTTGGATTCAATGGCGAAGAAGCGCAAGCATCATCTTTCAGACATACCTCGACAATAGATGTTATTGCCGTCCTAAGCAATCCTCAGATGGTGCGGATGGTGTGGTTAAAAAAGATCACTGCGAGTCCCAGGCGGGAGAGCAAATCTGTACTGGGCCGGTGGTGCGCGTGTGGGCGGGCCCTCGCCCCAAGCCCTCCGTCGGCATCACATGACCTAGGGCACCTCGTTCTGCCCCAAGCGCTGCTTTTCTGCGTGCCCCGCCAGAAAAAAATATTGGCCCAGCAGTTGTGCGGGACCCACATATGAGGGCCTGGCTAGCACATTGAATTTACAAAGTGTGGTGGGCGAGCTTCTTTCCACCCTCCTACCAACTAACCCTCTCGACAGCAGGATCAAGTCAGTACGTTTTCTGTTCCCTCATCCAACAATCCAATTCAGTTTATTGACTGTTGTATCAGACACCGTCAAGATGGTCAAGAAGAGAAAGAACAAGTACGAATCCCTCCTGCCTCCCCTCATTGACTCAACGCACGTTTTGCAGCTTTGGCAGTTGAACGAATATCGAGCCTCACATCGGCACGATTTCCACAACTCGCTTCAGCAGCAGCAACTTGCTTGATCGATGGTCACACTTTTTGCGGATGAGCATTCTTGCTAACAACCACACAGCGGCCGCAACAAGAAGGGCCGCGGCCACGTCAAGCCCATCCGATGCAGCAACTGCTCTCGCTGCACTCCCAAGGATAAGGCTATCAAGCGCTTCACCATCCGTAACATGGTCGAGTCTGCTGCCATCCGTACGTCCCTTCTCTCTTCGATCGCTCCCCACGACAGCGAGTGAACTTCGCGGCTAACATGCGTCCTTTCCCAGGTGATATCTCCGATGCCTCCGTCTTCCAGGAGTACACCGTCCCCAAGATGTACCTGAAGCTGCAGTACTGCGTCTCTTGCGCTATCCACGGCAAGATTGTCCGGTACGTTGTCTCCCATGGGAGTGTTACAACTGCGCCTTGGTTGCGTATGTGCTTCAGAAGAGCCTTGGTCGCCATTTGGACACTCTCCTCCCTCCCGCCTGCACCTTTTCGCCGACTGTGCCCCCGCCGCCCCTGGCTTCGCTCGTCGTCGGAAAGAGGTACGTCTGATTTGACTTGCAATGCTGACAGTTCCCCCACAGTGTCCGTTCGCGTGTTGGCCGCCGCAACCGTGCCCCTCCCCCCCGCGTCCGATACAACAAGGATGGCAAGAAGATCGTCCCCAACGTTTCCGCCAAGGCTTAAATCTAATGACGGTTATGAGACTTGGAAATGGGAATGGAGTCTGGTTTTGAGATGCGCCTACCTACGGGATCGGGCGCCGGATAGGGATAGTACCCTGCATTGCTCTTCAAGCACAGGTTCCAAAAAAAAAATTCAATCGGACTTTTCTTCGGTGTTCACCTTCAATCATTGTCTCCCTTCTCCGTGACCTCTTCATTTGTGTGTCCTGTCCCCTGCAGTGCTGCATCTACCACGCACCTGAACTCTGATGCGCTGCGTTTTCCTGTGCCGTGAGGCCCAGCTTTGCCCACCTCGCCAATCCGTAAACACCCATCGCCAAAAGAATTGAAGCAATGTGAAGGATCAGTTTTCGCTCAATTGATCAACCATTGACCGCCCTCATAAAAAAGGAAGTCGTCTCAACATAGACCCGATTGAGCATCATCCCTGGAAGGTCGTAACGACTCTTTTTTTTCCGTTCAAGCAGAGAATATATTTGACTGCAACGCAGCCAATTCCCCCACCAATGTGTATCAAGTGGGCGCGACCACGACTCCCCACCATCCATCCAATAGCCAGGGATGGTCCCCTAGTCGTCCAGCCCGCCTGAGGGATAAAAAGAAAGGCCGCCAGAACGGCAAAAGAAAGAACTCGACGTGGGCCTGATTCGAACAGACGCTCCCGAAGGAACAAGATTTCTAGTCTTGCGCATTAGACCACTCTGCCACCACGCCTTGTTGTTGGTCGAGGCCGGAAAGTGGTAGATGATCCTGTGCGATTTCCATCCCACCAGAAGCCCCACCTGGCGTTGAGAACCCTTCGTCTTCAACGTGTTAGTCTGAAGCTTAACTTCTAGCAGAGCTTTGTGTCCGGCTAGAAGACACGTCGAAGTACGAAAAGGTTCAATGGCATTGACTTCCCATCATCTTGCACGCCTTCTTGGCATGCACAACAGGCTGATGCGGGAGACCATGACCTGTGATTGTTCGACGGCATACCAAACCAACTCTTGTCGGTGAGCGCGATGGCCCCCAGTTGCTCTGCTGCAATACAGAGACGCAATGCCGCCTATTCCATCCGCTGTTGGCGCCCATCACCACGAGCCGCCCAGCAATGTGACCCTGACATTCTTGTGGATGGAGCTTGCTTTTTGACCTACCCTATTGCTGTTGTTAAGACTCTGCGATATTAGCAAAGTAGCTATTCCCTACCAATTGAATCCAAGAGGTAAAATAAATCTGGCTCAATTCCTGCCTCTTTTAATCCTCTAGGGAAGCGTCTTGCCATCACTCTAAGTTCTTGCTGTTGACCATGTTCTATGTTTGCACAGGTAAGTATGATACGTGCCGTCTCACCTACGATTATATGCGACCAAAGATGCGACCAAAGACATTAGACCTAAACTGAAGCCTCCTCTGCTGCCTTGAGATTTTCTAGAAGCTCATTTCTAGTCGCGCTCGAATTATCAACTTGACTCGGAAGCCTCCCCAGATTATTTGGCCTCATACTGGAAGGCGTCTTCGGTAAAGTGCTTTGGCTTGGTGGTAGATGGATCAAAAAAGCACGGGCCATGGCACAGCCAGACGCCCGCTTCCAGGTCGGACGCATTCATTGACCATCATGTCGTCCTTATATTCGATCGGTGATTCTCAATAACAAGTGAATAAACAAAAGATCCAACCAAATCATCACCAGTTCCCCCAAAAGGCAAAAGATAACCGACGTGGGCCTGATTCGAACAGACGCTCCCGAAGGAACAAGATTTCTAGTCTTGCGCATTAGACCACTCTGCCACCACGCCTGTGGTTGGTTGACGCCGGAGCCGCAATACTGATCCATCCTGCTCGCTGCTCGTATCATTTTCCTGGCCTTACCCTACAGCACCCATGAAGATACTGATGAACCATGATGCGTGATGATTGAAGATCGAAGGCGTGTTCTGGTGCCCTTGCTATTTTTTTCTCTCGGTTATCTAGATCGGATAACATTGAAGAGAGAAGACGGAGCATGCTGAGCTGCACATCCAAAGCGGAATTCTGCCATGTGCTTTTCCAAACCATCAACATATATTGGAACATGGCAATGTTACATCAGAATCATGATGACTTCTTCGCCAGACTGTGTCAATTCGAATAAACAAACTAAAATGCCCAGTTCTATCTAGTAATACAACAGAATACGATCAAATCAATTAAAAGCACAGAATTCCCCCATATTGCAACTCGTCGCTCGCTCGCTCAATTGGTCGGTGTTGAAATTGTGGTTGGTGGCTTCAACCCCCACCAAACCACAACAAAATAAAACCACCACATATTAAAAAAACACGGATCACGACCAGCCGTCAGCAAACTTGACCAACGCAGTCCCGTTCTGCGAGCACGCGTACGGATCAACGCACACTCCCCCGCCGCAGCATGTCCCAACTACGCAGACAGACCCTCCACCTTGGCAGTCCTCGTCCCTCTCGCACCGGCCCTCGAAGTTGTCGCACTCCATCGCCTCAAACGCCAGCGACTGGCCCCCCGCCGTCTTGCCGCAGCTGCAGTTGGTGTCCTCAATCACCGCCTCCCTCGGGTACGCGCACGTGTCCTTGCCCTGGTCGTCCGCCTCGCTGCCGTTGGGACAGCACGCGATGGCGGCCGGGTCCTGGACCGTGACGTTGTATGACCGTGCCGCGCGGGGCGCCCAGTTGAGCGTCGTGACGGCGTCGATGTACGTCGCACCCACGAGGAGATTGAGGCTGAGGGGGATCTCGCCCGTGTGCAGGTCCTCGCAGATGTCGTTCTCGAAGCTGCGGTGCTTGTTGTACGTGCCGATGTACTCCTCCCACGGGCTGTTCACGCTGGCGTTCTGGGGGGTGAAGAAGCCCTGGAGTGATTCCCACAGTAGGGTGTATCCCGACGCGACGTTCTCGATGACGGAGGAGCTGTTGTCCGCGTTTGAGGCCCCTCGTTGGTTGTATAGCGCCACACCAAGAGCGTCTCTGCTGAGCATATCGTTGCCCGTGACTCCAAGCGTGGCGATCATCGTTGAGATGTCTGGGCATGCGCCGCCGAACGAGTCGCGGTTGAGGAAGTCTATGATATCATTCTTCACGGCGTTTTGACACTTGAGGATCCCGGAGATGGCGCCCGGGAACGTGCAGTCAAACTCCCAGGTCCCCGAGTTCTCATCCACGGCGATGTCCTGGCATGTGGTTTCGCCAACCCGTAGCTGGGGATACGCCCGGATTGCCTTTGTCACGGGGCTGCCGCACTGGTCCCTGAGCAAGAGTGTCTGGTTGAACTTGATGTCCTCGGCTCGCTTGGTGTTGGTGTTTATCAATGGAACGGGAATTGGCGAGGGGAAAGGCTGTGCGCCTGTGCCGACCGAACATCCCACACTCGAGAGGTTCGCAATCTGAGAGAATAAATTGGGGATGGTGATGTTTACATCATATCGACAATCCTTGGTCGCGAATCGAATCCCAGAACCGTCAATCTGCATGGCATACCCATCGCTGCTGGCGATGGCCAGTCGACTCCGGTTCGAAATGTCAATGTGGAATGTGCCCTGCGACTTGTCGCGTACAGTCATTGACAACGGCCGGACGCCTTCGCTCTCGAACTCAACACTCTGGATGTATGGGACGGGAACTGTGACATTGTCTTCGCGAAGCTTGCTGTTGCGCATCAACGCTCTTCGCGATAGCTCGCCATGGGGTTCTTCTGGCAGGTGATAGCATGTGTCTTCGGCTAGTGATGCCAGGAAAGCTACTTGAGTGTAGTTGGCGGCAGGGAAGGGAGATGGCGTCGGGGCAGTCGAGTTACTGCTCGCCCAAGTCGTTGTCATGCCACCATTATTGCCTGCCGTCGCAGTAGTTGGCGTCCGAGTAGGCTCAGGACTACCGCTATCGCTAAGATCTGTCGATCCTCCAGTTACAGTGTTAGTAGTCGAGCTCATGCTGGTAATTCCAGGCACGGAGTTCGTGATCGACTGGGATGCTGCGCCCGTGGACCCGGTTGGAGACACAGAAAAGCCCGAACCTGTTGGAGTGGTTGCAAAGCTGCTATTCCATGATTGACTCCCGGTGATCATGGTGTTCACGGTGCCTGGGGTGGATGCTCCGGTACTGGTTGACAAATTATCAGTGCCTGTGAGCACTCCCGAGGCAAGACTTCCCGAGCTGGTTTCAAGCCTCGCAGAAGTTCCCAGACTTCCTGATGCTGATGCTGATGCATTCCAGCCTTGGGAAGCTGAGCTCGGAGGAGTTGGAAGCCCCCCTGCAGTCCCAGCTGTATCTGTCGCTGGCGGCGTTGAAAATCCCGTTGGAAGGCTAGTACTTGCGCCTGAACCGCTCGTTGCCATAGTTCCATTGGCTGTGGAATTGGAAAGACCCGTCGCGGTACTATCCCACGTACTTGGCGAAAATGGGGTTGAAGCCCCAGATGCAGTCATGCTAGCAGGCATCGACGAAGAGTCCGTACCAAGAGCATTAGTTGGGGAAATCCCCGTCCGAGTGGTGCTGTTCCACGGACCGGACATTGGCGGAGTAGGCGATGAGATGCCGCTTGGTCCAGTGCTGATACCTGCCGAGGCCGTACCCACGCCTGTTGTGCCGTTCCCTGGCCCAGTGGCTGAAAGAGTAGGCAACGAGACTCTGGTAGCTCCAACGCTGGTTCCCGCTGAGGCCATGGTGCTATTCCAAAAGCCTGAAGCTGAAAGTATGGGCGACGAGCTATCCGTAAGTGAAGTATTAGGTCTCGCTGATGCCGTGCTCAGACTCCTTGTAGTGATGTTCAATGGCCCCGACGCCGAAAGCGTGGGTGACGAGATGCCAGTTGGACCGGTGGCTCCTGAAGCTGTCCCTATGCCCGTACTGCCATTCCAGAAGCCAGATCCTGACAGGGTCGGTGATGAGATGCCTGTAGATCCGATGCTCGCTGTGGGAGACAGCCCTGAGGGGGTAAAGCTTGTAGGCACTGACGTTCCTGGGATGTTCGTACCCGAGCTCCATGTTGAATTCCATGACTCTGAGCTCTGAGTTGGAGATTCCCCTGCTGGGCTTGAGACCGGCCCTGTACTCTGTGAAGATATATTTGCCGCCGTAGGAAAACTCGTGAGCGTGCCAGAAGGTGATCCAAACGGTGTCCCAGTGCTATTCCACGAATCTGATAGCTGGCTTGGCCGCGCTGATGTGCCCGTGATGGGAGATGATCCTTGGAAAGTTGAGATGGAACCCGTCATGCCGGATCCCGAGGCAATCCCTGATGAGGCAGCACTACCTGTTGTGCTATTCCAAGATCCCGATTCCGTCAGGCTCAGCGAACCGGGGCCGGTTTGCCAAGGGCGATCGGTCCCCCAGGGAGGTTGGGAGACTGGTTGTGTGCTGTTACCTGCGATATCGCTTGACGGTGTCCCTCCTCCACCATGAATGCTTGTGCCGTTATGAGAAGCAGTGGATTGGATCGATACCGGAGTAGAACCTGTCGGTGTCGCTCCAGATGACCACCCTCCACTACCAGTAAGCCCACCCGAGGAGAGAACCGTACCCGCTGTGTTGTTCCACGGAGCCGAAAGCCCAGTTCCTATTGTGGCCGATGGGCTAAATGGCGTGGGGAATGTCGTGGGAGGTGAAATCACAGTGCCTGCGCCGCTGCCGATTGGCGACGTCCAGCTTCCTGTTGTAGTATTCCACGGCCCAGATGCGGGAGGCGTGCCGGACGGTCCTGAGGCAGTAGTGGTGGTTTCGCCCCAGGCTCCGCCGTCGGATGGTGTCATCCCATTCGTCGCTGTGCCATTCATAGAAGAGGCCACTGGGCTGCCGGTGCCAAGGGAGGAACCGGGGGTGCTTGGTGCTGGAGAACCCATCCCGGTACCACTGAGGTTCCCAGTCAAGCTACCAGTGGGTGGTGTCAGGCTACCTGAGTTGGTGCTATTCCATGATCCTGAAGTTTGGCGACTTGACGCAGCTGACGAGTCTAAAGAGCTAGAGGGCGATAGAGAAAGGCTCCCCGTCCCTGGAAGACCGCTAGCTGGTGTCGTCGTACCGTTCCACGATCCCGAGGCTTGAGTCTCTATGCTTGTTGAACCTATTGAAGCCCTTGGAGGCGTCGGAGCAGTGGTGCCTGTAGCTAGTGTGCCCAACAAAGATGACACACCGCCAGTGGCTGTGCTATTCCACGACCCCGATGAGGCCTCGCTTCCCGTGGCAATCAGAGAGCCAGAGGAGCCGGTGCCGAGGGATGTCGGCAAGGACATCCCGCTGCCAGATAGAGATATGCCTCCAGTAGCTGTGTCATTCCATGGTGCCGAAGATCTGCTCCCTGTGACACTCGGGGTACCAAGCGATCCAAAGGGCGTTGATGGCATCTCGCTTGTTGCTCTGCTGGAGGGAGTTGACCCTCCAGTGGCATTTGGCGATCTAGATGTCTGACCTATCGTAGGGACTGGCGAGTCAGAGGCCGCCCCGGATGTTGAAGAAACGGAACCGGTACCATTGACAGTTCGACTGCTTGATGGTATCGCCTCGCCTGTTGCAGTGTCTGATGTACCTGATGCCCCCGATGTTTGGCGCGAGCCAGAGGAAGCAGAGAGACTGGGGCTATTCCCACTCACGCTGGACGTCTCTCCTGGCGAACTGGAGCTTGAGGCTGTTGACCCTGTCGTGGACTCATTTGAGGACGCGCTCTCACTTTGAGACGCCGACCTGCCACTTGATGTCACACTGGAAGTAGCCGTTCCATCATTCGATGAAGATGTCATCTGATACGATTCCGTTGAAGATGATTCACCGCCTCCTCCCGAAGAAGAAGCAGATCCCGTAGTCCCCGAACCGGTCTCCGAAACTTGGCTGGACACCGTCGAACCTGGCGCCGAGCTCCGAGTGTCAGAGGGCATGTTCGAGTAGCCGCTGCCTGTTGCTTCACTGGTCTTCGTCGCAGAGTACTCCGTCAAGACACACTCACACTGCCCCCTGGTCAGCATGCTGCTACTCAACATCTGCAGTTGGGCCGGCCGAGACTCACATAAGAGGATATCTCATCATCCCCAAGACTGGTGTACGCTTCAGGCGTGCTGACCGTCACGCAATGGTCATTCATTAAACTCTGGCAAAACTCCCCATCGTCCTCTCGCATGAGGGAAGTGTAAATCTCGTCCTTGCGGCAAGGCGAGCCTGTAGTTGTAGCCTGCGGACGAGCCACAGCCCACCCCAAGAGTAGGGAGACGGCCAAGCACCGCAACATCTTGTTGACACTGAGCAAGGCTCTCATTTTCCAAAGGAGATAGAGGCAAGAAAAACTGCCAGGATTCAAGAAACGAATGTACAGCCTGGGGACCCAGAGAGAAAGCCAGGCCTCATCCCTGTGCTGCTCCTCATTGCATGAGAAACCAGTCCGCGAGCGCTCAAGTACTTCTACCCATCCCACCACGGGGAAGCACTCATCTTTTAACAGAACCGCTCCCTTCTGTATCACCCCGTACATAGCCTCGGCGACGCCCGCCTATTCCTGTACGCGACAGCCCGTGGCAGCGAAAAGCAATTTTTGTCCTGGTCTTCATATGTCATCACCCTGTGAGACGCGCGCACACCTCCTCCCCCTGGACCATCGTCTTCTCAGGAGTGGCGAGACCAATCGAGAGTGATACGGTGCGGTGGGTGGCTTGTTCCTTTTAGTCGACACCGAGTGAACCGAGTGGGCAGAAAAAAAGTGCGCGTGTGTGAGTGACAGTGTGCCACAGCCAGAACGGGGGGCCACACTCACATGCCAAAACCCATCTTCTCCTCCAGGCTTCCCGAGGACGAGGAGACACCTTGGATGGGATTATACCCTCTTCCCAGCTGGATATTGAACCCCGGAGCTCGGTTCTGAAGCCTTCTTGGACGGTCTCGGCGAGCTCCTGTACACTTGACTCTACCGGTCGCCACAGCACGTCGAGCTGAAGCATACCGAGAAACTTATTTACTTCGCTGGTTTCATGTAAGAAGTGAACCCGTGCAAACATGCGATCGGAAAGAGGCGAAGAGTCCATGGCTGGAGATCTTTTGGCGTCCCCGCTCTTGCGTCAGCCTCAGGTACAGGCTGGGCTCTCTGTGCGACTCCATATTTGTCCCCTATCACCCTCGTTCATTTCCGTTTGGGCCACAAGAGAAGGAGAAAGCGTTGGTTCCTGTCTCTGTAGCAGACAATCCACGCGCACAGGCCTGGCCGAGTGACCAATAGTTGGCATTGCGCGCAGATTCGGGGTCGTGGGCACGGCATGGATTCATTTCCTCTGTCCATCAACCACCGCCCATGGTGATGCTGTGGCTTGAGTCAGGGGAAAATCACTGTTGATCGTCATTCCACGTCCTCCCCTGGCCCGGAGAATGGAATAAGTAGTCACGATGACAGCCAATCGTGGGCCTCGGTGCTGTGACATGTCGCTTATCGGGAGACGTCGTCCGAGGCAGGCCTGTCCTTAGATTGTGTGCCCATACCTCCTCTGTCACGTCGTACTCTTTCAATGGCACAAGTGTCGAGTCAAGCCGAGTCCCACCGAGGGCACTGGCCTATCGTATTGGGAGTAGAAGAAATTGTAATTATGAATTGACGAATTACCCTCTAAGCAGGATTGGTATCTTGATCCTCCCCATCCGTCAGAACGTGTTGTATCATTGCAGCGTAGTTCGTAACCTGCCCCCAGAAATCATCATCATCCATCATAGTATGCCAGAAATCTAAACAACCAAACACCATCTCATTCACTCATGAAACCAGCATCCGCTATCTCAACGCTAACGTCGTCGTCAGGCCGCCGCCACCCATCATCGGCCTCTGCTGGGCTTGCCTAGGCGGCCGTTCAATAAAGTCCTTGTTGTCAATCGTCACACTCTTCGTCATGTGGTTGACTTTGTATACACCAACGAGCCGCGATGCCAGCTCAAACATGTTGTTTCGGAGTGAGATGACTATGAACTGGGCGTTCTTGGTACGTTCCTTGATGTAATTCGCCACAATTGAGACCTGTGCGAGGATTTTTGTTAGTAGAGCTTTCACACGGGTAGACCATGTCTCTAATACGGGAAGGGGTATCACGGTCCTATTGGCAACCATCTCTGACAGGACAGTAGCCGAGCAAGATCCGCAAGGTTGCCATTGGGAAACAGGGTGCAGGGGAACAGGGAAAGATGGGTAGCTAGGCTAGGTATACGTACGTTTCTGAAATCCAGAGCGGCGTCAATCTCGTCCATGACATAGAGAGGTGTTGGCTTGTAGTGATGCAGTGCAAACACGAGGGCCAGACTGCTGAGAGTCTTTTCTCCACCAGACAGGTTGCTGATGTTCTTCCAGCTCTTCTTGGGAGGCATGACGCTGAATTGGATGCCTTCACTGAACGGATCGAGGCTGTCTACTAGTTCCAGCTCGGCGTTACCGCCCATCGTAATGAGTTGGTACATCTCCTTGAGGCGTAGCGAGATGGCACCCAAACCTTCCATGAAGCCTTCCAATCGCAGCCGTCTCAAGTCGTCGCACCTCTTCTTGGCGGCGTCACGCTGGCTGAGAGATGTCTGGAGATCGGACGAGCGGCTGGCGTGCTCCTCGACTCGTCGGCGGTACTCTGCGAGTACACCCAAATCGACATTGACATTCTGTGTCTTTTCTTCTAGAGCGGCAATCTCACCCTTAAGAGTCTCCTTGCTCATGTCTGCGAGCTCGTCGGGCGTGTATCTAGGAAGTTGCTGTGGCTGAAGACTTTCAGATTGTTCCTCCTCGTCAGCCTCGGTCTCTGGCGCATGTTCGGGGGCATCCACCATCTCTTCATCCTCGGATGACTTCTCGGTCCGCATTTCGTCACCGTCCTCGCCCTCGTCCTTGGCCTCACCCTCAGAGTCATCATCCTTAGGTGACGGCCTTCGCTTCTTCTGGGGGGAGTCTGGCTTTATCCTTGCCTCGGCAGGCGCTCCCACTAGATCCTCGATGTCGTGCAGCGTAAGTTTGGAGAGCTTATCGTCCCAGTATCGAAGACGTCGCTGGTTCTCGATCAGAGCCTTCTGGTTTTCTTCAAGCTTGTTCTTCATCTCAATCTCGATGGCTCGTGTTTCATTAAGCTCGTTGGTCTTCTCGTCAAGCTCTGCCTTGAGCGCCTTGAGCTCCTTCCTCGTAGTTGCAAGGATCTCTTCGGCCTCTGACACGCGGTTGCTCAGCTCTTCGGCCTTCTCGCTCTGGTTGTTGATATCATCCTCGAGCTTTTGAAGGTCCTCTGCGGCGTTGTTGAGCTCCTTGGTGGCCTTGGCACGATCCTTCTCGAGCTTGACTTTTTGCTTCTCGGCCTTGACCTTGCGCACCTCGGCATTCGAAGTCTCCTCATGATGACCCGCGATCTCCTCCTTGACAAAGTCGATCTTGGTTCGTTGCGACCTGAGCTTCTCACCTCCTGCCTCCATAATCTTATCCTGCAGGGCCTTGATCTCTTCCTCAATGCTCGAGGTCTCCCCGTGCAGCTTCTGAATGTCCTTGTTAAGCTTGGCAACTTCTTTCTGGAGTGCAGCTGCACGGCTGTTGTCATCGGCCGAGGGCTGGTGTTCCTTGGCCACGTCCTTGATGCGGCGCTGCAAGTCGGCAATGTTGCGTGCGGAGCTTCCAAGCTCGAGGCTGAGCTTCTGCATTTTGGTGTCTAGTTGCGGGAGCTTGTCGTTGATCTCTCTGAGACGGGTCTCACATTCGCGTTGATACTCCTGGAGTTCCTGTAGCCTGGATTGCCAGTGGTCCCGATCCTCCTCAAGCTTGGCAACCTGCTCCTTAGTCGTATCGGCTACAAGCTTAGAGGACATCAGGCCCCTTCTGGCGATATTGCCACCACCGGACAGGGTTCCAGACTTGTCAATGAGCTCGCCCGCAAGCGTGACTACTCGCCAGCGCTTGGCACCGTAAGCAATGCGGTTCGCTTGGGCGAGATCTGCTGCAACTAGGGTATCTTGCATGGCGTGGTAGAAAGCTGGCAGGAATTTCTTGTCCTTGGATTTGATAAGATCAAACAACCGGGGAGCATCCTCGGGGGTTTGGATTGGGGACATGTCTCGAGACCGAAGCTTGTCTAGGCAAAGGAAATTGCCGCGTCCGACATTGTACTTTCGCAGGTGCTCGATGCATTGTTGGCCAGACTCGACGGTTTCCGTGACGAAGTTATCCAGAGAGGGACAGGCAGTGGACACGGCGACATCGTATTTGGGGTCGATCACACCGAGGTTGCCCAAACGTCCGTGGAAGCCATCAATTCGGCCCGACTCCTTCATGCGCATGAGAGCGGAGAGGACGTTGCCCCTCGATTGGGTGCTGGCCAAGCTGGAGCGAGCCTCGTCCGCCTTTTGACGCGCACTGGAGATCTTGGCCCTCATCTTGGGCTCTTGCTCGGAGAGAATCTTGAGCTCAGACTCCAACTTCTCCGCTTCCTGGATCAGCTCCTCTTTTTCGGCCTCGTACTTCTTGAACTCGTTTTGCTTAGAGGCCTTGCCGTCCTCGATGGCAGAAATTTTGCCTTCAAGTTCCTCCATGGCAACAGCGCCAGCATTGGCTTTTTCTCGGAGAATGTTGAGCTCACTCTCAGCGATCGTGATCTGCGACTGCTTCTGGTTGATCTTCTCTGTCCAAGGTTCGAGCGACTTCTGCTTGGCGGTAATTTGGTCAGAGAATGCCTGTGTTTTCCCTTTGAGATCCTCTCGAATCTTGGCTAGTTCGGCCTCTTCTTCCTTGAGCTGCTCTTCCAGGTCGGCGACCTGGCCGACGCGGCTCTTGATCTCCTCGGCGCAATCATTGATGGTCTGGCCGGCCTCTTCCGAAGTGTTCTCAGCATTGGCGATTGTTTTCTCGAGTTTGGCTTTCTTATCCTCTAGGAACTTGTGCTTCTCGTCGAATTTGACCCTTTCCTGTTCAAACTTGGACATCTCCTTGGCCAGAGTTTGGGTCTGCTTCTCTTGCGCGTCAAACTCCTTGCTGGTCTTGGAATGCCGCTTCTCCAGATCCTTGATGAGCTGCTGGCTACCTTGATGCTTCTCCTGCTCAACATCAAGCTGGGCCTGCATCTGGTTGATAGCTTCCTGAGTGACTGCAACGTTGTCGTTGCATTCGTGAATGAAGAGCTGGTAAAGCGCGGACTGCTTCATCGCCAATTCGTTCTCGTCTCGCATGTACGCGACAGCCTTGTCCTTCTTGTCCTCGAGACTATTCTTCTCCTTCTCAACGTGCTGAACACGTCCATTCTTCTCCGCGCACACCTCATTGAGCTCCTCCACCTCTGTTGCGGATTCTTCGATGGGAGTCTTGTATTTGGATGTACCGATGATGTCTTCAAGATACTCGAGGAGGCCATCGTCGTGCTCGTTTGCTGCCCTGGGCTTCATCTGGGCAATGGACTCGACTTCGCCCTGTAGGATCAAGAACCGCTTGTGATCGAGATCAACGCCGCGATCGCGCAGGAGCGTAGTCACCGTAGTAAAATTAGACTCCTTGTCGTTGATGTAGTATTTGCTGGAATTGTTCTTGAAAGCTTTTCGTGAGATGACGAGCTTGGAATCGGGGATGACTGTATGGCCGCCGCCGGGCTAGAAAGCTGTTAGTAAGGGTGATGCGCGTAGAATACTGGAGCATCTTAATTACCTGATCCATGACTTCCTGGAAATGCACAGAGACCTCGCAATGGTCTAGATTGGGGAATTTTGCAGAGTTGTGGATGAGCGCAGAGATCTTGCCCTGACGCATCTTGCTCGCTCGGAAACCGAAGACGAAGAGAAGCGAGTCAATGACATTTGATTTACCGGAACCGTTGGGTCCAACGACGGAGGTGAATGAAGCATGGAAGGGACCAATTTCCTGTCGACCGGCGTAACTCTTGAAGTTGGTCAAATACAGGTGAGTGATGACGATGCGTGATTTGGGTGTAGTATTCTCAAAAGATGGAATCACCGTCGTTCTCGACTTGAGGACAATGTCAATTGGCTTGTCAATGAATGCGGGGCCTTGGATGGTCCTCGGTGGCTTGATAGTGGTCAGGCCCTGCTTGCGTATATTAAAGGCAGACGTGAGATCCGCCAGAGGAGTCTGTGGCGGCTTGATTACTGTTGGAGAGGATGCTGAAGCCTTGGGCGCTGGAGTGGGAGGTGTCGGAGTTGGGGGGGTTTCAACGGGATCGGGCGCAGCAACTGTTGCGGTGGAGGGGCGCGCGCTTCTTGATTTGCGCTGTGTTGCTGGCGAAGGAATTTGACTCAAGTCGTCGACATCCATTTCAACTTCGTGCTTGAGCACGGTATCGTCAAAGGTCTGCTGGCTGGCACGGCTCGAATCTGCGGCGCTCGCGGCCACAGAATCGGCCTCAAGTTGCTGTTCTGGTTCATGCTCCTGCTCCGGTTCTTGCTCCTGCTCCTGCTCCTGCTCCGCTACTGGCTCTGGCTCGACTGGTGCTGGAGTCGGAGTCTTCTTTGGACGCCCTCTCCCACGAGCCGCGGTTGTGGTTCTCGGTGCAGAGGCGGGCGCTGATCCTGAGGGTGTCCTTCGTGTAGTTCTGGTCGATCTCCGCGCAGGAGCATCAGGGATGGAATCTTCGGCGTCCTCGGTTTGCCTACTGGTGTTTGCGCTGCTGCTGACATCGTCATCGGAGTCGACGACGGCAGTGCGCCGCGTTGCGCGTCGCGTTGGCCTGCCTGACATGGCGGTGGAGAGGAGGGGGAGTGTGTCGGATGCTGGGATGATACCTCTGGCAGTCAGGATTGTGGTAATCAATGTAGTACCAGCCCTCAGGTAAAGAAACAGAAATGAGTGAAGCTGTTGGGGTTAGTCGCTCGGAGGTGGGATGTGAATGAGGGTTGACGCAGAAAAAGCGACGGTGAGATGGTTTGTCCCCCGCCTCGACTTTGGCTAAAGTGATTGTTTGGAGATTGCCTGATTAGGTAAGGCGCCGTCTGGACGTAAACAACACCCAAAGCCAATTGACTGGCGCCCCGCGACGGCACGTGATCGAACCAAGCGCTAGCCCAGACAAAGACGTGCTGTCGCCTAGCGCTGGCTGGCCCTTGTTCTCGCTGTATTTTCAGTGGATGGAAATCTCCACTACAGCTCGGTCGCAGGGTAGCAACAACAAAAGATCATCACCACCTCAATTCTCGAAGCTCTCCATTCTTGTGCTCGCCACTTTTCTCCGAGTACCGTCTCCCCGCCATGTTTGACTATTCCGATTTCCAGCAGGTATTCCCTGCTGGCGCGCAGCTTCCCTACAGCAAGGAGCTCATTGCCAAGATCGAACAGTCGAGAAAGACTCTTGACGGCGTCCTCTTCGTCGACCGAGTTCTCAAAGCTCTGGGCCTCACAAAAAGTATGCCAATTGGCATTCTTCTATTTATCACAGTTTTCTGACAGGTCCTCACAGCAAAAACCTACCCTCCCAAGTCCGATGCTGCGCTGAGACAGCTGCACCAGCACATTTGCGACGCTCCCATGTCCTTGCACCACAAGTTCTCGATCCTCTACTACGTCCTGCTCGATTTCGATGAAGCTGCCGACCGATCTGTCCCGTCCGAGTCTTTCGTGTCTGCTTCTGGAATGCCAAGCAACTACCAGATCTTCATCAAGGGTCTATGGCACCTGGACCGCAAACAATTTCCTGTACAAAGCTTCCCGTGCCCCGTCGTCTCCCACAAACCTCGCTGACCAGCTTGCAATAGAAAGCGCTTGAATACGTCGCGCACCCTTCTTTGACGCCCGACTTCTCTGACGAAATCCTCACGGCGCTGATCCGACACGGCGACGACATCAAACTTGCTCTAGCCTACTACCATACCGTGCGCCCGATTCTTAAGTCATCGGCAGCTCTGGAGCTTCTGTTCGACGCTCTCGCGCAGACAAGCGTCACTGAAGCTTTGCTGTTCACACGCACATTCTCCGACTACACACGCGAAGCACTGTTCCGCCGCCTGGTCAAGGTTGCCCTTGACGGTGAATCAGTTCCTGGAGCAAGCGAGATTGCCCTGCTCCCATTCGAGCCCGAGGAGGAAACATGGTTTGAGGAATACCTGAGAAGCAGCGAGGGCAGGAATCTTCGTAAGGCGGAGGACACGCTCTTGGTCCGCAAGATCACAGGCGACCACATCACGGCTGCGCGGAAGTACACGGGTAGCGGGCAATGGGGGCCGATTCTGGCTGGTATTCGCTCGGGAACAGAGGGTCAAGATGAATGATCCAGCCTTGTCTCTCCCTTCTTGATCATGTAAGCATAGCGTTGGAGTTCATCAATTTAGAGCCCTGCCACTTGGCAATGTGCTTCTCTTCTGCAAATCAGAGTACCAATGCATGAATTACTTGCGCCATCTTGATTGCGAATCTCGGAGGCGAACATCCCATAGGCCTGCCGCCGTCAGCCCAACCAACAGCATTTGATGCAGCAACTCGAATCTAGTACCGTCTGCATGCATATAATATGCATTTGTTTGGCTGCAAAACGACGCTGCGCCCGACCACTATTGGGCCATGTGTTGATGGCGACACCCTCAGTAGGTGGTTGGCCTCCCACATGCTTACCATTCTCCATGTACATGCGTATAGGTCATGCTTGCAATCTGCTCACTGGCTTGCTCAAGGTTTGGCGAGACGCCTCTTTCATGTTGGTGGCATGATAAGAAGGCAATCTACCAGGATAGTGAATGCGAGTGGTCATGAGGCCGTCATAGGATGACCTGTTTGGTCACTGCCATGATGCGGCTCGAGCCTTACAATCGCAAACCAGCCGTCATGTCCCCTCATATGCTCAGGCTGTTTTCCCCGTCCAGATGCTTTTCTTCTTGGTTCTATCGACGCCAGTGAGTGTCATGAAATTGATATAACCTGAGTCTGAGAAGCCGTTGTGCGCAAATCAGCAGTGTAAGATGATACTGCCACGGCTCTCATCTTCGGCCATCACAGGTTCTCTAGACCCCAGATCCCACCATCTCAAGGAGACGACCGCGGCTGCTTCTCTACACAGGGCCCCCTGCGTCACCACACAGCTTACCACCCACCCATACATTCCTGCCAGATCGGTTATTCCAAGGACGAGATCTGCGGGCCACAGTGATGGCACCCACCATTCATCCCTTCAAACAGGAAGGCTTGTGCCCAGGGACCCTACATCCCAGCACGATGGTAGCTCAGACAAGACAGCCCTGATTATCATGGGAGTCTTCCTCAGCGTCGGTCTTTTACTGTCCCTTTTGTTCTTGTGTCGTTGCTTCAGCCGCCGTGGTCGCCACTCGAAGAAACACAAGAGAACTTCCAGCATATGCTGCTTTCGTGGTCCCAAAGGCCGCCGAGGACGCCGAGGGAGGCCTGGAGCTGCCGGGTCGCGAGGCGAAGATGGCGCCCAGGGACCTGAGGGACGGGAAGGGCCTCCTGGGGCGCAAGGACCTAGAGGGGACCCGGGAGAGCGGGGAGAACAAGGACTCCAAGGAGATCCAGGGCAACAAGGAGAACAGGGTCCTCCCGGGGTAGATGGCACGCCAGGAGCTGATGGCGCTGCAGGCCCTGAAGGACCCCAAGGGGATCCAGGGCAGCAGGGAGGTCGGGGCCCTCCTGGGACGGATGGCACGCCGGGAGCCGATGGCGCTCAAGGTCCCAGAGGACGTAGAGGTCGCCGAGGACGTCGAGGACGCAGAGGAGATCCGGGCGAACCGGGAGCTGATGGCGCTGTAGGCCCTGAAGGACCTCGAGGGGATCCAGGACAACAGGGAGAAAGGGGCTCTGTCGGGGCGGATGGCACGCCAGGAGCGGATGGCGTTACAGGCCCTGAAGGACCTCGGGGCCCTCGAGGAGATCCGGGCGAACCGGGGATCAGTTGGGGCACTAGGCCGTCCCGAGTAGGACAAGACGGAAGGCGAGGTCAACGTCAGGTGACGATTCGCCAGCATAATCACTGCCACTGCCGTGGCTATGAACAAAACAACGGCGGGGAAGCGTAGTGTTTAGCAGAATAGTTCCTTGGGACCAGGCAAGCATTACTTGGACATGAGTGGGCTTAGCCTGCAAATTTACTCGCTATGGTTTTCATCATTCATGTTAATTCGTAACCGGTCAAGCTCTATATCTGTGATTTATTTGCCTACCAACATGCCTGTACATAAGCCACTCTCTCAAATGCTCTCGCGTATGGGTGCGAGAGGGAATGATGTTATACATTTACTTGGGCTGAAACCCCGACTTTTCGTTGGAGATGATATTCGAGGGCAAACCCTAGTGATGAATTGCCAAGGACCAAGACGTGAAGAGTACACGATGAATATATTATCCTAAAATCACACCGAATAGGTCTAGAGGCATGTAGACGAGATCTCTATCAAACAAACCAGGCAGAAAGAAAAGAAACCAAAGTGTCAGTGACTCATTAGATATTGACACGAAGTAATATATTTTGAATATTCTACACCATGACCCCCTTGATGCCTAACTCGTGGAAGTAGGCAATAAAATCCTGGGCCATGTTGATCTCCTTGATCTGGCCCGTGCAGTCATCAAGAACCACAAAGTCGGTTCCGTTGTAAGTGACATAAGCACCGGGGTCTAATGTTCTGTATTGGATACAATGGTCAGCTTTCATGCCTGGAGCATAGCGGGTTGTCTCCTCCAACTCACGTTGGAATGGCCATGTTCTCGCCCACAAGACCGTTCATCTTCCAGCGCATGGCCAATTTGTCGCCGGTGCCCACCCAGTGGATCATGTCGAACCAGTATTTCTGCCAGCCAGTTCGAGACTTTTGAATAAAAGCAACGAATTCTTTGCGGCTCGTGACTCGGATAAGGTCACTGCCGTTGGCGGAGGGCAGGCGGTCGGCAAACATGACCAGATCTGGATGCAGGATCGTTTCGGCGATGGTCAGATCGCCACCCCACATGTTGAGATAGTTGGTGGAGAGCTCCTTGTGGTACTCATTACTATTGAGGTTTTTGTGGCAGCACCTGGAGTTTGTGTTGGTTTTGGGGGCGGCGAGAGCAGTGGGAGCGAGGAGGGCCAGGCTAGCGGCGACGGCAGAAGTAAGCTTCATGTTGGTGGCGGTTTCTTGGATGGGCGAGCAGGAAAGATCTTGGTAGGGCTGAAAGGGCTGAAAGGAGGGCTGAAAGAGGCACTGAGATGGAAAGGGAGGATGAGGATGAGGGGCTATTTGCGAGGAATTTGCTTGTTGTTATAGCAGTAGGTAGCGACGTTGATGGAGTTCATGGCCGTAACTTGAAAGAGAATTAGTTAATACTTATATTTGTTCGACTACGGGCGTCTATAAATGAGTAAAATGATGATGGGATCGTCAATCATCAATGGAAATAGAAACACTCAAACCTAACTGTCAAGAGCGTCAAGCTCAGAACTCCAAACCGTCTCGATCATCCCGCAATAGGGCAACACCGGCGCAGAATCTTCCACGATGGGAATCATGAAATCGCACTCGGATCTAGGATGCGTCACGGACAGGGCTTGTATGGAGACTGAGTCTCAGTGCATGGATCTAGATGAGGCTGGTGAGGAGGAGACGTGATGAATCAGGGCATCTCCGCTAACTACCCATTGATGAGCCCTGTAATCCAACTTGCCGGCGGAGCAACTGTGTCGGTGGACACTGATTTAGCCCTTTCAAAACGCCTCAGTCGGCACTTGTTCGCGTGTCTTTCGGCCGCGAAAAAGCTCCAGCTCGCCTTCGTTTCCAATTGCCTGGACCGAACCCCATTTGGCCAAGTCTCGGGATTCTATTTCTGTCTCCTCTTTATTCTTAATTATATTCATGAATGAAGGACCATCTCAAGGAGACGGGAGCTGAATACAGAGCAATAACATGATGCACCGTGCCCCTTTATCAACCTACCTAACCCGACGGCCTCTTGGTATGCTCCTGTGTCGCTGTGACCGCCACGGTACCTGGAATTTGATCTGCCAGACTGCGACGGTATCTCGCCTTATGCTCGGCCGGTTCGGGAGCGAATTCGTGCGCATGGCAAACAATTAGCGCCCACGAATGACCGAAATACTGGGATCCGACCCCCCTGTCCCCAAAACACGGCACAGCGGAGAGGGGAATCAGGGGATCGGACACTCAAAGTGAGGTACCCCATAGCGTAAGCATGTTAATCGAGTTGAGTGAGATGTTGCCCAGATTCCTCACCTTGTTTCCTTGGTCTAGTTTTATATACTCCTTCCCGCCCTATTGGACCATTCTTCTCATCTCGATGAAGGGAAAGGATCGAGCCATCTGCTACACAGGAACGTTTCGGCTCCATTTCCAGGGATTTCCTTCTTGGAGCAGCGAATAAGGGCTCTCGCCCGTCCTTGGCTAACGTTAGTGGGTGGAAGAAACATGGTCTATTAACAGCCGTTCATCCTGACAAGGTTTAGCGAAACCAACACTTCAATTGTCATCACGCACTGCCACATTTTTCTTTCCCTCCCCCCCCCTCACCGTAGCTTGCTTCACGAATTGCTATGCAGATGTGCGTGGCTTTGCCTCCCGAATACCCCTTTCGAGCGTTGCCCTGCCTCTTGGTGCCGTTGGATGTTGCTGATTGATGGCCTCCCTACTCGTGTGTGATGCTTTATGCTCGGCAAATGTACAACCAACTGGGTAATATCTGTCGGCTGCCCCCAACTACCAGCCCGATCCGAGGCTGACCTTGTACGTCACTGGCTCTGACACCTACTGCCTGCATTTCACCCTGTTAGTCCGGAGCCGGCACTGCAGCTGACGGTAGACGGCCGCCAAGGCAGAACAGGCGCGGCTTGGCTACGGTACCAGCCTGTACGAGAGTTGATGTGCTGGGAGAATTTGATTGATAATAGACCCCGATCGTCTCGCGTCGCCTGCGCGCATATATCTCCCATTGCATCTTGGCCTCCAGTTGTTCCAACTCAAATTAAATTTATCCATAATGGTCGGCGTGCGGGGACGATCTAAAGCCTGTTCAACTTGTCGAAGGCGCAAGAAAGGGGTGAGTTAACGATTCTCATATGATTTCTTCTATCATCATCATCTACTTTCTTCCAGTCCCCTCTTGCGCAGAAGTGGCAGTCTCCATACTTCTTATAAAGGAATTTTCGGCAGTGTCCTCTTCTGCTGATCTACTTACACGTCATTCATACCCGTCCTATCTCATACTGCTCTTCCTCTCTCACTCTAGTCCCGACACCCTTCTCATCAGCGCGAAGGTGCAATGTCTCTTCTCTTTCCACGCTCCCCAGTGACGTCCCCTTAATTTCACGCCTTTTCTCAATTTCTAATTAAATTACTCCAGTGCGACCTCCAGCAGCCTTCTTGTGGACAATGCCGAAAGGCGGCGATCCCCTGCGGTGGTTACGCTGACAGCTTTGTCATTCACCAGTACCAAGGGGCTGGCTCAGGCACCACCGCCGACAAGCCCTCGGACGCAGGACCCAGCAGTCAGACATCTCATCCCGATTGGGGAATCGCCGCACAGGGCCTGGAGTTCGTAGAATGGGGTGCCCCGGTGCTCGCCCAGAAATGGGTCGTGCCGAAATACCTCCAACCGCCCAACGCCGACGATGAAGACGCTGCGGATTCCAAGACCAGAGGCAGAGCGAGCCGCCGTCCGTCTCCCCACCGGCAAGACAGCCCTGGATCTGCCCGCTTCAGCTGGGCGGCGTCAGAGGCCGGCCTCATCGGCGCCTTCTTTGACGCCTACTATCCCAACCGCCGATGCGGGCCTGCGACTACAGAGCTGCAGAGGACCCTGGGCGGGTCGATCATTCTATTGCAGGACTATGCGCCCACTGATCCCGTCCTTCGCCAAGCTCTCCTGGCTATTGCCTTGCGTACGCTGGGCAGACGGCCAGATGCTCCGGCGTGGCTGGAGAAGCGTGGGATGGCAGTGTATAGCAGTGCTCTGCAAGAGATGGCTGCTGCCTTGCAGTCACCCAAAAGGCGACAAAGTCTCGATATCCTGGGTGCCGTCCGCACTTTTAGCATACACGAGGTATGGCTCTTCTTCTGCCATCTCTTCTAGTTGTGTCGTTGCTTTGAATCTTTAAGAGAAGGCCTCTTGCATGCTGACTATATCGTATAGGCTCTCTTTGGAAGTGATGCGAACCCAAACGGGTTATCGCAGCGGCAGAGCTGGATGGCTCATAATGCTGGAGATATTGCTCTCATCCTCAACAACCCTCCCTCATACTATATTGACGGCTTGGCCCATCGCCTCTTCGTCGACGGAAGACTTCACCTTGTGCGCACCCCCCAACCTGTACAGTTTCGACGCTCTTTTTGCTAACAGCCTTGTGTAATTAGCTCTTAACTGCATTCCAAATGAAGAAGAAGATATTCCTGGCGCAGTCAGAGTGGATGACGATTCCATGGACCAAGCACCCCAAAACACCGCGCGACTTTCTGATCGATATCCTGATCGGCGTCATGGAAGTCTTCGTTGATGTGTATGCCATGCAGGACGCCAACGACGAAAAAGAGAAACAACTCTACCGGGATATCATCAAAGGAACAGTCTCATATCTCAGCACAGCACTGGTTAGGTGGCACGACAAGTATGCTGTTCCCACCATGCCTAGCAAGATGGGCGCCGACTTGCCAGAATACATCACCACCGAAGACATTGCCGATGGCCACGTAATGACCATATTCTGGGCCAACTGCTGCCTCATTGACCAAATCAAACGAATCGCCTTCGGTGAGATCAGCTCTCCATCCAGCAGCCCGCACGGCTGGGGCCCCCACGACGACGAGGACATCGACCCCTTAGATCCCGCCAACGCGTGCCACCACATCCTCCGCGTGGTGCCCATCTTCCTTCACCCCTCGGCAGGTATCTTCCGCCAACATCTCGTTCCTTTTGTCATCGGCGCAGCGGCATTCTACTTGACTTCAGCGGGACCGCTGCGCATGCGGATAGAGAGAGCTGCCATGATGGATTACCTTGCCCGGCCCGAATCGGCCTCCATGGCGAAGTTTCTGTCAAGTATTGAGAAGCAGACGTTTGAAGATTTGCGGCGGCAGGCTGGCCCGCACGAAGCGGGGATGTTTGAAAACACTTGATGATAGATATTTCCTAATTTCTCATTTTCTGGCAGGCATGTTGTACAAGATTTATGACTGAAGCGATTGACTTTCGGACTGAGCATTGTGTTTATAGATTTGGCATGGGCGCTATTGGTCAGAAACAGAAGTTCGTCTTGCCGGACAGGATATACTTTTTCTCCTTGGATACTGGCATGACATAGACGTGGTTTGTAGTATGATAGACAGCTCTAGCAAGAACGTGTCGAATATTACTGATTTAATCGATCCTATAAAACAACATCTGGAATCTCGTAATCAGCTTTCTTAGTGATATATGATGATTGAACACTTGGGGTGTATCGCTGATATTCATGTTTATTCTTTTCTTTTGATCCTTTCTTCGAAAAGAACTATGCATTAGATGGAAGGCTACAACACCCGCCAACAAGATAATTCAAGTAAGGAGGTTCCTAATAAACTGGAATATTCACTCTGGAGAGGATGGGGGATTGAAGAATGATTAAATAATCTTGCGCTGAGCGATGGCCAAACATAGGCTGTGTGCATAACCAGCCGTTGGCGAATCAGAACAGGCATTAATGTGCCCTTGTGACAGCATGACCAAGGATCTCACATGATTCTCACAGATTGTGGCTTGTGACTGCGTTTGACGAGTTAATTGGCTCTCGTGTTTCTGCACATTTGAGTCAGACGAAATCCGCCTTGGCCGTGGCTGAGGCAGCACCCAACCAACAGCAGACGCCTCACAGGCATCCATCCATCAGCTGGAGATTTATTGCGCGGCTACGCCCATGGACGTGCCCGTTCTCACGTCGCACTCCTCTGGAACCGGTCGACTCCCAGATCCCTCGGCCTACTCACCCAGATATACTCGCCTGTTGCCCCCCGCAATGGCATATGTGTATTACTACTCGACCTACTACACTCCCGTCGAATACTACTACCCCTGCTCTGCCCCGGCCTTCACATACTACGAGCCCGCAGCCTACTCGGTTGCCCCCTCACATCGTCCGCGGCGCAGCCACTCACGGCACAAGCGCCTCCCCGACCGCACCAGAGAGCCCGAGGAGGGACACTGCTTCCTGCTGTTCTTCAAGGAGAAGTACTGGGACGAGCTGAAGTGCCGCTTTGGCCCCAACTCCAACTATGTGATCAACACCCCCGACAGCGTGATCCGCCAGTTCATGCGCGACCACCCCCGCATGGTCTCCTCGAGGCGAGATCTCCAGCGATACCGAACGGGGCCCTATCTCACCCATATAGCTCCTGGAGGGCATCATTCGCCTTGGGAGTTGGCATGATGGGATGCCAGGCTGTTCAGCACTGTTCAGTTAATTTGCGCTAATGTTGGTTGTTTCGATAATGTATCAATATACTTGCTGAGGGAGTTTGAGTTTGGGAAATAAATAGACAAGACCTACGACAGGTGGTTGCTTTGCCGAGAAAGATTTCTGACGCTGGTGATTACCTGCCCACATGATCAGTTCATCGTCTTCAGTATGACCGTGGGTGATGAAGGCGACACGGAAGAATAGGGCGTTTGGCTTCCTCCACCAAAGACCTCGCCAGCCATCAAATGTGAAAGTGGCACGAGGAGAGTTGATTTCATTATTCACGAACTGAAAGAGAAAGACGGAGAATCAACGTCGCGAGTTCCCAGAGTTTCAGCTGTCCGAAAGAGCGAGAGCGCTCCATTGTTCTATCGAGCTCGTCCTATTGGAAATTGGAGTTTTTTGAGTCTACAAGCTCATGGTCTCTTTTTCTAGTAGGCTCCCAAGCGCGAACGCAGGCAGCCTGATGAACTCTGCGTAGGGAATAAATGATTTATCAAAGGTAGAATTTTTAGTTATAAGAGACAGATAGGTCATAAAATCAGTGAAGTTGGCTTGGTCATCCAAGACTTCGAGTTAAGAGCTCCAACAAATCTAGTATCCAGTGTCTATAACATTTTTATCCTCTATTGTCATAAGGTGAGGAATTGGACAGTTCCCACCATGAGGCAAAGGAACGTCTCAAGCATTTTACTTTGGAACCTCCTTACCTATGGCGGCCAGTCTCGCTATTTCGTCAGCGGCAATTTTCCTCCCATCATACTGGCGCGCTACTTCACCGAGCTCTTGTGCCTTTTCTCTCAGCGAAACACTCGATGGACCGACTAAAGCAGTGCGGAATCCCTCCACCAACGACTCGGGGACCCATTCTGGGGTGGTGCTCCTGCCAGCCCAAATACCAATACCGAGGTACTCCGCGAGGTTGGCAAAGTTGAAGAGATCGAACCATAGCGGCAGAATCATCTGCGGAACCCCGGCTCTGTTTCCATCATTAGCAACCCTGCAAATATATTTTCGAATAGTTGAAGAACTCACAGTATGGCTTCGTGATAGGTGTTAGCTCCGCCATGGTGCACCTCCAGGACAATGTGGCCTGTTTCAAGAAGAGCGGCTGGTTCCGTCTCCAGCCAAGTCTCGATTCGGATTTGTCGACTATCTATATACTTTTGAATAGCCGTGAATACCTCGTCGCCATAGTCGCCAAGCTTCTTGAACTTCCACAGAACTTGAAAGTCCGTCTCTGCCAGTAACGTTGCAAGAGCATCTGACATGGCTTGTGCCCTCCGCTGATTATAGGCAAACAAACTGCCCAAGTTGATTAGAATCGTAGGTCTTTGTGCTAACCAAGAAACCATCTCGGGGTCCTGATCTGCAGCTGACGTTTTGCTCATGGGAATGTGACCGCAAAATTTGAGGTATGGTGGGTAAAAGTCCATGGGGAAGTTGGCTTCTTTGAATGTCGATGCAAGAACAGGAACGTCCTTGATCACGAAGCTGAGCTCAATGGGCTTCTCTATCCCCTTCTCAACAAGGAAGGCCCGTTTGGCGGCGAGAACAGGGGAGTTGACAAGATTATACCCAAGGCGAATTGTGAGGACTATATTAGAAACCACCTGTTTCCAAGAGAGCGGGAACTGATATCCCGAAAAGGTTCTTGAGGTAGAAGTTAGCGAAAAAGGCTTGGATGTGTATATCTGGCTTTGGACTAAGCCTATGCATATCTACTGCACTTACACAGGATACTTCCAAGCCACAGCGCCTCGAGGCTGTTCAGCGGCAATGAGCTCCAACAGGCCATTCGGGACAAGGCTGAGAAACCGTCGGTCCGAATGTGCTGCGAGGTCCGTGGCCGGGGCAAGCATGTTATCGAGAACAACGATCGCAGGATCAATGTCATTTATCAAGGAATTGAGAGCCGTATACATATCCCAGTGGTCTTCGACGTCCCACGGAGCCAGGCTGAAGACAAGATCCCGTATCTTCTTGTCGTAGTCGGCGGTGCCCGTTCCAATGATCATGCTTTCGACATCACCAAAATGCTCCTCAAACATAGATAGGAATGCCGGCCCAGGGATTTCATGCCATTGGATTGGCTTTGTTGAGGGGTTTGATGCGAGTGCAGTAGCTGAAATTCGCGAGACCTTGGAAGCCAGTTTGGGGAAGGACGCGTAGTGCACCTCAACATCGGGATAGTGCTCAAGCAATGCCGAAGCAGCTGCAAGATGGGCGTTGGAGAGGCCAGTGGCTTCGGTCGTGAGGAAGAGCACCGTGTTCTTCCGACCGTGGACCCTCGTGACCGATTCAGCTGTTGGGCTAAGCTTTGGATACAGCACAATCGCGAGAATAGCAAGCGCTGTGGGAATCGTGAAGAGGAAACGACGCAACATGGTGGCCAAGGGATGCCGCTTCCGCGGTGAAGTAGGGGAAGAAGCAAAACAGTCAAGATCAAAATATGTTGGCAGGCAGGCGGGGATCCCCCTTTAGTGTCTACAGCTTACGGTAAGGAGCAATGATCAACCTGATTGGCTCTCAGCGTTTCATTGAAAATGCACGCAAAGGCCAGCAATATCTAGCAGGCCCATCTAGAAAGCCAATTGCCCCTGTAAATTGTAGGGCTTGAGACCTCATGGCTGGGATTTCGTCCTCTCTGAAAGCTATGTAAGATGGGTCAGAAAGCATTAGAGCTCACTAGAGGGGCAATGACGGTGCTGAAGGATCCGCCGGATACGCGTATTATTGTGCCTCGAAGCATCTATCCGCCTTTGGACATATTGAGCATGAACAAGTGGATTACCTACCACAGAACACGATTGCCACCCCTGGCATGAAGAATCTGAGAAATAACTAATATGGAGGCTGGTGGTCTATGAAGAAGTGCTTATGCCCAGCCTTAAAAATTCCCTAAAAATTACTCGAATAGGCAATATCGAGCTATCTTACCAGATACATACCTTCAATTTACATGGCGTAAACTCGTCTCAAAATGTCGACCTTGCTGAGAACGTGGATGGCTAGCAATTGACGCACGTTTACCCCTGCGATTGACCCGCCAACATGGCACAGAGATCAGGTTTACAAAGAATCTTGCCTGTCTTGCCCCTGGATACGCTTTTTTTCTGCGGCACTTCGGTTACCTGCTCGTCACCGCTGAGATCAGCCGTTGAAATTTGGAGCATGTTGATTTCCCCACCTAGTTTTGTGTTTGGTTTGCTTATCAGGACTTGCTCGTTTTGGTGCTACATTCAACCAGGATGCATCTCCAAAAACGACCTAGGCCAGCCTATTGTTGGAGCACTAGACAATACCAAAATGAGTACGTCATAAGCGAACAGTCTAGTCCAGGGTCTGTCAAAGGACCGGAGTCATTATATTGCGCCGTTGGTCCCCTCTTTCAGAATGTTGCACTCACACCTTGGCCATCACAACAATGTTCCTCTGGGCTTCAACAACCTTCAATCCTGCCACGGATATACCGGACCTCAGTGGCAGGGTGATACTCGTCACCGGAGGCAACACCGGTCTCGGAAAGCAGTACATTCTTGAACTCTGTCGTCATAACCCGGCACAGGTTTGGCTGGCCGCAAGGAATCTCGACAAGGCGCAAGCGGCCGTGGCCGAGATCCAAAGCCAGGTCCCTGGTGCTCCCATTGAGATTCTCGAGATTGATTTATCGTCGCTCTCCTCCGTGGAGAAGGCAGCTCGCGAGTTCCAGCAACGATGCGATCGGCTTGATATATTGATGCTCAACGCCGGCATCATAATGGCGCCCCTCGGAAAAACACAGGATGGCTATGAAGTACACTTTGGTACCAATTACATGGGTCATGCGCTTTTGACTAAGCTGTTGCTTCCAACGATTGAGAAGACAATAGCTAACCAGGACTCGCCCGATGCACGAATCTTGATTGTGAGCTCTTCTGGATATAAGCTGGCACCGAAAGAAGGAATTGCATATGAGTCCATCAAAACGACGTGTGCTGACTGGTGGAACATGTCACGATATGGGCAGAGCAAGCTCGCTTTGAATCTCTGGACCCGTCAGCTCGCCAAGCACTATCCCAATATCAAGTGTGCCTCCATCCATCCAGGCGTTGTGGACACTGAGCTTGGGGTACCTCGTGGTGTCGTGTTAAGCTACTGGTCGTCGTTTTTGCGTTTGGCGTCCCTCACCCTCCTCCGTTACGTGTCATTAGAGGAGGGTGTAAAGGGTCAGCTCTGGGCGACGTCCACTAAAGATCTGCAGTCGGGAGAATACTACACCCCCATTGGCAAAGTTGAAACATTGAAGGCAGAATGGAAGGATGATGCACTATCAAAGAAGCTTTGGGATTGGACCGAGGAAGAGCTCAAGCCACATGCTGGTTGAAGGGGTTCACGTCATACTGTTATTGCTCGCTTTGGTGTCTGCACGCGATCATATGTGCCTCATTGGCATCTCACTCTATTGGCCGGATAAACACCATACCTCTTTGGAAATGTTGTCTCCTACTTGAGTCAAGGGCGTCAGGCGGCTATCTTTGATGAGTTCCACTCCGGCAGCTCGAAATATTAAATACAAAAAAAACGCTTGGATTATAATTTCACATAAAGACATGCTTCTCCATTACTACGTTTACTCTTTCTATCGTCACTCTATCCTTGCGCTCGCCTCTTATATCCAGGCTCCGAAGGTGGCTATATTATCTCATCTCCAATATGGTTATCGTCGCCGGGCGGCGTGCGGCTGAATACAACACGATCTCCGTCTTGGATGCTGCCAGTCTTCTAATTTGATGATTCCCCTTCTCATCACGCAGCAGGAGTCAGGTGCCGTTATAGCTTGCTCTTTAGGACAATTATTACAGAATCAAGAACTGACATATTAGTCTTGTCCTTGTATAATACTGCATACTCGCTGTCACGCTATTGAAATTTGACGGTAATTCACAAGCTGCTTGAATTAATTTCATCTCAAAACACTCACACAGTTAGAAATGTCATCAAAATTTTACAGAAAAATTGATAACTTCCAAAATCCAACTTGTGATTTAACGAAACGAATCGTAGCATTGTTGTCTGCGGCGTATTCTGTATTCTCAGGCAAGAGTCTTTGGGTGTAGGGTAAGTCTACTGGGATGTGAACGCGCTGCAATTGAACATTTCTATTTCCACCAGAATTAAACGCTGGCCTTCAGGTAGCGTGCATTTCCTGGTGACGGTAATACGGCCGGTAAAGCCGGACAGATTCAGCGTCTTGCGAACTGATCGCGCCATCTGCGATTCGATCTAGCAGCTGCATTGGCTGATTCGCTGTTTGCGCCGTCAGCTCAGTCCAACTGTCATCGATCCTCGGTTGGGAATGGCAGCGGGAAGCGAGCCAACCGACAAAGAGAACGCGCTCATTAGTCACGTCCCTTGCATAGCCCAAATTGCATCTCCATTCTCTAGCCTTGAAGATGACAAGACGGAAATGGAAGAGGACTTTGTAGCCGCCGGCAGAGCGTCTTCTACTTTCAGCTGTCTTGCCTGCCTAGTTGGACTGCATCGCGCGTAGATGTGGACGGCTCCATCTGGGATGCGCCTAAGAATGGGAAGACGGCTTGCCCAAAAGGACCATAATGACGCTCATTGTGGATTACCGGCCTCATTGGAGCCATGGGGCAGATTTGCTGGCGGTGCCTGTGCAAAATACCCGCCTGGGACCAACCAATCGAGTCGATGGCACCTTGTCCGGAGCAGAGCAAGCTGCTCTGAAGTGTGCTGCCGGCTTGCAGTGGTCCTGCCTGCTGTCTCCAGCTCGGCGTCTAAACCATAGGACAGAGACTCTCATCGCCAGAGCAGACCCATCTCGTATGGCAGCCAGGCGGCGGGGATCCGAGCCAGGGGGCCCTCGGGTGGGCAAATCAGACCGTGGTTCCCTGCCAAGATGCCGTTGTTAGCGGCAGGGCAAAGGGCAGGGGGACAGCTGGACAGCCGGTAGACAAAGCTGAAACCGCCCAAGAAGCTCTTGTTAGCGCCCGTGAGCCAAGTGTTGCTGATCAGACGGAAAAAGGGGGCCACGGCTCCCCGGCCAATGCAGGGGTTATGCACGTTGGCCCCCAATCACGGCTCTTGACAACCGCTGAGAAGAAACACCCGCCCTGGCTCCACTGAAATACTCTTCACGGACAGCCTCTCGTTGAACCGTGGGCGGGCTTTCCGTCTGTCCCGAAATAGAACGAGGGAAATCAGGCCCAATCCACCACTATCCGAGATGGCATCAACCTTTAACCATAAAGGTTGTACACGGCCGCATCGTTCATGGCCTCTTCTTTGTTTACCTCACTATCTTTGGACTCGGTACCTTAATTTCCTCTCATATTTCTCATTATTCCCTTGTTCCCTTTGTGCTCGTCTCAGCCACCAGACAGGATAGCTCCCCCCTTCGCTATTGGGACTACTGCCTGCCATTGTATCTTTGTTATTACTTTGTTTACCATCACGGCACCTGCATTTGTGCACTGATTAATAGAGACGAACCCGGAGTTCACTCTTTTCCCTTGCCATCATATAAGCCTATCGCCGATATTGCTCGCTCGCTTGTTTAACCTAATACACGCACATACACCGACTAGCGATAAGTCTATATTTTCACCAACATGAAGTTCAATCTTTACCTCGGCGCTCTGGCCGCTGAGTTGGCCACCGCCGCCACTCTCCCCCGAGTTCGATTCCCGCGCGGAGCCGGTAGAATCAGAGGAAGACAGAGCGCCGTCACCACTCCTGGAGCGTCCGGTACGCTTTCAGAATCTGTACAGATGACGACCTCGACCATCTACACCACCTCCGTACAGACCATCACCTCTTGCGCGCCCGAGGTGACGTCGTGTCCCGGAGGAGGAGGTCCTATCCTCACCACTGTCACTATCCCAGTCTCTACTACTGTCTGTCCAGTCTCGGAGGTCGGCTCTTCGGTCGACCTGCCTCCTACTTCTGAGGTTGTTCTGCCTACTACCACCGAGGCCGCTCTGCCTTCTACTTCCACTATCGTTTCGTCAATCGCTTCGACCCCAGCCTCAGACATCCCTCAATCGGATACTTTGGTCCCTTCCAGCTCCCCAGCCTCGGATGTTCCTCATTCAGATACATTAGTTCCTTCCAGCTCTCACGTCCCCGACTCGTCGGTGGTCGCCACTCCTACGTCACAGCAGATGACAACCTCCACCATCTTTGCTACGTCTACTTATACTGTGACTTCTTGTGCTCCCGACGTTCCGGACTGCCCTGCTGGCTCCACCGTTCTGGTCACAGAGACGATTCCTGTCTCCACTACCATCTGCCCGGTCACGGAGAGTGTCTCCGGTACTGGAGCTCCTTCTGGAGATTCTTCTGTTGTCCCTACAGGTGCTCCCAGCACAGAGCCTGGCCCTGGGTCGTCTACTGAGCAGCCACTACCATCGACCACTCCTGGACCAGACACTTCATCTGTGCCCATTACACCTTCCCAGTCATACCCGCCTGAGAGTTTGACTACTTCCACAATCTTTGCCACATCCACCTATACTGTCACTTCTTGCGCACCGGAGGTTACGAATTGCCCTGCTCATTCGACTGTGCTTGTGACCGAGACAATCCCCATCTCTACAACTGTTTGCCCGATTACTGAGTTGCCCTCCGGAACTGCAATCCCATCTGGTGATTCTTCCGTGCTCTCGTCGGCAAGTGAGACTGGACCAGTTCCAACTCCCACCAGCGGCGAGTCTGGTCCTGGATCTAGCTCATTGACCCATCCTCCTGAGAGCTTGACAACCTCTACCATTTTTGCCACATCCACCTATACAGTTACTTCGTGTGCTCCTGAAGTCCCAAGCTGTCCAGCTAGCTCAACTGTGGTTGTGACTGAGACCATCCCTATCTCCACAACCGTCTGCCCAATTACTGAGGTGCCTTCTGGAACTGCCGTCCCCTCTGGTGGCTCTTCTGCTTTGCCCGTGCCCTCAGGAACAGAGAGCGGCCCGGTGCCAACTCCCACCAGCGAACCTGCTCCCGGATCCAGCTCTTTGACTTACCCTCCTGAGAGCCTGACCACCTCCACGATCTTCGCCACCTCCACCTACACCGTGACTTCGTGTGCTCCTGAAGTCCCAAGCTGTCCAGCTAGCTCAACTGTGGTCGTGACAGAGACAATTCCCATTTCTACCACTGTTTGTCCCATCACAGAGACAGCAACTGGCTCTGTATCCTCGACTGAGGGCGCAAACCCAACGGGTTCCACAGTTTCGACGTCTGGACCTGAGCCATCTACCTCTGCCTCTCTCCCAGGCTCAAGCTCCGGTGGCTCTCCTGTCTCTACCCCAGAGCCCACTAGTGTTCCTGGTTCTACTACCATTCCTGCCCCTGGAACTACTACCGACGTCTCTGGTCCTACCACTGCCCCAGGCTCGACGATAACTTCATACCCTCCAGAGAGTCTGACTACCTCAACTATCTTCTCTACATCTACATACACAGTGACTTCATGTGCTCCCGACGTTCCAGACTGCCCTGCTGGCTCAACAGTGATTGTCACCGAGACCATCCCGGTTTCCACCACCGTGTGCCCTATCACCACAACCGCATCGCACGAGGGACCTGGAAGCACCGCTCCCCAGCCAACTGGCACCAGCCCCCAGCCATCCTCATCTGGAGTCCCGGGTCCATCTTCATCCAAACTGCCCGTCCCGTCTTCGTCTGGCGCACCCGGTCCATCCTCCTCCCAGATTCCCACTTCCGGGGAGCCAGTCCCAACGACTACCGTCGGTGGCACTACTTCCAATGGGTCTCCCGGAGGGCCATCCTCCACTGGGCCAGTTACACAACCAACCGAGAGCTTGACCACTTCCACCATCTTCTCAACCTCTACTCGCACGGTCACTGATTGCGGTCCGGATAAGCCAAGCTGCACCGATGGAACAACCACCATCGTTACCGAGACAATCCCTGTCTCTACCACTGTCTGTCCAATTACCACAACTCCATCGCATGATGGACCAAGCAGCACTGATTCAGGGACAACCCAGCCCCCTGTGACATCCGCCACTGGGTCAGAGTCCCCAGAGAAGCCCACCACATCTTCTCACCCCCCAGATGTCACTCAGTCTACGCTCACTGCGCCAGTGACAACCACCTGGTCCAGCACATCTACAGTCTTCTCTACTTCATACCAGACCGTCACTAGCTGCGGTGCTGAGGTTACCAACTGCCCCAATGGCGGCACTACCACTGTTGTGACACACACCATCCCCGTCTCAACCACCATCTGCCCGATTACCGAGACAGTTGTGCCAACAACTCATCCCACCGGCGGACAGTCATCACATGTCCCAGGCGCCAGCTCATCTACCTCCATCCCCAGAGAGCCATCCGTCTCTACGATCCCCGGACAGCCTAGCGATGTCACCTCTGTCATCCACTCTACCATCAACGGTACCCCCACCACCGTCCTCATCTCCATCTCCTCGGGCCCCTCCTCCGGAGCCCCTGCTCCCTCAAGCACAGGTCACGGCAGCGACGACACCCCGTCTACCGTCCACTCCACGGGCCGCACGACCATTGGAGTCACCTCCTCCAACTCCCCGGTAACCCAGTCCGGCACCTCATCCTCCCAGCGCCCTGCCCCTTCGTGTACACCGGGATCACCCGGCTGCTCCGCCGTGACATCCTACTCCTCTTGTGTCCCCGGATCGGCCAACTGCCCCTCCGCTGGCACGACTCTACGCTCGTCGACGCACACCCCCGGACAGATTCCCAGCGTCACCTTCTCGCAACCTGCTACCCTGCCCACCACCGCCGCTGCAGGACGGTTCGTCGGTGGTTGGAAGGTGGCGGTTGGCGTTTCCTTATTTGCCGTCTTCTTAATATGAGGTATATCATGAGATGGCAGAGGGATTTATCATATCTTGAAGTAGGAGATTGGGTAGTAGGCTCATCTCTTGGAAGTCTTGCACTTATTCTTTTATTTGTTTGGGATTTTGGAGCGCCATGGTAATAGATGCTCCGTGGAGTCTTAGTTTAATGCCATGTTTGTTTATAATCATGCTAGAATTGCTGGGCAAGAATGGAAAATAAAAGGTTAATCCTAAAAATCGAAATACCTTTGCTTCTTATCATGCGAATTTGGACTAGCAGGTAAAGAATACTTTGTATTGTATCTGCCCTGCTTTTAGTTTGTTTTATGCTAGAATAATGGAACGTGTTTTTGAGTTTTTGTAGTTTTTACCGTCTTAGCCAACCGTCCCAGTTTCTCAGCCTGATAAAATATTCCACACATCCTCAAGGGAACAGCCGAGTACCTCCATTGCTCCGGCTGATGAAAATTGGTCCAATGTCATCAAACTCAAGTCCCAGGTCGTCACGTGTATGTTCAGATACCGTCCATATCCCAACGCAGCTTTCGATCGGCTCCTGGTTGCCACCGACAGCAGGAAACTCGTGGATGGTAACTTTGTCCACACTCGGCTTGAAAGAGGGGAAAGAGTGTATATTTGGAGCCTGGGCGGCGGGATCAAGGGAGAAAACCGTGAGAGAGTGAAAGTGCTTGTTCTCAGGCACGATTCTGATGGCCTGACCTAGATTGGATCGAAACTGCTATTCTGTAAGCATTTGCGGAGAAGACATCTTGTCAAGAACAATATTACGAACCTCGAGGCCTTTCTTTCTCTCTGCTTCCTCGTAGACCATGAGCAGTGAGATCTTCTCGTTCTTTTCGTGATCCAGATGAAGGGAAACACTGCGATCGTTGCAAGTGCCCTGCTCAACAACCCTGTGATCATTGTAGTGAAAGGCGAGTCCGGCAATGTTATCATCTGCGTCGGGGGAGATCTCAATTCTTGTCAATCTACGTCCATACATGGACTCAAAGAAGTATGTGTTACGAGGGAAGTGGTATCTCATCGAGAGCTCGCGGGGTCGCATGAAATCGAGGATGAAATGTGAGCCCCCATATTCGAAAAATGATCGGCTTTGACCGTCAGATAGATCGACGGGCCTTGGCTTCTTCTCTGCGTGGCCGAAGGCGAGTGTTTTCTGTGCCAGTAACCGGTTCGGCTTGAGGCGCACCTGGACATCATCCATGCGCGAATTGAACGCCCATGTGATAGAGGTCTATATATTGACATATGCATTAGTTCACTTGAATAAGCTAATGAACAGCTTGAATGCTCACAATATCCTCGAATGGCGTGGCGACATATCGCACGCAAGTCTGGTCACCCAATTCGGGGGACATTTGCCTCAGCTTAAATCTGTTTCGACGGGTGGCAAAGCCGAATTCGATGCCCGAGATCTTCCCCAATTCCAGCATGGGGAATGGGAGCTTAACATCCATTGTGGACCAAATAGTAACGTCGACGATTCGCTCATTGGGTTGAAGGCTGACGCAGGCAGTCTCTTTGATCCACTGGCCAATAACCACATCTCGCCGGTCCTTGTAATACTCGATCCACAGACCGGAGATGTGGTTTCTTGAGCGGCAACTCCCATCTGTGCCCCCCGATATTCGTATACGGCGAGCCCATTCGAGGGATGCTGTCGTGAGGCACGACCCCTCTCCTTGGTTCATCCAAGGCGCGAGAGCTGGCGCCGGCCCTGCATGCTGAAGAGAGCTCAAGTGAGCAGCTGAACGATAGGGGAGAGGTGAACAGGGCGCTCGGAATTTTTGACTCTGGAGGCTTTGAAATTTCCAGTCAGGAGCCTACAGTCATGCTCAGTCACTAAAGCGAACTTCTATACTTGATATCAAGGGTTATGGGCATCAACCTACAGAAACTGAGGCCACCACAGCGAATATGGCACTTTGCTCTGATGGGAGCACTTCGTCGCACTTGAGCTCAGAACCATCAAAGGGCCCAAAGACGTAGTGATGCTTAAAATTGGTGTGGGCCTTGATACTCGTCGGTCAGCTTCAACATCAACCAGAATCAAGCAAGATGATCAAGGTGCGGGTTGACATACCACAATGTTTTCAACTAAGTTTTGACGTCCTAGCTTGCCGCCTGGGGCAAACTGCACAACACGCTCTCCGTTCTCTCCATCGACCAAGAGGGTTTGCTCAACGCAGCTGATCAGTCCCCCCTCAGGCTCCATGAATTCTTGATTCCCGTACATCACGGGTTCTCCTTTTGAGTAAGTAAAGCGGAGGCCGTAAATGCCAGCCGTTCCATGCACAAAAGCAGTAATGCTACGAAGAGATGAAAGCCTCGAGCCGTCAGCACCGCCGAATGGCATGTATAAATTAACGGGAAACATGGCACGTTCGTGTGGTGTTGGAATAGGCAATGCCGTCAAGTCCTCATTTCCAGCAGGCGGAAGTGTTGCATTCCACAGAGCTACTGGGCTTAACTCCAAGTTTTGCTTGGTATCCTCAATGAGCTGTATCGCGACTGCTTTATACATCTAGATCCTTGAGTGAGCGCAGAGAATGGTGAGGAGAATGTCTTTACCTACAGCAAAGCCGAATTTGAACCCAACTACTGTTGACTCGGGGGTAAGACGTTTAACGGCGATTATGTCGTGTCGACATCTAGGTTTCCCTACACTGTGGATGCAGGTTTCGCCATCGGGTTTGGCGATGAAAAATTTCAGACAGTGAATCCCGGAAGTAGAAATGTAGACGTCGACATATGATATTTTATCTCCAGGGTCAAGAACGAAAGATGGCATGGTTGAAGCGATGATCACACCCGCCGTCTGCACATCTCTTGGTCGACCGTCTGGGTGCTGGACGGAAACCCGATATCCAGAAATATATTCGGCAGAAGAAAGCACGATAGAGGAAAACTCAATTTGTACACGACTATCGTCTCCTTTCTCATGAAGGAAGACATTGTGTTCATTTTGGAGCCTGACTCCAAGATGGATAGTCTTCTCCAGGTTGTCTCTCATTGATCGGCGAGGAAGCTCAGGGGATGAGACTCGGTGAGTGAAACTCTGATTTTGCGAGAGAGTCCTCATGTCCAGCTGTTTGTCGCCTCCAGAATTAAGCAGTAGACCAAGAATGTCGGACAGGTCTGACAGGCAGCGCCAAATCCGACGGCGATTACCAAGAGCATCTGCGCCGGCCACACTCCAATTGCAGCAAAAATAAGCTTGAAACCAATCTTGGGTGACCCAAGGAGGTATTTTAGCACCGTATAGGCAACCCATCTCGCGATTGTGAGCGAAACGAGAAGCCCAAAAGGACTGAGGAAGACTGCCAGTGGCACACAGAATTCCTAGTCGCCGTGAGGCCAGTCTCGCTGAGGGCAGGTCTTCTGACGGCAAATGTAATGTAATGTGATGTATTATTTCGCCCGGAAGCTTGAAGAAGGGGTCAGTATGGGATAGCCGCCCCGACGGTCTAACTCTGGAATTGCTGGCCACGGCTAGACCATATTTTTCGAGACTGATAATTGAATTGTTTCTGGGTAGGAATGGCTTGCCGGGATCAGCATTCAAGAGTCGACAACCTTCCTCGCTCCGACGCATACTAATAGCCCCACGGTAGTTGCTCTCGGGTATAAGGTCACCGTCTCTTCCCCATGGGGTTGAATCGAAGATATCGAAGAGCAGAGCGCCAGTTCTCACCGGGTCTGGCGGATGCTGGCTGATGCCCGCAATCTGAAGTAAGAGCAGTTGCCAGCAGGTCTCATGGCAATGAAAGATCCCCAGGCGGCCATTTAAAGCGTTGAATATTGGAACCGACGCGCCGATATTTCTGGACCCTTCGTCGGCGAGATCTGCCTGATCACCTTCAGGAGCCACGACCATCATTCCCATAATACGCCCAACGCCCGTAATGCTCGATCTTCCGCCACCACCGACCCCGTTCAGTCCTCGGACTATGGTCAGATCATACGTCGTCAGTAAAAAGTAAATGGCAAGCGGCGAACTGGACGTGTCTGATTACCTGAGCGGACGAAGGTAGTCCAGCGGGAAGACTGTACACCAGGCGAGGCAGCATCCTGAAGGCAGCCCCCACAAAGGGAGCAATATGGACCAGCCGCCATCGCGTCGGTCGTCACAGTACAACGGGCCTTTTGCAGTGAATTGTGTCTCCTGGAGATGCGAGAGTCCTGCGGATGCACGATGGAAAAGAATGCGCTCGAGGCGGGGGGCGATGGCGGCCCAACACATCAGCTGAGGGTGCGCTCGGCCCTCGCTGCATGTCTCTGGCTGACGAGTGAGTTGTCAGATCTCAAGCCACCATTAATGCAGTCGGCCTGAATGAGATTGCATATTTCCCCTCACTTTTTTGCACATTGAGTGATATATGCAGCTGGGTGACAGAAGAAATGAGACAGCAAAGTGAAAGGTGGTCGTGATCAGTCGACATTCTATAATACTTAGAGCAATATAATACAGCTGAAAAGGTTATAACGATTATATTTGATGTATTATCTCTTAGATATTTATTCCAAGCCCTAATACTATGAGAATATTCGTCGCAGACTCGAGAAGAACCAGTATCATTTTTGAGTGCCTCAAACTCAATGTCAGCTACTTGACCTGGTGCCACACCGCTACAGTATAAGCGAATATACATGCCAAATTCCTCTCGATTGGCCTTGACAAAGTCACATGGTAGCTGTGGATTTCCCACCAAGGTGTTCTATTGCGACGGCCATGTAGGAGCGTGGAATCCTTGACACCTAATCATACAAGGACAGGATTTGAATTACCCCGAGAGGAGCAATCTCAATTTGGATCGAAATTCTGTTTCTATTGGATTCATATGCGATTTTTATCACCGCGATGGATCTTCTGTGGAAAATTACAGGGTGGCTTTGAGCAAAAAGCTATCGTGGTACATGAAGGGGAGAACTATCGCTTGAATTTGACTTCGTCATTTCATCACTTATCCATCGCCGAATGGAGAATTAAACTTGTATAACACACTTAATGAAAAGTATTTCCTGGTCCTGCGCCATCCGTCCATTTCCAGCCTGTGAGGCGCCAGTTGGAGTCTATAACCCCTTTTCGCAATTGACAATTTCGCTGTCTCTTTATCCATATCTTAAATCAGTAGCCAAATGAGCGAAAGGAAAACAAGAAAGGAAACAACAAAAAAAATGTAGAAGGAGGGAAGATGAGAGACTATCTACTGTTTTTATTCTAAAATAAACAAGCTATCGTGGATCAAACCCGACAACTGAAACAGAACAGAAGGAAAAGACGCCACTATCCCGAGAACACCTTGCCGGAAAGCAAGAATATGAAAGAACATTTTTCTAGATCATAGACCGAGCGGCCACACCATGGACTTGCTCCAGGTGCTTCTTCATCCAGCCAGCGGTCTGGTAGTGCTTCTTGTTCCTCGAAGGGCAGTAATTACATACGTAAGTATTCAGAGCCGACCTCATGGATTGGATATTTATCTTGTAATCGTTGGCTCCAGAGCGCTTGGGCCCTTGAACTTGCTCGTGCACGCCGCCGGGGGGTGTCGAGAGCCAGGGAGCCGAGCTGGCAGCCTGGGAGACGGCAGTCCACATCAGATCATGAGCTCCTGCTCCTTGACCAAGATCGGACGAGGGTGGCGTGGGACCCATGCGAGCTCCGTCCTCTGGGGTAGGGGCTTGCGGAGCGGTTCTTTGCTGGGCACGGTGGTTGTGCGGCGTGAAGGAGTTGTGGTGATGGACAGGAGGAGAGGTTCGCATGGACGGTATTTCCCGTACTTCCGCGAGAGACTGTTGGTTCCCATGCTCGGTGCCTCTGGAAAATGCGTGTGGCTCCGGTAGTTGTGGCCTTCCTGATGTGAACGCAAACGGTCGACATGGCGGAAACTGGTGCTGGGAGTCGGGTGGAGATAACGGAGCCCTGTAATCGTATGGCTCCCTCCTTTCCATTCTTGCTTCAGCATACTGCGGAGCCAATCCAGCCGTTTGGGGTGTGGGTGAAGGAAGTCCTTGCTGGAAGGCCACATGTCTCTGCTTGTGCTGATCAAATGAGCCATCTCGTTGCATGGTGCAACTCTGGATCTTCTCCAACGCTTGCCTTGCTTCTTCCTGCAGTAACCTGGGGGAGCATGGAGCATTGCCTGATGAAGTGACGCATGCCGAGGATTGCCCGTCGGAACCGTGTGGCTGTGAATTCACCGAGCTTTGACTGGATTCACGGTTGTGTGAAGCCATAACAGGGCGCTGGGTATATGCCATACCCACAGAATCACCCGTCGGACGGTGATGAGTGGCTATGTGTTCGCGTTCAGTCTGGGTGACGGTGGCTTCTGTCGCCTGGGCCGCCAATTGTTGCAAAGACGACTGAGAGGTATTTTGGGGCACCAAGGCATTGCCACGAAATTCTTGATGATTGCTGGTGTATGCCGTGTTGGTGTCGATTGGAGAATGGTTAAGAATATTGGCAAAATCGTGCTTTGAAGGTGGACTGCATACAGCTCTTGATGTATTCACATTCTCGAGTTCTGGCAAGGCGTTTCCCGATAAGATCTTAGGAAGGCCAGTGGGAATGGAGCGATCCATGGTTTGCCGAGGTCTATGATGTTGAGTGGAAGGGACATCAGGATCCGTCCCCAGGATATCCGCAATGGAGGGTATGGCACGTGAACCGGGTGATTTCGCGCGAGTCGTCGTGGTCTGAGGGGAAGGAGCCCGAGTTTCTTGCCCCGTTGTTGTGAACGCTGACTTGGTATTCGAGGAACGACCGATCTTGGTCGCCTCAGGCTTGATAGGCGGGACTGGGGTTGATTTGTGTGATGATAAGACGGGGGTATCAGATGTTGTAGCAGTGGCCGGTGGGAGGCGAGAACGCACTACTGAAGTGTTGGGCTGTCTTTTGGTGTCCCCAGTTACTTTTGATGATACTCGGTCGACATCCTCGGACCGCTCCAGCCTGGGGCAGTTCATGCTCGGTTTTCCTTCTGGCTCGCGGTTGTTCAATGTGCTCTCATTGAGACAGATCACGGTGACCAGGGGAGATGCCAAAGACTTCTGTCCGCCCTCCCTCTTGGTGCTTGGACTAGTTGAAGAGACTGGTCGATCCGTTCCCTCGGCAGGTTTCTCGAGGGGAATGTATGGGGAGACATACTTCCTCTTCTTAACAAAGGCAAAGTCTCGATGATCTACGGCTTCAATTCCCCCATCATGTGAGAAGGAAGGTGATCGAGTCTGGGACGCGTTAGAGGAGCCCTTGCTGAAGAGCGATGCTGACCGTTCTGTGCCCGTTCCTTGTTCAGTTGGAGTCGAAGCAGTGTTCGATTGAGTTGGTTTGCCTGGCGACTCTGAACATGATGTTGACGGTGATGGTTTTTCGTCAGCTGGTAAGGAATCATATACCTGGTCTTGTGCTAGGGAGTCTGACATTGGAGGAGAAGCTGCCTTATCAAAGACACTCGAGCCCTCACTGGACCTGGCGTTGGGTGTTGAGCTCCGGATCAGGCTATCAACATCTTCCGAAGCGTGGCTCAAAGGGGATGCGACTCCCACCTTATCAGCGTCTTCTTGAGAGACTGCAGAAGGCGGTGACATGTCCATCATATTATCGTCATCTCCGTCCGGGAGGACCAGGGGGCTTGCATCCTCCATTGGTTCATCAAAATCTTTGTGAGGCATTGAAGTGCAAGGAGGCTCCAAGATGTCATCTCGATGAGCATTGGGAGGGGTTGTACTCTCCATCACGTCACCAACACTCCCGTGGACACCGGAAGGGCGCACCTTTTCCATGGCATTAGAATCTTCAGGTGTGCCAATTGAAGGCGATGTAGTCTCTGTCACGTCAGCAAACGTATCGGAGACGTTCTGAGCGGGGGCAACCTCCGAGGGTTCGATATAATCCTTGGTGGCAGCAGCTGAAGAGGCTGCAGTTGTTATGGCGTCCCCATTATCTTGATCAGAGATGGGCGGCGGAGATGGGACATCAGCCGCAGAGAGTTCATCAATACAAAGGGTGGCATCCATGGAAGCATCGAGGTCTTCATCAGCGACGAATGAAGGCGGCGTGGTGAACCTCAGCCCATCCTCATCAAGGCCCTCGTTGGCAACCGCTGCAAGGTCCATCGGGGTTTCAGCATCCTTTTCGACGGTAGGCTCGGCCGCATCTTCCGCATCAGGATCTTCAAGAGAAATAGCTGAGGGCTCGTCCGTCACCGGAGCATCATCAGGGTGCTGTTGGGAGATTGAAGGGGGGTCTGGCTGCGCGATCTCCTCAGTTTCATCCTCACTTTCTGAAGAGGAAAGAATTTCGATGATCTCTATGTCCATGCGAGATGGGGGACGAGAAATTTCCCCAGGGGCGACAGAAGAGCCCCTTGATGCCACTGCATCGGGTGATTCGCCTGAGGCTGGAGGAGTATCGGCTCGCGTCGCCTCTGCAGCTGCCTCATCTGTGGCGATCGGCTCTCCCGCATCATCCATGCTCTCGGTAGCCCTTTGACGCTGGCCGGGGAGCATCATCTCTTCTCGCTGACGCATGATGTACCTCAGAACCTCACAGTGCTCGTTCATCCTGAGTGGGACACTGGTGCTGCTCAGATCCCACTTCCGCAGATTCATCGCTGCCACCCAGGCGACGGGGCAGCCAGCTGGGAACTTCTTGCTGGTCAGGTAGATGGCGGGGAATGCACGCTTGGCCGCCAGCTTCCCCTTCTCGTCGTACCCCTCCGCCCAGTCCAGCTTGCCAGTCTCGGGGTTGTGAACGAAAGCGTTGGGCAGGTCGTCCATCAATCCGAGGGAGGTGAGAGTTCCCTGGATACCCACATCCTCGAGGTTCTCCATGGGGAGAAGGAGAACGGGCACGTAGCTCCTCGTCTCACTGACCAGACAGAAGTATATCTCTCCCGGGACAGGGTCGAGGATGGACTCGTAGACCTTCTCGGGCGGCGGGGTGATCTCGCCGCGACGCGCTCGGCCACTGGACGCAGTTGCGGCGGCAGTCTGGTTCTGGCGGCGTGCAGGCACTTCCTCTACATGCCTCATAGTCTCGGAAGCATTTGACCGGCGGCGCTGAGAGCTGGCACTAGAAGCTCTGGATCGCTTTGGGTCATGTTCCTGGACAGAAGACGACTTTCTTTTACCGGTATGAGGGGGGTTGATGCCGAGAAGAGCATTGTTCTTCTTCGCGAGGCTCTCGCTGCATCCTAAGACGAGGACGCCGAGCTTCTGGACTACCGCGCGGTGGCTTGGTCTCTTGCCTCCGTGATCGGCATGACTGAGATGCGACGCTCCGTTGAAAAGGGTTTCGAAGAATTGGTCGTGGCGGCTACAGTGGAGTATGTAGAAGTGGCCGTGGTTTTCTGGGTACCGCACGATGGCTCGTGGTTGATCCGGCTCGCCATCCTGATAGACGTCTTCAAACTCAATGTTGCGAGAGCGAGGGGTGCCTTTCCGTGTCTTTGTCTTCTTCGGTTGCTGGGATTGATAGTCGTCAGCGGCTTGTTCCGTGTCGACGGCAGTGAAGAAGAAGGGAAACAAGGATGCAAGGAAACCAATTGGGGCGACGTACCTTTTTTCTTGGGCTGACGACTTGCTCGTGTTCACTGTCCGACGAAGGCATTCGATCATCGCCCTCTTCAATCGCTTGACCAAGGGTGATCTCAGGCTGTGGTGATTGACTGGGGGAGCATTCCCCTCGCTTTGCCCTCTCGGTGAGCAACGGGCCCAAGAGGAAAAATAGCTGGTCGACAAGACGGTCAATTGCCCGGCTGTGGGCATTCTCGAACGCCTCTTGATCCCTGGCCATGTTCTCTCGCATCTTGCCCAGAATGCGGCCGTGCTCCATGGCGCTGGTGCGGAACATGCGCAGCTCCAGCGGCGAGGTCGGCAGGCTGGAGTCGCTTGTACTGGACAAGGCCTCCAGCTCGAGACACTTGGCCAGGTAGGCGGCCTTGGGGCTCTTGAGCTTCTGGTGCTCCTGTGTGAAGCTGCGGATGCACTCCTCGAGCGCCTCACTCAGCTGCTGGGACTCATTCTGGCAGTCGGGGGTATCAAGGATGGGAGGAGTATCACTCATGGCCAAGGCGGATGGATGCTGCACTGACAAGCACACGCCAGGGCCCTGGACGGGGGGCAGAGAGGAGATGGGAGAGACAGATTGTCTTGTGTAGTTTGGGGTTCACTTGAAATGCGACCGCCCGGATCGATCGATGTAAAGGGACAAACCGTCTGAGGAGGCGAGAAATGAGACAAGGAGAAAGAGAAAAAGAAATGGTGGAGGGACGGATAATTGAAGCACGATGCTGCAGGACGACGATGGTAATGGAGGATCAAGTGGAACGCTTTGCCAACCAACGACACATGCCAGCCCCTCAAACTGATCAGGCTGGATACAGCATACACGGCGAGCAGCAGAGAGTAAATAGAAAGGATCTTTCGTTAACTTCGTGGGGAGAATGCTGGAGAGGAGACAGGGGAGTGGGACGGAACAAGAAATGGATGGGATGGGATAGATGATGCGAGAAAATGTCACAGCTAACATTAATTAACATGTTAGTCCTCTTCACAGTACCAACGTACAGTACCGACGCAGAAGGCAGCAAAAAGCCACAGAAAAAAACAGCTGTATTGGGGCGATGAGACATGCATAAACCTGGTGTGGCCCAACGCTACCCATGACAAATCTACAGTCACATCAGGTCTGTCACTGTATGTACAGTAGGTACACTCTCGCCCGATCCATGGCCTGGAATTAGAAAAATATTCCTAGAAATGGACACGCACAGCCTCATACTGTCGGCTTACCAACTGGTCGGGGTCACGCCCAACAGCACCAACAGCAGGTCCACGCTCTATATATGGCTACACAACCAACAGAAGCATGCACGAGAGCCCATGAACTTGGTCAATCTGCAGTTGGCTGCCATTCTTACATCTCTGTGTGGTAGTGGTGCCGGAAGCCGACAAAACGGTTACAGTGCGTCCACCATAAATGAGTGTGTGAGTTTGTGCGCGCGTACACAGGAAATGAATGTGCGACTACCCGATTGACTGAGTGATCAGTGACTGGGGCGAAACAGGCGAGAGCTGCATTGGTGATGATCAACTCATCAAAAGACTTGTCACTGCAGCAGGGGTGCTGCCTTGCCCTGCTTTGCCTTGTGTCCCTGGTGGGAGACGCGATCCATCCCATGCCGTTGGTGCGTCGCAGGACGAGCCCTACTTGACCTTAACGGAGGAGATGGTGGAAATGAGCGACGATGAGCAAATAATGCCCGTGAAAGGATCCATGTCCCGAGCCAGGCTCGCCACATTGTACCACTCTGAGACCGCTGCTGGACAACTGGGTCCTGTATCATGAGCCGGGGTCATCATGTATTTGCTCGCCAGGACTGCACCAGCCGCCGCCTTAACCCAAGAGTACAGTGGTCCATTGAATAGAGTGTGACGCTTGCTGGTTTAGGCAGCATGTGTCGCTGCCATGATTCCCGTTCACAGTACGCGCTTCACCCACCCATTGGCCCCTTGGCCCCCGTAAGATCTTTAACGAATCCCTGTGGGATTATGTTGGTCAGATGGATCAGTACCAAAGTTCCCCGTGTTGGGTGTCTTTTGAATCCGTGCCCCATCGCTTCTGGTCGGTATTATCTATAAAGTCCCATTGCCGACTCCTCTGCTCATCCAGCCGTCCCAGCCAAGCCCAGCCCAGTCTGCTTATTACCCGGTATCATACTGTGGAGGAAGACCGGCTATATGCAGCGGCCGATGTACGTAGTAGCGCAACACTGAGAGGGGGGTGGCTGGCTGGAAAAAGCAATGCGAGATGCTATTGTTTTGTCCGTTGCATGCCACTTCCCCACCCACACAGCCTATGAGGCTTTCCTATCGGTATGAACTATCTTGTGATTGGGATCCTGAACAATAGGAACTATTTCTTATTCATATGCATACCCTTGCTGGCAGACTGGTTTTGCCTTACGGCTATCCCCCACCCACCAAACAACAAGTGCCGGAACCCACTCTGTCCTCTTCTCCTCACGCTCTCTCGCTCTGCTGGGTTGGAGGGAGTGTCCTCTGCATCTGCCGGGCGTGGCAAATATAGAATTCAGGTCTGCATCCCATCGTCCAATACGATCCCAGCCAGGCATCGGATAGCGCCCCCGGATGACTATTGACCTCTCCTCAACGCCAACTACCGTGATCTGTCATATTATCACCCTGCTGTCCTCCACCGTGAAAATTCTAGTCCTCTTGACCGCTGGAACATGCCGTACTCCCAGGTGGTCCGTGCAACATTCTCATTGGTGCCGGCGATCACGTAGATACCGAAGCTGCAGATTCTGACCTCCTCTTCCTCACGCTTGTGCCACCTCCCAATGGTCTGTTTCAGCTCTACGCCAGAAAAAACGAGCCGATGACGAATTGAAGACGAGGAGAATCAACGCAAGTCTCTCGGTGCCTGCAAGTATGTCCCAATTCGTTCGTGCGAGGTTTGAGCACCAGACTCTGTACCACACGCAAAGCAACCCAACCCCTTTTCGTCGGCGCGTGCATTTGCGTTGTCATCGAGACCACGTTCTGTAAATTTTCAGTTTTTTTTTCTTTCTTGTCTCTTGTCTCCCACTCTAATGTCTCGCATCTCAGAATATTCTGGATGTGCTCGGTCGCACCCACTGCGTGACATTGCACTGTCGGAACTCTTGGACTGTCTCTCTCACCCAGCCCCCTCCCAGCTCAGCACGATTTCCATCGGCGGCCTCATGGCCATGTCCCGATGACCGGATGGCCACGCACCTGTGCTCCTCGCCTTTCCAGAGCCATTCTTGGCAGCCCTCCTGGGATAGGCAGAGCGATCTGCATGCCTCAAGCGAGCCCGCTTCCACACTCGTCGGCACCTCCCATTCGCCGTCCCCTCGGTCTTGTGTAACCCCAGAGTCCTGATTGCGAAGCTCCCATAGGTCGGCATAGAGCATGGGCTGTTCCAGCCTTCGGTGCCCAAACTCCCATCTCCATAGCCGTCGCATGTCCTCCGGCGAGGTCCTGTGTAGCGTCAGCGCGGGCTGGCACCAATACTGGTCGCCAAATGGTATGTCGCCCAGCGCGTGCGGATTGAACATGGGCCACAGCCCCATGACTTCTATCCCGGCCTCCAGCAGCGCGAAGCCGAGTATGCTGTCTCCGCAGCAGTCCTCCCGGGTGAGCGTCGCCCATTTCTCCGTCAGGGAGACGCCGTCGAGGTACGACGAGTGGAGGAGCGCCTTGATGGCGCCGCGGCTGAGGACGAAGCCTGGGCCACCGTTTGCGAACCACGACTGCTTGAGTTTGCCCCATCGGTTCTTGTGCTCGCGGCCTGGGGATGGAGAGCCCATGTAGATGCGGTCGTCAGCGTTGAAGTTTTTGAGGAAGCGGAACATGTTGTCCCAGGAAACGTAGCTATTTTTGGTAGTGATATTAGCCTCATTTCATTGATGCCAAGCCTCAAAGTCTTTCTGTCAATTGTGTTGTAGCCAGCTCTCGCTACTTACGTGTCCGATTCGTAGAAAACGTAAAACTCCTTGTTGGGTTTTAAGTTCCATGCCTTTTCAATCATCGGTAAAAATTTATACTTGTCCAGCATCCATCCGTCGATTTTCTGTTGGTTGTCGTGCTTGTCCAAGGTACCGTTGACGTACATCTGCTTCTGAAGATCATACATGTCCAACTGAACGTTGTCTTTGCGAACTAGGTCAGGCAGATCTTCCAATACATCAATAACGTGGTATCCTCGAATCTCTTCAGTAAGATCGGAGAAGACGGGGAGCTCGCGGTCGCTGAAACACGCACTCACGCTGAAGAGCTGCGCTTCAACCCGGGCTCGATCCTCTCCATGCCCGATCTTTAGGACAGGCTGTATAGTATCGAGGATGTGTCTTGGGAAAGTCTGGCATAGTTCTTTCACGGATTTGCTGTTTGGGTTCTCGACTCGAAAGGGTTCGAATAGACTCTGATCTGTGATGTTGTAGTATTCTGGTTTGCCGAAAATAGGGATGGGGAGTTTTGAGAATTCCTTGACCCATTCGCCATGCCACGAACCCCAAACAAGCAATAATAGGGTGAAGAAAACTAAGAAAAAAAGTCTAAGCAGCCGTCTTTTCCGAATGATGGGCACAATGACCCAACCACTGATCGTCTTCGGTATCGGCTGGGCCGTGGCCGTGCCGGTTGTGCCAAACATTGCCGGCTAGTTCTTTTCTCTTACAGACGGAGCATTCATGAGGATCTTCTTCGACGGGTGAATCAAGAGATCAACAGTCGACAATATAATACATATCGATGAGATGAAGCGCAGGGGCAGGCCCCGGAAAAAATGGATCGGGTAACGAGGTCAGCATCGCCACGCTTTGTTTATCGGTTCGAAGAAACCACTCACCGCGTATACTAGTGGCTTCCTAGAAATATCAAACACTGCCCCGTCATCCAACGATCCTAGTTTTCCCTGTCAAATGCTGCCAAGCCAATACCAAGATATATCAGACGGCAAGGGCTTCAGCATGGGCCGGCCTCTTTACTCCCATCATACTGGGAGAGTAACGTTTATATACGCGACGGTCACGGAAAGAACTTCTGCAATATTAACAAACTCTAGTCCTCAATGCGTGAATTATTTGTAGATGTGATTGCGATCCATAGCTCTCGTTATGGTCTCATTTAAAGGCCGCCGTTGAATCATAACGTGGATATGCTGAGACTCGAGGCCCCGACATACATCATCATGCTTCCGTATGGCCAAACTACTGTCACAGCTAGCCCTTTGAAGCCATATTTCCCAGGAATATATGGAGTGTACGCGTAGTGTTGGGGAGGAGGTCGGTTGTGGACCGTTCTAAGACAGGGCCACGTGCTCTTGGTATCGTTATGATCGGAGGAAGAGACGACATTTTTATTAATGGGAAGATTTCTTAAGCCATGTTGCTCAACACCTAACCTTTGTTTTTTAGTCGCCCAATGCAAACACCCAGATGCTGCCGCAACTGCGCCTAATATCACATTATCCCAAACCATAATCACACGGGCCATATCTGATGATTCTGCTGTGTGCTTTGTATGATCGAGACGAGTCCCACTAATAAATTCTCGGTAGGCCTGGACGCATACGTAGGGCATACGTATACCCAGCTAGGACCAACGCCGTCTCGTTTCATCTTGTCAGTGGATTGATTTTCACATCCATCCGGGATCGCCTTTTCTCGAAATATGAATGATGAATCACATCACATGGTTTTTATTCTCAGCTATCTGGGATGTTATCAACCAGTAAGACAGTGGGCGTAAATGATGTTACCTGTATATGATACGAAGAGACGGTTACGTAGGGGGGTATATAGCAAAAAACACTGCAATATTACTATTTTACTCTATACTATGAATTTCGGGATTAGGAAACTGATAATAATAAAATTTGCAGTAATCTATATATATTTTATTCTGTAATTTTTAAGGTTTAAGAGATACTAAGTACTGTACTAAATAAGGGTATTTTTTAACATTTGAATTTATAATATTAACTAGCTATTCCGAACTTTTGCAGAGGCCTTTCTTATCCGGCCTGCCCGGGAAAGAGAGTAATTTTCCGGATAATAATTATTACTATTATTTATATATATTCTCTGCCTCTTATTAGAGGGCTTGCTTAAAGCCTCTGAATTATTATGTATCTTATCAGCCTCTTCTCCTTCAGACTTAATAGTATTACTGGCTTTAATAGAGGGCTCCCGCAGCTGCTCTTTAATAATCTGTATTTCCTCCTCTTTATTATTATTAATATCAGGGAGAGACTGTGTTGGTAGGAAGGCTTTAAGGTTAATCTCTAATTACTACTCTTTTTTTATTAGTACAGCCTGCTTGTATTTGTATAATATAAGAGGCTTTTTAACTTATACAGGCTCTTATATTATTATATAAAATTCAATAAATAATATAACTCTCTTCTTCTTGAATAACCAGCTATAAGTGGTATATTTATTAAATAATATACTGCTGTTGAATTACTTAGGCTCTGAGGTAATACAGGTAAATATGCTTACTTTAGCCCTTAGAGGCTTTACCTAATTTATACTAAATCATATAAGCGTTTAATTAAAGTTATCGAGAGAGAAGAATTAGGAAATATGGCTATTAAGGAGGGTATATCTATTAAGTTAGTTAGTATTAAGCTATAGGATTATAGGGATATCTATATTATCTAGGAATTATTAGCTAGAAGCTAAAGATAGGGAGAGTAAGGTAAACCTAGTAATATAATCTTTATAGCCTTAAAGAAGTAAAGCCTATTATTAATATATCCCTCCGAGTAAAGAGGCTTAATCTGTAACTATAGGCTAAGCGGACTTTAAAGAGGTAACTCTTCTTTAGAGGCTTATATTTAGGCTGTAATCTCTCTTATATATTAGTTTAAAGCCTTAAGCTGTTTATTATATGATAAAGTTAGTATTAATAATCTTAATAATAGTAATAACCTATTGAACTGAGAGATAGGTATTTAATATAGGATAGTTAATCTAAGCTCTGATAAAGATAAGCCTCTCTGAGAAGAAGAACCCCTCTGAGATAAAGATAAAGATAAGTAATTATTTAGCTACTACTGTAGAGTTATATTAGTTACTTTAAGATTAAAGGCCTCTAGCTAAGGTAGGTTATAGAAAGGGTAAGAATCTGAAAAGGTAAAGTATTTATAAATCTCCGAGTATAGTATATTTATTAGGTACTTTAAGCAGCAGCTAGGGATTAAGTTTATTAGATAAGGATAAAGAAGAGGCTTACTAATTATAATATAGTAAGAAATAAGGAGTTAAGTAGCTATAATACTAGAGGAGGTATATTATTTTTATTATATTATAAAAGGGGGAAATTATAAGTAGCTGTAAAGCTAGCTGTAATAAGACTAGTAAATAGATTACTATTATATATATCTATTACTATAAGACTTATCCTATAATAACTATCCTAAATCTTATCTAAAAATATCAGGAGATATAGTATTTAATAGCTCTGAATTTACTTAATTCGGTATATAAATTTCATATTTATATTATTTAAAGCGGTAGTATAAGAGCTGGTTAAAAATATAGTAAAATTATAGTAATATACAGCTTTATCGTACAGCTATATTATATAGTATTATATATAAAACCTAAGTTAAAGATATATTATGATATATTACTATAATATATTAGAAACCCTCTGCTAATAATACTTATAAATAACTTAACTGTTTATAATCTAAAAAAATTATAAGATATATTATTTTAAAGCTCTAGATCTTCTCTTTCTGTATTTTAAATCTGTTCTTAAATATCCCGAGGAATAGTATTATTAGAGAAGTTAGAGTCTGTAGTATAGTTCTGTTAAAGTAGGTACTTATATTCCTTTATACTACCCCTATAAATTAGTATAAGATCTAATACCAGCTGTAGCTCTGCTTTATTATATATCTTAATAAGATTATATAGTAATAAGAAATTCCTAATAAATAGTTTTTCAGGATTATCTTATAGGTTAATCTAAGTATTAAATCCTATCTCTTCCAGCCTCTCTTAGTACTAGTTTATTATAAATTCGGGTAGAAGAGATTCTATATCTAAATCTGTAAGAGGTTTATATATATTATTAATTAGCTACTAATCCGGAGCCTCCTTATTATTACTTAGAGGAATACTCTAATTAGGAGTATCTGTTGAGTAATAGAGGTCCTGAGGGATACTGGATATAATATAAGGGTGATTCTTCTGATTTTAAATACAGTAGCTATTCTATAGTATTATAAACTATACTAATTTATCCTGAATTAGAGAACTATAAATAGTATATAGGGCTATTTAATCTGCTTTATTATCCTTCTTAAAAATTATATATCCGGTCAGTTTATTAAAGAAGATAATCCAGTAATCTATAGTGCTCTGCTAAAGCTACTGCTACTAAGACTTAATTCTGATATTCCTCTTGCTTAGGCTATATATATAGCAGCTGCTTAGGTAATCTCCTTAAGTATAATAATATTTAATTCTATTACTATTAATAAATTTAAGCTTCCTAGGCCTAATCTTTATAAGGGTAGTTTAGGCTGCTGCCTATAAAGGGATCTTAGTACTATAATCAGAGCGGGTGAAAAAAGACTATATCTATAGGTACCTTACAGTCTTAAGAAACTGCTTTAATATACTTATTAAGGTTATTACTGATCGGCTAATATAGAACTAAATTATATACCTTAAGTATATATTAATATAAGTATATATTTAAAATTCGAACTTCTTTAACTTTTTATAGCTATTAAGAGACTATATAAAGTTAGGCCCCGGTATATAGAAGTTATAGTAATATCTGAGTTAGGTATTATACCAGCTAGTAACTTCCTTAGGAAAAATAGCTGAATAGGCAGAATAAAGCTGGTATTATAATATAAGAACCTTACCTTACTGATATATATAGGTATAAAGAAGCCCTTTTCTAAGGCCTAGGATTATACTGGTTTTTTTAAGGTTATCTTAAAGGAATTCTAATATATATTAGAGGCTGACTAGCTACTCCTCCTTTATCTTAAGCCGATATATTAAGCGCTCTTAGAAGTAAACTTTCCGGATAAGAAAAGGATATATAATAAAGCCTTCTCTTTAAAGATTATAAAGGAGGGCTTAGTTAGAGTATCCGAAGGTATAAAATAGATACTTAAGGTGTTAAACGAGCTTGTCTATAGCTACTAGAGTATAGTATTATATATCTAAATACTATTCTTAAAGCTGGCTGTAGAATATATATATTAATACTATTGGAAGATACCGTTACTGAAGGCAGTTATTAATATTAGTATAAATAGCTTTAATTATATTACCTTAAAGATATTGCTCCGATATCTCTTTATAGTAAGAAGTTAGATTAGCTCTTAGGCCTAACTGGTTAAGCCTAAGTTTGACTAGGTAATAATTAAGTATGTGGATTGCAATTAGACTACTACTATTAGTAATAATTAATTTATTTAGGGAAAAAAGTATCTGGTGCCTGGTCTGATAGAGATTAAATTGATAGAAAATAAAATTTGAATATCTTATAAGATTATTATATTATTATATATTGAAGATAAGGCTCTAATTGCAATATATTATTATAAGCGCTTTGCAGGTAATGTGAGGGGGTTGTGGGGCCGAAATGGTAATATTGCAGTGTTTTTTACTGTATACCGCCCTATTACAGGGCCAAGCTTTGCGAATGGCCAAGGGAATAAAGCTAATTGGCTACGGAGTGAAGACTCAATAAATGATTCGGCTCAAATTGCCTTAAACGATTGACGCGACTCTAGCTCAGACCTCCTCGCCTCCCTGGCGGGATCGTCCCCTGGTACGGGCAAACCACTGAATTATGAGGCCCGTTTTCTAGCCCGCGTCCTCCCGCGTATGGAATCTTGGCTGGGTGTTCGCCTTGGCACTGCTCTAGCAGAGGAAGACCAAGAACTTTCAGATCATAGCCCTTTCAGCCATGTTGTCAGTAAGCGTGCTACATATCAATCCATCTTGGGACATATCCCTGCTCTTATGTTCCTTCTATGCGCCCCCACTGCCCCAAGCAGGCATCGTGATCCCTCTGTTACCAAGCCAAGCTCCCAGCTATCCCTAATATACCTCATCCATCCATCACACCAACATTAACAAAAGTCCCAAACGATCCGACCCTCCTTCTACCAACAGCCACGGAGCTTTTGCCATCATTCGCGTGATGTAGTAACGGTTTCTTTTGAGCTCCATTTCGGGGTTATAGGTGACATATTTGAGGCGCAGCGATTGCAGTGCAGAAATGGAACAGAATTATGCAGTTGGTCATAGGGCCATTATTACCTCAATCACATATTGCCAACACACGTGTAAAAATAGATCTGTTGGGCCACCGACTGTACTCTGCAGCCAACAAACAATAAAATGATTTAGCCTGATGTTGTTGGGAAACCGGAAGTAGACTCAAAACATTCCCGGTTTATCCCGTCATTGAAGATTGGCACTGTTTTCCAACTACACTAACACGTTGGTCGATAATGTTTGAGAGGGAGAAAGCATCAATTGAAGTAGGGAAAATAGAAAATACACACCTTACGCTGTAGCCCTAAAGCCCGGCTTGTGCTCTTAGCAGAAGAAGTGGTCGAGTGAAGCGCGGTACCCAGGAGACTCTTAATGTTCATTTCCAATAAAGTGGACGCAAAATATCCATAGAGCACAGATGATATTGATGAGCTCATGGATATTAGGCTATTAGTTTGCCTGTCTTCCATATCAGCGGAACCTAATCTATCGGATAACCTGCCCAAGAGTTGCTCCGCGTGCTTTAGACTGTGCGCTCTATGCTGAGCCTTCTAGCGTTTCCTGGCCAAAGGTCTAATATCAACGAGCTAGAAACAGGCTACCACGTTGCTCTATTACAAAGCAGCTGAGATCATGGTCACAAAGCGCTAATCTGTTTTAGATGGACAAAAGCGCATCTCTCCCTCATTCACCCGAGTATTGATCTCAATACCTTCAAACCGACAACTAGGGTTTAGAGATATTATTCTAGAGGCTTAGACTCTCCTAAGTTAAGTCACTGTCAAGAAATAGACACAGTAAGAGTAGAAGAAATATAAATTAGAGTATGGGCTGAGTTTTCCTCACAACATGAGTATTACCTATAACTTTAGTCTATGAGGTTGCTTAGATTGTGGGAGATACCCTATGTTGGACACTAAATCATGGCTCTTAATAATATGTCTAGCCTTCATTTGGACATCCGTGAGTCTTATAGTAACAAAGTAACATAAGATTCTCTTTCTTATGTGATTTAAGTAAACGTAAGTATATGTTAGAGTGTGCCTGCTGTTACCTGACTGAATATTGTAGATTAATTTACGCGCCTTATTACCTTCACTCGGACCGCTATAACTCAGTCTTATCCCCCAAGGACGTTTTCGTGTGAGCTCAAACTTTGAATAAGATGTCAGTCATTATTTGATGACTAGAATTGAAAGAAGGTTTGACCTTTGAAGAGCTAGGAAAACCAGATAATATAGCGGTCTTAATTTGGCAGAAAGTCGTCGATAGGAGCTACACAACTAGGTTTATTTAGTTTATGATTTAGACAACTGACGACGAGGTAGTCGTGGCGGTGTACTTAATTAGCACGCCCCAAAATATTTTTAGTATCGTTTCGATACTAATCATTACAGCATCCCGAAATTGTCACTTCTTAGACAGCTGAAGCTAAGAAGATTTATCATCGAGCCAAGTAATACCATGGTCCTTGGAATGTCCAAATTAGGAGTTGAAAGGTTAATAGGCTCGTTTATATCTCTTGAGATGGCTCGAAGTCTACTGCACTTACCGGCAGCGCCTCCTCATAAAATGCTAAAAAGTCTCAATGGATCAAGCTAGACTTGGGTTGCTGCCAGACTTCATGAATTCATTCCAAATTGACTAATGAAAAATATTTGTTGATAGTGCCCACAATGACATCCTCGGCGCCATATCCACGTAGTCTAGGATGGCTAGAGTGTTTGCCATATTTAGTCCAAAGAGTTAAATTTGGAAGCAGTACCGTGGGAAGTGAAACTCCAAGAAGAAGGCTAGACAGAGATTACAATTAAGAAACACGACGGTAGGTCAAGGTAATGACGGGTTACTAGAACCGCTACCGCAAATGAAATGTGGAAATGAGCTAGAAAATCTGGACAGATGAGCGGTCATGCCAAATGTTCCTTGAGAGCGAGATACTTGGCTTCAAGCTAAAGCTGGGAGACATGAAATAGACGTCACTAAAGAGTCCTTCAAACGACTTCATAGTGGAAACACATTGCTTCTACCAGGAACTCAAGCGAGTGGAAGGAAAAATGGTCAGCTGGACACAGGTGCATAAGGAGTCTCACAGGACCGACGTCAGTGTTCTGAATTGGGTGGGTAACATTGGCCATTGCCAGAGTTGCTTTCTTATGAGCTTTACCGGCTAAGGTAGTACTACCCAGCTATCTCGCGTTATTGATTGCGGCTGGATCTCTCTGTGTAAGACAGAGCCTCAAACTCCGGCTGCTACTGGCTAGAATTGCACCATCGGCATGCTAGAGACCATCAGTGAGACATTTATACCGCAAGAAAGTGCCATTAAATAACTTACCAGGTCTCTGTTCGGTCCTTTTGACCGAAGGGTGTCGCACATAACACCTCATCATACCCCTTCATTGGCCTCTTGTCGATTTCCCCGCTCCTTGATCCACACAACCTACTGCAGGTGAGCTAATTGATTCTTGATTGAGGCTCTAACAATCTTTGGGCGCCTGATCAGTTCATAGTGGGTGCCTTACTTGTCCCCTCATTCTCCCGAAAACATAATTTTGAACGATCGCGAGTGCGGGAAACGAACGTGATTTAGCGCTGCTTACAAAGGAGATCTAAGGAACCACGATCTTGGTGTTTTCGTCTGGACTATTGGCCAACAGACCTGATTGGCTTGGTATTGGGCAGACGATTGAGTCTAGTACCGTTCAAGAAACACTCCGGCTCACTATCGGTGGGCATTCTTAGTTAGGATCTATCACTAACATAATCCACAAGTAAGCCGATCATATAAGTGAGCTGATCACTTCTATCCAGAAATTAGAACTTCCTCTTTATAATTAAATAACTTTCTACTATAAAATAAATATAACTTCGTATAAAGTAAATATTATCCTTATAATTTAAGCTCTTAATTAAAACCTGAAATTAAGTATTAGAGTAGTAGTAAAAGTCTATTAAGTTCTATATATAATCCTTTATAACTAATATACTAGTTATATAGTAAAATATAATACTTAATTAAAATTAATAAATCTATTAAAATCTAAAGAGGAAGCTATTATCTTATATATACTTAAGCTATCTATATATATATTTCCTCCTAGGATATATAGTATTAAGAAAATAATTAATATCCTATTATATATATATAATATACCCCCTATTAGTATTAATTAAGCTTCTAACTTTATTAAGTAGTAACCAGAGCTCTATATATACTAGGTTTAGAAATATAACTATTAGAGAGCTAAATATAAAGATCTAAAGATTATTATATCTTAGTTTAGTCTTATATATAATCTAAAGATAAAATATAGTATTCTAGATAAGAACCTATATAACTTTAATAAAACTAGCTTTATAATAGATATTATCTTCCCTAGGATAGTAATTATAATCTTAGAGGGTTATATAAAAGCTAAGCTAGTTTAGTCTGATAACTAGGAATAAGTAACTATAATCTAAGGGGTAAATATAGCTAGCTAGGCTATCCCTTCTTTTATTATCCTAGCTATCTAATATTACCTTAAGAACTAGTATTAGGAATATAATCTACTATATAACTAGTAGCTTATAATAACTAAGAATAGCTAGACTACTAATAAGATTAGTCTGGATTAGATTAAGTATTTTAACTCCTATATAGCTCCTTATATAAAGAGGGTATATTAGATACTAATCCTTAATAGCTATAAGAGCTACTACTTAGCTAACTTTAAGATCTACTATTAAGAGTAGAAGATTATTATAGTCTATATATCTCCTTACTCCTCCTATCTTCTTTAGCTACTAGATATTAGCTACTTTAGACTACTTAAGTAATTATATAAGTAAGAGATTAAGAGTCTAATATAGATATATATTACCTATATTAGTAAGCTTAAATTTCTCTCTATCTTTTATATAACCTTCTTCTACTTCTTTATAGAGAAGAATATCCAGATAGACTTTATTAGATCTAGCCTAATACTATATAACCTAAAGAGAGTTCTTTTAAAGCTAGATATAATACTATAAATATTAATACTACTAGAGACCCTATCTAAGATAAAGTAGCTCTAGGTTCTAAAGATACTATAGACTATATATAAGGTAAGTATATAGTCTGAGTATATTAAATCTTAAATCTTAACTTATTAAAATAGCTCCCTAACCTCTATACTAGCTATAGTAGATTAATTTATAAAGGGGGTAATTATAATAATATACTAAATAGCTCTTTTATATACTAAGATCTATAATCTTTATATAGTAAATAAGGTACTAAGTAAGTACTAAAGAGCTAAAAAAAGCTATATATAGCTTAGAGGGTCCCTAACTATATAGGATAGAATAGATCTATTAGATTAGAAGGATATAGATAAACAGCTAAGAGGGGAAGACTATAGAAGTAGTAGTTAGGGAGAGCAGGCTTATATAAAGACTCTATAATATAGTAATTACAGAAAGCCTGATTATAATATCCGAACCTATAGGGAGACTGGAGAGAAGTCTGATAAATTAATTTCTAGTATTATTATTATAGATAATTAGCTATTATTATTTTAATTAACTTTATTATATAAGGGATAGGTAGAAGTAATCAGCTTACTTATATAATCAGCTTACTTATAGATTATATTAATTATAGAAAGTTTATCAGAGATTATCCGGTAGTTCAACTCGGCTTCTAATTCTAGCATGAACCCTCTGCCGGTTCTCCACGATGGGGTGAGAACAGCTGATCTGGAGTAAGGATCTTCCCGAACTTTCCGAGCGATACTGAGAAATCTGACAACGACGGCAGCATTGTCTCGATCCCTGGACTCCCAACACTCCATCCACGATACAAGTGGAAGGATCACAACCAATGGCTTCGAGAGGTACTCAGTCATCGTGTGCCCCAGGCCCGAATTATGGCCTTCCAATACGATTTTGGCCAGGAATCGCAGGAAGTTGCATGGATGCAACTCATGCAGCATGCAGAAGGGCTTCTTTATAGCCTGATTCACCGGAGAGAAGGGGTCGACTCGCGCCCAATCATATTTGTTTGCTTCAGTTTTGGTGCTTTTATTCTCAAAAGAGCAAGTTTCCTGCGATCACAATCTTTTTTAATCATCATCTGACCATCTGTGCAAGGCACTGCTGCTTGCAAAAGATACGCGTGCGTTTCGAAGTATACTCGACATGACGGGAGGTATCGTATTTCTTGGCTGCTTGAACAACGAGACAAGGCCTAATTTTGAGGACCTTTGCCTGAAATGCGCCGCAGTTGAGACGGGTGTACACAAAAAGGATCGAGTCATTGAGAATCTCCGCCAGGACAATCGCTGGACCTTTGTCAAAGAGGTCATGGAAGACTTTAGGGCCTTGAATGGCCCATTTCCTGTTCGCATCTTATTTGAACTCAATCCAAGCAATATTGGCAGTCGACAATTTGTTGTGAGGACGATGAAACAGGAATGTGTGAGTAGACGAGAAGTATGTGGACGGATCACGATAGCCCCCATTGCTGACATCAAGGCCAGCTATGTTCCGAGCAAGTGTCTCGCTTAGGTTGGGATAGTGAACAGTTGGTTCCTGTCCAGAAGAACCACGCTGAGCTTACCATGTACCCTCAAAGAAGCGACGACGACGCCTACTTTCAATTGTTTATGAAGACGCTCTCTGAAATGATCGAGGAAGTTGTTCCCAAGTCCGTTATGGTCCCTAAGGGATTGGCTGGCAGTAATGGCTCGAAAAGCGTACTTAGCCTAGACCTTTCCTCTGACGGTAAATTGATTAACTGCTACAAGTACCATGGATATACTGACTCTCTAGTAGACGATGTCGTGTCCCTCTTGACGGCCCCTAGGTCGGACTTAAACATGCCCGGCGGAGTGACTATTCCCTGTTTTGTCACTTGGCCATACGACGAAAACCCGAATTTCGTTGGAAGGGAAGATGAACTGGAACAGATTCATGCCAGCCTCTTTCCGATCGATGGCAAGGGCCCTCAACAAAGGGTATTCGCACTGACCGGGCTGGGCGGCATGGGAAAGACGCAAATTTCGGTCAAATATGCATTCAAATACCGCCAAGATTACCATATCGTGCTATTGGCGCACGCAGACGGTCAATCTAAACTTGCGGAGAGCTTCTCCTTATTTGCTGATAAGCTTGGGCTAGGTGCGGGCATGTCCCCTATCAAAGCGAAACAGGCCGTAAAAGATTTTCTGGGATCAATTGGCAAGTACCTACTACAGGGATTACTGATTACCGGTTTGGTAAACTGACATTAGAGTAGATGTACCCTGGCTACTAATTTTCGACAACGCTGATACTGATGACAAGATCCAGCTTCTGGATGAGTTTTGGCCCTGCAAGTCACAGGGATCCATATTGATCACAAGTCGAGATCATACTCTGGTGAAAACGTTCACTGGTATGGAGCTTGTCGAGATGACCAAGCCCAGCGCTGTGGACTTGCTCCTTCGCTTGGTTCAGTTTGATAAGAATGCACTTGATGATGCCGATGTCATTGAAGAAGAGATTGCCGCTGAGAAGATCGTGAAGCGGTTAGGATTTCTACCTCTTGGAATTAGTCAGGCTGCCACGTTGATTATCAATGACTCGTGCTCTCTGGCATCCTTTCTTGAGGACTACACGCTGCGAGAGCTAGTTGAAGACTCTGCTACTATCCAATTGGAGAGCCCTAGAAACGGCTACAAGTATACTCTGAGAACGGTGTGGAACATGAACTTCGAAAGCCTAACAAAGGATCAGCAGAGTTTGATGAAGCTCATGTCGTTTCTAGACCCGGATCGGATTCAGCTGCGGGTTCTCAAAGATGGGCTCCTGAAGCCGCAAGTATCTGACTTTGATTTCATTAGCTCACCACACAAACTTAGCAAGTGCAGAGCTGGCCTCTTACGCAGTACACTGGTTTCTCAAAGCCGCAATGGTCGAGAACTGAGGATGCATCGGCTGGTACAAGCATACTGTCAGCTGAGAATGGACATTGAAGAGTCCCGTGCGAACTTTCGAAGTGCCATCAATCTAATCAAAGCTATCTGGCCAGTTCCCAATAGGGAGATGGTTCATAATCCAGCATTTTGGAAGGAGCAACGGGAACTGCTTCCCCATGTGCAAAAGCTATGCGAGTTTTACGTCAAGTCGTGTGAGAACGGCCAGCCACTGATTTCGCATACGGAGCTCAACTGGGATTTCGCTTCCGTATTATATGAAGCTGGGTGGTAGGCATAGAAAAATCCCGTATATCATTTGGGGTGGTCTATTAAACTTGGATAGGTTTTGTTACGAAAGCGGATTACTAGAGTCGGTGTCAGAACTCCTCGTTCCTGCAAAAGAGTACTGCATCAGACACCTTCCGAAAGGCGGAGGGTATCGTATTCTGGCCGACATCTACGGTGGCCTTGGATCTCTTGCAACAGAGTCAAATCAGTTTCAGCGCGCATATGATGACTTCAATGAGGAATGGGAGTGTTTAAAACTTGCATTCGACGCTGCTGAACTAACCCGGCCCAGCATTTGGGAGGTTTTTGGCTTAGGCCGTGTAGGCAACGGACTGCAGGGTCTTCATCGGTACACCGAAGCGGAGGAGTACTATAAAATGGCTTTGAAAGCATGGGAAGGACTCCCTGGTGATCGTAAGGTATGGGTGAGCAACATGTGTACATGCTTATGGTTACAAGGCAAGCTTGACGAGGGGGAGAAGACGATAAAGGCGGTAATCAAGGACGAGAATGACGCCACCAATTTCCGGTTTGTTACTGTATTCTATTCTTTCTATTTCGTGTCATAATGTGGCTAACCGATTACCCTTTTCACCTTCAGCACCGGGCTGGCTATGAATTGCTTGGGTAATATACAGATTTCCCAGGCCGAGCGTCTTAAGCAAGAAGGCAAGACTGAAGAAGGGGAGAGGAGGTTGACAGAGGCGATGGCGACACATACAAAGGTTCTGCAACTCTTCACAATTGCACTCGGGCAGAGGCACCACAAGACTGCCGATATCACGTACAAGGTTGGTTGGCATCTACATCGGCGGCAAGAGTACCAAAAAGCTCTGTAGGTATTTACTCTATGATGTTCATGAAAGCGACTAACATGTAATAATCGAAGGGATATGCTCAATAATGCTTTGGGAGTTTACGCGAGTCAACCTAAAATTTTCAAAAATGAAATAGCGCGGACCAAGTACAAGCTGGGCTGCTTGCAGCAGGATATGGGAGCACACATCGAAGGGGGCGCACTGATTAGGGAGGCCGAGCGTCTTCGGAAGGAGATAGTTGCACCGGAAGACTGGGAACCTGCCCAAGGGGAGAAAGCTTTTGATGGCATTGTTCAATTCTGGACACGCTGATTAGTTTCCTTCTAGGACATGGATTCCTCTTATACGTTCAAAATAAAGATGATGTATGTTTTCTGCTTACGTGAATAGTCGTTAATCGGATTTTGTTTTCATAGCTAGTTTCTCCAGTAAGTTGCATGAATCTATTTGAATAATTCGAATTGCTTTTGGGTTATCTATAAATGATCCGAAGTGTATGAGTAGACATTGTGCTGCATCACCATTGCTGGCCTCTCCTCCTGCCCCGCCAACGTCTAACAAGATGATCATGCCAAAAGCCGACCAGTAGATCCCTCCAAGTTTTGTAACTCAGCCAAGTGGTGGTGAACAATACAAGCACGAGTGCTACAGTAAACGGGTACCACCACCTAGGTGCCGGCTCGAACTCTTTGATATTCATCCCGAAGATTCCGGTAGCAAATGTCACAGGGATGAATACTGCGGCCATGGCAGTCAGACGCTGTACTTCCTTTGCTTGCGATATACTCCGTTCTGAAGCCATGAGCTGGGCAAAGCCAAGTAGCGCTGTAGTCGTGGACTCACATTCAACGAGCAAGTGATCACACCGACTCAGTAGATATTTATGATCAGCCACAAGTTGACTTTGCAACTGGTGTTTCCGTAGTCGAGTCTCCTCTGTCGATGCCTTTGGCCACTTGGAATGGCCACCATTTCTGATGATGTCTTGGTTCTCCAACAACACCTCCTTAATATGATTGACCATGGCAATGCATGATCTGAGCTGCGATAAATAATGGTGGAGTTGGCTCTGAGGAAGTGTGAGCTTGTCATGGCAGCTGGCCACAGTGTTGGCGAGCACTTTCAAAACTTGTGTCCATGACAGGAATGATGTTCTCAGTATCGAGGAGAGAAGGAAGAATGGATCTTCGTTAACGAGCTTAAAGTCAATCTGATCGAGAAGAGCTACCTTCTTGAGTGGATGGAACGGATCGAAGTAGCTGAAGCTATCTGTGCTTTGTTCACTGATCGACGTTTCCCTGCTAGAGTTCGCGGGCATATCATAAGGCACGATTGGCAGCGTCGTTGCGGGCCGTCCGTTCTTATCGTACGTGCTCGACGGAATACCATGCTGGTATGTCGACGGCCGACCATGGTCGGTTAAGATAATTGCTGCCACAACCGGAATAATTAGATCAAGTCTTGTGGGTTTAAACGAGTTGATGGGGTGATTGTACCGTTCCATTTCTGGTCTGAACTACCGTCCTGGACAATAGTAAAAGCCATGGACTCCTCTAGACTGTAGGTCCGATCATCATGGATATTCGCTTTGCGAAACCGACTGGCACCATATCTTCCTTCATCTCTTAATATCTTCTCGGACCGTAGAAGTGCCCTCTCTACATCAGAGCTCGATTGAGTAATCGGAATTGGCGACCGCACGACGACGCAGAAAGAAATCCGAACTAAGTTCTCTTGACTTGATGGCAAGCTGAGTGATTCCAAATGCATGCGAGTTGAACCTGGAATGGCACACGACAAGTGACCTATGAAGAATTCGGGACGTATGCAAAAGCTAGCCCCAAGGTGAGCAATGCATTCTGGGGAAGGATAGCCTTGTAAAATGGCCACTCGTGGCCGGTATTGCTCATGGTGGAATTTAACTGCTCGTGAGGGGAGCAGAACTGGATAATTTGATGGATCAGTAGGGGGTTCCAACTCTAGCAACTGAATGCTTTGGAGGCATGCTCCCCGTCGTAGGTTGAGGTGGTCTATGAGCTGCTCATAGTATGGCGCCGCTTCTGGAAAGGATCTGTAGCATGAGCGGATATACTCCAAGTAACTGGAATGATTGAGTTCATTCAAGCTTGCTGGCAAAGAGCTACTGGTATTCATCGTTTCATTTCGGACGAGCTAGTTCTCCGGAAAACCTTTTGGGTGGGAGTCACATGGAGTTTTTTTTTTTAACTGCTATAGCTGAAGTCAATACTCTCTTCTCTACTTATCACTATACTATATATGATGTATAACAATGGCAGATTTATTTGGCCCAAGGGCCTAATGAAATGTGATAAGGCAATAACTTCTAAGTTTTGCAGCCCGAGCGGTAAGATAGTAAAACATGTGTGAATGAGATCAGCTCGCTAGGAGTAGCTACTTGTGATGCTGTCCAATAATCCAACGAGGCCTTTGATCATCCAAAGCCTCACCCGGCAAGTTTGAGAAAAAAACAACGCGCAACTGCCTTGATATGTGACGGGCTTGATGCCCAATATGAGCATACCCCTCCTTGACATGCGCTGGCAAGGCGTCCATCTTCGGGGGCTGTGGTGGACTCCTCTAGCGGGATATTCCGGGATTGGCCGTGAGAATGCTACATACAGGCGTGGCGTGTGATGAGCAGTAATGTGAGATGAGACTGAATTTGAGCTGCCAAGCTCAAGGGCGCCTTTTCCGGTAGGCATTCAACGATCGAGACTGCTACACACTTTTTCCGGCACCTTGAGCATTCACTGCCTCATGTCAGACGGCCAAAATTGCGTACAGGATCTGATACCATACTTTGACTGAAACAAATGAGCCGCATGCAAGAAAAAAATGGAAAAAAGGGGCGTACGATGAGATCATGAGATGGGATTTTGACTTCATTCACTAAAGGCGATTCATCGGGCCTTCCGAGGCAGGCAGCCCTGCCGAACTTAATGACTATAAAAGGCTGCCTAATTAATTGTGTTCAGATGTCAGGTCTGGCATCTTCATTGCTGGATTTCACTTTGTACTCCAACTCTCTCAACCACATAAAAGGCTACCTAAGCCCTTTCCTGGCAACGGATAAAGACCGCAATTTCTCTACTGAAAAACCAGCTGGAAGGATTATCATTTCTCTCAATTGAGAAACCCACTTCTTGTAAGTCCTCTCGTGATCTCCAATAGCACATACCAAAGCCGCTAAAGCAAACGCCTCAAGACATCAACCGGACCTGCAAGATGGAAAATCGTGTGCAGCCCTGGAAAGAATGGTACGCCTCTATGAGCGGGCTCGCCAATGACGCTGCTCTAACTGTTCTTCCTGTTTTCCTTGCTGGGAATATATCTGGAGGGGGAGAGAATAAAAGCGGGAGCGGCGGAGGGAGCAAGGACAGGAGTATCGGTCATGAGAAGGGGAGTAATAGCGGTAGTAGCAGCCATTGAGAAGTAGAGCAACCAGAACGAAGCCAAGGCTAGGCTTCTCTTACGTTGCAATATTACCGATATACCTCATCTTGTGAGGGTACTACTGAGTGGTCATGTGAGCCTACTTGTCGATCTCAGGCGGATAAGAAAATGCCTTGGCATTTTGGCAAAAACTTTTTGGTCTGTTGCACATATAGAGCATTGAGGCCCAGGTCTCTTGTTCAGGCGGAATATCTGCCTTGCTGCGGTATGTAGAAAACATAAAAGGATACGAGCATCCATTCGCACCACTTGGTTGGTGTCTTATTAAGGAAGCCGACCTCGCCTCACCTCCGAGGGCAAGTATCAGCTAGCACCCGGTTCCCTCGCTAACCAATCAAGGATGGAAATCCAAACAGTTGCATCGACGATGCCATTTCTCGCAAGAAATGACTTGTACAAGATTGAGAAGCCGTATGGCGCCGATTTCCCAGTTGATGGAATCAGAGGCGCCTCAATAACGAACCATATATTTGACACTGTACCCATCAATTTCCATGATGCCCGTCAACTGAGCGTTCCCTTGACATTGGATGACAATGGGTGTTGTCTTATCAAGGCTAAAACATCGTTGGCGGCTGAAGATGCTACGAATGAAATGAGTGAGGCAATGAGCCGCTTTACCAAAGAGGTCATGGACATTGTCAAGCGGAACTTCCCCCAGTACGTGGAACTCAAATTCGCAGACTTCCAAGTAAGTACCTCTTACATGAATAGCCGACCACTCATTCTCAGTTGCAATGGTTGAGAAGTTTCTGACTCACTATTTGGTACAAGGTCCGCAAGCGATCTGTCGCCTTTCCTGATGGTCATGGCCAGAGAGTGGAGTTTGCTCAACCCGCCGCTGTTCCTCATACAGATTTTTCTGTTGTGGGAGCTCTGCGTCGAATGGCAGAAATACTCCCTGGAGAAGAAGATCAATACGTTCATAGAGAATTTGATCTCATCAAGTAAGTCGCTATCATAGCTCCTCTTTTCTTAACAGTTGGCGAGATGGTGATTCACGGTACTAATAGGTAACTCCTTAAAGTATTTGGAAGGTTCTCAAAGGGCCCAATAATGATTGGCCGCTTGCCGTTTGCGATTTCAAGACGGTGGATCTATCTGCTGATACTACGGCCAACGACGCACTTCATCTAACAGGAGTTGGGGAGAACTGGCTGTTGCATCATAACAATAAACAGCGCTGGTACTACTTCAGCAGCATGGATACCGATGACTTAATTGTCTTCCGTAATACCGACTCCAAGGGGAAACTGTCTCGTACGTATACTCCCCTCCATCTTCTCAGCAGTCGTTCGGTATTACTTATGGGTGTTGTTTCGGTCATAGGGTGTTTCCACGCCGCCTTTCGTCATCCTGCGGCTGAGGGCTTACCACGTGAGAGCGTGGAAGTTAGGCTGGTAGCATATAGGTCATGAAGTAGCACATTTCGAGTCATGATGTCAGGGTAGGACGGTTTGCGGCTCTGCCTGGGCAATTTTTGCACAATAGCTAAGCTTATGTCTTCAAAATTTCTCTATTATGAAAGCCATGTGATAAGCAGTGAGCATATGCGTGAGATAGTCGGAAAGGAGGTGGGGTATATGTAAATTCACGAGCCTCTGCGGTACATGTCGCCTAATAGTTCGCGCGAACCACCCACGGAAACCCCGCGATACAAGGCGGAATACTACCCAAGCAAGTCAAGTTCCGTCATTAGGGCCGATGTCTTGACGTACATCTCGACCTAAGTCTCCCACCGGTCTTCTGACCGTCATTTTGATGTTGCCACGTCTGCTTATCGTGTCCCCGTTCTAGGCTCTATAGATCCATACCTTGGCATGCAAATGTGACATGTTGTCTGACACATGAGAAATGTGAAAAAAATACGGAATTGAATCACTCACCGAGAAGATCGACATCCATGCCATTACTAACTGGAATGCTTTAATATAATGGCGGTCTGTGTAACCAAGATAATCCTTTCGCGTAACACTTCGTAGCTTGAAGACAAAGCATTGAATATCCTGCATACTCCCCTTAACAATCAAATTAAGTGTTCCCTCGAGCAAGAAGAACCAGGGTGTTGAAGAGCCCGCATAGCCGACAAGGACGAAAGCCCTCCCACTCGCGGCTCTGCCCTCCATCTCCACACTATGGCTACAATATTAGTACTCATAGCCTTGTTCTTGACCACTGCCAATGGGTTCCGATGGAGGTCCTTCGAGCCGCCGCCGTCTGACATGAAGCCGCTACGTCCAATTGTTGAGCCTGGGACAGTTCCAATCGGCCCCTTGGGAAATCAGTGGATTTATTCCCCAGAGACGAAATCATACGATCTAACACGGGGCGACAAACAAAGTCCGCCATTTTCCTTCTCTACTTCCGAGGGGACTTCCAATGTCACGGTAGTTGTGGCACCTGAGCTGACGACACTCGTCGTCATCGATATGCAAAATTACTTTCTCCATCCGTCTTGCAACGACCACCCCAGCGGTCGTGTCGCCGCTCAGAAAACTGTTGAGATTGTCAAGAAATGTAGAGAAGTTGGTATAAAGGTCAGTGGGGAAGGATCACATGACGCAAAGCTCATGTCTATGATGGAAACCATTAACCCAACACGCCAAGTACTTAGGTCATTTGGCTCAATTGGGGCCTAATCGACGAAGATCTAGATAAGGTACCTGCGGCTCAGATGCATAGTTTTCGACAAGGCTTTGCCAATCCCCTCTCCACGCCGCAGGATAAACGCTGCGGCTTCGGCTGCGACCTTGGAGGTGGCATGGGAAGGGTACTCATGCAAAATGAGTGGAATTCTCAACTATATAAGCCATTGCACGAAGTTGCCAGGCCAAAAGAGGATCTGTTTATAAACAAAAATCGAGTCTCGGGTCTGTGGAGCGACGATAAGGCGTTTTCCCACATTCTCGAGAAAGATAAACGTCAGACACTTCTCTTTGCCGGCGTGAACACCAACCAATGCGTTCTTGGCACCTTGTTAGATGCTTACTACCGAGGCTATGATTGCATCTTGATTGAAGATTGTTGCGCAACAAACACTCCAGGAGGTCAAGATGTTTCCATCTTAGACATCTGGGTACGTAGATGCCATGTCTAGTACTCCATCCCTCATAATCATTGACTGACGGGAACAGAGAAACTATGGATTTGTGACCACCAGTTCAGCGCTCCAAGTAGGCCGACTAGAATGACATGCTGAACCCCAATGCATCGGACGGGGGGTCATTATACCTCTCGGTGACCCCAAAAAGAATCTAGTTGGTGCGGCACTATGCCACAGGAAAAGCAAGGATTTAATATTACGGCGACTATGGAGGCAAATAATAGCGTGTGGGTGAGCATGAACGTAATCAGTTAACTTGAATGATCTTCATCTCATGAATAAACATGTAACGTCCGTTTGAGAGCTCTAGAAAAGTTGGACTTTTTTATGAACGCGCCCTCATGTAAGATGAAACACGTTTCAGTGATTACGAACAGCGCAATAAGAACCACAGGGGGGGCTGTTGTGAGCCAACCATGTTTAACAACCTTGAGAGCCCGTCTAGATGAGGCTCATTCACAGTGTCTATTCCTTAATCCGCTGGGGTGATGATCCTCCGACGCTTTGAAATTCTGAATTTCATATAATGATAAGAGATTCCGTTGTCCAATTAAATTGGTCCAGAAGGATTCGAATGAACCAGGGTACGATTGCCGATCCTACTCGATCCTGTCATCATTTTGCTCCATGCGATTTTGTGCCTCATTGAGTCCTTCTCATAGTTAATGAGGCCATTCGTGCAACGTTGACCTCGAACACTTGCAAGAAAGCCCTTCGTAAAGAAGCCATACTCTGATGCATGCCATTAAGACATTGGTCCTCGTTGGCCTTGCTGCCGCTCAGTTTCCGCCAAGGCCTGAGGGGCGAAAGGTTTTGCGATCCAAGTTTCATGAGAATGTGACCATTTCATACAAAGAGGTGAGACATCTGGGGGAATCGACATCTGCAAAACCTTGGCTAATTTAAACAGCCAAATATCTGTGAGCTAGAGGACTCGGCAAAGTCCTACGCCGGGCACGTTCATCTCCCACCCGGTTTGCTAAACGATATCAATGGAGAAAAACAAGAGTATCCCATCAATACGTGAGAACTGCGATTGATCCTTGTCTATTAGACTATTCTGACTTCCAACGAGGTTCTTCTGGTTCTTTGAGTCGCGCTCTGCACCACATGATGCTCCTCTTGCAATCTGGCTCAATGGTGGACCTGGAGGCTCATCTCTACTCGGCCTCTTTGCTGAGAATGGTCCCTGCACGGTGAAAAACGACTCAACAACCACCGAATACAATCCTTGGAGCTGGAATAACTTTGTCAACATTCTTTACATTGATCAGCCGAATCAAGTGGGCTTCTCATATGATGTGCCCACTAACGGCACGATGAACCCGGAATATGATACGATCACCGTCGCCGACTTCTCTGAAACTATTCCCGAGAGCAACTTTACCTCACGGATCGGTACCTTCTCTAGCCAGAAGGCCTCTAACACAGCAAATAGCACAGATCAGGCCGCCCATGCACTTTGGCACTTCGCTCAAATCTGGTTTTCTGAGTTCCCACACTACAAGCCTGACGATGACAAGATCAGTCTCTGGACAGAGAGCTACGGGGGCCACTACGGCCCAGGGTTTATGAGGTTTTTCCAGGAACAGAATGAAAAAATAACAAACGGAACAATCGAGGAGGAAGATGCCCATTATCTTCACCTTGACACTCTCGGGATTGTGAACGGACTGGTAGATATTGTCTTACAGGGGGAGGCATGGATTGAATTCCCATATAATAACGTGAGACTTATTGTCCTACTCTCCAAAGTCCTCTGCTAACTATCAAATAGACATATGAGATACAAGTGTTTAACGAATCCCTTCACGAGGCGCTCATGACAAATTGGACCACTCCCGGGGGCTGCAAAGATCAATTGCTTGCCTGCCAGGACAGATTGAGCGCGTTTGACGTCAACACAAGCAATCGCGGATCTGTCGACGTGAAGGAAATATGTGCTATCGAACCATGGTGTGATCTTCAGAGTGTCAATCTCTACAACGACTTGGGCCACGGCTTTTATGATATTGCCCACCCGCGGGCTGACCCTTTCCCTCCATACCATATTTTAGGTTATCTCAGCCAGGAGCGTGTACTCGCCGCCATCGGTTCCCCCGTCAACTTCACCGCCATATCCATGACCACTAACTCAATCTTCATGAGCACTAATGATTTTATTCACGGAGGATTCCTCGATGCCATGGCCTATCTCCTCGATTCAGGCGTAAGTATCCATATGATCTATGGTGATCGTGACTATGCTTGCAGTTGGATCGGAGGAGAAGCAGCCTCCCTCGCCGTCCCATATTCCCGCCAGGCTGATTTCATCAAGTCCTCCTACGGCAAGTTCCAAATTTCCGACGGGGATGATGGCTTTGCCGGTATAACACGCCAAATGGGTAACTTTTCCTTCACACGTCTCTTCCAAGCTGGACACATGGTACCGTCGTACCAGCCAGCAGCCGCCTACGAGCACTTCATGCGGGCGGCCTTCCATAAGGATATTTTTACCGGAACAACCCGGGTACACGACAATCTGCAGAACGGTGGGGAGGTGTTTGACCGCTGGTTGAAGAATCCCGCACCAGAGTGGGTAGCACCTCAGTGCTATGTGCTGGAACCTAGCACTTGTACCGAGGAAGTATGGGCAAAGGTGAAGGAGGGTAAGGCGAAGGTCGAGAATTATTACGTCGTTGAGATTATTGATCAACCGGGGGAGGCACAGAAGGAGCATCTTGAGAATGACGAGCTGTAATGGAAGATGAGTTAGCTCACTGTCTGTACATTCCTCAACGGGGATCCTTTGAGTGGCTGATGCCTGACCAGAGGAGCTACAGCGCCTGGATCTGATGTTAATTTCCGGCGTCGTTGCTGCATGTTCTGTTGACGGCTCTGCTCACCTGTCGATAGTCTCAATCGCGCATTCAGTTGCGCATGAGTTAGTTCCTTGCATTCTGTTGTGTTGCCTCCTCTCATGCTTGACTGAGACTGTTCTTTTTGCTGCTCCTGAGCCTGTTGTACCTCCTGCTTTTGTGTCTTAGACTGGGGAGCCTGGAACTCCGTTTGCTTCGCCGGTGCTTGCCCTTTGGGTTCTGGACCATTCTGCTTTTCATCAACTGAAGCATGGCTCTCTCTCTTGATAGAGGCTTCCCGTGCTAGTCGAACACTGAATTCGCGTGAATGCTCCTCCAAATAGTGATCAGCCTCTCCGCTTTTGACAGCCTCTAAGGCCTTTTTCATCTCGTTTATTTTTTCCCAGCATGTCACGGCCGCCGTCAAATTCACAATTGTCTGCTCTGGATCTTGGCCCTGCACCTGGTACGACAGGTTGCGCGCAGTCGATTTCAGTGCGCTTTCTAATTCGGAAAATGTCGGTTCTAGCTCCTCCAGGACAACCGCCCTGTCTTTGCGCGCGAGGCTGCAAACCTTTCGGAAGGTTTCCGCAAAATAGAATAGGACTGGTGTTTTATAGAAATCAGTCGGCCATTCCACAGGCATTTGGCCCTTGAACCTAGCCTTGATGTCTGAGCGAAGCTGTTTTCTGAGGCGGTCGATGGCGCTTTCGGCTGTACCACCCATGACGGCGTCGTTGCTTTTCACTGGTGCCATTTTGTTGATTAATCGAAGTATTTGGATTGGAACGCGTGAAGAATGTCTTGCTATGAGTTGAAATGGATTCAACCGAGATCTTGGCACAAGTAAGCAACGGGGTGTTGAGGAAGCCGTTTATGCTTTTGTCGAACCCAGAGGTTCAAGTCCTTTTATCATAATTTCAAGTCCTTTCGTTCCCTTACAGTCCCAAACAATGAGGATGTATTCAGGAATACGTAAGAGAGTTCGAGTATAAAGTTAAACAACAATATATGATGCCAGAGCCCGATATCTCAACACAATGAATAAAGGTTTAGAACATACAGCATTTGCTAGCCAAAGATATAGTCATGCGGAAGGAAAAGTCCGTAAACCTTTATACCGATGGCTTTTACCGTCAGGACAAGCCGCTCGCCGAAGTGTTCAGGAATATTTGGATCCCACTACTCCGCCACAAGACCACACACGATTTATTTCCACCTCAAAAAATCTATAAGAGGTACAAGAAGCTACGCACATACAGACAAGCCAAACAGCCAAGGCTTGTCATGATATAAGGCATAGGCCAAACCCATAGTGATATCTCGTCTTGAAAGCCCTGGGGTCACACCATTTACCTTATGAATAAATGAACATATAGCCATTATGCGGTTGTAGCTAGTTGGCTAAGAGTGGTAGGTAAAAATAATATCCCTTACAAAGAAAGCATATCGATCTCACCATGACATCGAAACACTTAGGAACAGCGGATGGGCTAAGTCCTGTAGCCTGCCAAGACTATTGTGCAAATAACCTAATTCAGACAATGCTACTATAAATTAAGCATTGTGGTGGCAACCACCATCTGTCCAGACGGAAGTGAAGGGGGAAACACGTCTCCTTTGTTCAATGATACAGAGATAGCCCCACGGCCCGTGTTAAGTCACAAAACACCAGGTCGTTCTAATAGTATAATCGGTGCCTTATTACGATGTGCATGTTCGAAAAGTTTTTGAATGTAAATCAGCCCGTTTTTTGTGCTGTATAATGAACCGCTCATTGAGCCTCAAATGCAACAGCACGCTGTACTCACACTCACTTTTCTCCGGGTGCATAAGGTTGTTCACAATAGATAATTGAGAAATATTGTCAATTGAATATGCTAGAACACTCAATGATCTCGCGTGTGCGATGGGCTTCGAACCTGTCTTCTATTCCCATTTGCCTCTCACGATGAACTTCCGAGGCCACACATGGGAAGGTGGAAATCTTTTCCTTCTTCCTATTCTCTCATATTCCCACAATGGCGTCTTAAATTTGCAATGACATGTTGCCAGACCATGGTCGTGGTTTATTTTATTAAAGTATACAAGAACCGTGTTTCCCCGGGCGGGATTCCCGTTTGTCCCCTGTCTTAGGAGTTCACCTACAAAGGGCACGGTGTTGCGATTGAATAGCAACCTCCAGATGATGGCAAGATATGTTTCTTCGCTATTTTGGTAAGGCCGATGTTATCTACACTGTATAGTGTCTCAGCACTCTCGCGGGAGTTTCCATCCCCGCTTTGATTCCTTTGCGTCGTAAATACGTAGTCTATCAATTACCAAATTCCTCACGTGTCAAATGGTGTCCTAGAATGAATAAAAATACTCTTTTGGGTCATATTTATGCTTATCGTATGTCAGATTGTTAATTCAGCCTGATGGGAGTAGCCAAGCTTTATACGAGCTAAACGAGACCCAGCTGGATTTTCAGCTCAGAGTGTGTTTCGCATACAATTCCCGCGTTCATGCTACAAACAATGTCGATCTCCAAAATTCGATATTGAGCATAAGTGACTACGTTGGAATTCGGCACAGATGAGCCATAATATTATTGTCATGCAGTATTGCCGAGCTGCTGTAGCCGGTATACTTCGATGGATGACCAGCTGCGCCATTCTGGGCATGACTGCTTCTTGCCTTGCCCATGAGGCGACGCCAAAAGAAGCCCGCGCGGCCATAATACTCAATCTTGTATGTGTAAGTAATTCTCTTCATCTGGATTCATCGCTTAGTCACAAAGTGCCGCTCTGACACACGGATCTCCTTTCTATAGGCATGCCTTCACATACCGCTCCTAGGGCCATTTCCTTTACCCGTGTCGGAAACGAAGCTACGCCCTCGGCCATGGTATGCTGCGGTTCTGGCAGTGTCGACTCTCATGTGGCCTGCGGCGGCAGGGATCTTATTCGCAAACTTGTTCTCGCTAGGCCGTGAGAAATCCCCAATCGATACGCGATTGAGGGTGTGCGCTGCTCTGGACATTGCCAATATGTACGTTTCCTGCTCTTTTTCTATGGCTTACTACATCAGAGTGATGAATAACAGTGTATCTAAACAGAGCGCTCTGCGCCCTTCAGTGGACTATGATCTTCAAGGTGAAGAAGACAGAGAGATTTGGCGAGAGATATAGGGCGATTGGGTACCAACAAGTCCAGGAACTGTTCGAGTTTCGGGTAATACATCGAAATCTACTTGGATACTTCATTGTCGTTCAGCAGGTGGATTGATGCGATTCGTTTGGGCTCAATCTTTAACTCCCATGATGTCCTCATCCATAAGCCCGTCGTTGTGGGATGTATATATACATCGATTCTGAAGACATATATAGTTTGAGCTATGATTTGAATATATCATTGACTACGATTATTGCTCGATTTCACCCATTTGAACGACTGTAGTGTCTGTTGAAGCCAATGGGGCAATGGAAACATTGGATTCGTCAGCTATGATGTTTCAGCGCGTAATTCAGATCACGGCCGCATTTAGTGCGATAAATGCGAGGAAGTGACAATTTTGATGGATATTGCAGGATTAATGACGTTGACTTTGATAATTCATATAAAGAACAGAAAGGCGTCAGTTCAGCTAGGGAGGTAAATATTGTTAATATTGAAATACTCCAAACAATTGCTCCTGTCTGTTGAAAAGGCAAAACAGCCTCCTCACTGCAATCGCCCTTGAGACTAGTCAATAGCTTTTAAAATGTATATGAGAATGAGTATCTTGATTGATTGGGTATAGGAAGAAATTCCCTAAGGCTTATATACCAGAGATTTTACTAATATTATCACAGATCGGTGAGGATAGTATAGGGTAGGCTATAACAGTTTGCTACCCAGTTGCCACGTTCGCGATGGACATGATTACGTTATCAGCCGCAGGGATTGTAAGGAGGCAACAAAAGAAAACAAAACCGATGGGACGCGGGGATCTGTTGCTCGCTTAACTTCTCCACTTCTCGCATAATACGATAAACGAATCCGAGAATCCTGGTGCAGCTTACCGAAGTTACATTCCATCACCACATGGTCTCAACCGACCCCATCTAGCCAATCTGTTGACGGCCCAGAACGATATAAAGGTGGTAATGGTGGTGGCGATCACCCTTAACATGTAACAAAGGTGACAATACAAATGCACTGATTGGCTATGGTTCTTGGTGGATGTAGCATCACGATGTGCCTTTACTGATACGAGCATGTACCTCCCCGATCAGGATCGTTTCCTGTCATAATTGAGTGTCCCAGCGAGGAGTTAAATCCCGCTGTCGCAAGATATATAGCGGCCCATTCATCCGGGAAGAAGAGTGAGTAGCTTTACTCACATACACAGCTCCAAGAAGTCGCCAGGTAGACTACTATCACGGATGTCGCCCGCTAACAATACTAGCACGGTCTTGGCCGCAGCGGGCGCTGCGGCCGCCGGTGTCAATGATCACTGGCCAGCTATTGTAGCAAGCTCAGTGTTCATTGCCTTTACGCTCATTGCGCAATACTTCTTCAAAGTCGACCCGTTGGCCGGTATACCCGTCGTGGGGCAGGGCGGCAAAGCTAGTCGAAGACGACAGTTCGTCAAACAAGGAGGAGCATGGAAACTTCACCACGAAGGCTACCAAAAGGTATCACCTGAAGATTTACTAAGAGACCACGTTTTCTCAAACTCAACACTAATGATGACCATATCGTAGTTCAAAGATGGGTTATTTCGAATTATCACAGCAAGAGGTAAGTGACAAAAAACAACACCGTGGGATTGAAATTAACCGACTCATAGAGACTGAGAGCATTATCATCTCGCCAAAATTTCTCGGTGAACTGAGAAAATTGCCTGACGATGTGTTGAGCTTTACCGAATCCGTGACCGAAGTATTATACTTACTATCAAATTCCTATCCCTCCGACTTCACTAACGCCTTCAATAGAGCCTTCAAAGCAAATACACTGGCGTGAAAGCCGACCTACCACATGTTACCGAGACCGTGAAAACTTCACTGACTCCTGCATTACGTATGCCATCCCTCCTCTATCCCTGATAAATTCGAGCGCCTCTAACTTTGTTCAATCTTAAAGCACGACTCAACCCGGAAATTCACAGCGAAGTGGTAGATTCCATGAGGCTGGAGCTGCCGCAGTCGTCTACATGGACCGACATCAACTTGAACAGCAAGCTGCTGCGTATCGTGGCCATGGTCTCTGGTCGAGTCTTCGTGGGGCCAGAGCTATGCCGGGATGAGGGCTATCTCGATGCAGCCATCAACTATACAATTGACCTCATGATAGCAGTGCACGTTGTGGCATTTCTGCCTGTCTGGCTCCGGCCAATTCTAGGGCCGATTATACCACCGGTGAGGAAAGTTCATCGGCGCGTCAAGGAAGCAGACGAGTTTCTGCGTCCAGTGGTCACCGCTCGTCGGGAGGCAGAGAAATTGCCAGGATACAAGAAACCAGACGACATGCTCCAGTGGATCATGAACTCCCAAGATAAGTTCGGCGTCAAAGATGATAAAGAGCTTGCATTCAACCAATTGGGTGTTTCATTCGCTGCTATACACACCACGACTATGACCACCACAAATGCGTATGTAAGCCCCTCGAATTTTCGTATCGCATCTCAAGCTAATACCGTGGACTAGACTGTACACACTCGCCGCAATGCCCGAGATCGCCCCTATGCTTAGAGAAGATGTCCAGCAGGCCCTTGCTGCATGTGATGGGGTTTTTACTAGCTTAGCAATGCAAAATATGAAGAAGCTCGATAGCTTCCTCCGGGAAGTACTGCGCTATTACCCAATCAGCACGAGTAAGTAAAAGCTCCCCGGATGATGGGCCGTCCGATGCTTCAATGTATTGACATCATAGTAAAGCCTCCTTCCAGCGTAAAGTATTGAAACCATTCACACTATCCAACGGGACGACTATCCCGGCAGGCATTATCATCGAGATTCCAGCAGCCGGAGTCTCGGGTGACCCATCCATCTTTCCGGACCCGGAAGTGTTTGATGCATTGCGATTTTATAAACTTCGCCAGTCCAAATCCAAGGCGGAGTCAGGAGCCAAGGCTGCCGAAACCGTGGCTAATAGCCAGTTTGTCAGTGTCAGTGCCTCCAGCCTCACGTTTGGCTACGGCAAACATGCGTGCCCAGGCCGATTCTTCGCTGCCAACGAGATCAAAATGATCTTGGCAACTATTTTGCTGCACTATGATATCAAGTTGCCTGATGGGGTAACAGAACGATACCCGAATCTGGAGATGGGTGCTCAGGTATGTTCCGCTAACATAACCTGTGATAAGAGGAAAGAATCAAAGCTAACATCTCGTCATTAGTCTATGCCGGATCCTAAGAAGTTGGTTTCGATTCGAAAACGTGAGGATACTGCACCTTAGGGGGCTGTCTCTTCCTTTGAAGAGGCCGAAAACGCCTTCGCCATTATACTGGGTTATGACCGCAAGTTTGTTTCCACAGGGATTTAAATGACGTTAAAATGGGCTTTCAACACCTGGTAGATAGCTCGTTGCTTATAGTTTGTTGGATTTGTAGGTGAGCTAGTAGCAAACCGAGAAATGGTAACTTACATCGTTCTGATATTCATATCCACGACTACTCTTCTTCGCCGTGGCGTGACTTTGTCACATATTAGCTGCCGGCTGTGCCAAGGCTACAAGGAAAAATTTTCTGCTAGTTGTTTAACTATTCATTAGAATACTATGATCATCCTACAAGTTATCTAAATAATTTGGAATGTTTGGCGTGATAAGGGAACTGGAAGATATAGCCTTCTTTGCTGCATGCATTAAGCCTTCATGTCCAGGCAACATTGATGAATTTATAACAAGATGAGACTGCCATGAGGGGAAGCCGTGCTCAAAATCTACCTGTTGAGGCTTTTAAAGCTACATGTTCTTTTGATGGTATTTCCTCGGCATGGAAAATAATCACTTGTACACTGACGGGTTCAACTTATTGCTCAAATGCCTCGGTTACTATTCTGTAAATAGACACAGCCTCAGGCAATTGTTGACGAACGTGGAGACAGTCATGTGTACCCCGCTTCCCCCAGACATCTAGACCAGATCTGGCTTGTCCGTGGGATCACTCGGGGTGGAAGCAGTTGGGAGACAGATCTGATATTGTATAAATTGAACCCAGTCGATCTTTGTGGAACGCCACTGGTACACTCAATGGGCTGAGCATCAACAATTAAAATTGAATTTCGATACTTGGGTATGTCCACCCCAGTCATGCCTACTTCCAGCGATGGAGCTCCTGCTTTAGCATCCCCTGCTCCGTCTCACAAAGCAGACAAATCACCGCTACCGGTCGAGCATAAAGAGTATGGGGAACTCGAGTTTGAAGGTGCTGATGGCCCTGCCATTGATCCGCATCGTTTAGCGAAGACTATCAGGAAGATGGATATTGTCGTTCTACCTATCATGACCGTTATTCTCGCATTCTGCTTCATTGACCGAACGAACATGGGCCTCGCCATGGTAGTTGGCATGGGTTCCGAGTTACGGTTTGACAGCTACGGCTATTCAACTGCTCTCCTTGTCTTCTTCCCCGGGTACGCTCTATTCGTACTTCCAAGCAACTATATTCTTTCGAAGACTTCAGTCCGGTATTGGCTTACGTTGCTTTCGCTCGCTTTTGGTATCCTTACACTGGCGGCAGGCTTGGTCCGTAATTTTGGTGGCCTCGTCGCTGTACGTGCCTTGCTTGGCATTTGTGAAGCTGGGTAAGTTCCGAGCCATGCTGTTTAATTCAGTACCGAATCTGTCTTTGCTAACCCACAATCTCCTATAGAGTCTTTCCTACGATCATCGTAGTTGCTAGCTCCTGGTACCCTCGTTATTACTTTGGGAAGCGAATGACCGCGATCTCATCCGAGGCCTCACTGATATCTGCCCTTTCTGGAGTTCTGGCTTGGGCATTTTCGCGTATCAGCACTCCAAACTACTCCGGGTGGCGTTACATCTTCATACTTGAAGGGGCGATAACAGTTCTTGCGGCGTTCTGCGCGTTCTTTGCAATTGACGAATACCCTAGCAAATCTAGATTCCTTTCAGAGGAGCAGCGCGATATCGCGGTGCGATTAATTGCCCAGGATCGAGAAGAACGCGAAGAAGAAGAATTTACCTTCTCACTGGGCCTCAGAATACTTCGCGATTGGAAGATCTGGGTCTTTGGAATACTCTACATGCTGAATGTTGCCACTACCTATGGCCTGGCATACTTCATACCATTGATTTTGAATGGCAAAATGGGCTTCAGCGGCGCTATCAGCCAACTTTTGTCGACACCACCATATTTTTACGGTTTCATTCTCGCAGTCGCCGTGTCGTCTATATCTGATCGCTACCACATCAGATCACCCTTCATCATCTTCCTACACCTCAACGTGATTCTTGGTATTACGCTGACGCGCTGGGGGCCTAATACCGCTTCCCAGTATCTGGGCTTGTTCTTTTGCCTTGGCGCTTCGGTTGTCAGTGGGCCGATGATCGTCGTTTACGGGCAGAACAACGCGCCTACTCGAGCCAAGCGAAGTGTGAGCTCTGGTGTGCAGCTATCCTTAGGCGCCGTTGGAGGGATTATTGGATCTACAGTATTCCGTTCACAAGACTCACCGACATATACGCCGGGTACAATCGTGGTCCTTTGTAGCTCTGCAACGGTAATCTTGATTTGTTGTCTGCTCAACCTGTATTTCCGGCGACTCAACCGGCTTCAGAGAGAGACAAATTTGGTGTTGGAAGGTCAGCGAGGTTTTATTTATACACTTTGAGTATGAATAGAGGTTTTCATGAAGATTTCACGACTCAATAGCCAACAAAGGGGGCCGAATTTTAGTCATTTTGTTTATCATTGTTCCGCACTACTCCGGTAAACTGTCTCACCACGCTGGACGCTTAGTAGCCGCAGAGGCCAGCCCGCATGTCCAGATGAAAAATTCCACAACAGAAAATTTGTGGTTAACTTCCAGATTGTTGTGTTTTGCGGGTACTGGATTGTGTTTATAGTTTGAAAGGTTTTGGGCATAGGTTTGGGTGAAAGTACAAGATGATTTTAACGTATGCTTGCTAAGAAAGACATTGCTCACTCCGCAATTTTTTTCAGGATTCAGATCTAATCAAGATAAAAACAACTTATCGTAACACCTAATTCGTACGATGGTTTCCTCGTTGCTGGATTGTTGGGAATGACAACAGGGGGTTTGACTCGGCTATCAAATCCTGTTGTTACAATAGCCGAGCCAAAACCTTACTATCTATTCAGACGGTAACCGACAGCTCTCTAAACAAGATGCGGCCCGAGGCTTTACCAGTGAATATATTGAAACAAGAACCAACAGTATATTAAATTCTTTTAGAAGTAAATCGATCATAGATACAAGTCGAGTACCAAATTATCTTCCCCTTTCACCGTCTAAAAATCATTATATATATTACAACCAACATAGAAAGAGAAAGGTAGAGGCTTTGAAGATATAAACCTACAACTTCTAAGAATGTTAACTTTGTTATGGGAATAGTTTATCATAATGCACACCTGGACGACTGATTATGGCGCCTTTCCCGGATGCGCTTCTGAACCATATGACCTGACCCCCGAAAGTAAGAAATTGCGAAGATTCATTATCCAATACTTTATGGATAATCAACATGGCCCCAATATCCACACCATCCAGCAGGAACTCGGATTCTCTCAGGAAACTTTGTGGCACTCGATTGATCAACTACACATTGGAGTTCAGGTCATGGTCACACCAGGGACTGAACTAAGCTTGATGAAGATGCCTCCTTTCAGCTACGTGCCCACTCGCCACGAGGGCACTCTTGATGATGGTAGGAAGTATAACCTCGGGTGTGGAGGAGAAGCTGCCGCCGCTCATAAGCTTTTTCCTGGCAAAGAGATGACAGTCAAGTCACTGTGCCCCTGCTGCTGGGAGCCTATTACCCATAAGTGGAAAGATGGGCAGCTTCTCTCTGTCGATGCCCCAAATGCGGTGATTCATATTGGTAAGACTCAGTTATATTGATTCCAGAAAATCGTAGATTAACTTTTCAACAATAGGACGAAAGCCCACTGATTGGTCTAAAAATTTCGTCTACACATGTGAGAATATCAACTATTTCAAAGACCTCGAACACGTCGCCATCTGGGAGAAACAGTTTCCTGAAAAGAAGGGCGCGACGATGCCAATTGCGAAAGTATATGAGTGGGTCAAACCTCAGGCCGAGGCGCGATATTGGGATTACGATCAGCCGCCGGACGTTGTCAGTAGTAAGAGTCTCGTATCTACAAGCCTGCAAGGATTGAAGAAGGCTGGATTCGATGTTTCAGCTTGGGAAGGATTGTATTAGAGGCACCCTCATGTCATAGCTTTGATTAAATTCAAGATACTATACGCTGGTTAGAAGACTAATCACCTCAGTTGCACCAATGATGTGGCCATGTTGCTTCTTCAGGATAAAATACTACTGTTCTACATGCGCCCTTAACGTTAAATAACTAGATGGATTTCTCAAACTATTAATTAGCCTTTAAAGAAGTCAAGAGGGTGAACTATGCGTCAAATATTTGACAGTTAGTTGAGGAGAAGCAATCTCCGATCTTATAGTAGAATTTAAGACGAAGATACAGGACGATATTCAATTCGGCACGACCACAGCCTTAATGGGTATCCCGAGTCCTACAAGACTGAGAGCCTCCTGTAGTTGGTCTAGCCTGAAACGATGAGTTATCAAATTTGAAAACCGCAGTCGCTTACCGTGCTCCGATGCAATGTCGACTGTTTTCTTGTAACTGTCGACATCGAGGCCCAAGCTACCGATGACGTGAAGATTATAATTATTAATCCGCACAGGGTCTATTAAGACCTTGGAGTTTCCAGAATATAAGCCAAGAATCAAATATCTCCCATCCATCCCAACCAGGTCAAGGCCCTCAGGAAACGCAGCGGCTACTCCAGCAGCTTCCACTACTATACCCGCTCCACGGCCTTCTGTGATATCATTGACTAGTCTTAATCTTGATTCCGGTGTAGTGTTGGTGAGAGACACGGTGTGCGTTGCCCCAAGCAAGGTGGCCGCCTCAAGGCGATGTGCGGGATCTCCGATGACGATGATCGAGCGGGCACCAGCAAGGCTCAACAGCAACGTACATGCTAGACCTACAGGCCCTGAGCCCTGTACGACCACATCGGTGTTTGGAGATATATCTCCTATCTGCTTTAGACCTCTCAGTGCTGTCGGCATCCCGCAACCAAAGGTAATAACATCTTCAGGAGCAACAGCTGATGGTACTCGTATATATACGCATTTAGAGCTCAAAGTTGCGTATTGTCTAAAACAAGCCCCGTTTGGCTTGCCAACCGGAGGTGGCCAGTTCACGTTCTTGCATCGTAAAGGATTAGACAAGCCACAGTCCACGCAATCGCCGCAGGGCGCCAGTGGCATCCAGTATACGACGTCTCCTTGGTTCAAGGTACACCGAGACTATCGGTGTTAACTTGTTCCCCGAGACTTTCAATTATCCCGACTGCTTCATGTCCGAATGTAACTCCCGTTGACTTGATGGGAATATCGCCCTTCAACCTGTGTACATCGCTGCCACATATCCCTGCGATCAATACGCGGACCAGGATCTCGTCACGCTCCGGCAGCTGGATTTCTTCCTCAATAATTCTTATAGTCTCGCCTGGTTGGGTGAAGACTGCGACTTTCCCATACTTCATAATGAGTTTGCACGATATGCTGTTGATAATTTGATTTGTATGGTTCGCAAATGTGGTTCGCCGATAGGATGCTTGTGGAATTCGGACCACGAAATTGGCAGAACAGGCCCGTAGTGTACTGCGACTTGGATCTATCACTAAGCGATATACATTTTTTGTGTTAAGTATCTAGTCGTGTTCAATATTGCTTGTTAACCTCGGATCGAGGAACCAACCCCCTCCAAATTGTAGGATTGTGAAACGACAGCATGTACGTATGCACTTCTCCAAGACTTTGAGAATAGCAACCAGGTGGTACTACTAATTCAATATGTGAAGCGAGACCTGTTTATCTCGTTCATGTTCTGGCAAGGCATTAATTTATTAAGCATCCCCTTGTTCACCTGTCCAGCTTCTTTTACAAAATATCCTCGATGATTCATCAACTTCAACCCGTGACTACGTCCATTAATTAGGAGCCATAACATAGAGGACTCAATATACGTAAGAGAATTTGAGAAGAGTCAATGTAGACGGATTGGTACTTGAGTCATCTCTTTTTTTTGAAATATGGGATGCGCAACAAACCAGTTATAAAATAAGGTTATCCGAATGCTATCTCCATGTCCAGTACTTAACAGCCAATCTACTTAGATTTTCATTACTCACATCCGTGATCATGTGGCAACGGGCTCTCCACCCCCATTCTGGTTTCTCGCCCTCGGGATAAGCCGAACATAAAGCTCCGGTTTGTCCCAAAGGAAGTAGAGTATGTTTTTCTCCAGCCAGTTTCCACTGCGGGGGTCAAGCTCTATGTCAAAATTCCATATCATCTTAGCTAAAATGAGCCTCATCTCAGCATAGGCGAGACAGCAATGCAGTTAGCTACGAAATACTATTCGGACGCAAAACAGAACACTTACTTTTTTCCAATACAATTCCGAGGACCAACGGAGAATGGTTGAAATGCCTCTTTCTTGTCGCTGTCGTATCTAGGGTCACCAAGCCATCTTTCTGGTACAAATGAATCAGGGTCTTTGAAAAACTTGGGGTTATGATTCAATGGCCACTGCCAAATTCCCAGGATGGTCTGTTTTATCATTCGTTAGCCTTGTATCTGTAAATGAAGAGAAGAACTTATGTACGTTTGGTGGCACGTATTCATTTCCAATCATAGAGCCTTCAGCTGGTGTTTTGCGCGGGATTGCAGCAGGTACAGGTGGATAGATTCGAAGCGCCTCATGGAGCACTGCAAACATGTACTCCAGCTTTTGAACACTTATGAGGTCAATCTCATCTTCGCTACTGAAGTGCTGGCTAAGTTCCTCCTGAAGTTTGAGAAGAACATCTTTGTGAGACGCCAAAAGGTAAGTCGCGCCAGCCAAAGTTGTTGCAGTCGTCTCTGAGCTACCGACGATCAAGTTATGCGCGTTCGCCAAAACCTCTTTGTACGAAGCTTGCTACATTACTAAAATCAGCACTTTAAGCTTGGATGTTGTACTCATACCACTCACATCTTTGCTATGCGCTTTTATCATTGACTCCATGAAATCTGGTCTCGGATTCGGGTAAGCCATACGCTTCGCAACCTGCGCCTTTGTAAATTCGGAGTGCGTTTCAATATCCCTAGCCACGCTCTTTGGCGTAAAGAACCCAATCAACCTGCTCCCGAATGGGAATCTTATCACAGCTGTGGAGATAGCTATTCCCTTGATGTGCATGAATATTAGTTTTACCCATGGGTGATACTGTGACTTCTCGAGGCATCCGAATGGTTCGCCGAATATTAGATCCCCAGCCATATCAAAGGTAGTCCAGTTATACCAGGAAGTTATTTCCAATGATTTACCCTCCTTAGAAGCAGCCTTGAGCCGCTGAATAAGAAGGGAGGCATAACGTTGAAAGATGGGCTGCTGTTCCATCATTGCCTGTGCAGAAAATCCATGGGAGAGGATTTTTCGTAGTCGGCCGTGTCTTTCACGATCAGAGCCGACAAGCGTCAGGTTGTCATCTCCTCTCCAGAAGTCAGGATCTTTCCCATTTTCATCCTGCCCCCGCTTTCTATGACCCATCATTCCTTCCCAGGCTTCAGGGTATCCGAAACTGAGTTGGTTCGGAGCTATTCGTACAATATCGCCATATTTCTCATGTAGTTCGAGCATCTTCTTATGGCCGGTGCCAGACATCCACATGATTGTAAAGGGTATATGGGAAGCACTCCATAACTTGGGTCCTGGATACTTCCGGAGCGGGTGGAAAAGTACGTTGTACACGGCGAATCCTGTTATATAACTAACGCCCTGAATATCGAAGGTGTCAGCGAGGGTTCATGCTCCAGTCAAAACATATTAAGGACAAGATGAATGAACCTCGATAGTGGGTATACATGACGAAGAGATGAGCTTACCAGGCCTGATATAATCATCAGCCATGAGCTGAAAGTGGACTGCCGCCACCATTCTTCGATCAAAGAACGCATGATATATAGAACTACTAAGCGAGTAGTACAAGAAGCTTTCCTCTCAGGACTCGGCGGTGAATATGTAATAGTCCTTGAGACCAGCTGGGGTTTGTGAATTCACAAAACTCCTAATGCTGCTCGGCAAGGAGGGGTCCTGTGCGCGTTGACCCGGATATTATACGACTTGCGTAGCATTGGGGTAAATAATCGATGGAGTTTCAGGTGACCTCGGTTATCTCTCCTAAATTGTAACCCTGAACTTTCAGAGGCGAGTCATTGCTCTAAACGCTTGGTTTTAAAAATTGTTTGCTTTCGGCTTCTTTTTTTAACTTCTGAATTCTGTTCGGCACAAGTCCTAGCTTGGGCTTTTTGTTGATAAATGTATGCAATTTCAAAATCAATTTAAGGAAGAATATCGGGCAAAGAGGAAGGCTCAGACACATTATACCTTTCCAATGACTTCAGACTATTTACGTGATTGGGAAATGCTAAGTAATCAAGCGACAATGCAGCGTTTGTTACTGGTTGTAGGCTCGGCAGGAACTGAAACCGCCATATGATCACAATACGTGATTACGTAGGCTAGATAAGGGAAGTCATAGGTGTAACTCAAGGGTAAAAGAAATGCTATGAATATATCTATCGGACACGACAATGATCAAATTTTTGCCTTGTCCATTTTCAGGGCCTCCGACTTGACATGATAGGTCTTGAGCAGCTGGCGTACAGCTAAGTCAAACATGACATCTTCACTGCCACCAGGGATACGTGCCCCGGGAATCTCACGATATATCTTCTCCACAAGCTCGCCCTGACCTGTGCGAGTATATCCGTTACCTCCAAACAACAGGACAGCGCACCTCGCACACTCGTCAAGAACGAGGCCCGCCTTTGCTTTTGCGAGAGCTACAAAACCTCCCAGTTGCTGGCGTGCTTCTTGGCCCTCGAGATTCGCCATTTGATAGACTAATTGATCAGCCCATGCAGATAGAGACTCCAGCTCAGCTCCCGCCCTCGCGAGGCGATTTCGAACAACGGGCTGCTCCATAAGGGGACTTCCAAATGCCTCACGCTTTGATACGTAGCTAAACGCCGCTGATAAGGCTGCTCTGGCTGAAGAAACGATGCCAATGACGATGGCTAATCTCTCATGGTTGAAATTCCGAGTAATCATTTTCATGCCTTGACCTTCCTGTAATACGAGAGCGTCAACAATTTGATACTAAGCAGGAATTGCGACAGGAAAATGGGAGAGCTGAAATATACCAGGCCAACAAGGTTCTCAACCGGGACCCTCACGTCCTCTAAATCGATAAATGTTGTCCCACTTGCGGTTCCTCCAGAAGTCTTCATCCGACGAAGATCAACGCCGGGTTGGTCTAAAAGAGGCACTACAAGAAGGGAGATTCCAGCTGCTCCTGAACGCCCTGTTCGAACAGCCATGGTGGCATAGTGGGACCAGACGCCATTTGTGATCCTATTTTGCATAGCATTAGTCATCATGGGCAATTATATGAGTCTGATATATTATCAAGAGAGGCTTACCATTTCTTCTGGCCATTGACGATATAAAACTTGCCACATGATGTTTTTTTCGCTGTGGTGGTAATATTGGCAACATCACTGCCTGCATCAGGCTCTGTTATCGCAATACAAATCCTCTTCTTTCCCAGGATAAGATCCGGCAGCAAGCGTCTCTGTAGTTCCTGACTGCCATAGGTGATAATGGGCGGCATACCGTACGCCATTCCCGTGGACAGTGACGATGTTGGCCCGCCAATGCCTACCTTCCGCATCTCACTGATGTAAATGGAGAAATGCATGTAATCGAAATCTTCGATCCTCAGCCCACCAAGTAACTCCACGATCCCTAGGCTTTTAAGCATGTCGATGGGTAACGGAGCAGGGAGGTTTGGAATCAGCATATTGTGCTTTGAGAAGAGCTCAAAGACATATTCGGGCACGTTTCCCTGCGTCTCCCATTCGAGTGCATAAGGGGTAAGATGCTCTGATATGAACTCGCGACATGCTTTTTGCCATTTCCTATGCGAATCATTGTAGTAAGGGGATGGTAGGCCTGTGAGCCAGGGAGGCTCTGAAAATGGTACGGCTACCGAAGAATCATAGGATCTCATCTTGATGGTCTCAATACCAACCAATACAGAAGGATTCCTCAGTCCACGGTTAGTGGTTTCAGACAACCTTATTAGTTTCGATAATAACCTTTTATCTCTTCAACAAATCTTCAATAGTTTCAATTCCACATGAAGAAATTAATAATTGAACCAGACTGATCAAATCCTTGATGTGATCAGAGCATACCCAAAATGCAACGTGGGGTGAAAATAACCGAGGGCCGAAGGTTACGCTGCCCCTCACTTCCAGGTTACCAAATACGATCTTCACGGCAAATTAATCACCGTGATTCAGTAGCAGAATAGATTCTAGAACGAACAATGTTCGCCTGTATGAGCTCCTCCCCATGCGACTTTATGGTTGGTGGCATAGATAGCCTTTATACTACGAGCTTAGGATTGCAGCCTCCATATGATCACATTGACACTAATTTTTAAGTGTTGAAGAACATCATTACAAGATCATGAAGGCAGTAGTCATTAGAGGCTCGAAGGCCGTTCTGAGCCGGTCACGGGAATTACCAAAACTCCGGGAAGATTGTCTACTAGTCCGTCCAGTGGCCGTGGCGCTCAACCCAACAGATTGGAGACACATTAAGAACAGACGTGCCAAAGATGATTGCATTCTAGGATGCGATTATTCCGGAGTCGTGCAGTCTGTTGGGTCTAGAGTAGGACATCAATGGAAACCAGGTGACAGGATATTTGGTTCTGCTCACGGTGCCAACCTAATCAACCCGGACGAGGGCGTTTTTGCAGAGCTCGCTTGTGTCATTGGGGATCTCCAAATGAGAATGCCTGAAACTTTGACCTTCGCACAGGCTGCCACCATCGGCTTAGGAGCTGGCACAGTTGGCCAAGGACTCTACCAAAAGGGTTTAAAGCTTGACTTGCCTGGCCTAGAAGGTAAAAGAGACCCGAGGGGTAGTTCGGTGCTGATATATGGAGGAGGGACCTCAACTGGAGCATTGGGAATCCAATATGCGAAACTGTAAGCGGTCCATCCATAAATTCGAGAAGAAGTAGAGGGTTTCTAACACATATTTAGCTCTGGCTATAATGTAATAACTACATGCTCGCCGCGCCATTTCGAGTATGTTAAGGATTTGGGTGCAGATTTTGCAGTTGATTACTCCGACAGCGACGCAGGTGCGAAAATCCGCCAATACACCAATAACCGTCTCACACTCGCATGGGATACCATCAGCAAGACTGATTCTGCTCACATATGTGCCGAAGCTCTCACCAGCCTACCATCTCTGAAACCTATTTATAGTAATCTACTGCCAGTCAAAAGTCCTCGGCCAGATGTTTCGTCGACTACAACTGTTTTCCATACAATCTTTGGCAAACCATTCAAATTTGGGAGCCAGGAAATGCAGGCTCGACCAGAAGACTACGAGTTCGGCAAAACTTTTTATCGCCTTACAGAATATCTTGTAGCCAAGGTCAGTAACAGTCACCAATATCAAATTTCCCAAACTAGTTTTAAGCAATTGCTAATGTTGGACAGGGACACTTACGCTCACACAAGTGCCGCGTAGAGTCGGGTGGATTAGAAGGCGTTATCCAAGGACTACTGGACCTAGAGGCCGGTAAGATTCGGGGCGAAAAACTAGTGTATTTGGTTGAGGATACGCCTTAGAAGTTGGAGAAGGAAATTAACATCTTGTTGGATACTTCAATTGCTGCTTAAAGACATCCCCGGTACTATTTAAATCTAGTTTTATTGCTTTTCTTGCGATCTATGTGTCCCCCGAGCCCCCGGTTTGCCCTCGGAGCGCAAGGTCTAAAAACTCTTGCATGCTGCCAAGCGGTTCGCAAATGCCCTTTTGACAACCTGGGAGCGTGGTGCAAACCGTTGGAAGGCATGCGGCACACCCTCATATATATGCAGATCGAGAGGTATATTAGCCTCTAGAAATCGAGTCGCGTAGGAAATATTCTCGCGAGCAAACATGTCTAAGCCACCGCAATCCAAGTATAGGGGTGGGAGACCTGTGACATCTTGTAATCGTCCTGGTGCCGCATAAGGAGTTACTTTATCGGTGCTATATGTATCACCCAGGTAGGCAGCCCACCCAGTGAGTACATCTTCAATACCGAACACAGCGAGCCCTCCCGTGTGGTCTTGTACTGTTCGGTCGTCTAGCATCGGGTATATGAGGATCTGCTTGGCCAAGGGAGGATTCATCTTTCTGTCTCTTGCTAGGATAGCGATGGCCGCAGCCAGACCACCGCCGGCGCTTTCGCCCATAACGGCAAGACGGTTTGGATCTATCTTGAGCTCGGCAGCATGAGCTTGAATCCATTTCAGCGCAGACCAGCAATCTTCCAAGGGAACTGGAAACCGATGTTCAGGGGCGAGACGGTAGTTTATCGACAACATTGGAACACCGGTTTCGGACACGTAGGATCCAAGTACTGGGGAGTAATCCCCAGCGTTCGAGCAGGTATATCCACCACCATGTATGTGGACAATAGCCGGCCCTGGTGCCGAAGCCACTTTCGTCCTTTGAACGTGTAAGATCTGAACCTGATATCCATCCTGTGCTTGAGCATAATGAACTTGCTTCGTCACATTTTCGGGAAGAGGCGGTAATCCACCTGCTACACGGATGAATTCTTCGATACGGGTTCTTCGGCTCTCCACGTCGCCCACTGGAAATACAGGCAATTGAGCGTTCATCGCGGCTGCTCCCTCCTCGTAGAATTCTGGATCATAGCGTAACAAAGACATGATTGTGCTAAACACAACAGGCGCCAAATTGAGGTTCAGGATTCGAAATTCCAATGAAAGTTGACTACGTGTATTCTTACGGCTCCATGAAAAAAAATATGTGCAGCTTCAGGAAGACTCTGTTCCTAATATCAGGCAATATACGTCGTAAATGATACTGGTACCGCGGATCTCCTGTCGTTCTGAATGCGTTCGCCAGCATTTCCCGCGTTTTCAGTTGGTAGGCGAATTACCGGCTACCCGGCCTCCTATGGATTGCCTCGGCCAATATCCAAAGTATCCCAGTAATACAAGATTCTAAGTTTGGGACGTGTTTCGACACTAGTATCGGGGCTTTCTGTGTGAGCCTCGGTACATACAGTACCTAGAACGCATGGAGTGAGTAATTTGTCTCATGCTATCAAAAGGCCTTGACTCGCAATGGTTATTTGACATTACCATCAGTATCCAGCTACATATCGTATCATTCAACTAGAGCTATAACATAGCTAAACCAGGAAGCCATTTTCGGTTTCAGAGCAACTCTACAGTCTCCATGAGTCTTCGTTACGACGGTCTGGTTGTGGTGGTGACTGGGGCCGGTTCCGGACTGGGCCGCGCTTATGCCGAGTTCTTTGGTTCGAGAGGCGCTAAAGTCATTGTGAATGATCTAGGAAGCTCTTTACAAGGGGAAGGAATCAGTATCAAGGTAATTCAACGGCGTTGATGTGTATTCTGATGAACGAGCTGACAGAGTTTCTTGATTCAGGCAGCAGATGCCGTAGTCAGTCAGATCACTACCAATGGCGGCATTGCTGTCGCCAATTACGACAGCGTGGAAAACGGAAAATCGATAATTGATACAGCCATATCCAATTTTGGGCGTGTTGATATTCTCATCAACAACGCCGGGATCCTCCGTGATGTTAGTTTCAAGAACATGACCGATGAAGATTGGGATTCTGTTCAGGCCGTGCACATGCGGGGAGTCTACAAAATTACCCAAGCAGCATGGCCATACTTTCGACAACAGAAATTTGGAAGAATTATCTTGACCTCATCAGCAGCAGGCCTGTATGGAAACTTTGGCCAGTGCAACTATTCTGCTGCCAAGTCCGGCATGGTTGGACTTGGTAAGACCCTGGCCAAAGAGGGTATAAAGTACAACATCCGCACGAACATTATCGCCCCAGTGGCGGCAAGCCGGATGACAGCAACTGTAATGCCTCCGGACTTGCTTCACCAATTGACACCAGATTGGGTTGTGCCTGTTGTCGCCGTTCTCGTGCACCCTAATACGAATTTTGAAAACGGCTCGGTCATTGAGGCCGGAGCCGGGCATGTCTCTAAGATCAGATGGGAGCGCTCAGCCGGTGCCATTCTCAGATCTGACGAAACACTTACACCTGGGGCAGTTCTTGCCAAGTGGGCGGGTGTTAATGACTTCTCCAACGCTGAGTATCCAAACACAACCGCCGACTTGGTGGGCCTTCTCAAACGTTCGCAAGGTCTACCTCCCAATGATCCGGGAGAGTGTGTACGCTTCGATGGAAGGGTAGCCGTCGTGACAGGCGGGGGTGCTGGGTAAGAGGCATGATCAAATAGAAGGTTCCAAAGCTAACGTCGATATGATAGCTTGGGTCGCGCATACAGCTTAGGCCTGGCCAGACTCGGGGCATCCGTTGTTGTCAATGACCTTGCGAATCCTCACAGCGTTGTTGAGGAGATCCGCGCTTTGGGAGGTACCGCTATTCCAAACCAGTCTTCAGTCGAAAATGGAGAGGAAGTCATCAAGACCGCCATTGATTCGTTTGGAAGGGTGGATATCCTGATAAATAATGCCGGTATACTCCGAGACAAGTCCTTCCAAAATATGACTGATGAGATGTGGGATGCTGTCAACAACGTCCACCTCCGAGGAACATACAAGTGTGCGAAAGCGGCATATCCTTATATGAGGAAGCAGAAGTATGGTCGCATCATAAACACGACTAGCACAAGTGGAACGTATGGAAATTATGGGCAAGCCAACTATGCCGCAGCCGTAAGCCGGAACATCTACCCCTTTTCAAACTCGGTTGAAGACAAATAGTAACCTTGGAACAGAAAACTGCAATTGTAGGATTCTCCAAAGCACTTGCTATCGAGGGGCGCAAAAGCAATATCGTTGTCAACTGCATTTCACCGTCTGCGGGTACAAATCTGACCAAGGGGGTTCTCCCCGAAGAGATTGTCAAATCCCGGAAACCAGACTATGTTGCACCCATAGTTCTTCTCCTGTCCTCTGACAAGGTCCCGGTTGATGCTTTCGGTCAGATCTTCGAGGCCGGATGTGGATGGCAGGCAAGAACAAGATTTCAGCGATCCGACGGCTATGACTTCCCGCACAGCACTCCTCTGACCCCAGAGATGGTGCTGGACAAGTGGTCCGAGATTGTCTCTTTCACGCCTGGGAAGACTAGTAATCCCGAAATGATTTCTGACTCTCGCGCTCGCATCCTGGCAAATATCAAATCATCCGGGAACATTCCTCCCAGCGGTCGGCAGTGGCTAGACGCCATTGCGAAAGCCCGGAACACACCGGCACAGCGTTCTAGTATGACTTTTACCGACAAAGACGTTTTGTTATACAACTTATCACTCGGAAGTACCCCGTCGCAGCTTCCGCTGGTGTTTGAAAAACACCCTGACTTCCATGTGCTCCCTTCATTTGGTGTGATTCCGGGCACTACCGCCTCCCGCCCATTCAAGTTGGCAGATCTGGTACCCAATTTCGACTACAAAAATATGCTTCATGGAGAGCACCTCCTTGAAGTGCGCAAGTACCCTATCCCTACTTCCGGTACTTTTGTATCGGAATGCCGGTTGATCGACATACTCGATAAAGGCAAAGCAAGCATCGCCATTATTGGCACCCTGACGAAAGATGCAGCTACTGGGGACGAAATCTTCTACAATGAGCTAAGACTATTCCTCCGCGGCACTGGCGGATTCGGTGGAAAGACGACTCGATCCAAACATAGCAGCACCAAGTCCTCCTCTACCCCGCCAACCCGGAAACCAGACATGATCATCGAGGAAAAGACATCCGCTGGCCAAGCCGCTCTGTATCGGCTGAACGGAGACAGGAACCCTCTCCATATAGACCCTGCAGTGAGCAATGCTGGAGGCTTTGATAAACCCATCCTTCATGGGCTCTGTACTTTCGGCATCGCAACTAAGCAAATTGTTCTGAACTATGGTCCGATCAAGAGCCTAAGAGCAAGATTTGTTGGGGTTGTCCCCCCTGGTGAAACGCTTCAAATCGAGTCATGGAAGGATGGAAATGATATCATATTTCAAGTCAGAATAGCAGAAAGCGGGAAGTTTTGCATTGCAGGCGGGTGTGCCACTCTAGAACAACCATTGAAAACACATTTATAGGACGACCACCTTAAAGCAGAGCTCAGCCAATAATGACGTCGAGAACCTCAATTTCTTTCAGTCAACATGAGTCTTGCCGAGATAGAACTTCTAGAATCTTCATTCCATTTATTTCACAAAAGTAGAGCGACGGATGTGTGTGTGCACGTTTCAAGCGTGAAAAAATTATAGCCTTCAATGTGGCTCATGTGTGTTTATGCACACAATTCCCAATCAAATCGTCACCTATTTTTCAGTGTGCTAGGAGGACTATTAAGAAGTGGATGTTCTACCCAGCGACTGCTTTCAGTGTCAGGTTCTCCAAATGTTGGCTCGAACCAGACAGCCTGTTTGCCTCGGCTATGTCTGCCTTGGCTCACATAGTCGAACACAACAGAAGCACACTTTTGGACAGTATATCAAACCCATTGTTCATGTAGCATCGAGTTGCTTTGATACTGTCCACATCCGCGTATCATTGACATATCTAGCTGACATGAGTCCAGCTTTGGCAAAGACCCGGCATGATCTTGACGATAGATCACTAGGTCGCTATCTTCTCAAAACTGGGAAAATCCCCGATCTAAAGCTACCAATTATGACGGAAAAGATTGGATACGGTCAAAGCAACCCAACCTACTTTCTAGATGACGCAACGTATGTCTAAGCCCTCTAGTCAATTCTATGAGGTACTTCGAACAAAAGAACGTCTTGGCTAACTGAAAAGAAAGTGGAAACAGATATGTTCTTCGAAAGAAGCCCCCTGGACAGGCGATTAGCCCCGTAGCGCATCGTATTGATCGCGAGTACAAAGTGCTCAAAGCACTAGGCTCAGTCAAGGGCTTCCCTGTCCCCAAGGTCTACGATATCTGCTTTGATAACTCCATAATCGGAACTCAATTTTATGTACATGTTTTCTTTGTAGTTAAATTACGTGTGACTAATTTTCGTTTAGGTGATGGAATTCGTTAAGGGAAGAATCATTACGGATACGGATATGGCGGAGTTGTCGCCAGATGAAAGACGAAAAGCGTATGGTTTGTCATCCCACTATGAGCTGAACATCACAGCTAAACGCATTAGTATAGATGGTTCTCTGCTATTGAGACTCTCGCTTGGCTTCACTCACTAGATCCGGATGACATTGGACTAGAAGGCTACGGCAAAAAGGCCAATTTCTATCATCGCCACTGCAGCACTTGGAGCCGCATCGAGTCTCAGCAAGCTGCTGTCAAAGATATCACGACTGGGAAGCCTTTAGGCAGAGCTCATGAGAAATACGATGAAGTCTTGAACTACATAAAGGCTAACTTGCCTGGGGAGCGGTTTGCCATTGTGCATGGAGACTTCAAATTCGACAATCTGGTAAGTCAATGGTCTGGAATTCCAACCAGGATTGGACGCTGAGCTTTTATACTGGGCAGATTCTTCATCCCACCGAGCCAAGAGTGATATGTGTTCTTGATTGGGAACTTTCTACCATTGGCCATCCACTTATGGACCTCGTGTTTCACGTCAGTCCATTCTTCTCTGATTACACGAAAAGCGGCAAATCGGCCTTGTCCTCGGGAGTGTCACCGTATAAACCAGAGAATCGAAGTACCAATGGGATTCCGGAGCCAGGAGAACTCCTTGACCGCTATGCAGAAATTGTAGGGTTCGACATGACAAAGGATAGGGGAGGCAACGACTGGGAGGTGGCGATCATCTTCCAATATCTGCGTGGGGCCACCATCAGTCATGGCATCCAAGCACGATCCATAAGCGGCCAAGCAAGTAGTGACTTCGGTCATCTATATTTCGACAAGACTAAGCAAGCGATGGACGCGGCCTTCCAGCGAGTGAAGAATTTACGACAAAAGAAAACGGGCGGGAACAAACTCTAGAGTCAGCCTCCATTACAGACTAAGTGTTCCGTCTTAGTTATCCGTCTTAGTTACACAAGCTTTAGAGTAGAAATAGATCCAAGGGTACCAGCTTAAGCAGATTTCATCTCTAATTAGTTTACAAAACATTCACTTTAGAAATCACCTCGGCAATCTCGGCTAGGGGAGTACCCCCTTCAATCTGAACTTTCTGCCCACTCAGATTGATCATCATACTGTGCATCTAATTCATGAATACTTAATAGAATTGTAAAGGCTTGAGTTTACCTTTGACGAAATATTTGTCAGGGCACCACAGCCTATCCCACGCACAAATATATCGATTTTGTCGCCCAGCTTCTACTAAAGGAATAAAGCCAGATTCACGATGGCACTTCAATTTGATCCTGAATATGCGGCGGCAGTCGAGCCATTGCTTCCTCTCCTCACCAAGAGAAAGAGATTATCCTTGTCCGAAATTCCAACCGCGCGAAAGGCGCGTGAAGCAGGGATTGCTACCTTTTTCCAGAAGCTAGAAGATTGCCCAGACGTAAAACAACAAGTTCACCATGTGAAAGCCTCGGATGGCTACGCCATCCCGATCCTAGCGTTTCACAAGAAAGATGCTCCATCAGGCCCCGGACCAGCTGTGTTACACTTTCACGGTGGAGGCATGATACTTGGTTCAGCTGAACTACACGCGAAGCCCTTGGCACAGCTGGTCAGCAAGACGTCCGTCCCTATCTTCAGTGTCAACTACCGCCTAGCTCCTGAGTTCAAGGATACCGTCCCAGTTGAGGACGCCTACACTGCTCTTGTATGGCTAGCCCAACAAGACAGTGTAGACTCCAGCAGAATTGCAGTATACGGAGAGAGTGCTGGTGGGGCTCTGGCCGCTGGTGTTGCCTTGATGGCTAGGGATTTAGGCCTACAGCCACCTCTAGCAAAGCAGATTCTTATCTATCCTATGCTAGACGACCAAAACCAAGTCGCAAATGATAAGATGGAACCCTTCGCTTTCTGGAAGACGGAAGATAACGTCACGGCCTGGACTGCACTTCTTGGGAATAAGGCCGGAGATCCCGATGCCAGGGTGTCTCCGTACTCAGCACCTACTCGAGCCACCAGCCTAGCAGGCCTGCCGTCAACCTACTTGGACGTTGGTGGTCTAGATATTTTCCGGGATGAAACTGTGAGTTATGCCACAGGGCTGATGGCTGAAGATATTCAAACTGAGCTGCACGTATACCCCGGCGTCCCTCATGCATTTGAGATGGTGGCACCTCATATTAAGACGACAAAGAGAGCACTTAACAATAGAGAATGTGCGATTTTAGAACTTTATTCTAATTGAACACTTTTGTGTAAGGCAGTGCCTATCCTCGGAATTGTCCTTACGTAGAAATAACAAGACCAAGACATTCCCAATTTCGGCTCTTCCATTCATCAAATCAATGTCAAAGAAATGAAACACTAGGTACTGTGGCTATGTAAGATCGGGCTGGGCTATCAATTTGACCGAGGTTGCAATATTAGCGCGATGGTCACTCGATTCGTCTGCGGCTTGCCCTTGGGCAAACACAAGTGTATTCGGAATATCTCAATATAGTGGGCAAATGTGTTAGGTTGAAAGGTAGTGAACACAGACACGTAAGGCAATTCTCTTTTCATAAAACACAAAAGGGTCGTTACTAGCTCTGTTCCCGCTCGCCACAAAATTCGACCTCATCTATTCAAAATCAATGGCATGGATGGAAAACCTCCTCTTGATGGTCTCCGGGTTGTAGAACTCGCTGGGCTGGCTCCAGGTTAGTTCTTCACATTCTATCCCATTTTACGGAAATCGTCTCAGACTGTTTAAGGCCTTCTCTAACTACTTCAAAACAGGGCCATTCTGTGGCCAGCTACTCTCCTCAAACGGGGCAAGTGTTCTTCGTATAGATCGCTCAGCAGAGTCAGCCAACCAGGACATTCTAGTCTCGCGAAAGTCATCCATCTCTTTGGACCTGAAGATTCCAGGTTGCATCCAGCTCCTCAAGATTCTCCTCCAAGAAGCCGATGTCCTCATAGACCCTTATAGGCCAGGGGTCCTTGAGAGACTAGGCCTTAGTCCGGCAGCACTCCTAGTCTCATATCCGCGCTTGATCATTCTTCGGATGACTGGATTTCGCAGAGATGGCCCATACAAAGATATGGCTGGCCATGACATCAATTATCTAGCAGTATCCGGTGTACTAAGTATGCTCGGGGCCAAAGGCGAGCCCCCACTGCCACCTGCCAATATCCTCGGCGACTACGCTGGTGGGGGCTTGGCAGCATTCGCCGGTGTGTTGCTAGCACTGATTCACCGGAGCTCCAGCAGCAAAGGCCAGGTTGTTGAAGCCAATATGGTCGATGGAGCCTCTTATATTGGAACAGTTCCGCGGCTCAGGACCAAGGAGCATGTTTGGATGTCTGAGCGCGGGACAAATCTGCTAGATGGGGGCTGCCCTTACTACCGCTGTTACGAATGCAAAGATGAGGGTAAGTACATGTCAGTGGGAGCCCTAGAGTCCCAGTTCTTCGCCAATTTGCTCCAAGGACTGGGCTTGACGCTGGAACAGATTGTTCCCACGGGGTTGTCACGGGATGATAAGAATTCATGGCCGCATATGCAAGCTGTTCTCCAGAAAGTTTTCAAGACGAAGACACGGAAGGAATGGGAGCACGTGTTTTTGGGTGAAGACGCCTGTGTGGCTCCTGTGCTAGAGCACAAAGAGATGGAAACGGCGGGATACGAACACAAGCCGATGGTACATCTAAGTTGCTCTCCTTCCCTCCCAGTTACTGCAATGTGGGAGGGGAAGCAGCTGAAGCCTGGCCAGGGTGGACAAGAGATCCTTAAAAATTGGATCAATTGGGAGTTGGGCAGGCATTACGATATTGAAGAAGGGGTTTTTATTGCACGACCTAAGAACCAGAAGTTATAATGCGGTGCCCAATTTCGGCGCTTCACGATATACATTACTTTGCAAAATTCAAATACCGGTCAATCTCATCAAACTGAATTCAGTCATAGCCAGAGCATATTACGGCAAGAAAAACATCTTTATTACACTTTATGCACAAGGCTTCACGAGAGAGATACTGACGCGTCCCCAGCAAGAAAAGCTCCAGCGTCGTCTTCAAAACTCATAAGTTCAGGGAGAAAGTTATCAACTTCGCACCAAGTATCTGTGAAGGAGGCACCAGCAATAGAGTCGTGGTGCAACTGGATGCTGCAGGGCTCTGCACCCCCGGCACTCGCCCAACTCTCAAGTGTGTTGGATAGGGGCGTGGGTTGCTGCCGCACTGTTCCAGAGACGGAATCCTCTGCACTCATTTCTTCTGAGTCTGCTGACGACATGTCAAAGTTACCAGAGTCACTAGGGCTCGGGTACATACATGCCACAGCAACCCGGCTTGGTCCCATATCCATGCTCTTCGGTTCCGTTCGAGACTTCCATTCTCCCTCTACCTTGCCAAATGAGACATTCATAAATAATGATGCGGCTTGAAGCCCACTATTGTTGGTTCTGAGAATAGAGTTGATGAAATGAATAGCATAATCGGCGGATGAGTACATTTCCTGCAACTGGTGAAGGACATGCACACATTGGTAGAGGCGGCCGAGGCTGAGGTTACGAGTCTCCTCGTCGTTTGAACGGGTATCAAGCAGATGTACAACAGTTACCGAAAAGAAGGCCGGAACGGCGATTGTAGACATATAGCGGATTTGATTATTGCGTTGAAGGTCGAAACCCAGTTTAGTCAAGTCTGCAACGGTATGGTCTTTGGGTGGCTCCTTATTGAGACAACTGCTGCTCCGGTCTGGGGTGCCGCAATATAGCTGGGGCCTGTGGAAAGTTCCCATGGTGATTAAATAGATCAGATATAGCTGTGCTTGGTGGAAGCGAGCCAACTTCTGTTTCTCGCTGCTCTCCATTGTGTGTGATGAGGACTCATGAGACCCAATAGCATACCGAGAATTGTCGTCCTGCTGCTCTCTCCAAGTCTCGAGATCTGCAGCGCACTTTTTTAGAATTCTCTCTTGCTCCTGCGATCTCTTTGGACCTGCAGCCCCTGTCAGAAGATACTCTGAGCCTCCTTGATAGCTGCCCATCACAGTATATACGACACGCAGAAGACGCCCCAGAATGAGGCACAGTCTAGTCAGTTCTACGCACATTTTCGCCAGGATTCTCTGCTCATGTGAATCTGGGCACGTGAATTTCGAGTTTTTGAACAGATTCGCTAGAGTGGACGAGGGTGTACTGATGTCAAAATCATCCAGACTGAGAGCCTTGACACTGTACTCATTATCCCGAATTCTGGGCGGTTGTCTGATGGTGAGTGCCAGCATCCGATCCCTCATGATGCAACACCACCATATACGACGCCGCAGCCGCTTCTCCTGCGGCGAGATATTCAGTTGGTCGGGACTTCGGTGTAGTCCAATCACGTGCGCCTTTGTTACAGCGATACCCATCCAATACCAAGTATCTTGATCATCGTCGGGACAGTCGTACCAGTATGTCATGAGCAGCAATGATTGGACTAAAGCCAGCCGGTCTGCTTCGTAGTTGATCCCGTGTAGGATCCGGACACGGTCAAAGAAAGCTTTGCGTGCCAACTTCCGGCTAGAATAACCTCTTGTCTGCAGAAACTCAATATCTACAAACGCGATGCTGACAAACATAATGGATTGGAAAAGCAACAAGCTGACCGGCTTGCCACTGTTGCGGCGGTGAACGGAATCGACCAAATCCTCAAGCTCGATAGCTGGGATGAATGGGTACACGATTGTGATGAAAACTCGCAGAAGCTCATCCCGAAACTCAACATCCGGGATTTCGAGGCAACGCTTCTCTGTCAGGTAGTTGATATCCTTAGCGTCAAGGTGGCGAGGGACAGGGCGAATATATGAAGGAAGGCAAGATGGTGCCTCGCCTCGAGGGGCCTCTGCAGTCTGAGGCGGCGTCCCATGTTGACCGTCACGCGCGGCCAGGCTTGATGGTGTTCTGTCAGTCGATCCTTGGCGGCGCCCATGCTGGCTTTGTCGAGGAGTTCGGATATCAATATTTTCCATCTCCTCATCCTCGTTGGGCAATTGGTCATGCTCATCTAATGGCCCATTAGCAGTATTCACAAATACCATTATCGAAATTCCTTGACCTGCCTGGGGCTCCTAAGGAAGCAAGGTACTCGTCCGGGCTTCCAAGAGATTGATCACAAGGTGACGGATTAGACTGCCTAGACGGCTCCGGTTGCTCAGACTGCTGTGTTTGTCGCGGCTGTTCTCGCTCTGACTCCTGGGCGCTTGCGACTCGTATGGATGGCTGAGGTGACATGACAGCAGCTGGAACCCTTGGACGAGTGACTGACCCGGGCTTCCGGCCGCGGTTCGACTCCTTGAGCACGCAGTCAAGCTCGTCAAGACGGCAATTGGTGCATGGAACCCCTCCGTTGACGACATCGCATCGCACTTTGCGGCTACGGCACGAAAGACAGGCCTTTGATGACCGTCGCTTTCCGAGGCGGTCGCCGCTGTAGCCCTCCCATGGGGCATTGCGTTTTCGGCTGGCCTGGGCTGAACCAGCCTGTCTGTCTGGCCCGGTCTCTACTGGCATTTAGACAACCTGCGACTAGATTTCAGATTGTAAGGAAGTGATGGCTATCAACTGGCTACCAAGGGCGCCCGCATGGAACGGAATCACAAGAGGGGATCAAGATCGAGTGGTCAATCCGGGACCATGTTGACAGAATATGTGCATTTCAGCGGGAATAGAACTCTCCGGGCCCGACCAGCCACGCACTTTGCCTCCTTAAGGGTGCATTTCCCCGCATCTCCGCACTTGAGACTACATTTGGATTGCATGAAAACGGCACTATTGTTCTCCGCTGTCCCGAGACCAGGGTGAGATTCCTATATTGAGGCAAGCCGGTCTGGGGAATACCTAGCCAGCAATGTCTTGGATGACCACATCTGATGAAGCTAATGCACCCCAGGCCAGTAGCTACTGTTTGATAGCGAATGGATTGGTTACCACAATCCTGTTAATGGCTCAGCGTGACATCACAGAGGCTGCTTGGCCTGAGCTTCGACTCTACGGAAAAGCCTTGGAGGCTAGGCTTGTGGCATCTTCTCCGATGTCAATTTGCACGACCTGGGATAAATGAGAATAACAGAGTTGCTTTCTGCGAATATTCTCCCTAATCTCTAAGCGACTGGATGCGAGACTGAATATCTACTGCTCCAGGTTGATTATCTGTGAGACCGGCTTTGTACGGTTTCGATCGGTTGAATTATCTATAAGTAGCGTGATGTATCTAATTCTCTTTTTGTTAACCAATGAATACCCAATGTTGTAAAGTGGTGGGTTGCAGATACACCTGGACGTCAACAGTTCTAGATAGCCGAGGGCCGAGGGGATACTCAAGTAGCCGTGGCCTCGTAACAGAGCTGCGACCAGGCAAACACCCCAGCTTTTTTTGCCCCATTACCGAGAAAAAAAGAATCAGTGAGTCATCACAGCCAGCTGGTCCATTACCGTCAGACGCCTCACGCACGGCTAGCGAGAAGCTAGCACCATCAGTCACAGCGAGTAATGATATATTGAATGCTCCGTTGATGTCCTCGGCCTTTTTCCTGTCGGTAATTGTAGTAGGTACGTAAGGGAATTCGAGTGTAAAGTAAAAAACAACAATGAAAGATGCCAGACCCGACATCTCAATACAATAAATGCGAAAGGTTAAAAAAGGGCTCTGTTAGCCCAAGGTTGCAGTCACGCGGAAGGAAAAGTCTATAACCTACCTACCGATAACTCACTTGCCGTCATGGCAAGCCGCTTATCGAATGATCTTTAGCCTACCCTCTTTGACCTGGCTACCTTCGTTCGTCTTACTGACACGTGCATAGCCTTCGACATACACAAATGTGGGAAAAAACACACAATCTCAGCGCCTTCTCTCAAAGATCAGAAGATCACCCGGGTTAATAATACCAAGCCGAGAGTAAGCACAAGTAACCCCGTGGCTGCTTTCGGCTTTAGTATACTTACTTTCGGCATGATCTTATTAGCCCAGGTGTTCTTCTGGTGTTTAAGGGAAGGCGCTCAGATCTTATTGTGTCGCATGATGTGTGTGTTGAAGGCTGCGCACGTGTCAGTGTAAGTTCTCTAGCCAAGGGGCTACTGGTACTCACTGGGTTGTTGCCTCGAGCTTGATTGAAGTGTTTGGACTGAAGATGCGTGTGAAGCCAGGTGAAAGGGGGGAGCTTAAATAATTATTCGCAAGCGCCTCATCCTGACGGCAAGCGAATGATCGGTATGAAGGTTTATAGACGTTTTCTTCCGCGTGACTGCAACCCTAGGCTAGCAAAGGTTTTCTTCTTAACCTTTCGCCTTCATTGTATTGAGATGTCGAGTCTAGCATTACACTCGAACTCCCTTTTATGTAAGCACGGGTAACCCAAAGCATACGGGTCGTGCAAAGGTGATCCTGATCCAGCTGCTTGATCAGACCAACCAGTTCCATCAAACTATGCTGTTTGAAGATCTCAAGAAAGGCAGCTTGGAAGCCTAAATAGTCTATCAACAGAGCAGATCTTAAGTATTTCTTACTTTCAATCAAGATATCCTTGGGTATACACCTAAGCATCATCTTGATAAAATACTGTCTCGGTATTGAAGGGAAACAAGGGATTAGGTTACTAGCTATCTCTAATATCTAAGGCTAGATCAGTGCAGATATCTACTGTTATCCAAAGGAATTTGTAGGGCAGTGGTATGAAGAGAAGAAGGGATCAGAGAAGATAGCTTCAATAGAGATGCTTTTAACCTTTAAAACACCATGAAAGAGAAGACTATGGGAGGTTAGTGCTTGTAATATCGCCACATCCGAATGTGTAATTGGCCTAAGTCTACTTTGGGGAAATCGTCCACGGACAACACGGCAACGGTAGCTACCAAGCCATCAAGCCTGATAGAGAGGAAGATATGCATCGTCCTCAAGTATGGCAAAGTCTGAAGTTAATTGATGGTTTGACAAACGTGCTCCATCTGAGACGATACATGCATACACCATCATCCTTTAGGACTACGTTATACACGATCCATATGAACCCGTTTCGTAACAGCCTGAAAGATCGTTCTTTAAACTCCACGCGTCCAGCCTCCATCTACAACCACGTTTTGACCAGTGATCTAATTCAGTTAACCGATGTCAGACGCTGGTAAACACTAAAGAGGGCTGGATTTGATGAACATACATAGCTAGCTCTTTCGGAAGCAAGAAATACAACTTGGGCCGCAATTTCTTCGACCTTCCCAGGCCTTTTCATTGATATTTGGGGTTGAGGTTCTGCTTGCTGTAGATCCATCTCTTCGCTTTCGCTCACAATTTTCTCACTCACCCCAGTGTCGATGAGGCCAATGGCGATCGTGTTGAAAGTAATACCAAAAGACGCAAATTCATTTGAAAGAGAGCGCATGAGTCCAACGGCAGCCCTAGAAGAATAAACGATAAGTGAGATACTCTTCGCTATTTTTTCAATAGGAAAGACACCTACAATCGAAAGGTGTTTCCCAAAACGATGTGATGCCACCTATGGGGCTCCAACGTCGACACACTTCCCAAATTGATAAACCTGCCCCATTTCTTCTCTTTCCAGGTTGGAAGAACTGCCTTTGCAAGGTGGACTACACTAAGGACGCACTGCTCAGAGCTGGTCCTAAAGTCATCTGCGCTAGCTTCGTCGAATCCTATCTTGATCAAGGACCGCACGTTACACACAACGACATCTGGCGCGGAGCCAAATACCTCCTGTGTCTTTGCAACTGCCTTTTTGACATCATCCTCATTTGTCATATCTGCCGCAACATAGCTGGCCCTGCCACCGATGTCATTGAGTTCTGTGACAGTTTCTTCCAGTGGCCCAATTCGGCGTGCTGTAATCATTACTCTGGCCCCTTCAGCAGCAAACTCTGAGGCAATGGCTTTGCCGATTCCGCTGGAGCCACCAGAAATCAGAACAACCTTGTCTTCGAGCCCTAACTTCATGTTTCCTTAAATATAGCAGTGTTCGAACGCTAAGGTCAGAGCAATAATCAACGACGTTGGATGCTTGATCGTTGACTGGGACGCGTTAGGCGACGAGGGCTGTCTTTGAGTTGTTCCTAAATGCAGTGATAGTGGTGCTGAGTGCTTTTAATAGAAAATATCTTCTCCAGTATGGAGTGAAGCATGCACATATCATAGACCGAGCGTCCAGATCATCAAGACTCTTAAACCGACTGACAAGACCCTCCGTCTCATTCACGTATTACATCAGGCACTAGTCCTTTGCCTCGGCTTCATCAACATCGATCTGGAAACTTTATTTCGTCATAATTCCTTGTACAGATACTAGCCCAGTCTCTAGACTATGCCAACTGAGAAGAATAATGCGAATTGCAGGGCCAACACTTAGAAGAGAGGACAGCTTCAAGTAGCAATTGATTAATCTGGGTCTATATCCTACTTCAATATGTGTTTTTGTAACTTAAGGGCCCAAACATAGATCCGGCTAAACTATGAATGATATTTTGAACTCTCTATGTTAGGAAAAAAATAAAACACTCCCAAGCTATTTGTCTGCCAAATCTAAGTACTTCTACACAAAGATCTATCATCATTTAAATCTAGCTCACTTTTAGAGTTTTGGGGCTTTGTCTCGCACTGCATCTTCCCCGGTAGATTTGTAACCGAATAGATAAGCAGCAATCTTTCGAATTTGAACCTCTTCACTTCCTTCGGTAATCCTATAGCGTCTGAAATGCCTCCAGATATGCTCGAAGGGATGGTGTCTGGAATACCCATCGCCTCCGTGGATCTGTATCGCCCTATCCGCTGCTTCACAAGCCAGTCGGTTAGCGTAGTAATTGCACATTCCAATCCTGTGTCCGAGTTGCCTCTCTATAGCCACCCACGGTGGCCGACCAGCTGCCTTTGCCTGTGCCGTGACTTCGTCCATCTCTACTGCCGTTCGGAGAATAAGGAGCCTGAGCATCTCGGCCTGCGTCGCAAGCTCAACCAGAGGCCATTGGATAGCCTGATTAGAGGATAGTGGCTTTCCGAATACCTTGCGCCTATTGGCATGCTCAACACTTCGGTCGACACAGTATCTCGCAGCACCACAGCTGGAGGCGGCCTGTCGGATCCGATTTTCATGGGTGAATGTTTGCGCAATCGCCAGCCCATTGTCCCGCAGCCCGAGGATGGCGGACTCGGGGACACACACCTTTTCTAAAAGGATCGTGCCATGGTCTGTAGGCATATTCATTGTCCATTCGTAAGACGTCACGGCTAGTCCAGGTGAGTCTTTGGGAACGAGGAACGCGGTGATGCCCTTGGCATCGCCACTTCTACCAGAGGTCCGAGCGAAAACGATACAGTAGTTGGCGTGGTGTATGCCCGTTTGCCATTTTTTGTTTCCGTTGATCTCGTACCCCCGATCCCCGGAAGGAAGGATAACTGGATGGGCTGTCGTTTCCATATGCGTCGCATCGGAGCCATGGTTACTTTCAGTCAACCCAAAAGTAGCCTTCAACTCTCCCCGGATAGTAGCAGGAATAAACTTTTTTCGTTGCTCTGGTGTGCCGTAGTGGTTGATCAATATGACGAATGGCAGATTGCCCACCATGCTGTGTTCGCTTTGCAAATCATTGGCCAAGCTAATGCCTCCTCCATATACGGGATGGGAGGATAGATGATATCGGACTGCGCACATGAATAGGTTCAAGGATTCATTTCCCGATCCTCCAAATTCTTTAGGGCAGGCAAATCGGTAAAATCCTGCTTGGTCCGCGAGGTCTTTAGCTTGTTTGAGCAAGCTCTCCCACTCGTTGGTAGGCAGTCCCTGGTTGTCCCACTGCGTTCGTGAGGCCTCACGACGATGATCGAAAAAACGATCATTATCATCTTTCTTCTGCAGTGGTATTATAGTGCGCGTAATGAACTTGTCGAGTTGAGACAAATAATCCCGTACCTCTTGGGGGAGCTCGAAGTTCATGGTGAATTGAATGTATCTATAAGACAACTCAAGAGAAACCGATTCTTGATTAACTGCTGTAATACGAGTAGAGTTTCTTAAAACAATCCAGATTCATTCTGCGCTATGGACCTGTTGTATTTCGACCGCAAATGCCATGCAGCTAGGCCGATACCACCCTCGGCTTTCTCGGCAACTGATGTAGTCACCCAACTTGGTACGCCAGGCCATCATCAAATGAGAACTCTGTTAAATCTGCCAGTTATACCCTATACACTCGGTTTTTAGCCTACCTAGGTAATGATCGTAGAAGTGTTTAGCTGGTTGGCTTAACTCCCAATCCTGAGCAGGGGCACCAAATGTTACTGTTGCTTGCTTCATCTCCATATGAGCTAATGCAACGATTCAATGAATGATGGAATTTTCCGCATCGTGGAAATCACACAATTCTGATCTTCTGATATTCTAGGTTGGGGCATTTGACATTGATGGGGATTGATTTCGCTTTCATGACAGCCAAAGTCTTGTGTCGAGAACATATCAAACAACACCGTTCAAACAACTAGCTGGCCGTTTCCTACTAGCCGGCCGATTTTGTCTTTTAATCCAAATTTAACCCGTCATCAGTTGGCAATGGGAACTTGGTCTAATTAAACATATATAGCAAATACTCCGTGTTACATTCAAGATTGACTGCCCGACCATCTCCTGTGGCCGCTGATAAACCCATGCAGACTCCAGAGTCTGTGTTCAGTTAGATATTGCAGACGAGTTTTACTGTAACCCCAATATCGTTGTCTCGATCCTCTCTACTCGAAATTGAACTCTTGATACATAAACATATCAAGGGCCTCGGCCGGGCGTTGTCCAGCTATTAACCGAGGGCCTCTTCTACGTTTGAGGAGAGTGAGGCAACATTAGGGTCCTTTTCGATATCGAAGTATTTAAATCAGCAATGGGGATGCAGTTTATATCTTCTGGGGTTCAAGTCTAAAATAAATGTTACATTCAAGCAATCTATTGTGCAATATACAAAATAAACATTTGGAAACATCTCTGAACATCATGACCGATACTTCAAGAAATGGATGGAAAGAAACCTCTTCGTCTGATTTGAAGAACCCAAATCTAGTGAATGGTGACCTCATTGCTGCTGTTCGCCAGAAGTACGATGAGGAACGCAACAAACGTATTCGAGATGATGGAATGGCGCAATTCGTTGACCTCTATGATCACGAAAAGTTCAGACATTTCAAAGCAGATCCATGGGTAGAACTAGAGCCTCCTAGAGTCGGAGGTCCCAACCCACCACAAGAGGGCTCAAATTGCGATATTTTGATCGTTGGGACAGGATATGGAGGGCTTTTGTTTGCAGTCAGACTACTGGAAGCTGGATTCAAGCTTGAGAATATTCGTCTAGTTGACTCTGCAGCAGGCTTTGGTGGTACTTGGTGTAAGTGTCCTCTGATTCCCCTATCTCTATAATTGCATGGACATGACAGAAATTTAATACGAGGCAGACTGGAATCGCTACCCAGGCTTGATGTGCGACGTTGAGAGTTATATTTACATGCCTTTGCTCGAAGAAACGGGTTACATACCAACTATGAAATATACCTCCAGCCAGGAACTGAGAGATCATGCTGAAAGGATCGCCAAAAAATGGAACTTGGACAAAATCACTTGGTTTAAGCATCGGGTTCAGTCAATCGAGTGGGATGATGCAACCAATGAATGGGTAACCAGCCTAGTTCCCCAGTTGCAACATGGGAATGAGGGCAAGGCGATCAGCGTTCGGTCACGATTTTCAATTCTTGCCACCGGCTTTACTCTCATCCCGCGTGTAGCTCAGATCCCGGGAATAGGCAAGTTCAAGGGTTCTTACTTTCACACTGCCCGTTGGGATTACAACGTCACCGGAGGAACGCCCAAGAATCCGGAAATGGCCAAGCTCAAAGACAAGAGAGTTGGTATCATTGGAACGGGGGCTACCGCGATTCAAGTAGTCCCTGCTCTCGCGGCTTGGGCCAAAGAGCTCTATGTGTTCCAGAGAACTCCCTCGGCCGTCGATCGGCGGGACAACCGACCGACCGACCCAGATTGGGCCAATGCAATGAGATCAACGCCTGGATGGCAAACAGAACGCATCGAGAACTTTCAATCCTTTATAAGCAATGATCCTACAAGACCCTCTACTGATATGGTATCAGACGGGTGGACTAGAATGGCGTCATATAGCGCCCTGGGCGGTAGCCCCGGACTCGTGTGTCAAACTTCAGAAGAGATTCAAAAACATGTTGAGGTCCTACATGCGCTCGACTTTCCTCGACAAGAGTCAATCCGGAAACGAGTAGATGAACTTGTTTCAAATTCAGACACAGCACAGAAGCTTAAGCCGTGGTATCCAGGATGGTGCAAGAGGCCTTGCTTCCATGATGAATACTTGCAATCCTTTAACCGACCAAACGTGAAACTCGTCGACACTGACGGTCGTGGCGTCGACAGGATCACCGAGGACTCTCTCATAGTTGGTAACCAGGAATACAAGGTTGATACACTGATCCTAGGTACAGGCTACAGGAGTCCAGTGCTGTTCAGTCCTGCCGGTCGAGTGGGCCTTGATGTTAAGGGGCGTAACGGCCGTTCCTTGGACAAGAAATGGACCGAAGGCGTTACAACACTGCACGGTATGATGAGCCATGATTTCCCGAATCTGTTCTGGCCAGGACTTAATCAAAGTGGAGCTGGTCCCAACTTCACCTATTGTATCGACATGGCCGCCATCCACATCTCCAAGGTCATGGTTCATGCAGCAGGAATTCGAGCCGGTCATCCTGGTGGTGCTTACCATCTCAACTTCGTTATCGAGCCGACTCCTGACGCGGAAGAGGAATGGTCTCAGAGAGTCGCATCGACCGCTGGAGTTTTCGCTGCGAGTGCCGGTTGCACCCCAAGTTACTTCAATGCCGAGGGTGAGTTTATCCGTGAGGTCCCTGAGGAGGTGCAGAAGAAGCGGGCCCGTTCGGCTATTTGGAGTCAAGGCCCTGTACATTTTCGAGGACTTTTGGAAGATTGGAGAGAGAACAAGAATTTTGAAGGGCTCAGCATCGTTGCGTTGGAGTCAAAAGTGTGACTCCGGGGAGCTGTGTGAGCCGATGGTTGTGTCTACCGTCATCAAGGTTGCCAGTAGATGGTCTTTTTGTCTAGTCCATGATGCAGATTTGAGTTTTGTTTTGTTCCAAACAGCGGAGGCAGCTCTGGTATGAAAAATCCTGTGCAAGCCTCAAGCTTTTTTGTTTCGGTCAAGAAAGATTCAGATATTTTGATTGCTTGGTATATGACATATAATAGCCACCGCCGTTATCATGAAAGAACTCCGTCACAACAGCACGAACACCAACAACTATTCATTCCGTTAGCTACAATTCCCAAGGACAACTGCTATTGAGTCAGGACCAGGAAGCATTCTTCACCAGAAAGACATGTTCCCAAATCATCTTCATAGTTTCCTTCGGTTCTCTATGATAGGCTGCCCGAGGCGCTGTAGTCCCAGTTTGCATGTCCCAATGTGACCGAGGTGTTCTGCTGGAGGGCGCCCAACCTCGGCCTTCCACCTCCAATCCATTCTGAATCTTTACTAGCTTTAATTCAACAAGGAAGAATAGAGTATCATGAATTTCACGTTTCGAGAAAGAATCCGAATCCCTCCGACTCAGGATCGATATACATCTAGCTAAAGTCAAGCTGAGATCTTGAAGCTGGGCAAGCAGCCAAATCTTCTCTGATCTACGAAAAACTATCATACAGCACATTACAATGGCGAGAAATGCATCACACAACCAAGCCTACGTGCTTGGTGTCGGTATGACAAAGTTTATAAAACCCCGTGGTCTACGGGAGTATCCGGATATGGGGTACGAGGCTGGCATCAAGGCCATGCTTGATGCCCAAATCAACTACGACGACGTTCAGCATGGAGTAGCTTGCTTTGCCTACGGCGACTCGACGTCCGGGCAACGGGTTTTCTACCAGTTTGGCATGTCCGCCATCCCAATCGTCAACACTAGCAACGCGTGTGCCACTGGGTCGGTTGGCCTCTACCTAGCTCGTACGCTGGTACAGAGCGGCAAAGCAGACTGTGTATTAGTGGTTGGGTTTGAGAAAATGAGGCCCGGAAGCCTCAAGAGCGTCTGGGAAGACAGGCCAAGCTCCAGCGGACGCTTTGCTGCCAAAATGGATGAGTTGGTCGGCACCAGCAAAGCTCCTCTGACGGTACAATACTTTGGCAATGCCGGACGCGAATATATGCAAAAGTACGAATCGTTCCTAATCCTGTCATCGTTAAATAAAAGCAACGAGAACTAACAGTCACTCTCTAGGTACGGGGCAACAGCTGAAGACTTTGCCGAGATTGGACGCGTCTCGCACGAGCATTCTCAAAACAACCCTTACGCGCAATTCCGACAACCCTACACCACGAAAGAGATCTTGGACTCGCCGACAATCTTCTCGCCATTGACCAAACTTCAGTGTAGTCCCACGAGCGACGGTGCAGCAGCCGCAGTGATTGTCTCGCAGAGCTTTCTGGATGCGCGCACTCATCTCAAGAGCCAGGCAATCCTGATGGCAGGGCAATCCTTCCTTACAGACTCTCCAAAGGCGTTTGAGACGAGCGCAATCGAGCTGGTTGGCTATGACATGAGCCAACGCGCCGCTCGAGCCGCGCTCAAGGAAGCTGGCTTTACGGCGGGCGACGTTCGCGTCTGTGAGCTGCATGACTGTTTCTCCACGAATGAGCTCCTCTTGCTAGATGCGCTCGAGCTCTCAGAGCCCGGAAAGGCTCACGAAATGGTCCGCAGAGGCGACATCACATACGGGGGCAAGGTGGTCATCAACCCATCGGGAGGTCTCATTTCCAAGGGACACCCCATCGGAGCCACAGGACTGGCCCAGTGTGCTGAGTTGACCTGGCAGCTACGCGGCTGGGCCAACAACAGACTCGTAGACAAGGCAAAAGTGGCGCTACAGCATAATCTTGGTCTTGGGGGCGCGGTAGTGGTGAATGTCTACCAGCGGGCGGATGGCAAGGCGAGCACGAAGGTGAGCAACGAAGAAATTGCGCGCAACAGCTGGCTTGGATACAACGCGGCAGTTGAAGCCCGAGGAATCGGCCCAGGCGATGCAAATAAAGTCAGGAGCAAGAGGAATAGGAACAATTTCGCTCTGGCTGAGACTCCAGAGAAGATTTGTGCCAAATCCCATTTGTAGATGTAGGTGGTTAAGTTAAAACGCGACAAAATGGACTCGCTGTCTGATCATTCCCCCTTCTATCACTCGAGGTTTGACCGGTAATCTAGAATGAAGTGTTGAAGATTCTGAAATAAGTTGTTGCAACAACAAGGGCTCGTCGGTAGAGATTTTTTATCTATATTTTCTATTCTGTCTTTAGTGAATAAATATTGCTATATAACGCCAATAGACTACTTGATTTTATCACAAAACTCACCTATTCAACTTCAATCTGAGCTGGCATGCCAAGTATAGGGTAGGCTACGATCGCGATTTTAGGACGCGTTTTGGTGTCTCTTGATAATAAACAAATGACGTCATCATTTCTTTTAACGCATCTAATTGGCTGTGCATTTCTTTAGCGGCCAATCAGCCATAATGTTGATTTTCATAATCGCATTGTGATTGGCCAGATTTGATTACTTATGGACTCCACCGACCGGTTTCAATTCTATTGGCTCGGCTACTACGGGCTTAACTTTACACTGTTCCCCTTTTCCTTCCAAAACCTGCTCCCTCGGCAAAGTCTGGCAGAAGCAGCATGGACACTGGTTTACATGGTTAATGCGGTCCAGGGTAGCTGGGATGACTGGAGGCCAAACAAGATGTTCTTTACCCTCACAACGGTACGCCTTCGGGACGAGGCTGGCGGCCTGCAGCTGTGCTTGGCGGGCCAAGTGGTTTGTTCCCATAGGGCGTGACGTCGATTCCCAACTCTTCCGCCTTGATGCGAAGCGCTAGACGCGCCGAGTGGAACCTGGTGAACGCGAATTGATGGAACGCTGCGTAGAGACCCTTCTGTGGTAGCGGGCAGTAGTTGATGATGGACTCTCCTTCCGGCCCGATGAAGAAGGAGTTCCCCTTTTCCCAACGCTCGTGACACTTCTGGGCCATTTCGTCTCCAAGAAGGGCCTGGATCGCGCTCTTGGAGTTCATGTATCCAGTCGCAAAAATCACAACATCTGCTTGTTGACTGGTGCCATCTTTGTAAACGACACCATCCTTGGTAAACCGTTCAATCTCCGTGTGGAGCATCTTGATCTTCTTGTCTATTATGAGTTGGCAACAGCCAGTATCCCAGTAGAATCCTCCCTGCTGGAAGGGGAACATTGAGTAGGCACCACCGCCGTGGTAACCATCATGCAGACGATACCCTGCGTTGGACAGCGCCTCGAGAAAGTCGTGGTCGAGCTCCCGTGTCTTCTTTTGCCCACGGCGCATCAGTTCATACTCGACCGGGTATGGGTGCTTCAAAAAGTTGGCCTGGTCCGCTAACTCAAGTGGCTGGCCGCCTCGCCGATTCGTCAACTCTCGACTCTTGAACAAGTATCGCACGCTCGTCTCTACCGACATGATGTGAGTCGAGCTACGCTGGAGCATGGTAACCTCACACCCGCTCTCACTCAGCTCATAGGAGATGTCGTGGCCCGAGGTTGCTGCACCTACGACGATGCAGCGCTTTCCCTTCCAATCAGCGCCCGTCCGATGACGCGAAGAATGAACAACTACACCGCCATTCTTCTCGAAATCAGCCATTCCGGGAACATCTGGAACGTTTGGTAGCGTTCCAGACATCCCTGTGGCAATCACTAGATGGCGAGGGTGCAGAGTACGCTGAGAACCATCTTTTCGTGTGATATGGAGCGTCCACCGACCCTTTTCCTCGTCGTAGATTGCAGTCTCCCCGTCTAAGTGAGAATTCGTCCAGATGTTGAGATCCATGATTTCTGCATAATGATACAAGAATTTGGCTAGCTGCTGCGCGGGTAGAAACACAGGAAACCAGTGTGGAAAGGGGAGCGCTGGCATGTGGTTCGTAAAGGTTGGCCCGTGCAAAGACAGCGAGGCATAGCGAGTTGCCCAACTGTATCCTGCATGGTCGCCCTTCTCAATGATTAGATGCGGGATGCCGAGTAGCTTGAAGCGTGCTGCCATGCTCAAACCAGTATGACCAGCCCCCACGATGACGACCACCGGGTCGACTCCCTTGCAATCAGCCTCGTCCCGCCTGAGATCTTCATAATTCCGACCCTTTCCATCAGGATCGTAGACCTTTGCACGCTGATACCTATTCTTATCACCAAACTCGGCATCCCACCCCTGGATAGTCTCCAATGTGGTTCCGATGGTGTAGATTTTCCAGGAGGAGACGCCTGCCAGTTCTGAAGCTGAGCCAGTCTTTGCCGTGAGAGGGCTAAGACGAGCTACTGCCACACCAGTACCGTGCTCAAAGTCAAATTCGAGGTGAACAAGAAGAAACGAAAGGTCATCTCCTAGCGTTTCTAAGCTTGGAGTTACCTGAGGATTGATCCGAAGATTCTTGATTCCTGTTTTGGGCAGCCGTTCCACGAGCATTGGTCGAATTTGGTCATGCCCGTGAAGCGTTCGGATATCCCAAGTCAAGACTTCGACGTCCTTCCAGTACCCGTCTGTATAAACGTGTTCAAGAATGGCATCGACCTTCTGTGACTCAACAGCGTTGGCAAAGGAGTCGGTGAAGACGTCTGCAATTTCCACAGGATCAATAGAGGCGTAGTCCGGGGCGAACCCAAGCTCGGTGTTGGTTGGAATCACAGCCCGCTTGACGTGGCCGTAGTAACCCAGAGTGTCAGACAAGGGCACGCCTGCCCAGCCGATCGTAGAATCAGCATTTGGTGGGCGAATGGGTTCATCGTTCCACCCTGAAGGTTCTGCGGGGATCATGATTAGACGAGGATATTGTCTTTTTCTCTGGTTCTGTTCTCCTATGGCTTTGAACTATTGTTCTTCAAAGACAGTAATATATGTGAATATCAAAGACTTTCCCGACCCCGAGAGCGTTCTGTAGGTCATATGCCTACCCTCACGTACTGAAAATACACCTCTTTGCGTACTAACCATTGCAATAGGGATTGTGTCACCATTCCGGTCCTAACAAACAATATGCATTTACTGTGACGACTTGCCTCGGGCCGAGTTTAGTACATACACGAGAGGAAGCTGTATTAAAAATATTGGCTCAATCTGGTTTAGGCAGTGACTGGGGCATACATGCAACCTGCTGATGAACTTATCCGGTCCTTTCCATCGCACCCAGCGTAGTTAGGAGTCTAGAGATTTTGACGTTCGCGATCTCGGCTCATTTTAGCTCCTGCTGATATCTAGCAGGTTAAGGGAACATACCGCAAGATGTCTCTGGTCACCTGAGAAGGCGATAGAATAGAGAGATGATCGTCTTAGTCCGACCTGTATCAATTCCCCTCGACGAGAGCACAAGAATTTGAAGAAGTGATTAAAGTGTAGTATATTCAGCTTGTTATCTCATATTCCCACACTTTGTGCAAGGTCTGAAACATAGCGACTGTCTACTTAGGACTGAGTAGCTCTAGAAGCTCCGAAGAAAGCCTTGTAAGACCGCGCATGAGCCAACTCAACGCTTGTTTTGCACTCCTTACTCGTATATTCGGGACGCTCCTTGATTTTAGAGCCTCCACTACCAGGAAGAATCTCGATGGCTTCACCAGAAGTAGTACAATCTCCCAGCAGTTCTTCAAACGCGCCCAACAAAGTTTCCACAGGTGTCAGCAGCCCCTTCGCCTCGATCTTGTTGTAGAACTCGTTGCTGGAAATACCAGTCCTTACGATGCATGGGCATATGGCGTTGAGCGTTATTTTTTCCTCGGGCAGGAATTTCCCGTAGGACCGTACAAAACCCACGACAGCACTACTAGATATCAGAGGCAATAGATATGGCATGGAGGGGGTTGACTGACTGTTTTGAAGCTGAATAAATGGGGAGACTTGGAATGGAATAGAAACCGCACCCGGATGATACGATTATGGCTACAGAACAGTCAATATCGATGCTTGCCATTGACCTAGTGCCACACGTATTACTTACTCTTTCCACGGAACCCGTACTTGTTGGGTTGTTGAGCTCGGAAATGTTGGGTTGCTAGGGCAGAGGTATACAGAGCTCCGGTCCCATTGATATCAAAGACAGATAGATCAGGTTTCACGAAACCATCGCCACTTGGTTCATTGGGAATCCAGAGCCGTTCGGTGATGCCGGCGACTGGGAAGACGTAGTGGACTCTGCCTAGTTTTTCAACAGCAGTCTCAAATGCTTTTCTCTGCGAATCCCAGTCTGCCACATCGACCTGCGCAGCCCAAGCGACTTGGCCATTTTTGTTCAAGTCTTGGGCAACTTCTTCTGCACCTTTGAAATTCCGGTCAGAAACCACCACTTTCATTCTTTTAGAGGATCAATGTCAGCAAGCCTCCAACCATGTAGTTTAGTTGAGGATCCTAGTGCGAACTTACCCTTTGCTAACGAGCCTCTCAGCCAAGAAACGACCAATGCCGCTGGCACCACCTGTCGAAAGTATAAGGATCATCTCTTTAGACCGTGGGTGCTAAATTTGACTTGCCTGTGATATATGCAGTTTCTCCCGAGTAAGACATACTGTAGTAAATTTGGATGTGTACTTTAAAAGCCCTCAAATGAATAAAATAGTTGGATTATTTTCTTATGTAACCTGATTGAATATCCTACGCTCGGACTACTCTTCAATCATGATTGGGGCTATAGATGAGAATTTTAAAGCATCAGAGAATTGGAAGCAAAAATTTGGTCATGTGTTAGATGATATGTTGCCGAGGTGTCAGGAAGGTGGAAGTGACCCTCACAGAATGAAGTGTGGCAGCCTCGGGACCGAGGATTTGGTATGAAATCCATATGAAATTTCAAAAGTATCAGGAAAAAAAAAGTAGTAAGCAACAGATAGAGAATTAAAGATTGTACAATTGGTTTAGAAACACGTTCCGAGCTCGTGGCCTTGCGGACACTTGAATTGCAAAGGCTATTGAGCACATTGCATTGTCTACTGGAGAGACACTAGATTTAATAGATGCTTTCAAAGACATACCAGATATTACTTTCCAACAAGATAATGAATGTGTAGTGGTTCCGGCACTATCTTGTCAATGTGATTTGATTATACATTGACGCAGCTTGCTGTGTCAGGGACATGTACTGAAGGGGATCAATGTGAGAAACAAGCCTTTTATTTCTATTTTGATGACTTGGAGCAAGCTCAGAGCCTGGAACTCTCTGCAATATCTCTGAAAATGAACAAAGTATCCTCTCTAGCTCTCTTGCCTCGCAGAACCCGCCGGAGTATCTTGCCACTCGGACTTTTTGGCACTTCAAAAATGAACTCAATTTCCTTCAGCCACTTGTACCTAATTTTCCTATCTTTGACGTACTGCAATAATTCTCTTGCAATCTCATGATTTGGACTTACAGTATGCTTCAATACAACAAAAGCTTTTGGTCGTTCTGAGCTCCGGTCGTCGGGTATCCCTAGCACCGCACAATCTTCAACGGCTGGATGGCCGAGCAGAAGCTGTTCTAAATCTGCTGGCGCTACTTGTTGGCCTTTGACCTTGATCATCTCTTTGATGCGATCAACGATGTGGATGAAGCCTATGTCGTCTACACAGCCGATATCCCCTGTGTGTAAAAACCCATCGGCTCCAAAGGTCTCGGCTGTTTCCTTTGGGTTGGCACGATATCCCATGGCAATTTGTGGCCCCTTGGCGAGTATTTCTCCAGTCTCGTTGGGTCCAAGCTCTTTTCCAGAGTCTAGGTCAACAATTTTGATGACCGTGGATGCCAAAAGTACACCCCCGCTATCGGCATACTTGTAGCTGTAGAATTCGGGAGGATGGGTTGTCAAGCAGCAACAGGACTCTGTCATGCCATAGCTTTGCCTGAACCCTGTCCAGGGCAACTTCTTCTCAAGAAGCTTAATAACTTCCTCCCCTACTGGTGCCGCCCCGCACGCGATGAGCTTGACGCTTGTTAGGTCGTATTTGGCCACCATAGGGTCATTGACCAAGCGATTGACGATAGAAGGCACGAGGGCGAGGTCGGTTATTTTGAATTGCTCAATGGCCTTTAGAAAGTTCTCCATTGTGAACTGTGGTAACATGACACACTCGTCATTACTAGCAAAGGGCCAGTGTAGGAAGCGAACAAGACCGCTAACTAGCAGCTTGTTAGCATGTGGCTTGCTATCTCGTCGGGCTGAAACTCTGAATCGTAGAGAGCGGGCAACTTACTATGGAACAGGGGCAGGCAAGCTAAAAATCTCCTCCTCTCGGGTCCGGAGGCAGACCCCAGCTGAAGACACTGGGCGATCACATTTCGATGTGATAGCATGACCTGTCCCTTTATTTCAGCAGCTGAATCTTGTTTATAGATGACCAGAAGAATGCTACTCACGGCTTTCGGAAGCCCGGTTGTTCCACTACTAAAGTTCAAGTAACCACAGACATCGTTGGTCTGGCCACTCGCAATCCGAAAAAAGGGTGTCTGTCCTTCTTCGCCCCGAGATCGCCCAATTTCCAACAGTTGAGGCATTGAAGCATGGCCCTGGAGCTCCCCTTCAAGTAAGAATATGCGTTCAATAGGGATCCCAACTTTTCGCGCAGCGGCGAGGGCTGTGTCGATGGATTGTGGTACTGTCATGATGAACTTGGTATCCGCTGTCTTTAGAGCATTTGCCATCTCGTCTATGGTGTGAGAGGGAGATGCCCCATTGACTCTACCCCCTGGCTATTGTGTCAACAGTACAAAAACATAAACATAATCTGCAATTCTGAATGCCTTTATTGTGAAAACGAAAATAGAATATGCAAACATACCTGCCCTCAAAACGGCGAACATGGCCACTGGGTACCATATACTATTCTGGCTAAACAGAGATACAGTGTCGCCTCTGCCCAGGCCGTATTGGCTTGTCAGAGCAGTGCATAAATGGGTCGCATGTTCCTTGACTTGAAGGAAGTCTAGACGTTCCCGAGTAACAGCATTGGAGAACCCTGCCAACTTGCTAGGCGGATTGCGAAATATTGGCGAGTACCTCTTGTCCTCAAATGCCCATTCCCACACTGTCAAGTCTGTGGGGTCTACGAACAGGAGTTAGACATTGCAGTTGGATGTTGAACTCGCAGTGACTTACATTCAATATCTGGGTATTTGGATTTGAACACCATTGCGAAGGTAGTTTGTTTGAGACAATATCGAATCACCAGGCAAAGAGTGCGACTGGTTGGCGCCTCTAGAGCAGCAAGATGCTCATATTCTGGAGAGCGGCTATATCTTCCAGACAAAGCAATTGCTCATGTTTACCCAGGGAATGTGATTGATTGATCAGAGGGTGGGGAAAGCAGAGATGGAGAATGATGATCGCTGTGCTTCAGTATCCGAGGCAATGCCAGTACAAAGTAACCTTGGGCCGAATGCCTCCATGCATGCAATGGACCTATTTTCCCAAATCCTCAAGCTAGACACCTGTATTCTAAATGCATACAAAACTCCAGAATCTCTGAGGTGTCATGAAAAGTAGTGAAGTTAGCATTGCACTAATCCTGGCTCACGTGTGATCCTGTGCCGGAGAATTGCGGTGGATGATTATAGTATAGGTCCGCACTGTTATCTCTGGGCAGAAATTTAAAACAGGGGAGAGCAATTGGGACTAGAAATGTGATTAAGTTAGTCTGACATAGGTCATAATGATCTGATGAACATATTGAGAGCCTCGCTGAGCAAGGAGTCTATCATATGTGGTGTTAGATTTGCTGCCCCCTAACAAGGCAGAATGTAGTCTGAGCAATTGGCTAGCTTTTTGATACGGGATTTCTTTCTTTCGTTTCTCTACTTGTTTGATATTAGAGTTGAGAGCGAATAAAAACCACTTTGTAATGAACCGAGCCTTCTAACAAAGCGTTGACAAGAATCGTCAGTTTGAATCGTACGATAACCTCTTCTCCATCCCACTCATCCAATTTCACATGCACTTCTCCATCGAAACAATGATCAGCAATGCCCTCGGCCCTCGGACTTCGCATATTACTTCTTGTATCAACAAAATTAGGGACACTATTGTTCAATGGCGAAGGAGGATTTGAGGAGCGAAGCAGCTTAGAATCTATAAGCTGTCGAGTTTCCTTTGATTCTACCCTAATCACAAATCCTTCCAATTCCAATCTCTTTTTGAGTATACACAGCTAGTTCTATGAATAATCTTTCTCTATTTTGGCACCTAGACTTAAAATGGCCGCGAAAACAAACGGCGTCACAAATGGCTCTGGCGACAGAAAACAACCGCCGGTTGATGAAGATTTCATCCGTGCAGCTATAGCGAAGTCGAACTTGAATGCTCTTCGGCTCGCGCTGTTACAGGTGACCGGTGACCCAGATTTAGCCAAGATGCGAACACGGCGTCAACAAATTCGTGGAGGCGCCATGTTCACTCATGTCCTCGTTGATGAAGATGCTCCGCTTCTCACGGAAAAAGCACTGGCGTTTCTCTCTAAGCGTAAACCAGAGGACCCTATCCCACACCCTCCGTCAATAGTTGAGTCTAAGAAGCTCCTCGACCTTTTTGGAGACGAACCGGTGGGAGAGCGTGAATTCAACTACGATTATGAAGAGCTCGCATTTGAAGAATTTCCTCGTGCAGCTCAGTGGACTGAGAAAAAGCCCTCTGCCGAAGAGATTTCTCGGTTCAAGATCGTCATAATCGGCGGTGGCATTAGTGGCCTTGCTGCGGCTGTTCAATTCAAGCGGCTGGGCCTAAACTTTCAAGTAATCGAGCGACAGAAAGGGATCGGGGGCACTTGGCTCCTCAACTCATACCCAGATGCTCGAGTCGATACTTCTAGCTATCTGTTCCAGTTCAAGTTTGTCAAGAACTACCCCTGGTCAGAGTATTTCGCAACTGCTGGAGAAACCCAGAAATACCTGGAGTACGTCGCCAAAGAATACGAAGTGAAGGACCACTTCCGCTTCAACCGTGAGGTAGTCAGTGCTATTTGGAATGAGCTGACCAAGAAATGGCAACTCACGGTTAAAAGCAACGATGGTGGCGTGGAAGTAATCATTTGTGACGCTGTCGTGAGCGGCAGCGGCGTCTTTTCAACACCGAGTATTCCTGATATAAAAGGCATCAAAGATTTTAAAGGAGATATCTTCCATACGGCAAACTGGGACCACAAGACCAACTTGCACAACAAGCGCGTTGCTCTTCTCGGCACGGGGTCCACTGGCGTTCAGCTTTCATCGGCTGTTGCTTCTCAAGCAAGTCAATACACTGTGTTCCAACACTCCCCGAATTGGATTATGAATATGACCGGCTACGGGACACGCATCGACGATCACGTGCGCTGGCTTTTTGACACGATGCCTTATTACTGGAACTGGTTTTGTTATTCCGCACATGCGACATCACAGCAACTACAAGGACTTCAGGACTATGACAAGGACTGGCAAGCAAAAGGAGGTCTCATCAATAAGCGCAATGATCTGGTACGCGAGTCACTCACGAGCTACATTAAATCGAAGACAAAGAGTAAACCTGGCCTGTTTGAGAAGGTTTTGCCTGATTATCCGCCCCTGGTGCGTCGTCTTGTTGTTGATAATAAATTTTTCGACACCTTACTGCTTGATCACGTGGACCTCGTAACAGACAAGATTGAAAACTTCACAGAAAAGGGTATCAAGACGGTTGATGGCGTGGAGCGCGAGTTTGATATCGTGATTCTCGGTACAGGCTTCAAAGTTTCACAGTACTTTTGGCCATGCAAGTATGTCGGCCGGAATGGTATAACCTTGGAAGACTTGTGGAAGAAAGACGGAGCACGGTCATATCTTGGCATGACGATGCCTGGATTTCCAAACTTCTTCAGCTTCTATGGCCCGAACCACCAGCCACGCTCTGGAGGATTCTATTCGTGGGGGGAGATTTGGTCAAGGTATACGGCTGAGGCTATTGTTCATCTGATTGAAAACAAATTGAAGAGCATAGAATGCCGGCAAGATGTATTTGATCACTATAACGACAAGTTGGATGAGGCGAACAAAGGTCTTATCTGGGAGCTACCAGGTCATGGGTACTACGTCAATGATTTTGGACGTCAGAGTGTTAATACTCCATGGAATACGGCGGATTATCATGCGATGGTATTGAAACCGAATATGGATGATTTTGACTTCCAATGATGGGAGCAGCTGTTTGACTATGATCATGGCATGTTGCTGAAATTATTCTAATTCGAATTTTTGGAGAGAAATATTTTATTCTATTGTATGAAAGCTTAACCAACGTTAGAGATGAAGCCCTGATAAATGGTATTGGTTCTCGAGGTGCTTCGAGTGATTATCTGATCTTGAGACTGTTGTTGGGGGCGAGAATATGTTGCTTGATGAGCTGCGAAATCCTAACAGCCGTAGCGGAGGAAGGTGATATCCAGAACCTGGACAATTGTTATGAAACTGATCAGATGATTAAGTTGCTGAGACCTGTATAGGAGTGTTGTAGGTTTGTGGAGGTCAAGTTCTTATTGGGTCAGCTGCTGAGAGATTAGCTCACGAGGATATCAATACAACCAATGGAGCTACCAATGAAGAAAACTAATACATAATACTATCGAGGATCAATAAATTTCAACAATGGTTTGTGCAATTTAGCTAAGGTATTCTGATTGAATCGGCAAGATGTCTCAAAATTTGTCGGAAGTCGACTCTCGACTTCCCAGAATTGGCCTCCCAACAGGATTCCGGCCGCCCCAGAAATTTTTCCAGCTGAACGACTTGATTTTTTTCTGGAAATTTCCAATACCATGCTCTCCCTCAGACCCCGGTGTCATCATCTCGGCAAATGTTGTCTTGATCAAGTCTTTCTGTGCTGTACTTTCTGGGGCATGCCAGCCAAGCCTGACCAACTCCTTGTTGACAGCCGCGCACCGCGGTGCACATTTCTCCAACTGGTTTAAGTAGTTATCAAGCAGAGACTCTAATGATGTTTTTTCATCACTTATTTGATGAAGTGCTCCTCTCCGCCAGAGTTCGTCGGGTCTAATCTCGCGTCCTGACAGCATCCCCTCCCGGGCCAAGGAGACGCCCCATTCTCGAACAAGATACTTGGAGATCACTGCAGGACTCACGCCGATCTTGATCTCACTCAATGTCCATCTCGCGCGTGGCGAGGCCAATCGGATGTCGCAAACAAATGCCAACCCGACCCCGCCTCCGAAGCAAGGGCCATCAACAACAGCAATAGTAGTTTGTGGAACGTGGTCGATGGCGTCGTATAATGCGGCAACTTTCGAATAGTAGCTGGACTCCCCGGAATTATTGAATGTATCGGTGTTGCCGCTGAGGTCCATCCCGGTGCAAAAGAACTTGCCTTCAGACTCTATTACAACGTGGTAGACTGACGGGTCGTTTGTGAGGCTTTTGAATAGTATGGTCAACCTTTCTAGCATAGAATCCGTTAACGAGTTCCCATTCCTTGGACGCGTTAAGGTGACCTTGAGAACCACTCCGGATCGGGAGATGCGATACTCTCCAGTGTCCTCAACAGCATCCCACTGTCTAGTGGTACTCATCGCCGGAGAAGTTGTGGCGGCTGGGATTTTGCTTTTCTTCTTTGCGACGAGAGCAGAACCTGCCCTGCTCCCATTTGGAATACCGATCTTTTCGGATATCCATTGCCCGGTATCGGCAAGCCTTTCAATATCTACGCCAGTTGAAATTCCTGCATTCTCAAGGGAATACACAACATCCTCTGTTGCCACATTGCCCCTGGCACCAGGGGCATAGGGACAGCCGCCCAAACCTGCAACGCTGCTGTCGAAAGTCCTAATTCCCATCTCGTATGCGCGAACAATATTTGCTATACCTTGACCGTAGGTATCATGGAAGTGACCGGCAAGTTTATCGGCAGGGATATGACTGAGAAGTATGTGAAGCACATCTTGAACCTGTCTGGGAGTTCCAACACCTAAGGTGTCCCCGAGACCAACCTCGTAACACCCCATTTCCAGCAACCTACGAACAACCGGAAGAACGGCCTCAGGGGGTGTTGGTCCCGAAAATGGATCGGAGAACACGCAAGAAACTACACTGGATACGACGACACGTCAGCACAGGAAACGTAGACTTGAATTTGATCTAGTACTGACCCCCGAACTTTGATACCTAGCTGAAGGGCACTTTTTGTCACAGCTTCAGCCTGCTGCAGAGCTTGTTCGACTGTGCAGTTTTGGTTGGCCTTACTGAAGGCTTCTGTCACTGAGGCAAAAACCACAACCTCTTTAGCCCCAGCCTGATGTGCATTCCCAAGCCCTTTCAGATTGGGCGCCAGAACCGGAAACCTCAATTGCTGACCTTGATGCTCGGGTCCGGGGCTGCTGAGTATCTCTTCCATGACCTGATGGCCGTCTGCGAGTTGAGGAACCCATTTTGGAGAGACGAAAGAAGTTGCCTCAATATTTAACAAGCCCGTCCTTGACAGCCTCCGAATTAATTCCACCTTGATATCTGTTGGGACAGATTTCTTGATATTTTGCAACCCATCTCGTGGTCCAACCTCCACAATCCGTACTCCAGTACTTTTATTCAAAGACGAGAAGTATATATGCGAAGTCCGGTAGATTTTCACTGATTGAAAATGCTTGCAGTGGCTCTGGAACAAGTCCTGACCCGATGACTTTCTTGGAGCGAAGCCCTGTTGTGGTAGCTTGAAATGCAGCATGGTGACATCCGATGAGCGTCAGTTTGTGCAAAACTTGACACGAAGCCGCAACTCGATATCTTTCTGTGCTATTGATCCGTATCTCCGATTCAACGTCTAAGCACCGGGAATCCGAATTGTTTCTTCCGACGAGCGGTCTCGGGTTACTTTTTCTCCGGTCAGATACCCGAGGATTTGAAAATAGCCGAGGGGATTTGTCCAAAAGCCCAATTCAGGTCATAAGCCCATCAATTTCTTACTGCTTGTCGATAATGGGGGGGTCAAGTCTCGTAGTGGAAGGGCTTGACCTGTTCACTCATGCCTCCCCGCCCTCTTAAAGATACGTGTGGCGCGTCTTAAATATGCGACTAGAGGTAGAAAGTAGATTTCACAGCAGACGCCGATTTCAGCAAGAGCAACAACTGGATTTGGGTGTTTTATTCTTTAGCTATCGGATCAGGTTAGTCATATAGGAAATCTAGATCTGCCATTGAACCTTCCGAGTTAGTGAAATCTCAGCTAAAACTTAAAGAATTGTCCCTATCCACGGTTACATAGCATACTCCTAGGACGGAACCAATATTCACATGACCGTAATTTTTCAGCATCTTAAATCACCTTTTTCTCTTTTAGTGCTTCCACACCGGCGGCATCAATGCCCAGCTCATGCAATATCTCCGCGGTGTGCTGACCGAGGCTTGGCGGCGGCTCTCTCAAGCTCGCAACGGTTGTTCCGAACTTCACTGCTGGACCGATCAGGCGGAGATGACCGGACTCAGTGGCATCTACGTTGATCTGAGTAACCATATCTCGTGCATCGGCTTGTGGGTGCGCAAACGTCTGCTCCATGTTGTTTATAGGGGCAAAGGCAAGGCCTGTCCCGTCGAAAATCTCGGCCCATTCCGCTGTTGTTTTGGTTTCGAACACATTGTCTAGAAGGGGGTTCAGAATATCCCGATGATGAACACGCTTAGGATTTGTGCTGAATCTTTCGTCTTTCAGAAGGTTTTCGACTCCCAAGACCTTGCAAAGAGAGGCGAACTGGGCGTCATTGGTAGCACCACAGACTAGAAAGGCATCTTTGGTCTTGAAACCGTTGTACGGAACGATACTAGGATGTTGGCAACCCCATCTCTGTGCCTCGATCCCTAGGTTGAGCCAAGCCAGGCCCACATTGGTGAGAAGGCTTACTTGTGTCTCGAAAAGAGATGCATCTACTCTCTGACCCTTGCCGTTCTTCGAACGAGCAGTTAAAGCTGCGAGGATGGCCCCATGAAGGTATAGACCAGTTGCCATGTCCACTAGTCCGATTCCAGGCCGTACGGGTGGTCCGTTGTGCTCCCCAGTCACATGGAGGAGTCCGGCTTCAGCACCAGCTATTGGATCATATCCTCCGCGGTTGGAATATGGCCCTGTTGTTCCATATCCTAGTGAGAGAAGAAGTTAGTTCTAATTACCAACAGTGACTACTTTCAACATTGCAAGTGGGATTTAATACCAGAAATGCTTGCATATATCAGTTTTTGGTTCCTTTCCTTGAGATATTCATATCCCAGACCAAGTCGGTCCATGGTGCCTGGCTTGAAGTTTTCGACCCTATCACACGATATTATGTCCATTAGCTGAAACTCCCATGTTTAGCAATGTACATATGCGAGAAAAAACGTACAGGACATCCGCCTTTTCTGCAAGGCGCGTTAGAACCTTTTTGCCCTCTGGGTGCTTTATATCTAGCGTAAGGGACCGCTTATTTCGATTCACAGCGGAGAAGTAGTTTGACATTGGACCCTTTGACTTTTTCCATTTGGCGATTTCTCCTGGCATCATCCAATGTCGAGTGTCATCCTGTTGATAGAGTCAATGAATACTAGCGCCAACAGAGAGAGCATACTGAACATACTCCTTTACAAATAGCTTCTACTTTGATAACATCGGCTCCATAGTCTGCTAAGATCTGGGTACAAAAAGGTGCCTGTTGAGTTTAATTAGTGAATGATCTAGAGTTTCTTATTATAGGAAGCTAATTTTCACCGCCAATACTCGTGATAGATCAAGTATTTTTAAACCTTCCAACGCTCCGGGCATCTGACTACCTTCAAGAGTAGATTTGGTTGAGTGAAATCGCTGTAGAGACTGCGGATGAAACTTTGATGATGGCTTGATTAGGCCTGATCTAATAGCAAAGGTATGGGTACTTTCCCGCGAACTCCTCACAGGCCGCATCGATTTTGTTACTGCTAACATTATTCTTGGACGTGGAATTAAACAACTCCGAGATGAGAGTTCAGAATGGGAGCATAGAAAAGCCTAATGCTAGGTTGCTTTCATCATGATATCATGATTGGCCGTGCTTATGTACAAAGATCAACTGGTCTTGTGTGGCATTCCCAGAGGATACCTCGGATAATATAGGGGCTGGGGATACAGCGCATAAAACGGATCCGTTCAAGCTGCATAACCAGGTTTTTTCTGATGCCCCGAACGCCGCTGACGTGTCTTGAATGGGTTCTCCGTAATATGGGAAGTTGATCGAAACTGCGGGGTGCAGCAGTTGCCAGTAGCAGTTCCCCTTGATAACAGGGTTTTAACCAGAAGCTTGTATGGTAAATAATTATTCTCATTCATGCTTATTCTCGATCTTAATAGCTCTTCGGAAGACCCAGCACCTTCTGGCCTATATAATTCTTGATCATTTCTCCGCTAATCGGAGCAATCCTAGCCAACGTAGCTTCTCGTAGATAACGCTCTACGTGGTACTCCTTTGCATATCCCATTCCTCCATGAGACATGACGGCTCTCTCAGCAGCTTTGAAAGCAGCTTCAGAACTAAGATACTTACCAGCATTAGCATATTCTCCGTCCCCGTATCCTTGATCATATAATCGTGCCGCGAGATAAATCATAAGTCGAGCGCTCTCAAGATTCATCCAGCATTCCGCTAGCGGGTGTTGGATTCCTTGATACTTTCCAATGGGATTTCCGAAGACGACCCTTTCACTTGCGTAGGCACTGCTCCGTCGCAAAGCCGCATATCCAATTCCCAAGGCTTCTGCGCCTACTAGCACTCGTTCAGCATTCATTCCATGCATGATCATCTTGAACCCGTCGCCCTCGTTTCCAATTAGATCACTGACAGGAACCTTCCAATCTTCAAAGAACAAAGAATTTGTATCAACTGCTAAGCGTCCCATTTTTGGTATTTCTGTAATTGTTACTGCAGATCGGTCCAAGTCCGTGTAAAAGAGGGAAAGGCCATGACTCGGGTTCTTGACCTGATCCAAGGGTGTCGTCCTGGCGAGAATCAAGATTTTCTCTGCCACCTGGGCAGTGGATATAAATACTTTGGAGCCCTTGAGCCTATAAAAGTCGCCGTCCCTCTTGGCAGATGACTGCAGTCGAAGTGTGTCCAAGCCAGAATTCGGCTCTGTGACCCCGAAACAAGCTCGTTCTTTACCCTCAATAAGGGGGACCAGCCAGCGCTGCTTCTGTTCTTTTGATCCAAATTTCACCACCGGCTCTAAGCCAAAGATGTTCATGTGAACGGAGGACGCGCCGTTGATACCTGCCCCTGACTCGGAAATTGTCTGAAGCATCACGGCTGCTTCTGAAATTCCTAGCCCGGAACCGCCGTATTCTTCAGGAAGGCAGATCCCTAACCAACCATCTCTTGCAAGGTCGTTGTAAAGCTCCCACGGAAACTGGTGCTCGTTGTCCTTTTCCAACCAATACTCATCGGGATACCGAGAGCATACTTTGCTGATTGCTTCTCGAACGGAGCGCTGCGACTCAGTCCATTCTGGAAGGTTGCTGGGCAGAAATTCAGTGGCCCGAGCATGAATTTGTCGTCGATGTTGACTCTTGAGATTCTTTAGAGCTCTGAAATTTGAACTGGGAGGCAAGAAACTGTGCTGCAAATAGGAAATCCTCACGGTGGAGTTAAGAACTATTCTCTGCATCTTGATGGCTGGCGCAAGTCAAATTTAGGTAGCTTTGTTGTGATGAAACTGCCTCTGGGTTTTGTAGTCGCTTTTGGCGCAGATCATGAAAAACTCCCCTCTGATAGTTCCTGATATTCTTTCCCCTGGCTTCTAATACATCTGATTTTGTTAACACACTTCATGTGCCAGGGTCGGCCCGCAAATGTACATGGACTTTGACCACCTCTGGAGAACCCTGTTCCGGTAGGTTATGTTGACGTGAGTGGCGGCCTGGCTATTAAGATTTCTGTCCCGAGGCTACTCTTGCTACGTCACTTCTTGTCTCGGGCCGGATATCCGCAGAAGTCACAGAAGCAGTGGAAATTAGATATAGCCCTACATAAGACAGTCGCCACGCGTCGGGCCAGCAGCTGAATAAGCCTCCCGATCGTTTGTATTTGATAGTCATGTGATAGGGGAACAGTTCAAACAGTTTCACCATTGTATTGATATGCGATCAGAGACAGGGAATCCAATGGCACTTGCGAGATTTACTTTATAGATCGACCGAAAATATATGTATTTTAGAGATAATGCACAAATGTCTAGCCGAGCCGCCTCACCACGGCAGACAAATCTTTGTAATAAGGTCAGAGACCGTCAGCATGATGATCCTGTTTCAAATCTTAGCCAAGATGTTATTTAGAGGGAAGGACAGCACTCACGCATGAGGTGCTATTCTTAAGTAATAAGGGGTGAATCCACGATAGAAAGCGGTCGGGCCCTCGGTATGTAACACCTTGATGATGCAATCTAACACGCCGTTGTACCGTACGCCTCCCCCCTGCTGCCTTGATCGCCACTGCATTCTGGTTTTGACGAAATCAAATGGTAGGCTCAGGGTGGCAGCGACGGTACCAGAAATTGCTGACGCAACTAGGCTTTTAGAAAATTCTGGCATATTGGTGTGTTTCGATAGTTGATGCTTGGATTCGGAGAACGACGCAAGCTGACCGAAGTTGGTTGAACATGCCCGGACGACTGTTGGAGTTGCACCGCTCCATAGGCCACGAATACCTTCTTTCCGCGCAATGGTCTTCAGCGCGTCTATTACAGATCGATAATTTGCTCGCTCCGGCAATGGTTTCGCCCCGTCACTCTGCATTCGGATCAAAGCAACCTCAGTTGGTGTCCCAATGAAAGAGCCTAGCCCGCCCGCGCAAAGACCTGCAATCCCACGGTCTATGAATGATATTTCACGGCCCTGCAGTTTGGCTCTCTTCTTCAGCTTATCCTCAAAAGTGTAAAATAGACCCATTCGTGCGGTGCCATAGACAATTTGCCGGAGGTACCCAGCAGAGATCCCTTGATACAAGTCGAGGAATCTTCCCTTTACCACAATCTCCCTGGCCACAGCGAAAGGGCTTGACCGACTGCTAGTCTTACTAGACTGCCCATCAAGCTGCACTCGCACTTTAATAACGTCAATGGGATGTATAACCGTGGTGGCAACAAGCCCTGAAGCGCCGCCGATTAGAAAAGGCCGGAGGGTAATCATTAGGCTTCTCGCATGCTGCCGTGGTGCCCATAATGAAGTTTGGGCATTATTCGAGTTGACCATTCTTATTCTATGAGATGGTATATGTGCTAGGGTTTGAAGAATGCCCGTGGTAAAGCCCAACTGCTTCCTTAGATGCTCTCACCATGCCAAATAAATTCAACAGCCAAAACACGCTATATCACTAACCCTAAAGCAAACAAGGGGGAAAATGACGTATGAGTGCTAAGAGGAGATCTGAATCACACCTCGGATCACGAAAACCGCTTTACTAAGCCATTTTGTTGGTTGATACTATTTCTCGTTGGAATATGACTTTTCACGTATCGGCTTTTGCGTTGCCACCTCGGCAACTAACCGGCACATCCAACCCTTGCCACCTCTCGGACGCAAGTGCTTAGGGATAGATATATCGTTAGAAAACGGCTCGAATAATCTGAATAGCTACACTGGTATCCCGATCTATGACATTGTGTTTTAGAGTTTTAGTAAGTTTAGATACGGGCGACTTAGCGGCTTGACAGAGTACATTGGTTTTGATACAAGTCAATCGGACATTTTACTGATGATGAAGGCAGCAGCTTCAGACAGTGATCTATCTGCCTCTGGGGAGTTTCCCGCCAAAGCTATCCAAATGTGCTGCATATCAGGGGGCAGTTCCAGCTGCACACCAACGCCTGCCTTTCTTGCATTTTCCGCCAACGAGACCGCATCGCTTTCGAGGATGTCAGAGGTACCCGTCGCTATATATATTGCCGGAATTCCTGTGAGATCTGTACGAAGTAAATCTACCAGAGGATTGTCCAGCGGGGCATCGCCTAGATATGTTTTAATTACACCTGGTAGAGCCTCAGGAGATGCCAGGGCGTCCTTGTGGTTGTTTCTTTCGTAGGTCTCTCCAGAAGCTCGCATATCAAGCCAGGCAGAGAATGCCGCGATGGCCGCAGGGATGGGCAAGCCTCGTTGTTTGATTGCGAGCGAGGCAGATACGCTCAGATTCCCGCCAGCAGAGTCTCCCGCAAAGGCTATGTGATGAGGCTTTAGGCCTCGATCGTTCAACAGCCACTCATATGTAGCGATGACATCTTCAATTTGCTTTGGGAATTGATGTTCTGGGGCTCGGCGGTAGTCGAGAACAAGGGCGTATGTCCCGGCCTTTTTGGCCAGATGTGCAGCGATCTTGCGGTGACTCGCAGGAGAGCCTGAGATAAATGCCCCGCCATGAAGGTACAAAATCAGCTTTGAAGGCGAAGATGAGTGTGGTTTGCACCAGATCGCCGGTCGAACCGTGCCAGGACACTTGACCTCATCATATGTCACATCTGTAGGCTCTGAGGCTAGTGATCCACACTCCTCCATGACTATCCGATAGAGCCCTATGTCTAGAGACTCCTTTGTCATGTATTGGGACAGATTTGTCCAAAAGCTTTCCATCTCCATGTTGGATAGCTGCCAAGATGTTGAACGGGTGGATAAGGAAAGCTGACCCTTCTAAGAAGATCATCGCCCGTCTGTAAGAAGCCACAAACCAGAAGCGCGAGGATCATATATCCTCATATTTTCACGGAGTGAAACCGAGGATGCTGACGGTTTGTTGACCCCTCGGCTAATTTTCGTGAATATTTTTAAATCGCCTGAATGATATATCAGTTCAATTTCATATTCGTCTCACATGGAAAAGAGTACAGTGCGTCTATTATATGACCTATATCTATCTACGCAAGTACTGGTTACACCGGTCTAGGAAACAGAGCTAGTCACGAAGTAAGTTGATATTCTGCTCACTGTGATTGGGGATTATGAAGTGAACGACTGCTGTTAAACACCGGGCCTTATAGAACCATAGATCGAGGGCGTGTACATTGAAATCGCATAGATTGTTCACTTATCGGTAAGCCCAAGGACCATATCGAGATATCCTCAAGCATCCACCTCGGGAACTGGCAATCAATGGGAAGAAACAGTAGTCTGCTTGTTCACGCGGACAATCTTTTCTTGGCTAAAGCCGTTCGTGACTTCAGCCCCTCAGCATTTTGGCCGCGTGACATGCCCATGACCTTAATTGCTCTCTTCACCTCGGGTGCAGTGTTATGCATCCTCGCCTCGCACATTCCATTGTTAAGTGCACTGGTTATTTTTCTTATGACATCTCATGCTTCCCGGCTACTCAACAGTCTTCCTCAACTTTTACTCTTCGCCACTGTCTAATCTCAAAGCAATGGCATTCCAAAACAAAGTTATTGCCATTACTGGTGGTGCCCAGGGCATTGGCCTGGCTACTGCTAGAGCTCTGGCAAGTAGAGGCGCAGCGGTCACAATCGCCGATAGTAATCCTACCACGCTCGCTGATATGGAAAAGGAGTTTAGCAGAAAAGGCTGGCCGATTCACACCGTTGCGGTGGACGTAAGACAGCCGGAAATGGTGAATAATTGGATTGATGGCGCTGTCCAAAAGTTTGGGCACCTCGATGGTGCTGTTAATGCTGCCGGAACAGTAGGCAGATTATATGGTCAGAAGCCATTAGGCGAGCAGGATGATGATGACTGGAATCTCGTCATGGGTGTCAACCTCAACGGTAAGTGATATTAGATCGCCATTTATCTTTCCATCACCACATGTTGAATCAAAACAATTCTCACCCATTGAATCCAGGAATGATGTATTCGCTTCGTGCCGAGCTCCGACACTTGTCAGATGGAGGAAGCATCGTGAACATCTCTTCCAATCAAGGCTGCAGAGGAGGACCGGGTTGTGCGGCCTATTCGACCTCAAAACATGCTGTTATCGGCCTTACGAAATGCGCAGCCCATGACTATGGAGCACGAGGAATTAGAGTCAACACGGTAGCCCCAGGGGGGACTCATGGACCCCTTATGAAAAGCGTGGTCGGGGATGCCCCACCGCCCTCGCCTAACGTATTGCGAAAATATGCAAAGCCCGAGGAGATTGCTTCCATGATTGTGTGGCTATTGGGACCTGAGAGCACGCATTGCTCTGGTGAGCTCTTCCGCGTTGATGGCGGTGATTTTGCTTAGAAGTCCCTGCAGAGCTTTGCAGGACAGTCATAGCGCAGTAGTTTAACGAATACAAGGGTATGAGGTAACTCATTAATGTGTTATGATACCGGGTATGGTGTCAAGTTGTTAAATTCTTGGTGTTTGGGAGCTTCCCCCTTTTTTTTTCAGCAGCTGCATAGCTCTCTCACTTACTATGAGGTAACTCATATAAAGCAAATGTTCATCGCAGTGGATAACGGAATGTTGTATTTCTTCTCATTCTTGGAAAAATGTTTACTCGAGAGAGAGCGGATTCAGTATCTCTGATCTGCAATTGTCCTCAGGATCATGGACGGTGGTCATGCCTGCCTGAAGACAGTTATAGCTCAGATAACGACCCCGAATCTTTGTTACATTTGGTCTACACTACATTGTTTTTGTTTTCGGGGAGCCTAGGTCTCCGCATGGGGCTGTTACAGGGTTGGTCAAGTATTCGGTGAAAAAGGCCGTTGATGTTGATATGTGAGGAGAAGTTGAGTTTCATCATTCTCACCCTCGGCAATACAAATTCCTTGAACAGAGTGAAGACCACGAATCCCAAAAATCTCATGACGTTTTTGCCTCTTGGCTGCATGAAATACACAAGTTAGGGACGGGAATTGACGATCGAATCGTAGAAGCTACTGTATTATGTCGCCGCAGAGATTTGTTGGGGGAGCAACGTACAAAGCATTAAACTCCACGTGATATGATTCTCTGTCGCAAAAGGCTTGGATTTGGGTAGGGCATTTTTACATTTAACAACAAGACATCTCGACTTAGGCGAAGGCTCCTCGTCGAGCCGGAATCCGTAGATTTATTGCAAGTAAATGTTACTTCGTGGGGTGGCCTGCAGGTCAACAATGGGGATACATTAACGTACATCATGCGCCGGGTTGGCCACCATAATTCAGTATAGTTACCGAGGTACGTACGGCCTTTAATTTGCCGTGTTTAAGAATAGTCTATGCTCAACCAGGTAGATAAATATCGTCTGGCATCAAGCTAACTGCAGCCTTGAGTGCGAGTTTTAAACGCATGGCCTTTGAGCTTGTTTGAGGCTACTACAATATACCATGGCGGTGGCAAACATTCTCGCTGAAGACCCTAGCAGCTACAGTCGTCTGCTTGTATGGGCTGCTTTACTTGTAAGAGCTTTAAGAGCATGTTTGTATTCGAGATAACTAATCGTACTGACAAGAAGAATGATTAGATCACTATCGTTGCCATACCCACCGCATTTGTCATCGTCTACAATATCTACCTGAGTCCCCTCAGCTCTTATCCTGGCCCAAAGGCCTCAGCTGCGACTTCGATCCCATACTTGAAAGCTCTTGTTTCAGGAAAGTCATGCGAATATGTCTATGAGCTGCACAAGAAATACGGCGATGTCGTGCGAATATCGCCCAACGAGTTATCATACACCAGCTCCCAAGCTTGGAAAGATATCCATACACATCGCCCTGGACAAGCGTATCCAGACAAGGAACCCGCCTTCTATGTACACCCTCCCAACGGTGTTCCATCTCTTTTCTCGTCCAATAATTTCTATCACACACGCTTGCGTCGCCCATTGGCCCATGCGTTCTCCGAAAAGGCTCTCCGAGACCAGGACGCTCTGATCAAAATTTACATCGACACCTTGGTCGAAGGATTGAGAGATAAAGCAACCAAGGGTGAGACCGTTGATGCTTGTGCCTGGTTAAACTGGACCACGTTTGATCTCACGGGAGAGCTTTCATTTGGCGAGCCGTTCGACTGCCTCAAGAAGCAACGGTTTGATCCATGGGTCGAAATTATCTTCGACACAGTTCGAGCCACAGCTATTATGGGTGGCCTTAGGCGATATCCCGGCCTGCAAAAATTGATCGAATTCTTTGTCCCTGCTGCACAGAAGGAGTTGCCTGCGAGGCACCAGAAAATGACGGATGACAAAGTGGCTCGCCGTCTAGCCAACACTACTGACCGACAAGATTTCATGACCCCATTGCTAAAGAATAAAGGACATCAAGAACCTCTGACTACAGCGGAGCTGAGCAGTGAGATGTTTTCTGTCATTGTTGCCGGATCGGAAACGACAGCTACGGCACTGTCTGCAACTCTCTATTTTCTGGCAAGGAATCGCGACAAGCTCAAAAAGCTTCAGAAAGAGATCCGTGGTGCATTTGAATCCGAGGACGAGATTAACATGCTTTCCACCAACTCGCTTGAGTATACGACGGCTGTATTAGAGGAATCTATGCGTGTATATCCGCCCGTGCCTATTGGGATGCCTCGAGTTATCCCGAAGGGCGGCCTCACAGTTCTGGACAAGCATCTTCCAGCCGGAGTCAGTATTCCGCCCAAATCGTTTTCTTGGAGAATGAATTAGCACTGGCTATTCCATGCATCATCTAGGGGTACAAGACTAACTAAGTGTTCTATAGACTATAGTGTCGGTCCATCAGTACTCAAGCAATCACTCTCCGAAGTACTGGAAGGATCCTGAGAGATTCATCCCTGAACGTTGGATGGGTGATCCCAATTATGCTGATGACGACCGCCGAATCTTCCAGCCGTTCTCAACCGGAGCCCGGAACTGCATCGGCCAAAAGTAGGTCCTATTAAAATACCTTCTTTGCCTTCCCCAATCCTGTACCAGAATCTCGATGAACACTGTGCTGATCAAGTCATGGTAGCTTGGCATACGCTGAAATGCGTAGCATCCTCGCTAGGCTGATGTATAACTTCGATGTCATGCTGGATGACGAGAATCATAACTGGCTTAGTGGTCAGAAGACTTATTTTATTTGGGAAAAAGGTCCTCTCATGATGAGATTTATCAATGCATAGTCTCTATGACTGAAGAGTAAGTCAAGTAGGGTTCCATGTTGGAAAGTTGATAGAACCTGAAGCTGCTAGTCTGTAGTCATGTTGGCGGGTTTTGTTTCAGCGGATCTTTAATTAAATAAAAAAGAATCTGCGTCTCACAATTGCCTAGAGTATATGGCTATACATTAACTACAATTTGTCGTAAATTCTCATAAGACTAACACACATAGCAAGTACATGTTATTTTCGGCACTTGGATGATATGGGCCGAGTGTTCATGTGCATTGACACGGTGTGGTGGTATGCAATCGTACCAGATGGAGGGAAGGAAGAGCCATCTGGGCTGCTATTAGAATCAAGCTCTTTTGATATCATTCATTTATCCAAGTCTCGGGGAATGAGAGAATAATAGTGCCTGCCACACCAAAGCTCCCGGAATGAAGAACCTTTGGTTCATAGTCAAGGTTATCTAGGTCCTTCTTAGATTATACTGTTTGCCAAACATCTTCGTATCCTTTTCAAATCCAAAGACACGATCGACATATACCCCTTTGCCCTTCCCGGCAACCAATTCCTTCACATAATCGGCAAATGTTACGTGCTTCAGATCTGGGTAAAGCTCTTTGCCATTCAAATATCCCAGATACGACGCGCTCTCGGGAAGATTATCACCACGCAACCAAACCGAGTTCGCATACTGGGTAGATGATAGACCTAGAAGGTTAGGTACCGAACCATCCTGATCATATCGATTCTGGGCTGCGTTGATGTTCGCTAATATCTCTTCCTCGTTGGCATAGTCGCGTGATATTTTCTCGCTGCTCAAGTCCTCGAGAGTTGAGTAAACTTCTTCCTGGGTCAAGACTTCATTGTACACAAAGACGGATTTGTTCAAGGTACGTTCGTCGGTGATAATTTGGGCAACGTACTTTCCCACATCTCTGAGATCGGTCAAGGCAGACCTCAGATTTCCATCCCCAACGAGCTTGCTGTTAGGGAACTTGATAGCGTAGTCAAGCTTGCCCGAAGGAAGTCGCGGCAACGAAGTTTGATACCACCAGCCAACATCTATCGCCGTATATGGGAGATACAGCTTTTTTATGTGATTAAGCACCGCTTCTTTCTGCAAGTCGATGAGTCTTCATATTACCTCGGCTGAATGTCTCGATGGCTTTAGCAACTTACAATTTCTCTCAATATTAGAACTCCAGCTGGTGGGCAAGCAGGCCCAAATGCGCTGGGCACAAACCTCTTGACCTTGGCTTCTTTGGCTGCATTCGCCAGAGCGATTTGTGTCTCTGGTACAAAAGGAATGATGCAGCAAATCACCGTATCCTGTCCAACGAGCGCTGCCACCAGCTCTTCGTGGGGTGCTTCTAGGTCAAGGGTAACCACCTTCACCCCATGATTTCTGAGTTGTTGAAATTCAGGCTTGTCTTCTGATGCGGGGCGACATAGAGCAGTGACTTCCTGTATTATTTTTTAGCTTATTGCTCGCAATGGCTCAAGATAATACGTCAGAGTGCTTACAAAAGTATCAGGTTGTTGGATCAATGCATGGGTGATGGATTGCCCAGTCTCGCCGGATGCGCCTACAATGGTAACTTTCATGTTTAGCTTTGGAAGGGCGGCACACGAGACGGAGGATTGGCTGTGGGGGGTGGTATATCGGGATCTTCAAACAGTACGACTGCTCATCAGTCAGGCAGATAGTCGAGCGAAACGTGTGCCAGTGCCTAGTTCACTGTATTCTCACGATACACTTGGAAGGATAAAATAATCCCGCTCGATCTTGGCCATCGGCAGCCGTTGGAGTGTCCACAGTGCTTTGTAATGTGAACATCGACATTGTGTCACCTCGGCAATTATATCCCTCAACGACCGTGCTCTAATGTCAATGGCGTTACTCGCATTGGTATGGTTTCACTTATTAATGAATACTATAATTACATTAGATTTTATATAAAGGAAGCTACCGTTGAATATCCCGTCTCTCAAATCTTCCAGCGAAATATTTAAATGTTGAGCAGGCCTTCAAGCAGAGTAGGTGATAGCCGAGGTGATTTAGTGATGCTTGATAACCGACTGAGCGTTGATTTTCAGGTAGCCTTACTACCTGTCAGCTCTCCAGAGAGGGGCCTCGGCATCAATGTTAGAGATAAACTTGTATTACATGTTGATTCATTCTGAGTTTGAGAAAGTGTAAAAACTATTGATGTACGACGGGGAGAAACTCACTGTCGTTAAATTCGAAACATGGCAAACGCAACGGCTATGAATTGTGCATTATTACCTGATAACATAGTTAAAAGCCTGTGAACTTTTCGACTCCAAACTGGTATAATTAGCCGTTAGATAATTGTACAGAAGACTGGCATGCCTGGGTGCCCATAACCATAACAGCGTCTAGGATGCGGGGCATCTCCCAGTACGTTGGTCTGGGCAAACCCTTTCATGATCAGCCATCGCTTGTCTAGAAAACATTCTCGTTCAGTATTTGATTCTTTGCAACACACCATAGAAAGGCTTCAATAGAAGCCAGGCAATCTATCTGTAGCCATCTCATCAAAACGTGAGGTGAAATGTCTTCTCAAACACAGGCTACTCGTCTCTCACCAACGGGAGCAGGGCCAAAGCCACTAGAATCCTGGAACAAAGCCACCAGTGCAATGGGGAAGCGCCGTTCATCAAAGGCGTGTCTATCCTGTCGCAACAGGAAAGTTCGCTGTGACGTGGTTCGTGGAGGAGTGCCTTGCAACAACTGTCGCTTGGACAATGTTGAATGTATCATCAAGGAATCCAACCGAGGAAAGAAGCTGGGAGAGGGCCGTTCGCGCCCGGCAGTTACTTCACCAGCGGGAACTACTCATGTAGAGCCTGCATCTCCTGGTATTAGACAAGATACGGCTCGCATGTCTCTTGAAGGCCCAGACAGTAAGCAGGCATTCAAGCCACATCTGTCATTATATTATCGATGCACAGCTCCCACTGACCCAACCACCAGACCAACAGAATGAATCAGGAGCCGAGGACTGCCCTGATTACAGTCAAGATGAAGACGATGGGCCTGACGCAAATCATGATTTTGACGACCAGGACGAGTTCCAGGTAGTGGAGGAACCCAATGTTGCTCCTAGTAACACTCAGATCCTTGACCCGACGTTGTACAATGGGATGAATATGAGTGGAATTCCGGCACCGTACCTGCCGCCTTATATAAAACCTCTCCCAAGTCATATAGGGCCGCGAGACCTCTTTTATCTTGCGGACAAAGATGCTTTGACAATTCCAGATGATGAGCTCCGGGGCGAACTACTCCGGGTGTACGTTTACATTGTCTACGCCTTCATGCCTGCAGTGGAGCTGAATTCATTTCTTGGTCCGATTCTGAGAAATGATGGAAAGAACGCAGTCAGTTTAGTTCTTTTTCAGGCAGTTATGTACGTGAGCGTAACGTTCGTGGACGATGAATATCTCCAAGCAAGAGGATATTCAAACCGAAAATCGGCTCGCAAGATCTTTTTCAACCGGGTTCGCTTGCTTTACGGGCTTGACTGTGAGCAAGACCGCCTCACAGTTCTTCAATCCTTGCTTTTCATGACATATTGGTGCGACTTTTCAAACGACGAAAAGGATACTTGGTACTGGATAGGAGTCACCTTGTCACAGGCCCAAGCCATTGGTGTCCACAGAAATCCGGAAACTTTGGATATCAGCTCAGAAGAAAAGTGTATGAGAAGGAGGATCTGGTGGTCATGCCTCATTCGAGACCGGCTCTTGTGTCTTGCTGTTCGGCGACCCCCAAGAATACGCGACGGAGAGTTCGATGTCCCAATGCTAACTATCGACGACTTTGAGAACAGCCTTCAAAGGCCGACCGATGAGGTACTAAAACTCCTCGGAGAGTCTGGGCTTACTACGCTTGATGCCGATGGCCGCAAAGGTGTGGCATTGATTTGTGTAGAGCTGGCCAAGCTGTGCATTTGCATTGGCCATGTGCTTACGACGCAATATTCTATACTTGGCAGCCCGTTTGGAGGTTCCCAATCCTTCACACAAACTGCAACTGTACCGCAGTTCTCAGAGAAGCAAGCCCTCGACTTAGCCAAGTGTGAGGGTGAGTTGGAGGATTGGCTGCGAAATCGGCAAACAATTTGCCAATATTCACCTCCTATGCGAGGATCAACTGCAAGTAACAACTGTTGTGACCGGATCACTCGACTACACCAGGCTCTATTACATATGATCTATCTCAACACAATCGGGGCTCTTCATCGACCTCAAGCATTCAGTCCTACCACAAGTCCGGCCGAGTTTGATAACCGAAAGAATTCAATACACAGAGTAAAGGAAGCAGCGATTGCCACCACCAAACTTGCATTTGACCTTCAATCAGAAAACCAGTTCCATTACCTATCGACAAGCAGCATACCTGCTTTTCTTTCTGCGGCGCTTATACATCTACGGGATGTATGCAGCCCAGTAGAGGAGGTTCGCAGTACTGGAATTGGTCGTTTCTACCAGAGTATCCAAGCCTTGCACCAACTCCAGGAGATGTACGTGGCAGCTGAGCTTGCTATCCGATTCCTGGAGAAAGTGATCAAAACTATCGATCTCCCGAGTCCTATGCTAGCAGCAATCCGGATCTCCCGGGCCAGTGGGACTCAAATGCCGGTTGAAAACAGGAATTTGATAGCCTTCTGGGGCTATCATTCGAATGATCGAGGTTTTCCTGGGGCTGTGACCCCCAGTGGCCCTCACAGCCAGGATCTTGCGCCATCTAATACGTCAAGAGCAGACCTCGCCAATTTTCAACCTGCCCTTAGCCCATCTATAAACAACATTTTCAGCAATATTGCACTTGATAGAGGGCAGCTTAGTTCAATACCCGAAGACTTTGAAATAGCTCAAATGCTACCCGACCTTGATGGTGACGGGCCTCTACCAGAGCTCATCAATTTTGATATTGACCCTAGTTTTTTCCAAACAGAGTAAGATGGGCTGTCTAGTGAGATATCACAGAGTGTGAGCGATTCACAGGCCTAGGATTTGGAAGTTATGGGGTGTGATGGTAAGCGTGTCTCTCTGTGTAGTCGCGTGGGATAGTCAACCCCAGAAGTACAACTTGGAGGCGCCTCGGGACAAACATCAGACATGTACCATATCTAGGCAAAGCACAGATAGTTACTACGAGGGGTAAACCTACTAATAATCCTATTTTACTATAGCCTATACCCAAATTGAAAATACCGCGCAACACGCTTCTTAGGAGTTTATTTGTCTCTGTGATAGAGGTCGGTCGCTTGAGATGGGACGACCTATAAAGACCAAACTGTATGTCTCCCTAAAGTCTAAGGTTACAAGTTTCTCTTCAATCATGTACTGCATCTTGATTTATCTTTCTCTCCTTTTTTTGCTATGACTGTAGGCTTTTCTCACTGATGTTGATAAATAACGCACGTGTAACTACGACGACCGTATAAACATACCCCGGGCGTATATACTCTTTTGACCGCCTAGATATTTTGTCACGCGCATAAAGCTGCGCCTCGAGGGAATCATCGTTTATGACGCAAATGTTCATGTTGATCTACAGGTTGTAGGTGGTGCGAAGGATGGTGGGATGAAAGAGGCCGCCAATTCAGTCTTATCTGCCTCAACATCGTGGGCTGCCTCCCGACTCCCAGATACCTCTATGGCAGCATATTTCAGTCCGCCCGTCTCCTCTCTATTACTCCAAGATAGGTATCTAAATTCATTCTCACATCCTTTATGCTAGTTACTGCAAGTAGAGCAAGCCGGTCGCTTCTATCGCGCTGAGTGATTTAATTTTTGGTCAATCCGTTCAACATGGAGATTTTGCTGACGGTATATATGTGGTGAGTCTCATCTCCACAAGAAACCATCTACTATTCTGTACTTAAATATAATATACTAAGTTACTGTTCCGAGTGTTTTTCTTGCCGCGCCTGTTCTTGCGACTGCCTGGCAAGATCTCCTTGCTGCAAATAAAGGTTTCGACCCAAGTTTGTACAATCGGCGCTCAAGATCTCAGCCAACTTAGATCAATGATTCGGGACTCTTTGCCACCAAGGCGATAAATAGAGAGGATAACATAATACTGAAGTGGGAGCTTCACAAAGCTGTTCCACGAATGTTGCCTGCACTTCAAGCTCGCTTCATTGAATGGTTATATAACATAATGAATAACGATTTATTAATTTTTGGACGGTATTCTGTATTACTGTAAAATAGGATGCAAGAATATGTGACTACTGGGATTTTCCTACCCAGCCAGGTCGACTTTGCGGTCCCTATTTTGATGACGGCCTCTGAGCCCCCGTACCTGAATACGAAGGTCGATTGCCATCTGGCAGAGATGAAAGGCATGGATCGTAGCATATGAGCTCAGGATGCTTAGATTAGGTGCTTCATATAGTATGTCATATAGTATGATCACCTCAAGAGATACAATTGTAGCGTTTGTACGGCTGCATCATCCAAGGTACCATGTTTTCTCCAAACAGCGACATTTTGGTGCACACTTTAACCACTTCACAGGGTCTCTCATCATTTTCTTGATAGGTTAAACAGGAACTTAATTGCTTTGTATGGAAATAATAGGCTTATGAAAAATTCTACAACTGATACGGAAGATATTATACAGCAGGCTTTAAAGCAGCCGTTTATTGATGTTCCTTCTCGTTGTCATCATGGGATGTTATTTCATCCTTGGCTTGTCCCACAATCTCATGATTTTGCGCAAGCTCAATGAGAGGCCCATCATAGTTCTTCCGCCCGTCAAGGAACCAGGTTGTCACAGCAATCAGCAAAATGACACCAAATGCAGCGATGCAGTAGTTCATGTTGGCTGTCGTAACGGGCAGCTCCGGGGGAAAGACGAAGAGCACAGTGGTCAGGATGGCCCAGGCAATGCCCACCAAGCTGCAGATCCATCTTACTGGAGTGCTAAGCTTGAAGTGACGATCCTCGGGGAGCAGGTTGCCGCCACGGAGCAGGTGAATCGCAGGGGGGATGGCATATGTTACGCCGAGCGCGACGACAGAAGCGGCAGTGATGGCATTGAAGGCACTTGAGGATCCCAGCAGGATCAAACCAAATACAACAATCCATCCGGTGGTCCACAGAAGGGCGTTGAGAGGGACACCCAGAGTAGGATTGACAACAGCCCAAACACGGCTCAGGGGGAGGCCCTTGTCTCGGGCGAAAGCATATGTCATTCGTGCGCTGGTAGTCATGAGGGCGGTCGAGGTGAAGACCATGCAAAGAATCGGGAACATGAGCAGGCAAATAGACCCAGCCTTATTTTTCGTGGCGTCGAAGAACATTTGTAGTAGCGGGCCGGCCGGGGATTCGATCACGGTGTCGAGGTCCTGGATAGTGAACAGCAAGCAGGTCAGGAAGATGAATCCGGAGAACATGCCAATAACGATGCAGTACAGCATAATCTTGGGGCCCGTCTTTCTCGCTTCGGGGATCTCCTCGATCATGTGGGCCGTTGCATCAAAACCGGTAAGACCAAAGGCTCCTTGGAGCAGACCAAGGAGCCAGGCAAGACCGTCGGGCCACTGGACCTCGTTCACGAACTTGCCATAGACGAAGGAACCGCTCTGATAGTTGGGGGCAGCACAAGCCAACACGGTGATACTGATGATGATGAAGCCTGCCATGCTCCACAGAAACGCGGCCTGGTTGAAGAGTGGAAGGAGTCGAGTGGCGAAACTGTTGACGATCAGGGCAATGGATGTGAAGCCAAGGTAGATGAGGAACTGGTGCCATGCCTCAGCTTCGTAGTCGGGGTTCATGAAGGCGATGATGTTCATCACAAAAGTACTGCCCAGCAAGGGACCTGTAGCCGCAAGAGCGACCCAGCCAGCGGCGTTGATCCATCCTGTGATGTAACTGAGGCCTCTGGCGTACCGTGGCCAGCTGACAAGCGCCGCCCAATGATATTGGCCACCGGCGGTTGGGTAGGCAGACAAGAACTCGGCAAGGGAGGCGGAGAGACAGAGGTTGCAGATTCCGGCAACGATGAGACCCCAGATAGCAGCGCTAGGCCCACCCGAGATGAGCGCAAGGTTGATCGAGGCAGAGAGGGCTGTCCATGTGTTCAGGATAGCGAAGGCCAGGCCAAGCATGGAAACCATGGAGAAGTTTCGTTGGAGCTCCTGCTTGTGGCCGAGCTGAGCAAGGGCGGCTGAATCATCGAGATGCCTGCTTGGCTTGCCTTCGGCATGTTGTATTTCGTCCATGGTGACGAGGTAGCTGAGACAATGAGGGGAAAGGAGAACGGGGGATATGGAAGAGGTGGGAGGGACAGACTTGGATGGGCGGCCAGCGCAGAGCGAAGTAGATATATTTCTGGGACGGCCCAATGGGCCGGGGAGCTAATCAAAGGTGGTTCTCGAGTCATTCATCAGCCTTTCTGGCGCTCTTTCGTGGAGCTCCAGGTAAGAAGATGAAGTGAAACGGAAGTGGGCACGTGTGAAGATAACGGCACTCATGGGGGATAGAGGGATTTGTTCTAGAAGGGCCAAGTCAGCCGCAGAGAAGATGACGTCCCCGGTACCTGGAAGGGCCTCACGCCAGCGGCTGCGGGACATTAGGTTGACAGGCTGCCTCCGTCATGTAGAAGTGATGCGAGTAAATCGACGCTATGGCCGCCACTAGTCTCATGGAATTCTCATTTCACTCTTGGTCCAGAAAAACGTTCCAATAAGAGGCCCGTCTCGACCACCATCCTGAGTCATCAGGCGACATCGCAGTTCTATGTGGCAAGATATCAATTTCTCCCAGCTTAACTCCAGACATCTCTCCAGGATATGGGGTGTTAGGTAAGTTGTACGTAACGATGTGCCAATAGTAAGATGTGTGGTGAGTAATTCAAAACCGCAATCTTGGGGATATCTGAGACTTACGTACGAGAATGACCATATCCCCAAGCTCCCCCATACTGTTCATGGAGATGCATAAATCTTGAAGCCAAGGGTGTTCACCGTTCAAATAGGTAGGAATGCTGATTATCAGGCATGTTTTCCAGAGAACATGTGAACCTACGAAGATCCACCTTGGATAGAAACAGGGGTCCTCGCTTGTGAACTGTCAACAAGCGTCTGTGCCTACTCTGGCATCCACAGCAAACCCCAACGCAGAACAACAGTCCGTCATCAGTATCTTTTCCGTCTCTTCCTATAACAACATGATTCCCCTGAGGAAATCCCTGAGTAATTCTCGTAGAATACTGATAGACACAATCCTACTGTAATGGCAATGGGCTGGCACGTCAGGAAAACCCAAAGGGAGCTAGAGTCGCCACTACTATCCCGTGTTATCCGGCCGGTCCGGTCTCTCGCCCCGCTGCGTTGATCCGACTTAGCCGAGCGCCAGTGCCAGTCTAAACCGCTGTGAAGCCAGTTAGTGGTAAAGCAATCGTCGTTCTAGGAGACCCCACCGCATTTGCTGCAGAGTTTTGGAGGCTGGAGAGCCTAACGGGGACCCCTAATGTCCATCTTAATTAGGTATTCGGCACATTCGTGGTATCACCACTAGTTTTCATTGCCGGTTGGAGACCGGGCAGCCGGTGGACTAGTAAAGAGCTTGTAGTAGGCAGAGGAACATCAGCGTCGTTGAAACCGGCCTTTAGCGGTTGGCCGGCCGGAATTCGCCCTCCGAATCTTCGCCGAGTGGGAGCAGCGCGTACTTCCCTTGCCCTTGGGCAGGATTACGGCCTAAATCCCTCCTCGTAATATTAAGCACAAAGTCGAAAGCACTCTCCAGATGACACGATTTGACAATGTGGTCTTATGTGGTCGGGTGAGGCAGCGAGTCTGGCATACGATATACGATATCTTCGAAATTGATTTTGATTCATCTTACTTTTCCAAATTACATAGCATATTCGTCTCCATATATAGCTCGATAGCACACCGACTTAATTCAGGGATACGTGGGTGACAGGAACTATTACCGAATTTGAAAACGATGAAGTAATGAAAACAGGCATTCTCCCCTTCTCAATGTCACCCTTTTCCCCGGCTTTGGGGTGATCCGCTTGAGATGGAGGAAGCAGAGGAATACGCTCGCGTCCGTCATCGCTAACGGAAGTTCGGACTTCTTCCTCTTATTAGCTTTTGTAGTCGAGTCCATTGAATTTTGGTGTATATTCAGGTTGGTGTTATGTAATTTGGGTAGAGATTCAACGCAAGCACGCTCCCTGTGATAAGTGAAAGGCCGACCGCTGTCCTGACGACAAGTGAGTCATCCGTACGAAGGTTCATAGAATTTTCCTGCCGTATGACTCCATCTTGGGCGGACTAGGAAAGGCTATATTTTCAAGCTTTCGTATTTATTGTGTTGAGTTGTCGGGCTCTGGCAGCTTCATTGTTGTTAAACTCTATTCTCTTTCTCTTCCGTGAAAGGACGTACCACCAGAAGTAGGTGTAGCCAAATTCGACAGTCTAAGTGCATGTCGGAAGGAAATTTTGCTACATTCAACATCATTCGCTGCCACTTTATGAGTTATTAATTAAGATCGACTACTTCTTGATTATAAATGAATAGCCTTTGACGCCCGGTAGCGGCCGCGACAAATATTCAAAACTTCGACGAGAGCAAGGTCAGTTTATAGGTCTTTTTTAGGCTAGAAAATGATGGTTAATTGTTCTACAGGGTAGGTTCCAAGTATGGACATATTATATCCATCGTTCAGAGAAAGATTCGGTGTTAGTTATACACCAGCTCCTTAGCACGTCTTGTATTTCAGGATAGCTTTGTTCTCACATATTCTGAAATATACTCTCCACCTTCCTGAAGCACACATCTCTGTCAATTCGGTGTTCAGGCATGAAATTGTGACCGGCACTCACCAGCCCTGGTGTTTGTGTTCTATGATCCGGGATGGATAAGTAAACTCTTAGCGTAGTTTGGAAGCCAGTGTATGGGTCGACCCGGGTTATGAGAATGCTTCCATATGGGTAGGTACGCATCTTATTGTTGGAAACATAATTCGAACTGCATCCATTAGCATTATGCGGGCGAATTGGTTGGTACTGAGGACTCAGCTACAGCGTCTGAGTTTGCAGGAGATTCGTTTAGAGCTAGGTACGTTCATGATTATTATTCTGGTCTAGACACCGTGTCGAGGCTATGAACTACTTGTGGTGAAAGGATCCAAGGGTACATATTTCATATACCAGAGCTACCTATCTTAATTGAACTCAAGCGTTTTGTTAGCAAATTCATATGCTGACTTTTCACCTGGAGTGGATGCCAGGTTAGGGTCAAATGGACCGCACCCCATCGCACGTTTCCCTCCCGGAGACAGGTCCGCGACTGAGCCGGCATCTATATGCTCTGACTCTCCAATACCCCCCGGAAAGTCAGGCGGTGGACACAAGTTTAAGAAGTTTTCCCGTTGACGTTTCAGATACATAGCGTTGATATCGCACAAGGGGAACGAGGGGATATAAAATACGCTGGCATCTTCCGTGCCTTGATGCTCGGCCTCAACCATGTGCGCAGTGTCACAATGCCAGAACACAGCATCACCCGGACGTACTGTCGGGATAGTTACAAAGCCTCGTGGACTTATGTGAGAATGGAGGCTTGGAAGAAGCTCTTGGCCGGCACCCATAGCGGCTCCATGAAAAATGGGAGACTTGGAGTCCAGCGACCATCGGTCACCAGTCTCTGTCACAAAGGGCCGCAGAAGTGTATAAGCTGTTGAGGCTTTGAGATCAGGAAAGACCCGAAGAGATCCATTCGTTGGGGCACAGTTTGAGAGTGAAAGCCAACCCTACGAGGTCAGTTAAACTTACCCCGAAAGTATGACCTGGGCATAATTCTTACCTGATAGGACCTGAACGCAGAACAACCTCCGGGGCCGTTGTACATATCGACGGTAGCATTCAGCCTCGGGCTAACATTGAAAGCATTATGATCCTCCCAATGGCCTTCTAAGATTTCCGTATAGCATTTGCGGTATTCTCGATCTTCCCATCGCTCTAACGATCCTCCATCGAGATGAGGACCCAGGTTGAAAGACTTGTCTCCAGGCTGGTGTCATAGGAGTCAGCACAGATATCAATCAATACAGAAGGGGGTTCGACAGACCATCCTCATCCTCAAGCGATCGCAGTAGGCTACGGCCTCAGACAACACCACCTTGTCATGCTCCTGTTTATCCCAAACAAGGTTCAGTGCTGTTTGTGCTAGAAGCATGTTCTGGTGTGCCCGGGCCTCGAGTTGGGCCTTGCTCCAATAGATCTCGTATACCTGGCGATCATTGGCCGGGAAACCTTTAGTTGAAGGGTTCTTCTTGACGTATTCGCGAACAGACTGTTTCCATCCGAGTGCCTGTCTCTCTGACACCAACCCTCGGATCACAATCGTGCCGCAGTCTTTGAGCAAAGCTTTTGGTTTTTCAGGAAGCTGACCGCCATTTTGGACAATTGAGCTGAAGTCGACCTCTGGGATGATTGAATGGCTGAGCTCATTGACACTGGGGATTGTTTCTTCGTCCAGGTGCTTGAGAAGGCGTAGCCAGCTATCAAGTATTGCCTCCCCATTCTGACCCACCAACTGCTGCTTCAAGCTACCAAAGCGAGGGGGAAGCTCGAAGTTATTTGTGGACAGAGAAGCGAATGCATCTCCAATAGAGCCCTCCGACCTGTTCCCAAGTGCCATAGAGGCCAGGCCTCGCACGCTACTGCATGTATATCGAATGGCTGGGTATCCCAGTGTCCTTATTGAAGGTCTGACGAAGACCATATTGTAATGCTTGAGTTTAGTAAAAGTACATGATGCTTTTGATTAGAGAAATTCGACAATGATCCGATGTCAAACGGCTAGCCTGCATATATCAACTGCTAGATAAAAGAGTCAGCGGAGACGGAGCTACCCAAAATGGTGAGACCGTCAGCCTATCCACTTCTTCTGGCAAGGGTCGCGTACATCAGATGTAACGTCGCAGAAACTGGCTTATGTTTGATTGTAGATGATTGGGTCTGAGATCTTGGACTAGCCGACGGATGAGGGCGCTTGGGAGGTCTCGTCGTTTTTGCGTGATAGGGTGGATTTCCTCTGTAAAACCTTCCCAACGGGGGTTAAAGCAACTTTTTGGGTAGGTCCGTAGATAAGTTTTGTTTCAACGGCCCTTTTAGAAAAGCATTAGGAGTCTGTCCTCTTGGATTGTTTCAAACAAGAGTTTCCGAAAACCAGCCATACCACTCAAGATGGCTTCTCGGCTTTTTCAGGCCTATAATAGCGCTCTTACTCGTAGGCCACTATTAACCCAGAGCATCACTGCCGCTGTAAGTTGCTAATTGACTCTCTCAAACGTACACTGTCCCCCTAACCGTATGCTGCAGTCACTCTATGCAGTTGGCGATGTGATCGCTCAAGGCGTTTCTGCGAGTGCTGACATTGAGAAATCAAAATGGGACTCGGAGAGAACCCTGCGAATGACGGCTATTGGAGGGTTTGCGCTAGGTCCGACTATGGCCGTATGGTATGCTTTTCCTCTCGAGCTTTATGTCTTGCAATCGTGATAACTTACATCTCTCAAATTAGGTATCGACTACTCCAAAGGAGAATCCAACTGTCCACTCACACACGTAGCGTGCTTGCTCGAGTTCTGGCCGACCAAGCCATCTTCGCCCCTGGGTCGATTGTAGGACTATACTACCTCACGGAGCTTCTTCAACCGTCCACAGGCACCATTCGAGATAGGTTATCAGCTGCTCAGCAAAGTGTTGAGAGTTCTTTCACCCAGGTGCTGCTCAGAAACTACACTCTATGGCCAGGTAAGTGCATCGAGACAACACATCTAAACTAGCATGGCTTCTAACTGGATTCTTTACAGCGGTATCCTATCTAAACTTTTCCTACGTTCCTCTTCAGTATCGACTACTTGTTTCCAACACCGTCGCCATATTTTGGAGCGCCTACCTATCATTTACAGTGAACCGGGTCGAGCCGGGTGAGGAGGGCTCCAAACAACGGTAAAATTACTCAAGTCAGTAGAAGCTCCCTGAGAGTGGAAGACGCCAAGAGGGGCGGTGAGAGGGCGGAATGTCCGTTTTACTATCCCCGCACAGGGAGGACCGACCATGGAGGACAGTATGAGCAAGGGGTGAGATTGTAGATCCGAAACCTAAACCCTGTCGATTGATTTCTACCGTTATCGCCGAATCTTCACTCCACCATACGACCTCAGCACCTGCGATAGCCATGTATTGGATTCTATGTACCTTGAAAACTTCCTTTCCTAATATATTGTGCCAAATGGTATTTTTATAGCTTAACCTCTGCATTCTTATGCTATTCAGCCTTACAATTTGTCCATTTCAGCGACGCACGCTCTCGGTGAAGCATTTGGAGTAGCTAAACATTGAGTAACATGATATCTAATATCGGGGATTTTAGCTGCTTCTCCTATGATCACTGGAGCATCTGTGAGCACCTGCCCCGATTTGCTTTTTCCATTTATGGGAAAGAATAGCGAATCCTTTATGACTTGTATATCACAGAATGCCAAACAAGAGCTACACATTGGGGTTCAAGGATTAGTGCCCAAACTTGGTTCGCGAACCATGATAGGAAGCGTGGATGTTTTTGCATACCGGGACTCCTTTTGAGGATGGCAGGCAAGCAGGGCCCCGTTGCCAGGTCGGCTTGCATCAGTGGGTGCCACATACGGGTGAACGTGCATATGTTTTATGCTAGCTTGCTCTATGTTCACGTCCGTCGCCATATAATTGACTCAAGGCAATAGGCTGATAGCAAGACTTCTTGGGTCAGCTGACAGTGTTCTCTGAAATTGGCTCATTGGTGATAAATCTACAACCCGACTCTCTCTTCGGTCACATCCGAGTGGTATGAGCTGACCAAGCTGGCTTAGTAGCAGAGCACGTGTGGGGGTGTCGGGAGGTAGAAATCATTTACGAGGCCTGCAGACTAATGAGATGGGCGGAGTACTCTAAGTAACCGGTTAATGCATGTTTCATATTGCGTTGCCAATCTAGAAGTGGCGAAACTACGATTCTCGCGATAACTTCGCGTAGGTGGCCCCCTTATTGTCTTAGCCATCTGAGTCCGTTCGCTTAGCATATCTCAGATAGGTGCATCAACGTATCTTCTAGATGGATTCACATGATAAGTTAAAATGTATGCTATTAAGTTATCGTACGAACGCCGTTTTGCACAACCGAGAGGTATGGAGGGCACCCCGCGTTGGGCAGTGCCAGTACACCATTGGGCGTTGTCCTGTAGTGTGCCATCCATTTTGTCTCTCCAATAAATCGGCGCATTCATGATGCATTTCCAATCAGCTGTTGAGTAGGGCCACCATACCTACTTAGGTGCGTCACTAGGCATTTTGTTGGGCTCACTCTCATGCGTTACCTTCAAGCCACAGTGGTCCCCGCGATGATCCGTGACATAAGCCACTCATTCTCAGCCGAAGGTGAATTATCATCCAACAGCTTCCTTTCCCCGCACTTCGTAATAGTAGTCTTCCATGCTCCTTTTCTTTACTGCCTTTTCTTTACTGCAGGTTGCCACAATGACTTCCGTCGCCTCAATGTCCATGTGCAGGGTTCGTGCCACGCCCGATACTACCGGCAGAGCGGTTGAAGAGGCCATTCAAAGCTTCAAGCACGTATTGAAAGGCAATGGCCTTGAAAGCGAACTTCAAGAATTCGAAAAAGAGGACAAGATTCCCCCTGTAGATGCCGTGTTGACATTTACAGCCCAGCTAGATTTAGCCAACCCATCCAGACGAGGACGTAGCATTGCTACGCGACTACATCCCGTTCTCGAGTCGGTTCGCCAGTACACTGCAATCGTCGATACTTTCGTCTCATCCGATCCCAAGATTCCCGCTCTTATTTGGGGCAGCATCAAGACTACTTTGAAGGTAGGCGCAGTGGAACATGAAACCTACCACTGATGGAACATACTAAACCTATAGTTTGTATCGAACTATATTTCGTGCTTCGAACCATTCACAGCGCTGTTTATCAAGCATACTGTCCAGTATTTGACGAATATCAAGCCCTATATCCCACGTCCAAAGAACTCAACAAAGCTCTTTGTGACTTCCACGCCTCAATTATTCGCTGTTGCACACATATTGTGCAGGTAATAAAACAGTCGGGTAGGTCTTTTTATATTACAAAGCCAGGAATGCTTCCGCTTACATTTATCGAAGCGATTCAAAAGCTTTGGCAAGCTTTTCGATCTTTTGAAGAAGAATTTGATGGCGACGAGCAGGAAATCCAGAGGCAGGGCGATATTGTGAGGGTCCAAATAGGCCTAGCAAAAGCCAAAGTAGATCATCAGTATCAACAAATGCAAGCAGAAGAACAAAAGCTTTTAAAACGGAAACTTGGAAAACTCGGCTTTAGCTCGAGGAGTCAAAACGCCAGACTTGATGAAATACGACTGCAGCAAGCAAAAAGAGAATCCGGTAAGTTGCTTTACTTCTCGATGTCTGGAATTGCTCCTTAACCAATGGGCCAGAGAGCCGAATACAGAAGATACTCAAAGGCTTATCATCATTCGACCATTTTGCTCCTTTTCGTGAGGCATGCAAACGACGATGCCCGACGACCACCGAATGGCTATTTTCAACTTGTGAATTTATCCGATGGAAAACCTCTTCCAATGTAATATGGGTTACTGCCAAAAGTAAGAGTCTAAATTTGAATAAGAAATGTAATGGTTTACTAAGACCGAATTTACAGTTGGATCCGGGAAAACCATCGCCAGGTCAGTACCCATCGTCACCTTCCTTATCCCCATCATGTGCTCACTAAACCCCGGTTACAGTGCAAGCTCGATCCAGCATATACTGGCCAACAAATCCGAAAGAGATTTTGTCACTTATCACTTCTTTGAGTACGGAAATACACAGTCACTCAAAGTAGAAACCATGATTGCGTTCGGTCATTAGGCAATCCCTCAAGCTCGTCACACTATCCCAAGATATGGTTGACGAATTGAAGAAAATGGAAGATGAAAAGTTTTCTTCTCAGAGTGATCTGATGGCCTTTCTTTGGCAAATCGTTCTACTATCGGAAAAGTTCTACATATTCCTAGATGGTGTAGATGAGTGCGAATTGGCCCAACAACACCTGCTTTTCGACACCCTACTCTCTCTTGTGCATAGTCACAAATCGGCAATCAGGATTTTCATCTTCGGTCGGGAAGCCTTAGCAGGTGAACATACCAAGAGGTTTCCTAACCTAGAGCAGATATCGATGACATCTAGTGAAGCGAAGTCTGATCTGGGGCTATACGTCGAAAGTATGATCCTAGAACGGTGCGAGAAAGGAATGTTGGCGACTGGAGACCAAGTTCTTCTAGAGGAGATCCAACATGTACTCACTGAACATGCAGACGGAATGTAAGTGATTCCAAGTATGCCATGGAGTGCGACTAGGCTGATTCATCCAAGGTTCCTCTGGGTAACATTTCTCCTGGACGACTTATGCGCACAGTATTGTGACGACGATATCCGGAAATGTCTCAAAGCTCTACCGAAAAACCTAAGGACACATTCAATCGTGTTCTCTCTCGAATAGTAGCGCAAAATAGAGATAGTCTTGTCAAAAAAGTCTTACCTTGGCTGGCCGCGGCGGCAAGACCTCTCACCCTAGATGAACTCTGCGATGCTCTGTCTATTGAGGTGGGCCAGAAACACTTGGAACGCAGGAGGAGGGTCAACGATAAGGGCCGCATCCTCGTCTGATGCGAAAATCTTATTCATGTTGACGAAGAGGACGAATCTGTCCAGTTTGCGCATCATACAATTTTTCAATTCATCACGGAAGGCTGCTCTGATGTAAAGTTTGCCGGGTTTCATATTCGTTTGAACGACGCGGATCATTTGGCTGGAGAAAGATGCATGACATATCTTCACTATGGCGACTTTCAGAAAGCCGTGGCCCGGCGACAACAAACTCGCTTGCTCCAGCCTAGCTCGGTAGGACTTGTTGCCATTGGCACTCATGGCAAGCGTGCAAAACTTGTCAGGCTCCTGATGGATCGGAATTCAGGTGATCAAACTCATGGTTGCAAGTACAACCTCAGCACGCCTCAAAGTTATCAAAAGATCAGCACAGAGACACCTATGGCATCCTTGCAAGCCTCATACCCATTCCTAAAATACGCACTAGAGAATGTATTTCTTCATACCACCCTGTTCAAAGAAGGAAGGTCCTTGACGTGGAATCTACTGCAAGGGATCATCAACGAAGGCCACGATTTAGTAGTGGAACCTTGGCGGGAAGATGGTTCGAAACAAGTCCAATTGCAGATGGGATCTTGGGCCGTGCGCCATCAACACTATGCTTTAGTCGCAATAGTATTGAAAAAATTGGTAACACGGGTGCTAGGGGGGGGGACGGTGGCTTATCCACGAAATAGTGGAATACATAGCCATTCCTGCCTGCAATGGGAATGCGAAAATGTTGAGCACCGTGCTGGACATTTTGTCAGGCGCCGCTCAAGAACATGAAGTTTTGGGGGATATACCTATCCAGTTATTGTTGGCAGCATCAAAAGGCGGCCGCATGGAAGTGCTCCCAAGATTAATCACTACCATGGCTGATAAAAATGCCCCAGCTTTTCAACATGCGGTTGAAAATGGCCAGCTTAGTATTGTGGAGTATCTTGTCAATCTTCAGGTTCATATCAATGTGGCTCCTCGAGCGAATGGCTATACATCTCTTCAGGCTGCCTCTTTAAAAGGCTACCTTGAGGTTGTAAAGCTTTTAGTTGCTCAAAGGGCCGATATAAATGCTGGTCCTGCTAAGAATCACGGTCTTACTGCTCTCCAGGCTGCTTCCCTAGGAGGGCATCTTAAGATTGTAAAGCTATTACTTGATCAAAAGGCGGATATAAATGCTCGTCCTGCTATAACACGCGGTCTTACTGCTCTCCAAGCTGCCTCTCAAGAGGGTCACCTCGAGATTGTAAAATATTTAGTTGCTGGAAAGGCTGATGTTGATTATCGTGACCTGAGCGAAGGAAAAACAGCTCTAGAATATGCTCGTGAGGGAGGCCATCTTCAAATTGTTGGACTTTTGCATAACGAATCAGCGATGGCAAAATATGAGCTGTATCTCGCTGGTGCAGATTAAGAGTCGGAATTTGATCGAAACGATGGAAACAATTTGAAACTCAACGCGGTGCAAGATCAATCAAAAGAAAGAAAAAATACAAAAGAGTGGAATAATAAATTTCCTACAATCAACTAATAGAAACAAAAAACCGGCCTCTCACTCCGCCACTCGTCCTCCTAATCAGCGGTAACAGGACGCCCTCAGCGTTTGCGATATTTGAATTTCAGAAGGCAATATTTAGCCGATTCTGCGACCAATGGAGAGCGCGTTAAGTGCAGTCAAAGCATCCTGGCTGTCCTTCTTCTTGGGGCTGGCCTTGGGCGATGGGGGAGGCCTGCCCTTGCCCTTGGGAGTCGAAGGCTCGGAGCGTCTTCTGAGGCCAATTCTACGACCGATAGAAAGCGCGTTAAGTGCAGTTAAATGATCCTGGGTGTCTTTTTTCTTGGGGCTAGCCTTAGGTGATGGAGGAGGCTTGCCCTTCCCCTTGGGGGTCGAGGGTTCGGAACGGAGCTTCAAGCCTCCTCGCCGTTTTTTACTGCCGAGAAACCTGTGGCTGCGGCTGTGAGGTTCGGTTTCTCGCGGCCGGTGGCTGTAACTACTCGTTACGTGACCACCACGCCGAGTTGCACGGTCTCTTGGCCGAGTCAAAATATTGGAGCCGGCTCTTCTCCCAAACCCGTGCACGGGTCGCGAGGGAGGAAACCCACGGGCTCCGATATCCAACTCGGCTCTCTCTGCCAGTTCGATATCGTCGACCACTCCGTCGAATCCCAAGGTGAGCCCCTGGCCAGCTAACCCGAGCACAGCAGCAGCAGCGACGCCTAGTTGTTTAATGGCGACCATGTTGAAAATCGGTTGAGAGAGAAAATGATGTAGATGGTTTGCTGAGTGATGTCCAGAAGCAGAAGCGGCTGACTTGTTCTAGGGATGTTGTTGGTCTTGGTTTGATGAGGCAAACAAAATTTCGAGGAGGGAAAGTGTGCCTTATGTACATTTTCGAGAATAATTTAATGACTCAAGACAGGAGATATCTCTATTTAGTACTTTGCCCGATGTTCGTCATCAAAGAAAATATCAGACATTGTTGTATACCCAATAATACATGCTCAGAGTATGATTACCGGCCAACTCGGAAAGAATTACCGGCCAAGATACCCCACATTTCTGAAAGGAATGGGCATATGGGCCAATGTAAGCGTTAGAATCACTTTCACCTGCTCAAAGAGCAGGGATTCAGGTCGCCGAACGACACTTTTCTCAGCGCAGGGACCATCAATTACATTGCCCGATTTGCCTTCAAGAATCAAGTTGCTAGATTGCGTCAAATTTCAAACAGAATTGTTGAATTGTTGAATTGCATGAATTAGGCGAGGCCAACGTTGGCCTGTTATGTCTCTCAATGCATATTCGCAGCCTCTACGGTATGTCATGTTTCTTAACAGGTGTCTTCCCATGGGTGCTCAGATCTAATCAATGAATGTTCCCTACCGGCGACCGTTGGAGTAGGTAGTCTTTCATCCACCTTACAAGAAGGCCACAATATGGAAGAACACTCATCTCATCTCATCGCTAATGGAACTATTATTAGTTCACATATCATGTAAGACTGTTCGATCGGCTCTATCAAAGGCTGGGCATAGACAGTCACATGTAGGCCGTATACCGGGCTCCTCTATGGTCGCCGACTTCGCATTTGAATGAAATGTAACGTAATACTAACTACAAAAATAGACCGCAAACCCAAGTATGCCCTTATTATAGCTATGTTGAAAAAATTTTCGGTCCTTCTAGAAATAATATGTCCTCAAAACGCGTTGCTATTATGACAAAAAATGCGGCTTGCAACGGATATTTTGGGTCGGCTGGTATACACATAAAGCAGCCACCTCATCTTTTTAGATAGTCAAGCTACTCTATAGCGTATTATCTCAAAGAAAAAACTGAGCAAATCTATAACTATTATAACTGAGTATCTGGGGCGTGCAAAGTAATCCTTGTTGTTAGAACTGCGCGAGGAGTGCTACTTACACGTGGATAGAATCGTCCTCATTGCTCACTTTACTATAAGGTACCTAAATTTGTTTCTTTCAATCTTGAAACTATTATTTCATTTATGAGACTTCAAAACTCTTCATGCCAATGCGGTGCGCTTGTCACGTCTGGGCTCAAATGCGGCCAGATGTCCACACTGTGTGCAGCCTTAGAATACCGATTTCCTTCCCTGCTATCGTAATTTGGACCCATGATATACTTCTCCCAAGTAGGTTCCAGCTGTAAAAATGCCCCAAGCGTAAGATGAAAGTCCAATAAACCAGGGAGTGTAGATTTAAGTCCCTGTACCAGAGTCTTATACCCATTGTATAGATTCCTCATCATAGGTTCATTGTAAGTAGGCTCTATGCATTCCTCATAATCATTACCACATTTAATTGTGATAAGAAGTTGAGATATATCACAATGTCTACCGATAAAAGATAGCAGAGGGAGCCATGTACTCTCAAGCTCCCTCCATTGAAGACTCTGGGTTGTTTGAAGATCGAATGTAATTCGCCTAAAATGGATCAGGCTGCTCGGCTTGAGTGATTGAAGCATCCCGAGGGTATCGAGAAATGGGCCAGTGAAGATGAATACGTTGGTCGAATAGAGGATTTCGGAAGCATCTTGGTAGGTCTGTTGACTGACCAGAAAAAGGTCCAGAGGGAGATTTCTGCATTGGCAATGAGGCGAATAAGATGCATATTGCAATGGACAAGAGCAGTCAAGCTTTGTAAAGGAGCAGTTCAGACAGCAATCTCTCCTGATCAACGAAGTTGTGAACCCTAGTGTCTAATCGAATCTTCCCCTCTTAACAACAAAATCCTTCCACTGGGGCCTATATGAACCATCTGGCCCAAGGTCCGTGTAGCGTAAAATCTTGTGGCGAATTTCTGGTGGTAAAAAATCGAAACGAAAGCACAATGATGCGTTCTCTCCCGGGCTATCAGTGGGATCGCTATTCTTTAGCCGAGTTGCAGCCAGTCGAGCAAGAGAACGGAGCGATTGATCATGATGCCGACCAAGCCTTATGGTACATTCTTTGAGCTGTGGGAGCATGTACAGTGGCTGTAGAATCTGCTTAGCTGTTGCTACATCCGTAACATCGCAGATGAATTCTAGGCGTAGACAGCAAGGAACAGCCGAAGATGCGAGACGAGAGCAAACAACCGACCACTGTGTAATTATGGACCCTGTGTGAAGGTCACCTGCTGAAATCTCTCGGTCGCTGGAGGAAACTGGAGCTCGACATCCAAGGCAGACACCCCGGTCCAAATTGGCACGGCTATGTCCACGGTAACAAGGCCAACTATTCAACCGGACTAGCAGATACCGTAACTTGTGTATAGCTTCGCTTGAGAGTATCTCAAACACCCTGAGGCCCTCCGCTTGATGTGCGCGGAGAACGAACTTATTCTCGCCATAGAGTATCGCTTGCACCTCTGAACAAAGAGCCTTATTGAGAAGTAAGAGCTGCTTGGGGAATTCAGGACAGCGGCATTCGCGGGTCTCCTTAGGGATTGGGCCTCCGTCTAGATTCTTGCGCAATTGAAATTGGCAGCGCCAACCTCATCCTGGGACATTTGCTGGGAACGTAGAATGATCTGGCAGATTCACTAGCTGCGAGGCCGGTACAATAACGACCGGGCATTCTCGTGTCAAGTGGGCAAAGAAATACATCCGCTTGCGGACTAGGTAGGGCAATGAGAGAATGGTGACAGGCATCGGGTCGATACCTTAAAGACTGATTGTCAGAAGCGTCAGTTCGAGGATACCGGAGAGAGTTTTGATAGAATTGAAAGTTAAAACAAAAGAAGATGTCAGACCCAACAACTCAACACGATGAATAGTCAGCTCGAGGATAGGTAGGTACCTAAATCCTTGGACCCCTGTGGGGGGTCACGTGAGCTGCGGTTCTAAAAACGGGTCACTGCGCTTATTGTCAGAATTGGTAATTTCATCTCCAAGAGAACCAGGATTCGCGTCACCTCGGCCTTCCAGATATGAATCAAGGCCCCAAAAGGCGGATGAGAGGGGCATGTGAGCAATGCGCAAGAAGAAAACGAAAGGTATGGTCTTGCCTACTATCCAAATAATCCTCTCAAAACAAAAATGAATTGAGAACCTGCTCTAAATCTTGAAGCTGCAGTGTGATCGAAAACATCCCCGCTGTTCCCAGTGCGTCAAACATAACGAAACATGCCAACCCCGTACTTTCAAAAATTCAACACAATCAGCCTTCGTCCAATGCCAATCCAAAACCGGTCCTACTGGTGCTTTGCTCGGGCAACAACCCGTAACGAGCCCCAACCCCCTTGAGCCAGTAACGACTCCGCGCTATGAGCCTGCTTCGGATGCTACCATTTCCAGAGCAGAGGACTCAACACAATTCCTTGGGCTTATTTCAGATGAACAGTGTGTAGATCCAGCGTCGATATCCTCTTTCGCTCCGACGGTCGATTTAAACCCATGTGAACATGGTGATGTCTCTGCAAGACCCCCGTCGGGGCCAGGCATGAATCTTGAAGCTGTACAACCATTTCTTGATAACAACACATCATTTTTTCTCCTACCACAAGGGCATAATGCCTCGGACTCTTCATTAAACAAAACATTACGAGCCAGGGTGGTACAGTTAAACCCGACCTTCGCGCCCAGTAGCTATAACCTGGTGCCCTTGCCAGACGACATGCTTGCATCCTCCGAGAGGCGGTTTCTCTGGAGGTATTTCATATCCATAATCGAATCTGAGTATCTATGCGCGGATTGGGAAGATGTTGGACACTTTTACAACTTTCAACACCCATACACCACCACTCTACCGGGCATGGCACTCTCCAATGCCGCCCTTCGAGGTGCCATCCTTTGTTTCAGCGCCTCGCAGTACGAGCTAAAGCACAAGCAAAAGGCTTTTGACCGAACAAAAACGCTGGCATGTTCCCAGGCCGTTCAATCTATGCGACATCAGATAGTCACGGGAGCCGATGATGAGCAAAGCCTGCTCTCCATGATCTTTGCAGCCAGCATATTGCACTATTTTGGTCCCGAGAGGCACAATTATCTCAGGATAGCATCCAACCTCGTGCCTAGATTCCTCTCAAAGTGGCAACCTCATTCAAATACGCCTACCACATACCCAGAAGTCTCTCTCACGGAGTTTCGCTGGGGTTTAATAACCTCTCTGTGTTCCCTACAGCAACCAGGCCCTCCTCTTGATGACTTGACCTACAGGATGATTGAAATGAGCGAAAGAGAAATTAAGCAAAAGTTCTCAAAGGCTTTTGAGAGTTGGATCAGTCACCCCATATTCATGTTCTCTCCCCGCTTGATCAACCCACTGCTTCGCATCGGACGGCTGCTTGAAAAACAATTATTACGACTTCACGACTCACATCCCCAAGGCCAAGACCTATCATGGGAAACTGAAGTGGCAGAGGTCGAAGAGATGCTACTTCACGCGCGTGAATGCGACGTCAATGTACTGCAATCTCCTCCGGGGTGTGGCGATCCGGCCAATGTGCTGGCCCTGAATGAAGCAATGTATGCGGCATGTGCGATCCTTCTATACGCCCGGATCCACGGAGTCCCTTTTACCGCACCATTTGTCCGCCGACAAACCCAGCTAGTCGTTGATGAGATTTCAAAAATAGACGTCAAGTCCCGGGTCTCCTACGCCATCGTCTTCCCTCTGTTTGTTGCCGGTTGCGAGGCTGTAGAGCCACAAGCGCGAATGGCCATCAGAGAAAGACTACAAAACCCGCAGGGGGTTTCATATGACCGTGGAGATATGGTTGGTGCATTGGATCATATATGGGAGATTAGGGATTTACGTCCAGGTCTCTTGTGGCCCCAATGGGTTGATGAACGTACGTACGACTGTTCTGATTCTCTTCCCACTTGAATTATTGGCCCTGAAAAACTAATATTTTCTTTTTCTAGTTGAGTCACGCTATCGGGTTAGCTGTCTTATGTAGCAAGGTTCCGGGCAGGATATTATGAATATTCAGTTATTGCATGTCACAGCGGCGTTGGATTATTTGAAAATTTACAAATAGACCTTGACTTGATCGTGATGAGTATGGATATTTGGTCTCGGCTAATGCTACAATTGTATATGAAACCCCTTAGAATGGTACATGCCCTCTAATTTTTATTTATGTTTAATATGTAGTCTTCCCCTAGAGCCTCGGGGCCTCACTCTTACAGCAAGCTCCGTTGGTAAGCTTCGACGTGATGTCCTTGTCGCTGGGCACATCCAATGCCGGATTTGCCGTGAAGAAGTCCACGGGCACAATATTGAGCTCCAGAATTTCCACAGGCCTGAACACCAATCGTCAGTAACGAATGCAATAGCATAGTTAGGGGAAAGATGGAACTTACATCACTGGCCAATCCTCAACGCGGGGATTATGGGTAAGGCCAAAGCTACTCCAAACAACGACATCTTCCTGGAGTAGATCATCGTTTCGGGCCACCATGTCCGCGACACCACCACTCTCCCTCTTACTGGAGAGAGGATATTCTCCAGCTGCGTACAGCTCCCCATCTCTGTATTTCGTCACCCAGAGGTGGTGTGTGGCGAAAGCGCAACGCTGTGCCTGGATGCTATTGGGGTCGGCGAGGACCTTTTGTGTTGGTGGAGGATTGATCTTGTATCCAACTGGCCGACCCGACACAGGGTTCTTCTTGTCCAGGTTCTGGATCTTGAACACACGATTATTCTCTGGGCACGCATCCGCGGATGTAGACGTGGATAGGATCGTATCCTTGACTTGGTAGAAATTGCCGTTGGGGTTGGTCCGAGCATCTCGGCGGACAGGGAGGGACTCATTCTGCACGACAGTGTTTTTGTGTCCATCTATGGCTGGGTCGATCCGGACGCAGAAGATGTGCTGGTGGTTCTGTGCGAGGGCTCCTGGGTTGACCACGTTGCCCCAAAGGCTAGTCTTGCCGGGGTCGATATTGACGACGGAGACGATGCCGGTGGCTCGTGTTTCGACGGATATCGCACCAGCTTGATCGAATTTGTACTACTCATGGTTAGGTTGTTGGTCAAGCGCATCCTTCAGATACAAATGGGAAACTGTTCGACAGCTTACGTTGAAAATGTACTCGTAGTTAGCGAGGGTGATGATGAATTGGACTATCAATTCTCGGCGTCGAGTGGACACAGCACGACCAGTCATCCAATTAGTATGCTTCCAGCCAATGCCGTTGTCTTGTTCGTGAAGGCAAATCACATGCTTCGCTTTCTCTGCATTTCCATCTGCACCAACCAGTACACCGTCAAAGTACTACAAGATGTTAGCTAGGTACGCAGATTTAGATAACCATCTCATACCTTGATTACACCCAAGCAGTCGCATCCCAAAGTGAGATTATTCACAGCATGTCCAATACCGCCGTCCCCAAAATCAAAAGCCTGTTTGCGATGGAACGGCGGTCTGGGATCAGCGTAAGGAACGGTCTAGCGAGATGGTAGTTAGTTTTATCTGGCCAAATCCAATACATCAGAAGAAAATGCAGTTATTACCATTTCGCTCAAGGAAAGACGGTATAGTACACTCCTTCCATCGTAATAGACGTCATGGATCACAGCCCCTTCACGAGGGTTGAAGCTGACCCTGAATCGCCACTTCTGCCACTCAATGAGGCTTTCATCCTTGACGGAAAAACTCGGCCCGTCAGGCTGAACGACGCTCAAGGTCTTGAGGTCCTTTCTCGTCCCCCCTGGTAGTAGTTCAGGTACATATTCTGCCGGGGCACAGTGTTCAATAATGGGGCCAGTTCGAGGTGCTTTCGCTACCAGTTCATCATCGCCACCGCCGGTCGCAAGCTCGTCAATCCGAACAATTTCTCGTTTTTCGAAATCCATGACGGGAATGATAGGTAATGGATAAGAGTAGTAATTTGAGTCAGGGTTCTTTGTGCTTGTGTCGATTGCAAAGCAGAGGCCTTGAAAGTATCGTCGAAGTTCACCTGGCCGGTCCATTCCTCCATATGGCCATGGTTCAACGATGATGTCAAACCCCGAGGGTAACTCGAACTGGGCTACTCTTTCTCTGAACATGGGCGACGCCTTGCAGACATCGACCAGGATATCAAACTCCCATCTACAAAAACATGTTAGCCAGTTCTCCTCTCCACGAATGCATTTCCCCTTTTTTACTTACGTGCTGAGTCCTGCCAAAAATTCGGATCCAAGAACATCTTTGGAGACGATTTTCTTTTCAGTGAGATCAACCGTGGCTTCAACTTCTGTCGCACGCCGATCCTTCTGTGTCTTGCCAGTCGAGACATAGTGTACGCGAGCACACCGCGCTGGTCTCGGTGTATCAGATCGCAGCTGGCCGGAGTGCTCTAGCTCTAAGAATGGGATCAATTCGGCTTTTTTGGGCTCTTGAGTATATGTCATCCGAAATTGGACCACTTCTTCGCTGGATGAATTTGCTAAGATGATATCTCTAGCCAGATTTGTCTCCTCTATAGAGAGAGGAGATAGAGGATGAGGAGAATATTTGAACATCTTGGGCGGACGGTAAGGCACAAGATAGTATCTTGATTCAAAGCTTTTATTAGCCACGGCAACGGTAGAAGAACCTGCGTCTCAAAGGAGCAATCATGTCCAATTTATCTCTTTGACAAATTTGCCTCGCAACGGCAACGGGCTCCGCGGGAGTCAAGAAATCTGGGGAAATAACGAGAAACCGATTTCTACAAGGTGCCTCTCCTTGGTTGACAAACCTCAAAATGGAGATATTAGTTGCCTCTGCGGTTATGAGTCCAAATTGGGAATAGTTATTGAGTCTAGCCCACTCCAGAAAGTGGGAAATGGCTATTTTGCCAATTTGAGAAGTTATCTCGTCAACACATCATATGCTCTTTTTATCCGGCTAGATCGGAGAACCAAATCTTGATTTATCAAATCATCCCAGATCATCTCGATTTCCCCGGAGTTTGCTTCCATATAAATAGCCGAAGGCTGGGTCCAGGATAGAGACTCCGAGCGGAATGAGCTTCAGCTGTGAGAGCTGGCAGAAAGTCATCTCGTACTGGTGCCGATCTCTAATTACTAATAAAGCTAGCACTGTATTTGAAGTCTGTACCTAAAAGAGTTGAGCTGAGAGATTGCCATAATCAACTATGAACAAAGCCGTCAGCCACTTTGCCTGGGTATGTCAGCTAATTCTAGCTCCTACCGAGTCAATATATAGTTCTATCAGAGCTCACAAGGCTCCTTACTTCTACATGAGTTTGATAATCGCTCTGTCGTGTTGATTTCAATATGATTCTTGCTGCAACTTTTCCAGCATGCAGGGAGTGGTCAACGATGGTCCCCTATTTCCCCAGTCGAAATGGGCGTATCGGCAATCAAAACTAGTCGTACAAAATGAGAACCTGTTCTTTTTACCAGGCAAGAGACTCCGAGGAGCGGCAGACCTATCTTACCAACAAAGATACCAGTGGCAATGCTTGTGACCAATTTGCGGTTATTTACCCCCTTTGGGCGGCACCATATCAAGACCACCGGCAACTTATTCTTTTCAGTCCTAGTGCCCTTCTTATCGAAATGGCAATGCAGATGAAACCTGGGGATGGCTCCACCTCTCCACACACCATTCTGGCCCATTACGTTTTCCTCTTATCTTGGGGATCGAAATAGCACGTTGGCTTGGGCTGGCTATTGTAATGTCTATTGTTCTATATCATATGCCTCGATTCCCTGGATCTGCTTATCTTGTTAGCCCTTCAAGCTCATTGTCTCGAACTGGAACTCTCACAGCGGAGAATGTGTACAATACTGTCCCGCCTACACCTATCTGCCCCGATAATTGACACTGGTGGTTCTTGAACTACTTGCAACTTGAATCCAACCCTCCCCCCCATCTCTTTTATTTATTCCATTACCCTCAACATGGGAGATAGAGTTTCTCGAGCAGAGGCGCAAGCCAATTCAGGACAAGATGATGCCAAGCATCTCGCCATGCTGGGTCATCAAGAGGAGCTCACTCGCAAATTCAGCCTGGTGAGCATGCTCGCCATGGCTTTCTGTGTCCTCGGCACTTGGGCTGTCTTCGCTCAGAACCTAGCCGCTGCGCTGACCACCGGAGGTCCAGTAAGCATCTTCTGGGGCCTTGTGCTCGTCACGCTCTGCAACCTCTGCGTCGCTGTTTCACTGGGCGAGCTCTGCAGCAGCATGCCGACCGCCTTGGGCCAAGCTTACTGGGTCTACCGTCTATGGAATACACCCTCTGGCCGCCTCCTGTCTTATGTTTGTGCTTCCATTAACACCTTTGGTTGGTGGGCTCTTACGGCTTCACAGAATGCGTTCATGACCGAATTTCTCCTCGGCATGAAGGTCTTGTTCGATAATGAATGGTCAGGTGCTAGCAAAGGTTGGATTCAATTTCTGATCTATACTGGCATCACTATTCTTTTCACTGCATTTAACCTTGTTGCGTGTCGCAGTGATAAGACTCTTCCATGGTTCAACAACTTCGTTGGCGTCGGGTTTGCGGGCCTTTTCGTAACCATCAGCATAGCCCTCTTAGCCGCTGTTGGGACAAAACCCGATTTGAATTTCCAGTCACCTTCTTTTGTCTTTGGAGCATGGATCAACGATTCCGGCTGGCCTGATGGTGTCATCTGGTTCGTAGGTCTTGTCCAGGCCGCTTACGGTATGTTAATCCATGACGAAGATGTTTATCTATCCAAGTTTAAAGCACTATACTGACTCTTGTTCAGGTCTGACGGCATTCGACGCCGTAATCCACATGGTCGAGGAAATACCCATGCCGGGGCGCAATGCACCCAAGGCTATCTATCTCTCGGTGCTCTGTGGCGCTGCTTCTGGCTTTGTGTTCATGGTGGCCGTACTCTTTTGCATTCAGGACATCGATGCCGTTCTCGACTCCCCCATTGGTCTTCCGTTTGTGGATGTCATGCAGAGCGTTCTTGGGCTGACAGGAGCAGCTGTGCTGAGCGCCCTCTTCATTTTCAACGGTTTCGGTCAAGGCATCAGTGTTCTGACTTCAGCCTCCCGGCTAACCTGGGGCTTTGCCCGAGATGGTGGACTTCCATGGGGCTCATATTTCGCGTACGTGGACCCGGTATGGAAAGTTCCAGCCCGCGCTCTCTGGCTCCAGTGCGTCATCATCTCTCTGATTGGAGTTCTCTACCTGTTCTCCAACACTGTTCTCTCTGCTATTCTTTCTGTCAGCACTATAGCCCTTACCATTTCTTACGCTATCCCTATTTCCGTTTTGCTTATAGTTGGACGTGATAAGCTTCCCCCACGAGAATTTTCACTTGGTCGGTTCGGTACAGTAGCCAACTGGATATCTCTGATCTACTGCGTCATCACGTCCGTCTTCTTCTTTTTCCCAACTGAACCGAATCCCCCTTCAAGCGACATGAACTACGCCATCGCCGTGTTTGGAATTATGGTCATCTTTTCGATTGGATTTTGGTTTGTCAAGGGCCGCGTCACGTTCTTGAAGACCCTAGAATCGGCGCACCTCGCTACCGAAGCACGAAACTTGGAGATAGAAACATATGAAGGGATTGATGGTGGAACAAAGGGACCTGTTAAGGACCTATCAAAAGATTCTAAGATGTAATATTAGCTTGATCCAATTTCGTAACTACAGTCCATAGGCTGCATGGAGTGGTCCTGACGGGATGGGGATAGAAGCATATGCGCAACTTTTGGCAGCATCCAATATTGAAATCATCAGTCAATCAAACTTCTTTGAGTCATTATAAAATCGCCCCTTTACAAAATATTTTAAAGAATAACGGCCCAACATGCAGCAACTTAAAGCAAAGTGAAAACCAAGGATGCAAAATACGAGCCACCAGATTAATAAAACATTCATGTTTCTGTAGTATTACAAGAATAGGCTCTAGTTTTGATGTATACAGCAGTCTCATGTAACTACTTGAAGTTACATCCGCATCGGTTAGGAGGAAATAAAACCCTTTGCTGTCGTTCAGTAGCGCGCTCTCGTTGAAGTAATACATGGCTGCATCCTTCAATTGTATGCATAAGACCAGTACCAACAGCATCTGCTAATTTGCCACCAGATATATACGTCATTGTGGACGGCTCCTCAAGACAACTTCGGGGTCTAATCGCCCTCTAGCCCAATGCATTCTCTCCTCGCGTCCATGATCATGTAAGATTGTGTGAGAGCATTCTGGCATTTCCCTTGTCCAGTCAAGGCGCTGCTGTATTGACCAGTGCAGTTGGCTGAATTCCAGGTGCAGAGCTTCCAGTATTGCCCAGGATACCAGTTCACACGCTCAGGGACTCGCGGTTCCGTCGGTACATTGATACACCAAGTAGACTTGTCTCCTTGGTTGGAGAAAACAGACCCTGAGCTGCAGCTCTCTCCTCCCTCATAGCCTAGCAGCAGCCATCTCGGCCGTGGCTTGTTGTCCAACAATTTGATCTCGTTAACAACCGCATTATCTTCGGTATGCGCGTCAAGGGACACTGAATTGGGGCACCGGCTCGACATCCAAAACAGCAGCAGAGAAGCGATGGCAACTATAACGAGAAGACTGACGAAGATCCTAGATGCGAAGGTTCGGGGCGGTCGTTGAGGAGGTTCAACATCCAGATTTGGTGTTGAAGCTTTGGGAAATCCCATCTTGTCGGAGATTTACTAGGGTCGTATTGAGGTGTAAATCATTGAAGGAAAAGTGACCGATAAAGAGACAAATGGAATTGAAGGGAAGATATTTATTCGTTCCAATGCAAGCTGAGCCCTGCATCTAGAACTCCCTAGCGAGGTGGCGAAGTTCAATAGCGCTACCATCCCTCGATTATTACAGACAGGGGTTAAGGGGTCACGCCAATAGACGGGCCGCAAAGCACTAATAATCGAGCCCATAGACCAAATGCGACCAATTCAGCTGGTTTCAATAGCGTGCCACCAGAGTCTAGACCAGCCCAGATAGTAGGACCATCGGGAAGGGGCCTTGTCATTTTTCCGCGAAGCCTGGTTGAAGAATTGGGCGTGTAAGGTCGAGACCAATCACGTATGTCATCAATAAGTCAGCCAAAGAATATCAAGTTCACATCAACATCACAGGCTGAGAGGTAACTTGGTTTGAGTGGCGTCACCGACTGTGATAACCTAGTTGACGAGATGGTAGTGGATTCGTCAAGATTTAATACATTGTCATATCTTCTACATCTATCACCTTAAAGCCACTTCTTTTGGCCTCATGAGGATAGAAACTATCAGATTAATGAGTACATGGGTCGTTTAAGAGGAAGTAATGGCTAGAAACAGCGAGATCAATATTCGAGATCAGACCAACTAAGCAGACCCATTTGAGTTAGGTAAATGTAAGACAGATAAAACAGCATTTCATTTTCGGCTGATTTTGGTCATCATCATGGTCTTGAAGCATCCGCCACACCTTCCAGACTCAGGTTTGTGTTGAGAGAGTCACGTAGGATATGGTTGCCTTAGCAGCTCTACCAAGTATTAAGCACAGCAAATGACGCGGCTTTAGAACGGAAGGCGGAACAAGAAAGCAAGCTCATAAAAATTAGCGGAAGGCACCTGTCGCGGCTCCCGTGTCATACCCAAATAGAGTCTGATAGCGACTAGCTCTGTACAATTAAGCCTTCTTGCTGAAACCTGCTCGCGGGTCCTACCAGACAGAGTACAATCGCAGGGCTTCCAAGCAAGACTTCCAAGCAAAGCTAAACACTCAGAGGAAATGTACAAGAATGACTATCTCATAAGTATCTTGGAGGAACAAATATTGACCCTCATCTTCCTTATTCAAGCTCACAGACCAAGGTAAAAGTAAAAGTTTGTGGCTGCAGGACTAGATATTATATAAACTTTCAGTGGTCACTAGGACGATAACATGGTGTAATTTTTGTTGATGCGTTACATCAAACTGCCGCCTGCTGGGCAAGTACCTCCTGCCTGCTTGACACCTGGGAGCAGCTCTTTCCAATAATTACAAGAGGGGAAAGTATTATCTTGCTCCAGATCCTTAATGCCCAGCCTTTTCTCCCCGAATCATCATCATCTTATGACCTAATCCGTCGGGTCAACAGCAGAGCGGGCTTGGATTCAGACCGTCATATATCACCCATCACTCTGAATCAATACGCGTATTTCATATCCTGGCGGCCGTCTTTTATTGGTCTGCGGCTCCATGAACTTTGCTTGGAAAGTTCCAACTGGTCCAGTGGAGCAGCGCGTTGTCAAAGTTACATTCCAGGCTCCCTTTCTTCCACGTACTCGACAATTCTCTAGATTTAATTGAACCGAGCGATTATCGATTTCTAGCATCCGACACAATAAACTTCCAGTCATGGAGGAAAAGGGCGCCGCAATGGCCGTGGCCGGCTCGACAGTCGACGGTAACGTGAATCGTGATGCCGGTGCCAGCATGACCGAGAACGCGACCTCCTCTTCGGACACTCTGACTCCCGCCAACTTCAAAGACCCGCCGGTGATCAACGAAAGGTCAGCCGAAGAAGGAGTGGAAATCAATGACGAGAACACTGTCTGGTGGACGGGCGACGACGACCCCGAGAATCCTCACAACTGGCCTATCTGGCGAAAATACTCCAACAGCACCCTCATCAGCCTCCTCACCCTCATCACGCCCATGGCGTCAAACATTGCTACTCCTGTCATGCCCGATGTAATGAAGTACTTCAACAAAGCTTCAAACGCGGAACTATCAGCGTTCGTCGTGTCTGTCTACGTGCTCGGGTTCGCCTTCGGGCCACTCGTCTTCGCGCCCCTCAGTGAGCTGTATGGCCGCCTGCCCGTTTACCATGTCTGCAACATCATCTTCGTCATATTCACCTTGGCTTGCGCCATGGCACCTACTCTCGACTCCCTCATTGTGTTTCGATTCTTCGCCGGATGCTTCGGCGCTGCCCCCATGACGAATGGAGGAGGCAGCATCGCGGACATGTTCCCCCCCGAGGAGCGAGCCGTCATAATGGCTGTATTCAGCATTGGTCCACTGTTCGGTCCGGTCATCGGTCCCGCTGTTGGGGGCGTGCTTGCTCAGAACAAGGGCTGGAGATGGGTTTTCTGGCTCGTTGCCATATTGGGCGGCGCGGTCTCTGTTGCCATGGTCCTGGTGTTGCGAGAGAGCTACGCGCCGGTCATATTGGGCCGGAGGACCAAAAGGCTGCGCAAGGAGACGGGGAACCAACAGCTCCGCTCGAAGCTTGACCAAGGTTTGACGAGCCGGCAGCTCTTCAAGCTGTCCATCATCCGTCCAATGAAGCTGCTCGTCTTTTCCCCAATTTGCACGGTCTTCGCCGTGTACGCCATGGTTGTGTTCGGGTTCCAGTACCTCATCGGTACGTCGATACCATTTGTGTTCAGAGACACGTACGGCTTTTCACCGATCGAGACCGGCCTGATGTTCGTGGGCGGAGGCGTCGGGTGTTTGGTCGGTATGATTTGGTTTGGCGTCGATAGCGCCATGGCAATGAAGAGGACAAAGGAGCAGAATACCGAGAGTGAGGCGGAACCGGAAGTCCGACTGAGACTGCTTCCGCCCGGAGCCATCATCTTACCTGCTGGATTCTTTATCTACGGATGGACCACACACTTCCAGACACACTGGCTGGGTCCCCTAGCCGGACTGTTCATCAATGGCGTTGGTAGGTCTTAGCCACACAAAAGGGATTGCATCTTCAAGAGGCTAATATCAAATAGGAAGTATCCTCATCATAATGGTAATATCAGTTTACCTGGTTGATGCCTATGATCGGTATGCAGCTTCGGCACTTGCGGCGAACACGGTCATGAGATCCATCGCGGGTGCGATAATTCCTCTCTGCGGGCTGAAAATGTACAAACAGCTTGGGCTCGGCTGGGGAAACTCACTGCTTGGTTTCATCGGCATCGCTTCAATTCCTATTCTACTCATTGTCCAGCGCCACGGAGCGAGAATCAGGCAGAAGTTTGACGCCAGCACTCTCTAATGTTGGACAGCCGTATCGGTCATCAGTTTGGGGCATCCCAGACAGTATTCCAAAAGTCGCTTTCACCTAGATATGCACGTTATTGTTATTTGTCATACTTAGACCTCTCTCGTTGCTTGTACATAGAATAGACTCCGGACACAATACCTAAAGTATAATTCATTAATACATACACTTTTATCTCCAAAGGCCTTTATCAAGCCATATCTCCATAAGAATTTCATCGCAGATCGACTTGCCCGGCCAAGTAGTCCATTCCCGCTTATTCATCTAGACCTGAGCGACAATGAGAGTGAAACCATCCAAAATTCCATGCTACATCATCTCTAGCCTTTCTCCTTCCAAGGGGGCGCAATGTGTCCTTACGCTGCCAGCTCGACTCCCTCCTCCGCCAGAACAAGCTTCGCTGCCTCTTTAGACTCAATTCTGCGAACCAGCTTCAGGTACTCGGGATAAAGACTCATATCAAATCCGAACGTAGCGCCGAAGTGCCAAAATGGGACCAAATAGTAGTCTACTAGGCTCTCCGCATCACCAATCGGGAACTTCCTCCCCTGCAAAGCTACCTCTATCTTTGATTAACAGTCCAGAACATATGCCCGTCCCATATCTTTGATCTTGGGATATAGTTCCTGTTCCTTGGAAATCCAGGCCGGGCGGGTCAACATGCCATAGCCGTACCCGTGCAGCGTGCCAGATATCCAGGTCAACCACTTGATAACGTGAGCGTTCTCGATTGGTGTCTTTCCCGTGAGCTTTTTCTCCGGGCACAGTGATGCGATAAAACTTAGGATAGCTGGGTTCTCAGTGATGACTTCGTTGTCCACCTTGAGTGCAGGGACAAAGCCGTCGTGGTGGATCTTCTCTCGATACTCGGCGATGCTCATGCTGCCGTCAGCGGTCACGTAACTCCCGCTGGGTCCAACTTCCATTATGACGATGCTCTAAGGGATACCAATCTCCTCGAGAAGAATATGGGCGCCAAGGGCACAGCCGGCTTTGCCCATATACAAGGTGATTTCGGGCATTGTGAAATCTGATACTGTTTATATCAGTTGGCCAATTGAATCAAATGTTGACTGTTAGCTACGGCTATCTTACCTCTTTTATAGCAACGACTGAGGATTATGTCCCCTAATTCCACTTGAACAATCAGGGACGCTGACAAATGTATCATAATCCCTCGCGGGCTCTGTGGAACCTGCTGCTGGTAGTTGCAAGTAAATTACAAGGTCATACGCACAAAGTGCAGCCAAGCTCAAGGCTGCCCTCTAGTGCGGCAAGGGATGCATGACTACACTTGGAACTCCGTGTGCTGCTTCTGGCCTCTTGAAAGCCACCTCTACGGAGGCTCTGGAAGCAGACCGGGCCCCTACTTCGGTTGCCGACATGTTTGCTCACAGACATTCGTAACAGTTGTCTTGCCACCCCTCCTTTTTTGTTGACTCTCCAGTTGTGAACGCGTAGCCTCTCGTTTCTGCCCACGGGACCTCCGAACATAGGCGCTGCCTCCGAGCATGCCCGTCTTATAAAGCTTTGAATAGTAAAAGCAGGGATCAGTCTGGAAATATCAAAGGATTATTGCAGACCAAACGTTTTGTGGCATTAAGACGGTTAGCTGGAACACCAAGGAGCTGACCCAAATGGTCCATGTGCCAGCTTGGTGATGACCTCATATGTGGCGCGTCAGCTACCCTACACCTACATGCATCAACACCCAATCCCATTTTTTGTTGTCCACATGGCCGAGTTAACAAGATAGTCAACACACCGAAGGGCTTCAATATTAACATGGGACTAGAGACAATCAGCTTTAGGTAACGTGCGAGGTGTGAATGCAATGATAGGTCATGGTGGTAAGGCAACCACGAATCATACCAGCACAGCATAGTGACTACAATTCTTGGCATCACGCACGAATCACTCGATCTCCACGGTATCGGATTGCATCACGGTTATGATACGTACAGTGAAGTCAATGGATGTATACATGTAGGATTAACCGCCAGTATCAATGGATTTAGGCTTCTAAGCTTAGGCTTGCTGGTACATTTACGAGATATTCGGGGTGTAGGGTAAGCTGGTGATTGGGGATAGAACGAGAGAAGACTAATTTACTAGACAACGCGTTTGAACGCGCACAGTAGTGCTTACCTTGGTAGGCATAACTGGCATACGAAGTACATTCAGTGCAGGCAGATACATTCTCAGCTTAGAGAGGGGTCGCGACACATTTTCAGCGGTATGGATTCACAGACTGACCGAACCACTCCACCATTGGAGAGCGCTGGTACGCTGCATCATCATTGGGACATTGCGGTACACCGTCGTCGATCAAGAAGCTTCTAGCCTAGAAGTCATCTGATGGTTGTAGCATGCAAGGAAGCACGCCCGGAACACTGCTCTGTACGTTGGGTGGAACTGGAGTGGGGATTGAGCCTCTGTGCTGGGTCGCGTTATTCTGATGGTGTTGTTGGCTGGTAGTGTTGCAGGTCCATCGTCACCGTGTCCTTGATCTTCTGTAACCATACACCTCGATCGTGAAGCAAGCGCCGAAATTATAATAAGTCGGACGATACGTAGTCGGGATAGGGTGCGAATGGTCGACGGAAGAGGAGGTTCTCCAGGCAGTTGGGAGTCGATCGGGATATCATGGATCGGCGCATCGTGTCAGGCTCGTCGCGCTTTTGTCGGGTATGATTAAGCAGCCGAGTGTCATCTTCGCAATAGCCTAGACGGAATCGAGGGGTTGGCACGAAGATCGTGGGATACGTGGACAAAAGGCGGGATGCAATCATGAGACAGTGGCGTCGAGTGGCTGGTCGGTTAATCTGTTGTGGGCGCCGGAAGCAGAACAGGGCGCATGAGCGTATGCAGAGCGACGAAAGAATCGTTTGGGATGGAGGGCCCTGGCGGTGATCGACGGGGAGGCCCCTCGATTGGTAGACGGGCTGATCCCTTGGGAGGGGATTGTTGGAAACGGGAGCATGAGGGATGGGCTTCCATGGAATTGCAAGGTTAGGGAAGAGGAGGCTTTGGTGGGCACTGGGCAGCTCTCGTTGGGGCGGCGAGACCGCTGCAGGGGTCTATTTTAGGTGGTACGGGCGAGCTCACTGTCACTGAGCTTCACGGTGCTTCAACCAGCGATGCTGAGGTACCCGCACATGCATTTCCAGCGCCCGGTTGCTGCCCATCAATGATTTGAGCGTTTGGAACATTCAATGAGAACGTATATTCTATATTCTAGGCCTCTAAACTCCCTCTTGCCCATTGAAACTGCCGCTGCTCCCGTCGCTTATGCCTGCTTGTGGGCTGCTTACGGGGCCTGTAGTGAGGGGCACCACTTATTACAGTGGCTTCTCCACACTGCGCCCGACCAAGCTTTTCACTAAGACTCACTACCGCCTTGGCTTTGTTCCTCTCATCGACCCGGCCTGGACCCTAGATTTTGATTGTCGTCCATTTCCCTGATCGGCTCACCCCGCCGTTGGGGCTGGTCGCTTGGTTGTATTCTGCCTGCGACCGTGGCTCTGGTCTGCTCGCTTGTCGTGTTTGGCCTGCTGTGCACTATCTGCGTCTGCTCACTCGGAGTGAGGCGACCTGTCGCCTGCAGAGCGACGTGACTTTGGCCTTTGGACTCGGCTGGCCTCGACCTTCCCAGCCGATCCACTAGCAGCCTTACCTTATTAGCCTTCCCCCTCCCTCAGGCCGTTCTGCACATTTTCTTCCTCCTTTCCCTCTTCCTGTTCCTGTTCCTGTTGGGGGGCGGGCACTTCCAAGGCAACACATAGACCCAAGGCTTTTCCCTTCCACATCGGCGTGCATGCGCAATCAAGGCAGTCACCTGTTTCTGCGTCTATATCTACACACCCTGTCTGTATTTACTATGGATTGGAACGGAGCCTAACTTGGCTTGCCGACCTTCCCACCACCCTCCACCCACAGCATCCCTCCCCATTCGACTTTGACAGTCAGCTCTCCGACTTACGGCGTGCCTGGTCTCCGCCTCGACCCCAATTGCGCGGCCTGCATGCAACAAATTGCATCCTTTCCTTTCTCCTTATTGCCTGTATTTGGTACGCCGTGTCCGTTGCTCGGCCCGGCAGTTCTCGCCATCCTCTCTTGCCGGCCAACCTTGAGTCTGCACATTGAACGCGGTGGTCTCTTTCCTTCCCCTCCAGTAGGCATGGTTATCCACGCCGTCAATGAGTCCCTCCTTCACACAGAATGCCGACGCCAAGGAGGGATCGGCTGCTTACAAGGGAGGACATCAATCAAGGTACGCTCATCACTCCATGTCTCGCCTATTGCTCCCGCTCCGTGTGATAGACAAGGCAAGCGTCTTCGCCTTGCTGACTTATGCATGTGGTGAATAAAACAACAGCACTATCACAATTAGATGATGCCATCGAGGCTTCCGAGCTCTTAATGAGTGTTGCGCCGATCCGCTTCATCACCATCGGAGGCATGCTGGCCGTGTCGCTCTTTGGCAACCGCTCCACCACCAAAGACATCGACTTCCTCCTCGATCCGAGCGTCGATGCTGTCGACGAGTACCGCGCCGAAGTCTTCAAGGTCATCCGCGGCGTCGCCCGCAAGTCCGGCTTTAGCAACAACTGGATGAACGACGAGCTGCGCATCTTTATTGGCGGCACCAAGCGCCTCAATCTCTTCCTCCAGTCTGTCAGGCAGGGTGTCATAGCCTACGAGGGCCGCAACATGACCATCTACGCCGGCCGTCTCGACTTTGCCCTCGAACGCAAACTCCGCCGCCTCAACGAGAAACTCGGTCGACCCCGCGAGCTCGATCTCTCCGATGCCGTAACAATCGTCCACTGGTTGAAGCGGGACGGGCATCCCCTTAGCCTTGCATACGTCAGGAGCTTGGATGAAAATGGCCTGGGCCTTCCCGTCGGCGACGCTGGAATTGAGGCCACAGCACGCGAGTACTTGGCAGTGTACGGCACCCAGGGCATTGTCGAGATGACCTGGGATCCCCTCGTCCAGCGCCCATGCTACCACAACCTGAATAATGAGGCTGTCTTTATCTAGACACTGTTCCTCTTTTCTTTTTCTATCTTTCCTACATGCTGGCTTCATAATAGTCTTTGGGCTGGTAATATCTGTCATGTCATGCCACACCACTCACATCTTCTTGCATCTCCCTTCTGCGTCTCTCTTCTTTCGTCGAGTCATCCATTCGGCATGGGTAACGGGCATCCCTGCATTCATATATACACACACGATTCTAGCGAGCGGCAATGGCGCAATGGGAGGGTATCATGGTCTTTTCGGTCAGCGGGCAAAATGAGCAACGTAGACCTGTAATACAAAAGCAAGGCAAAAAAGCCCCTCGAGATGTCTGGGCACATCTCCGGGGGCGGGGGAGGTTTATCTGCAATCAACAGTTCTAAAAAATAGAGAATATACGGAGGAACCCAACTCCCTTTTCTTTCTGTTCTTTCTTTCTTAAATTTTGTTCTTTCTTTCGGTAAGGGCAAGCTTCATATCGTTCTGAGCGCCGCCGCGGAGGCCTGTATATTCCTCCTGTCAAATGGCTCGCTCGACCCCGCGATGCTGCTGTCGCCGTAGTCGTGCAGGACCAGCCTGCTCTGCAGCCTGGGCGCGGCGGCCGTCCACGCGGGTCTCGCGTAGGGGACGAACCCGG